TAGATCGGTTAGGCAAAAGAGCATTCTCTCTGCCTTGTTACCGGACCGTGACGGCCAGGGATGCAGCCCTCCTTTATTACGACTATGTGTGGCGAGTTTACGCATGGCCCGACTCGATCATATCCGATCGGGGACCTCAGTTTATATCCGCGTTCTGGGATGAGCTCTGCCGACTCGCCGGCGTAAAGCACCATCTAGCTTCGGCCTACCATGGACAGACCTCCGGCCAGGTAGAGATTATGAACGAATACATCGACCAGCGCCTAAGGCCATACGTGAACAGGTACCAGGACAATTGGGCTCGTATGTTACCTGCGCTAGACCTGGCCCAGGCGACAATGCCACATAAATCGACGGGACTCTCCCCTTTCCGATTAGAATTAGGATACGAACCAAGAATGCATTTTGACGTTACAGCTAGGCTTAATCAGGACAAGATGAAGCCTAGGGATCGCCTTACACATGACGAAGCCGCCGCAGTAGCCGGACGGATGTATAAGGGTTGAGAATTCGCGAGACGACTGATGGCTAAAGCCCAAGAATGCCAGGCCGGACAAGCGAATAAAAAAAGGCGTGAGCCTGATTGGGGCGTCGGCGACCGAGTCTGGGTATCAAAGAAGGGTTGGAACACTGATCGACCATTCGGACAAACTGGACTTTCCGAATGACGGCCCTTTCGAAGTCGAAGGTCGAATCGGGCACTCATACGAGTTGAAGCTGCCTAACCGACTTAAGATCCATAACCAATTCTCGGCCGACCGCCTGCGGAAGGATCCGGACAACCCAGTCCCGGGCCAGCGACGGAAACCACCACTACCGGTAGTAGTTAAGGGCGAACGCGAATGGTACGTATCGAAGATCATTTCGTCACGACTCTATCGAGGCAAACTACAGTACATAGTGGATTGGCTAGGCGCCGATCCGGACGATACATGGTACAACGCAAGAGGATTTAAGAACGCCACGTCTAAGCTCCGCGAATTCCATACGGAGTACCCTGAGAACGCCGGACCACCGGCACGGGCTAGCATATTGGCTGAAGGCCTCTGAAGCGGGCTACGATGACCCTGATCACCCCGAGGATGACAAGCCGCTCCAGAAGGGAACTAACCGACAACGTCGGCGTAGATCGAAGAAGTGAGGATACGGTTGAGATTCGAGGGCCGCGAGCGTCCCTCTTCCGAAGGGGGAGGGGGGTAATGTAACGCCGGTCACGATGCCTGACCCCTAGGCCCCTGGACGAACAGGGACACCCTAGTATAGGTGTCCCACCTGTACGCGCTGCCCTTTTCTTTATAATGTAGGAAAGAGCATTTGCACTTAGATCTCTTTCTCTCTCTTCTTCAGTTTAGTATTCGTCAACAGAGATAGACTGATGTCGCAACCCTGATTCGAACTTGCAGTGCCTCTGCCGTGTCACAACAGCAGCCTTTATTAAGGCGCATGGAACACTGTTCTCCGAAAAGACAACTATCGTTCTAGTTCTCGCGGCGGTCAGCAACGTTCTCGGCAACCTATACTACGTCGCAATCAGTAACTTCTGCGTATTAATAAAATATGGTCACAAGGATGGTCATATTCGTAAACCTATTTGTCCCATTCGTGCCGACGCTAAAGACGAGACCTAAGAAGACGTGAATAGCGCCTATACAATACACGGGGTGACACATAGATGGACCTGGTCGATACAAAATACGCGCCAATAGAAGGAGTATTCACAGCTGGCCTTAATGATACCCGGATTCTTAGTATCATTTGAATGAACAACTCAGGAGCACTGGGTTATTCAGCAGCGGCTGCTCCCACATACAGGTTTATGTTATAGGCGGTTGCGAAAAGCACACAGGACTATGAACAGGACTAATATTAGCCGAAGCATCCATGGGGTGCATTGGCTTGGACTCCTGTTTGCCAATCAAGGTAAGCTGAAGGAGGCAGATGAGATATACATCCGGGCACTTCAACGCTTTGAGAAGGCACTTGGACCGGATCGCACGTCGATACTCGATACTTGGGCCTCCTCTACGTGGATCAAGGCAATCTAAAGAAGGCAGGAGGAGATGTACACACGGGCACTTCAAGGCTATGAGGAGGCAAGCTATGCAAGCAAAACGCTAAAGAGACATTGTCTCTGTTGATCAATTTTGTTTTCTTGCTCCTGAACAGGTGTTTCGTCTCAATAACATTGCCTTTGTCCAGACCGTATGCAGTGTAGTGCATGCGCTGATTCACATCGCTCTGATACTGAGTCTCTGTTACGTTACCATCAACGTCAGTATGTGGCATAACCTTGCAAATTGGGGCCAGTGTTATATACTTCATGGCAGTTTTCATTACATCTGAACTGAAAACAGCGACATTGCCCTCCATGACAGGCGTAAAGTCGGGTTTTTACATCGGCAGAAGTGAAGGCGGCAGGGCGAGTTCAGGCCGTTGTTTTTTTCAACCTATTCGACAGCGAGGGTTCTTGTACCCTTTGGCATGTTCCTGATTAACTGGCTGGATACGAAATTTCTGTGGAGTTTGGACTCGACGACGGGATCTTTTTGGATTGGCACGGTCTGAATGTCAGAGTGAAAACGTAAGTAGATACCGACTTACGATGGATATACTGAACAAGGTGTAAAGCCATGCGAGGATGATAAAAACAGGCAGTTATACATTTTCTCGCACTGAAATGACAGAACCAATAACTCCTTAAATATTTAACGAGAAGCCTTCGGAGTCCTCTGGGTGAGAGAGAACAGACAGACAGACATCATAGAAAGTGCGTAATTGTGAACTGAGGGCTGCGCTGACCACCGGGCGGCAGAGGAAACACATCCTGACTCCATATAGCCCCATACCTATTGAAGATCTTCATCGATTCCCAATAAGCCAATAACCGAGCGTTTGAGTTGCCTGTTGTTGAAAGAATGTAATCCAGGCCAGGTTTTAGGGATAAACTAGACCAATTTCAATATGCTGTGTCCCTGTAGGGAATCAAGTTAAGCTTCCCTTATTGTTTCATACTAACCATTTGTCGAAAAAGCTCGACAGCATGGACCGAAGTGACGAGCAATGTTTTGTTAGGCTTGGTATTGCGGAAATTGCACTTGAGGCTGACAAGATCACACAGAAAGAACATACTTTTGCTACATATACGTATACTATCTCCTTTGGCAGCACAGTCGAGTGTGCCGATGTATATAACTTAGCGTCATCAGATGTAAGGGATGCTGCATTATCTTGAAGTATCCTGTGCAAATGCCGGCATTCATAAGGATTCTCAGTGTTCGCCTGCTAGAACACCCCATATCTTCCCATGTGACGTCGCTGCCAACGTTCCACCGCTCTCGAAAGCTGCTAACAGAAATTCAACACGAAATATGGGGAGTATTCATCCTCACAGCCAATAAATGCTGGCTTTTCCCTCTCAAATACAATCATCAACGACTAGAATCCACAGTCTCTATGATATTGAAACTATTCTCAGTTAGTTCGGTGTGCCGTGCCATCTTCAACCTGCTATGCCCAATCCATCTCGAGGTGCACCCGGTAGGGTTTGAGGAAGATGCGCCCCCAAAGACAAGCTCAAGGGAGGTTGCCGTGGCGCCGTTTACGTCACCACCGAGTACGACACATTCATTTTAGAGATAGATCGAGATGATTGGCGGTAATCGAAGCAAGTAATTGCGGATGGCGAGACTTTTCCAAAATACAGATATAGGTTCACGAGTTCACGGGCATTACTCACTTTTGGGAACCATGCCACGACTCCCTCACCATCCAACCGTGTGGACGGATGAGGCAGACCATGCAGATTTGCAAATGCCCACACGGGTGGCAACTGGCACCAAGTAGACCAAGATGTGATATCTCCGAAGTTTAGCTACGCACCAGCATGCTGCGTAATGTCTAATTTCCATGGCCAGCCGATTGCCCCCTCATTTCAACCCGAGGTGCGGGTTAATTTCGACCTACAGAAAATGTCTCCAGGCGAGTAATGCATTGTTGGAGTATTATGAGCTATAGAGCAATATATAAGCCAGCCCTAACATGCTATTGGCTGTTCCATCTCAAAAGCTGCCGGAAATCTGCCGATGATGAACTCCAGATCCATGATTAATACTCCCGATATGGATATTCCCCGCAAGCCAAGGTCGGGGCATCCACTCAGCTCCATTTTCTCCATGTTTTTCGCCAGCCCCGTGGAGAATAATAGTCCGGGGTGCGTATCGGTAGTTGTTTTCGGGCCTTCGATCATGGACCGATGAAAATGCGGAGCAGACCTGGAGAACTGCGTCTTCTTAGGGGCTGACTGCATTTCACCCACCATGCCTCGTGGTTATGTTGACTTTCGTACACATTGAGAAAGGGGTATAGAGTATTTATACCCCGCCTACACACACAGTTCGTGGTGCAATGCCACGAACAGGCGTCCAATACAGTAGATACGGGACTCGCTAAATGATTGTCCCTGGAATCACGTTCATACGACCTTGTGACCTTCATCTCCGCAAACTACCCCATTATCCGCCGCATCTAGCATGGTCTGTGTTATTCCTCACTGGCCCAACGACGCGGTGAGCATCTCGGCCGGGGTCGCCAAATCCACCTCCATGAAAAATGCTCTAGACTGTGGGGAAGAAGGGCCGAATCTCCATTGCATCGGAGCTTGCAACATCAACTATGACCGGCGTTACTCCGATGGCATTCACAAATAGGGAAATTGGCACGCGGGTGTGGATTGCTGGGAGTCGCTGTTGGTCGGACGGCATGTCCATTCCCAGTGCGAGATTGACGTGATAGGTTATTCGATGGGGTGTACCCTGCCTGGTGGACAACGGACGAACCAAAGTAGTGTTAGTGAGTTCGTACATCCCTATCTTAACGGTTCAAGACCAAAATCAAGCTACCAGGTCGAGTGATTCGCGTCTACGTGGAACCACAAGCTCCAGGACTATAAGTTTGGTAGACTTCGCCCCAAATAATGGCTGTTGTAATGCGCGATCTCGACCGTTTCTTAATCCAATATTGAGTCTTGACGTCCAAGTCCTCCCACCATGTTTTCGTCCTCGATTTTGGGCGTAGCCTTCTTGGCTGTCCTTGGTAAGACAGTCAGCGCGCAGGACGATGTGATCACAAGTGATGAGTTCTTCTACGGCGACTCGCCGGCAGTGTATCCGACTCGTATGTACACATTCCGATGATCCTTCTGGAATTCAACGATGGCTGACACATGCCCAGCGGGTATGGATGAGAATGGTACATGGGGCGATGCGATGAGCAAAGCGAAGGTCTTGGTCGACCAGATGACACTGGAAGAAAAGGTCAGCATACGAGTCGTCCATATTTTCTGCATGGACTAACCCCGCTTCACAGGTGAATTTGACCGGTGGCGTCACTTCCGAGACGGGATGCTCAGGGTTCATACCCGGTGTAGAACGTCTAGGCTTCCCCGGCTTGTGTCTCGCAGATGCCGGGCAAGGCGTCAGATCAACAGACTATGTCAGCTCTTGGCCGTCTGGCATTCATGTTGGTGCCAGGCAAGTAATCTGATATTCGCAGGTTTTTGCCATATCCGCTAACGCTAGCAATCAGTTGGAACAAAGAACTCGCCCGCCAACGAGCCCATTTCATCGGCAGCGAGGCCAAAGTAAAGGGTGTAAACGTCTTGCTGGGACCCTGCGTGGGGCCCGTTGGTCGAGTCGTCAGTGGTGGGCGTAATTGGGAAGGTGCGTGATAGTGGCCTGCACCCAAGCAACTATGCGTATTGCCAGAGCACTGATGAATCAAAATTATAGGTTTCTCAGTCGACCCCTACTTATCCGGTGGCTTGGTATACGAGACGGTGTCTGGCATCCAGGGCGCCGGAGTAATGACCAGCACCAAGCACTTCATCGGCCAGGAACAGGAGACTCACCGCATTCCCTCCAGTTCTGGTGATTACGTCGAGGCTGTTTCTTCCAACATTGATGACAAGGCGATGCATGAGCTTTATTTATGGTAAGATGTCACTGTGATTTTCAGCATTGAAAATCCTAATCGTGTTTCAGGCCTTTCTATGACGCTGTTCGTGCAGGAACAGGGAGCGTCATGTGCTCTCTACAGAGACTCAACAACTCTTATGCTTGCGGAAACAGCAAATCCCTCAACGGCTTACTCAAAGGGGAACTGGGCTTCCAGGTGAGGGCAAAATGGACACCGGATTTTGAATTCGAGTACTGACTCAAATCTTCTCCCAGGGCTGGGTTGTGTCTGATTGGAACGCCCAGCACGGAGGAGTTTCAACTGCACTAGCTGGTCTTGACGTAGCCATGCCCAACTCCGACGGTTTCTGGGGAGAATATCTCGTGGAAGCGGTGAACAATGGTTCTGTCACCGAGTCTCATCTTGACAACATGGCAACGAGGTCAGTTCTTTCCCTGAAACCTACCAACTTCCTACTTTTCAACAAGTTCCTAACCGCCCACATCTTTCAGAATTCTCACATCATGGTACCAATTAAAGCAAGACCAATCCGGCTTTCCCAAACCCGGTTACGGAATGCCCCTAAACCTTAAACTTCCCCACAACGTCGTCGACGCCCGCAACAAGAGCGCAAAGTCAACCCTCTTCGACGGCGCAGTCGAAGGCCATGTTCTCGTCAAGAACACCGGCAGCTCTCTTCCCCTGGACTCCTCCAAGATGAAACTTATTTCCCTTTTCGGTTACTCTGCCAAAGCCCCCAACCAAAACAACTACGAAGACCCCGCCGGAGACGCGTCCTTCAGTGCCTGGCCCATGGGTGCAGAATCAGGCAACCTTGAAGAGCTCAACGTCGGGTTTTTCGGAAACCTGAGCCATTCCTACGCGAGCATCTCCCCTAATGGGACCCTCGTCTCCGGTGGTGGCTCGGGATCTACGGCGCAGAACCTCATTAGTGCACCTTACGATGCCCTAGTTGCCCAAGCGCATGAAGACGGCACCGCTTTGTTCTGGGACTTCGAATCCGGAAACCCCTCCGTGAACCCCACTTCCGACGCATGTATTGTCATAGGGAACACTTGGGCTACCGAGGGTTACGACCGCCCCTCCCTGCGGGATGACTTCACAGACGGCCTGATCCAGACAGTAGCGGACCAGTGCGCAAACACCATCGTCGTGTTCCATAACGCGGGCGCACGAATGGTTGACACTTTTATCGACCACCCCAACGTGACGGCGGTCATCTTTGCGCATTTCCCGGGCCAGGAGAGTGGGAAAGCCTTGATCTCTATCTTATACGGGCAAAGCAACCCCTCCGGGAAGCTGCCGTACACAGTTGCGAAGAACGAGTCAGATTATGGGGCGCTGTTGAAAGCGGATATGACGCTTGCTACTGATCGGTACCAGAAGTTCCCGCAGTCGGAGTTTGACGAGGGGGTGTTTATTGATTACAAGCATTTCGATTCGCTAAATATCACGCCTCGGTATGAGTTTGGGTTTGGGTTGAGTTACACTACGTTTGGGTATGCGGATTTGGAGGTGGTCAAGACGGATGTCCAGACGCAGGTTTATCCGACGGGGGATGTAGTTGAGGGTGGGCAGGAGGATTTGTGGGATGTGGTTGCGCATGTTACGGTTAAGGTGTCGAATACGGGGGATCGAGACGGAAAGGAGATTGCGCAGTTGTACGTGGGTATTCCGGGGGATGATGTGCCGGCGAAACAGCTGAGAGGGTACGAAAAGTCCCTGATTGCCGTCGGAGAGACGATTTCAGTCGACTTCCCGCTAACGAGGAGGGACTTGAGCGTGTGGGATGTTGCGGCACAGATATGGAAGTTGCAAGCTGGGGAGTATCAGCTGTTTGTGGGGAGCAGCAGTCGAGACCTGCCACTCAAAGGTACATTGACGCTATGAGAGGCAGTAAAGACAAAGTATAATTGTAATTTAATATCGAAGTAATGCCGGAAATATTAAGAAGATTCTACAATCTACTTTTTCAATGACGAAAGTTAGTCAACATTTCACCAGGTAATACAACAAGGACAGGAGACATGACATTGTTCGTACAACAGTATAATAATGAGACTCAGGGGTCACCTTCAACCATGAGTTCGTAAGATATCCATGAGAAGTGTCGCATTTGCATTCATCTAATTCTCTAGGGAGATGTGGATTGAACGTCACATTTACCACGAGGTAATCGTCCCTTCGTTCGACTCACTATCCGTGATTGACGGCGGAATAGGGATGCGATGTCCATCTCGCTCTGCTTGAAGGGATTAGCGAAGTCTCTATGCCTATAAATGCAATGATCAATTGGCCAGATGGATCTTTAGAGATCGCGGTCTTACTGATGAGTCCGTAGGTAGTTCTGCAAGCATATCGCAGTCGATTTGTTCCATGCTCAACGAACCCTTGAGCATCTGATATGCCGTGTAAGCGATTTCACCAACTGATGGATCATAATGAATATTCCACGTGGAACAAGTGCAGTGCACTCACTTCTCTAAAAACTGTGATAGTTTCGTATAACCTGTAGAACATCCGAGTCCTTTGGCTCGAGTTACATGTTTCACCGCTTTATTTCAACAATGATCACGTTTCATCCAAGGAAGGTTTGCGCGTGACTTTTAGCCGATGTATTTCAGTCCTGTATGATCAGCTCTCCTGGCATGTAAGAATAAGAATGAACATATTGAATCGGCTATGTTTTACCAGAATACCTTTTGCATCTCTTGCTTAGCCCCCGACTAGCTGACAAGCTCACCTTCTTCATTGGAGTACGTATTCGACTTATTGACTCTCATATTTTCGGAGGTCACTATCGCAACAAAGTCACAACCTTCGTTGGTGACGGCTCAAGGCTGAGGGGTGCCGCATGTTGAGAAGCTTGGATTGCGATATTGCTCCGCGAAAGCTTGCAACACGATCTGGATAGAGCCACCAGGTATCCTTTCAAGCGCTATAATGTCCATCTCTGTGTAAAATGTTTGAGGGCATGTATGCGTAGGAACTTATCACGATGTTGACAGGGGGCGATTCCTTCCTGGGGGATAACCCGCGTACATCTCCTCGGAATATGATAGCCCGCCATTTGATGATTTAGACTCCCTTACGATGTGTTCCAGTGAACGCTATTAGACATCAGCTTTTAAGTAAGCTTTCTATTCTTCTGGATACCAGAGTCAATGTTATGTTGGGAGTTTAAGAGGCTAGAGTCGCTCTTATCCCTATTGTTGGACCCTCAAGGTTACTACACCAAGACTGCCAAGTCAAAGAGAAAGGTATATGGCCGCAAACCGTACGATTATGGGCCAATATTACCTCTACCCATTGAACCACACAAGTCCTGCCTGTGAGACAGGCATCAGTCATTCCTGTCTATATAAGGCCCCTATGGCCGCCATTCACTTCTCTCAAGACTCTCCAGAGATCATGACACATTCAATACAAGACCATTTGCCCACAATCCAATACCTATCCCAAGAACACTATACAATCAACTCCTATTTCTTGAATCTTTAAATAGTTTTCTGTATACAAGCTCTTTTAAACAGTATAATATACCTACTTACTCCTAGGAATTAAATTCTCACCCTACATAAAAAGTCAACTTTAACAATTCCGACACCTTTGTCCTGGTGGTGGGTCTTATGCCCAATTCTCGTACCCGTCTTCCTCTCTATCCCCAGCATTCTGCATTTTCGTCCATATTGCCCTCTTGTCCCTCAGGTTCGCCGAAACTACAACTATTCTCCTAACGGATAAGGAGTGCGCAAATTTCCTTCAAGAACTTCACCCTAGCTCTATTGTTAAGATCAGCCCATTCAGACCGGTCAATTGTCATGAAGAAATCATCACTAGCCTAAGCGGGGAAGTTGCCTAGATAGGCCGCGGTAACATGGGATAGGAAGCAGACTCAGTGGTGGGCCAAGCAATTATAATGACGCTATTGGCGAATTACCGATTAGATGGCATAGAATAGGCAAACACATAAACATGTTATGACCATGAGGAAGCAGAGCTTGATCTTCATCCTGCACCGCTGGATCAGGGAGCAGATACGATTCGCCATATTACAGTACCACAAGATAGAAACAGACGGCTACAAGTCTCCAGCTGACCATCCAGACACACTTGCAGGAAGGCTAAGTCCGCTGTGCCAAGCTAGTAGGGAGGGCCGCCGCAGTAGAAACAGAGGCAACGAGAGAAGAATGCACTGTCCAAGAGCTTGCTGCAGCAATGGGAACGAAACAACCGCAAATTCGAGGTCAACTCGGATGGGCTGATGGTGGTAAAACTAGCAGGATCCTATAGCCCGGCACAGGAACATTGCGTTCGGGATTTCAAGGATCGGCTCAGAGTGCAAGGTGGTCACGACATGGAACCCGGCAACCCAGTTGTCCGCAAGCCGATTGTGGTGGTGCCGGCCCGCACCAGCCCTTTTTCTAGCTTTTTCATTCTCTTTCGTGCTCGACGGCTGATTTAGAGTGTCTTAAACTTGCTCTAGCGTAAGCAGCCAAGAGGCACACGTTCTGTACTTAAGGGCCTTATGGTCACCTTCACTCCTTTGGATTTGGGGAGATCAGAGAGACATATCAAATTCCATGCGATGTTATAGCTTGCAATAAGTCCGATAGTGGTGCCTAAGTGAATAACAGTCGAGGCGGCTATACTTACTTCCAAAGCGCCTCTGCTGAAAATCAAAGCTTCAAAGAAGTGACCTAAACGTCAGTGGTGCGATCAGGTTGGATTTTAAGTCGCACAGAAAGACAAAGAGCTCACGGAGGCTGTTCTCGAACCCAAACAAAACTATAACAAATATATCGTCGGGAACAATCATTTTCCGGCGGTCATATGGGGGAGGGGGGTTGGGGTCATGTGGTGAAAAGTAAACTTGGACCATTTGCAACGGCTTGGGAGGAGCGACAGAGAGTAGACAGTCACAGGATATTGTTCTTTTCACACCCAAAAAGTAATACGTACCCCACTTCCTGATGCGCTCAGTTGATATCAAAACTCACCAAATCACACCTACTTTTCAACCGACCACCAACCATTGAAGACGAAGACACTCCGAGGAAAACTTTTCTGCATATCTTACTCTCCAATCACCAGCCTGTCTAGGAGTAATGTTTACCGGTATTTGCGACCACGCGCGCTTAGCGTCGGGCGCAACTAGCGCGCAGCTAGCATTACGTCGTTGATAAATCGGACTAGTTCCCGATTAAATACGTAAAGAGGTATACAAAGACATCTGTTTATGAAGTATACTCTGATATATACTGTAACGAAACCTCTAATAGTCTAGCTGCGTAAACCACTAAAGAGTCTGTAAGGGTTTGTGCTAGTAAGTAAGTCCTGCTGCGGAGTCCTTTAGCAATAATATCGGGGTCTGACGTATGGAGTATAGTGCTTTGGGGTAACTGAAGTATTCGAGTAGGGTAACTGGGAATAGAGTCGTCAAGGCAGTTTGCCTCACCAATGGGTTAGATTGATGCTTAGATTGATCACTGAAGTAGAGACTGTCTATCTATGAAATGCCTGGGAGTCCTGTTGTCAAAAACGGCGGGTCACATGGTATTGGAGCATAGAAGCACCATATCATTAGTTCTAGCTTTGTCTAGACTGTTGTTTGATATTAAATGTGGGATTGAGCACCACAGTGATTCCTAAGGTTGAAAGGCGCTTTATGCTTAGAATAAAAGCGCTTTGTGCTTCAGGATAAAGGCGGGATAGAGGTAGCCTAGTAAGGCTGGACCCTTCAGATTACTTAAAGGCAATGCACACAGCCAACAGAACAGATAGAGGGAATCGAGCATGGAAAAAACGGTGACCTAACCATAACCACCAAATTATTCTTTTCATATAACCGTCATATCACGGTCATACTGCAAGATACGTGAATATCTAACACAAGTCGTAGTATCTGCTAATTGGGGTTCTCGTCGAGCGTATACATCTCAACCATACGCTCAAGTGGATAGACCGCAACGTGGTCTAGACGCTCGCAAGAATCGCGGCGAGAGGGCGTGCTGCGCGCCTTCTATCGTGAGGGGACGGGTTCGCCGACGAGCGTTATCGGATAGGCGAGGTCCGATAAGGGGTCGGATTAACGATTCGAATTCTGGACCGGCTGTCGAGTTATATTCCGCCGACGTAGTGCTTGACGGTCGACTGGCTAGGATGCTCGTAATCCTAAACTGCACCAATCTCCCTATTATCGCTAGGTAGGCGAAGTCAACAAGGTGGGCAGCGCGCCGTAAGGGTTGACTAAACCCCCTTGTGTGTCAGCTGCGGGATTCGAACCCGCGACTCGTCACCGACCCAAGTGGGCGAGGCTCAAATCGGGACTTATCTACCAGCGAAGTGACCAACTACACCAGCCGACAGCGTTATATATATGAGGCGGGGCAACGATCCGAGCTCGGAGATTTCCGGGATCCCCCATCCATCCTATTTAGGACCAATAACCACCCACTACTGCCTTCCTCATTGACATCGCATCCCACAAGCTGTGTTTTAGCACCGAGGCCATCATTCAGAGATGAGCCCTGCGGAAGCAAACAACTATGGTGCCGATGCTGGTCGGCAGATAACACCAAGGCTCGATGCGGCCGGTACCGTCGATGATGTCTCGACAACCGATTCCGAAGATGATGGAGGATATCAACCTCTTTGGGTCAAGCTGGCGTGCATCCTGGTCGACTTTTTGACGCAGATGTACGACCAAGTCAGAATCGTACCCGAGATCGCGCTCTTCGAACGGTCGATATGCCTCAGCTACTACTCTGCCCACGATCCCTCCGTTATTGGGCCAGGGCAGTTGGTTCCGGAGTTTCTGTGCAAGATTCCGCCTGTGCAGCAGAAACTTGCTCACTTGAGAGGCTGGAAGGCTTTCTACGATGGACTTGCGGGTGTGTGCTTTACATCTGCTTGCATTTCTTTCATCTGACTATGTTCAGTGCTCTTGACCGCAATACCAATGGGCATTCTTGCCGACAGATTTGGGCGTAAGAAGATCATCGCAAGCAGTATAGCTGGGCCTATAGCTGCTACATCCTGGATACTTTTGGTCGGTGAGTACCGCGTGCATCGCACCCAGCGAATTGCAATGTTCTTGTCTGATATCTGATCAGGTCTGGGTGGTCTCGGAGGTGGAAAAATCACCAATATCTGGTGGTCGTCCCTTTTCTTCCTCTTTGGGAATCTCTCATCTGCCAACGCAACCCTCTACGCCGTTGCTGCAGACTCGTGTCCCCCTTCGAAGAGAAGCCAGTACTTCTACTACTTATACTCGACCTTCTTGGTCTGTGAGCTGGTTGCACCTGCCTTGGCGTCCGTCACAATCAACAAGCAGCTCCTCATTCCATTCGGCGTGGGCCTGGGGTGTCTGGTGCTCTGCTTTCCGATCCTGGCCATCATGCCCGAGACTCACAAAAGGCACAAAAAGCCCCTGCCCAAGTCTCGAGCGGATGGACAAACTGACGACCATGACCCCGAGGCCGCTCCACTGATTTCGCGAACGCCCGGAGCTACTTCAAACTCGCCGAGCTTCCTCTCCATCCTGAAACAGAGGAACTTAATCATCGCCTTCATCGTGTCCTTCGTAGGCGCATTCAGGATTGCCACGGTGTCAGTCCTTCTCCAGTACACCGCCGCTCGGTTCGGCTGGCCCATTTCACGGACCGCGATCCTGGTCTCTGCTATTGCCGCTATGAACATCGTTTTGTTCCTAGGTCTCTTACCGCAAGTAATTGCATATTTGACCACCAAGCGGCACATCCCCCCCCAGCTTATTGATTATCAGGTCGTCCGTGCAAGTCTTTGCATACTGGCCTTGGGTGCTCTGCTCATGGGTTTGGCGCCGTCGATGTACATGCTTGTTCCCGGTAAGTGCCTCTGAGAAGAAGATGTGTGATCGAAACGCAGCATCTAATTATGTACAGCGGTGCTTCTTTTCGCGTCTGGGTACGGTACTCGTGTTGCAGTCCTGTCCATAGTGTCATCCTGGACAACCGACAATGTGCGGGCTCGAGTTTTCTCAATAGCTCAGCTTCTCGAGAACACGGGGAGAATGGCCTCGGACCCGATGTTGTTGAGAATATTCGCTGCATCTATACCACTAGGTGGATTCTGGCAGGGTCTGCCTTTCTTCGTGGCTGCTGTAAGCAAAGCATTCCCCTTGCCTAATGTTCTGCTTGCAAGTTCCTGGCATGGTTTACTGGCATGGTTTACTGGCATGGTTTACTGGCATGGTTTACTGGCATGGTTTACTGGCATGGTTTACTGGCATGGTTTACTGGCATGGTTTACTGGCATGGTTTACTGACATGGTTTACCGACGTGCTTTAGTCGTGCTTTGGTGCTGGCGCCTTGGCTTGGAGGTTTGTTCGAGTCGAACCCAGAAGTCAGCAACGGGGATAATGAGAAGGTAAATCAGAACTTTGATTGGAATCTGGTTGGGAAGGAGGGTGGACGAGACCTCTGGGGTACCCTGGGGTTCTCTGGCATCGATGCAAAGCTATCAGATCATGCCAACAATTAGACGCGAACTTGAATTGGCGAGAACTGGCCATACCACTCGGAAGCAGAGAAAAGACGAGAGAGCGAAAACGCCGTGTATTCGTTCTTGTTCACAGTTCACAGGTCACCATCCTGTCGAAGCCCAACCAGAGCTTAGGCTAGTTGATTGTTGGTGGCTGTAAGTGTCGCAACTCGTCTCAAACCCACCCCAGCTACGGCGCATTTGTAGTACCGGGAGGAGAAAATTTGATATCCCCCTCCTCGACACATGCCAATATTGATGTAATTTGATTTTTGAAGAAACTCCCCGTACATGAAAGTGTTCGAGTACGTACCAACCAATTATCGGGAAGCCAATGTGGGTGGGGCTGTAACCAGACCCTCAGGGACGAGCTCAAGAGCTCACCACTTCACAACTTCGACTTTCTCACCAGGATTTTAAGACGCGCAATCTCAACGCGCAGCACTCGATTCCGCCCACAGCCGCCAATTTCTGGCTGGAGGATCGCTCCTACAGCTTCCGATTGATACCTACACCCCACACGCAATGTCGTCGCGCTTCGTCTCGGGCGGCATCATCCCCGGCGACGGCACTTCACCAGCCCCACCTCCTCCAGCTGGTACTGCCGCGACAGCTTCAGCCATAACCCCAGGAGCAGCAGCACCCTCGTCAACCGTCAAATCCACCTCTAGCACTCTCAGCACTGCCACGCCCACCACCACCACCACCAGCGCACCCCAACCCAATCCGACCACCGCATCCGCCTGGTCCGAAGTCGAATCCCGTCTGCAATCCGAACGTCTTGCCCGCGAAGCCGCGCGCAAATCCCTCGTTGAAGGCACCAACAGCCAAAACAGTCTGTACGACGTTTTACAAGCCAACAAAGCCGCCAAACAAGCCGCGTTCGAAGAAGCAAGTCGGCTGCGGAACCAGTTCCGGGCTTTGGACGACGACGAGATTGATTTCTTGGACGAGGTGGAGGAGGAGAAGCGGAAGGAAGAGGAGAGGATACGGAGGGAGACGGAAGAGAGGTTGAGGCGGTTCAAGGAGGCGCAGAGGGGGTTAAATGAGGGTGAAGAAGGGGAAGTAGGGGCGGGCATAGGGGAGAATGAGGTCGGATTGGAGTGGAGTAAGGGTGCGGCGGGACGGAAGAGGAAGAGGGAGAAGGACGAGAAGATAAAGGGGTTGAAGAGGAGGGTGAGTTCGGGAGTCAAGGTCGAGGCAAAGGAGGAGGGCATCTCTGGTGAAGGTCGTGGTGAAAAAGGCGTGCGGAAGGTCGAGGCGAATGCGAGCGAGGCCTTGACGGAGACTAATGCTCTTACGAAAGCGACACCAGCGCCCGCACCGTCTCCAACAGTGGCAAAGCCGAAGCTTGGCCTCATGGATTACGGATCTGATGACGATGACTGAAGCAGGAACTCGTCTTCACGTTCATTATCCTATCACCGGATGCCCATTAAATCGATGCTGGACATCGTTGGCTAAATCTTGCCCCAACGGCATGAGTCTGGACGCTGCCTCGTCGGCGTACACCAAGCATCCAAATCATGGATTAAGACTCCTCGGAGTCCAGTCCACACGGTGAGACTGTAATACGTCCATGGCGTGGCCGCGTAGACTGACGCTTTGAGAGGCGATAGAGAGTCCCGTCGATATTATTATACCCAAGGATGCGTGATCACTGACAATTGCCTCTTGAGATAGAGTTGTGATTGGTTATACAGACAGACGTAGCTCGTATTGCCGAGCCGCGACACTCAAGTAGCTCTCAGCCTCTGCAAAAACTGGCGTCAGGTAGACTCGCGGTCCTTCCATGCACCCAAATGTTCAATATATAATCACCAGCCTGACCGCAATGCATAATGGTATCTCTCCACAGTCTAATATACAAGTCTTCGTTACCCGGGAATGCTGCAAGATCTTCAATCGAGTGCTTGTCGAATCACTCATCGGAATAGTAGGGTCTCGGTTCTGGGTCTGACATGGCCCAGCGCCACATGCTTCGCAGGCTTGCCTTGATCCAGCCCTCGACCTCTTCCTCGGGCACCTTGACCTCTCTAGCACGGGCTTCGTCCTCGGGTCGAATCTCGAAACGACGCATGCGCATTGCAATCCGCGGGTCTACTACTATCGGCTTGGCCCAGATTTTCTCCTTGGGCACCAGAGGTGCTACTTCGCCTTCCTCGAGGACTTCCTCCTTCCAGACTGTCTTGACCCAGTCCTTCTCCTCGTGTTCGAGCGCAGTCTGAAACTCAGATTGCGAGTCTGAATCGGTCGAGGCTGGTCCATCGCGGTATTCTCTTGACGCCTCCAGACAGACAGCGGCCACTTCGCGACCGATCTGGTCGGCGAGCTTTCTCCGGTTGAGGAAGCGGTAGAGTCGGGTGGGTGTGTTCAGAAAGCCGAGGACGTGTGGGAACGGGATTGGTGTGGAAGGAGAAAACTCGGCGGGTATCAGCATCGGTATCGAAGAGGTGGGATAGTCGTTCGTGGTGTTGTAGGGTACTGGTTGGGGTGGCCGAGAGGGCTTCTCTTCAGGTTTGGGTATCTCCTCCTTCTCGCCTTCGGCGGACTCGCCATCGGGTGTTGCAGGGGCTTCCATCTTCACGACTTCCGGCGTGGGTCGCGGCGGTTCAGTCAAAGGGCCTAGCCATCCTTCGTGTAGTCCTCTGATGTACTCCTTCCACGCATGTCGTCCAACCACAATATCGCCACGAGTCCCCGTCCACTCGGGCGTGCCTTGGTTTTTCCTCATAATGTGTATGATCTCATCTGAAGTGAGCTCTTGCGGATCCTTGACAGACGCTGCCGGCTCTTCGGTTTCCCGCCTGTTTCTCCGTATCTTCTCGGCCACGGCGGCCCTCACATCGCCCTGCTGTCGTCCTTGAACAAATTCCCAGTCAAGACCACTTGCGGCCAAGATGGGCTTGATGAACTCGGAGTAGTGGTCTTGGGCGACCCTCAATCCATCGCCCGGCGGGCTTTCAAGGTAGATGGTCAGTTTTCGCGGAAGCTGACGGGGATCTTTGAGCGTCTCTTTGCCAAGATGCGATACGGCGTGACTCCACCGAGCGGTTGCGCGTTTCTTTTCTCGTTTGTCGTAGATGATGGCCGCCGAAAAGCTTCCCAGGATCCCCCAAAATATCATCCAATTACGTGAAGGAAGTTTCTTCGGCAAGTTGGGCAAGCCCATCATTCGCAGGACGGGATTCGGGGCGGGTGCTTTGTATGTCTTTGCCGGGGTCGAGGAGGCAGCAGCAGCAGCAACTGGAGCAACTGGTGCCCCAGTTGCTGCTGGCGCTTGCGGTGGTGGTATAGGGTCGGCCATTGCCGTAGTTTCGACAAGGCTTGGCGTATGAAAATGATATCTCACGATCGCAGACGAGCCTGGACTCGAGATCTCCGACAGTCAGTCCAACCATTCATTGGAGAAGCTCAAAATTTGGTCGGGTCGGAACTAAGTATCGCCTATCGCATTATCACGTTTAGCGCGACTGCGATTCTAAAATTGGATGTTTCTGCCCGTTGACAAGGCACGGTCCGCGATATTGACAAAAGTCAAAGGGTATGTCGTCACATCGGGTATAGATGTCACCGAATCGTGCAGAGACAGAGAATGAAACAAAAGAGCATCATCATCTTCCCCAGCGCCGGACCATATGAAGCAAACCTCCGAGTGTGGAGATGGATCCCCGGATGTCGGCATTGCCAAGTTCATCGATCTGAAGTACTGTTCTTGCCGAGCCAATCTCTGAACTATAGTTGAAACAAGCACTGTTTGTGTTCCCAAGACCGATCTGTACCTCCGCCCCTTTCACTGGCACCATTTGTCCCATCCATCACTGGCCACACTCGGTATAGAATCGACAGTCTCACCGATGTAACAAGGGCCGTCATTTGTGGGATGATCCCTCTACCCAACATAATTCTCAACATTTGAGTTCAGCTCGACAACAAACTACACAGGTAGTGTTATTCATGTGCCCAAAGCATGTCGTCATGGATTGTCGCGTAGTCGTCTTGTTTACGGTACCCATTGCACTGCATTGCCGCTCGTGGGGTACTTGCATTCCCATATAGGAAGTTTTGACTCAGAACTAGTGTAAGAGGCAACCTTGAGAATCGTCTAAATTATCACGTCCATCTAGTTGCCATGCGTTGCGACGGACCAGTCAGGACTATATGGGTTTGTATATATATATATATATATATATATATATATTTATCTATTTCAGCCTCTCTCTACCATACGGCGCTTACTCACGGGCCATGACAATTATTCGCCATCTTATATCTCCCGCCTCTTTCGAACTTTACAAAACAATCAAACTGTTCGAAGCATTCGTATAACTCGTATATTTCAAATCACAACATCAGACCGAGACCATCCATCATGAAGTACCTCAATCTTGCCTTTACAGCCGGCTTGGCTGCCGCCGCTACGATCCGCATCGATTCAGGACCAGGACTGGTGTTCAAACCCGAGGATATTACCGCCAAGAAAGGCGATATTCTGGAATTCCACTTCCTGCCCATCAACCACAGCGTGGCGCAAGGCGACTTCAACAACCCGTGCCAGATGCCTACATCAGGCGGTTTCTTCTCGGGATATATTGCAACGAAGGATACCGAGTCTGTAAGAGTTATCATTTCTGCTAGCCACTGTCTCATCTCTGGGAAATATGTCACCCAAGACTCCTTATCTGATCTCATGATGTACAAACAATCATGTGTCAATTGCTAATTTGAGCACACTCAAAAGCCCACGGTTTTCCGTGTAACCGTTAACGATACCGAACCAATCTGGTTCTACTGCACTCAAAACTTCCACAGCCACTGCCAAGGCGGCATGGTGGGCGTTGTGAACGCCCCATCTGGGACCAGTGGGAACAACACCCTCGCTGCCTACAAATCCGCCGCTGCCAACTTTCAAGGCATGGCAGGCGACGCCATGATGGCTTTTGGGGGTGAGGTTATGCAGGCGGGTACGTCGACTGGGGGAAGCGGCACGGGGTCGGGCACGGGAACAAACACCGTGACTACGCCGTCGGCGAGCATGAGTAACATGCCGGGAATGAATATGAACGCTGCTGGAAATGTGAAAGTTGCTACCATGGGAGTGTTGGGGGCTCTGGGGCTGGCCGTATTTGGCTTGGCTTGAATGCTGAGCGAACAAGATAGATAGGTGCTCGAGGACGGGTTCCTTGTTGGGAGTTTTGTCTTCGCAAATTATCTGTACAGGTGGTGTTCTCGAGAGAGACAGTTGTGTGACAGGTGGGGTATATGGCTACACATTGTGTGATCTGTAAATCTTTCAATTTTGGAACATGCGATCCGTCAAGTTTCTGCTCATTTACTTGAAGTTTGTATCTCAAAAGGTATGCCAACGAAGCACAGGTGTACTCCATGTGCGCGAGTCAAATTATACACTAAAGTAGGATAGTATAACGTGAATGTACACCGAGCTGGTCACTTTCATGCGCCAACGCGACCGGCCAACTTAATCTTTGATTTTCTCAACAACCACTTATGGCAAAGTCATACAACGAAGCAGACTTAATGCTAGCCCTTCAAGCTCTCAAAAATGACCAAAAACTTGGTCTCCGACAAGCGGCAAAAACGTACCAAGTCCCCCGAAGCACCCTCCAAACGCGTAAAAACGCGCCCGAGGCGCTGTGGTATTTGCAACGGGACTGGGCATAATGCGCGAACTTGTAAGATCGCATTGCCATCTTCTGGAGAGGAAGATTCAGAGTAGTTTCAATTGATTTACGGCGTTGTGGTTTTACTATCGTAAATTTTCTATGCGAGGTTATGTAAGGGTGGCCAGCTCGGTGTCATGGCCAGCTCGGTTTACATTCACGTTAACGCTCCATTTGAATTGATATAGCATAGCCCGATATTCCAGTCTAGCTATATGACGAGATTTATTTTGGCATCCACTTGACCTTCATATCAGACCCATAACTGCGGAAAGTAAGGCTTGCTCCGCCTTTCAGCGGCCCGTTGCTCTTCAATCGCGCTACAACGAACGCATAGATAACAGTTCCCTCGCCCAGTCAAACGCCGTCCGTGCCTCTTCATCATGGATGTCCATATCAGCCCCAAAGTTGAGCAACAACTCAATGATCCTTCTTCTGAATCCAACGCCATCCCCGCACATGAAGACTCCTTCTATAAAGGCCCCACCCATGCTGCAGCAGTCTACACGCTGACTCTCAAACGCGTAAAAGAAGCACGCAGGATGCAGCGCCCTATGGCCGTACCAGTTTTGTACATGAACGTCGGCTCCGGGTTCGCCGCTAGGGCGTCCCAGTGCAGGAGCTTACTGAGCTTGGCGTCTGGTGCATTGAAGTTGTGAACAAGGAAGCTGATTATGCCTGCCCAGTCAGCCTCGGTGAGGCGTCTCGTGGGGAAGGTTTGGAAGAAATTGTGTAGTGGCGGTGTCGTCGGGCGTGATAATTGATTATTGGTTTCGGCGGGCGAGGATATCTTTATGGATGCGGTTTGTTGGGCTGGTGCTTGTGCTTGAGTAATCCCGCCAATTATTCGCGGTTTTGAGGTTGTTAAACAACGTTGCCATGAGGGACCTGTGGCCGTGTTTGTCGACGGCGTTTACGTCCACCCCCTCCTAGCAGAGGAGCTCCATGTCCGAGGCCGGAGCCGCCTTGGTTGCGAGAATATGAATTGGCGTTGCACCCGAGCTCGTCCATGAAATCTGCTCACTGGCGGATCAACATTCTTTTCAGGTCGTGAGAGATGTTATACGCGAGCGAAGTCCGCAAGGGCGTGGTTCACCAGGGAACATGTCCAGGTTATAGGGCCAAACTGGATGGAACGCTGATCATGTATGTCTGAGATTATCAAGAGTGCCGACACTTTGAATGTTGTTCCACAAGATCTAATATGGCTAATTTATTAGAGGCCGTGACAAGTTGACCTTTAAGATCGTTCTGGCCGTCTATGCAAGCTTACCTTTCTCTTTTCCATATAATCAACAAAGCAAGCAACTATTACTTCATTTCAAACAGAATCTCGAACTTTTCAGGTTGGCGCCTCGCTGAACCGGGCAGATTTCTCTGTAGGTTCCAGATGTGACCGCATCGGGTGACGATACAAAGCCGCATTTTGGTCATGGTGTTGACCTAGTTGCCAGTTAATGGTGAGAACACAGAAGAAATCCAGGTGCGCTGCCCTGTTCGTGGAGCCAATGGTAGTGGCCGAGTAGAACAGTGACATATAGGCCCAGAACAAGGGCGCGTCCAGATCCTCGATAACCCGACTGCCGCTACAGACTTGCGACTTGTCGAAGTGCCATGCCCAGATGCTCAGTATTTGGAGTATAACGTTGCCTAGGTCTCCCAGCCAGCAGTCAATCTATATCGAAAGAACACCAGAGAAACCAAACTTGAACGTAGAAAAATAACTCCATAGGCTCTACTCGTGCCTTGAAGGAACAATATCGTAGCTCATGTCGTATTGCTGTAATATGGAGAATCCACTTACACGACTGTACTGCTGAAAGCAAAACCAGTGGCACTACTCGTTATTGCCATCTAGTTATTAGCTTAAAATTTTTTAAATCAAACAGTATCTAATAGTTCATGTCAATCTAGAATTTGCAATGCCCATGTTCGAAATCGTTGTAAGAGAAGTACCGTAATATCCCGAATTTGTATAAGCATTATTCCGTGTAAACGAGGAGATGAGTGCATCAAGCAAGGCGCGGGGCAAACAAGCATAAAGCTGCCAACCGGCCGTCTAAATGACGAACATCAAAACCAACCATCGCGACTTCGACTTTGGCATCACACTCTGTGTAAACCGTCGTCAACTACTTAACTTGAAGTACATTGGAAAGACATAACACGATCGAAGTCAAGTTGCAGTCATGTCGAGTTCCGATTTGGGCAAGAGCAAGCATGGCATCCCCGACGTGGTGATGGAGCACATCGACAGATACGTCGACTCGCTTGCGCCTCAGATTCAGCCGCAGATTGCCACCGAAATTGACACCTTCCAGCAGAAGACCATCGACAGTCTTGACGACCAGATTGTCAACGCCTTCCGTTCGCTCTTCAACAAAGGTAACGATGGAAAATCTTCCGGAGGTGCTTCGAGATCTCTGGACGCTTCGGCCCCGGACTCGTACGGTACCGAGTCACTTCCCTTTGCTGATGAGATTGCTGCTTTTACTCGTTCGCTCTCCAAAGCAACTGACGGATTTGATGATGATCTCCGGGGGATTTTTGACTTGACTGAGGGGGGTGGGGAATCTGATCGAGGCAGAGAACTGGGCGATTCGTCTCACCATGGCGCCATAGGGTTTCTTTCAGCGGCCCTTGAAGCCGTTACAGAACACACAAGGCCCGGATCTGGAGGAAAGGGCGGCCAGCAAGTCTCACTGGACGGACTTTTAGGTGTACTGAGCAGTAGGGTGAAGGAAGCCTCCCGCAACCCCGAGGAAAAGGCTCGGGTCATCAGTCCAGAGATCAAGGAAAAAGTAGGCGTCATTCTACGCAAGCAACATGCCCCCCTTGCCGAACAGTTCACTCGGATCGCTCTGGACCATATAAAGCGATGGCTTCGCGGAAACACCTCCACCCGCGATTTGGGCGATGGTCTCAAGGGCGAGATTTCGGATCTGGTCTCCGGCATTGCTGGAATGTTCAGCCACAAGAGCAAATCCGACGACAATACGCGAGAAATAGATCGCGACGAGAACGAGGAAACTGGAAATAAGGGCATTTCGGGAATGATCAGCAACAAATTGAGCACAGGTCTGGCCAAAGTCCACCGAGAAGTCCGGCTCGAGTTCCGTACCATTTTGGGCGGCATCGAGAAGAGTCTTTTCGAATCACTTCCCGACGACGTCCAAGGCCCCTTGGAAAAGGTGCTTGGTGGGAACCCGTTCGACTCGTCCCTCAACAGCTCTGCGCAAGCGGGCTCTCGAGGATTTGGTGATGACATCAAAAGCCAGCTGGTCGACAAAATCCGCCGCCTTGTCCGCAAGGTCCAAGAAACTCTCCGCGAAAGCATTCTCTCCATGGTCAACGGTGGACATCGTAAGTTCGAGCGTGCTAGTTGGTTGTTTGTCCAGGACAAGGTGGAATTGAAGGTGCGCAAGTATCTGCCTGATGTCAGGATCCGAGTGCCCGACGATGTTGGAAACGAGGGCGTGAGTGTCGGCGCACCACAGACGAATATGAACTTGCCACCGTCAGGTGGATCCTCCCAATAGTTTGGTGGCCAATCCCCGAGTCAATCTCCATACCCCAGCGGCCCTCCTGGTCATGGTTCTCAACCGGCTTATGGTGCTCCTGCGTATGCTTCTCAACCATCGCCATCACAGAGGTATTCCCAGTATTCAGCGGCGGACCCTAGTGCTTCACAGCATGACCAATCCTACAAACCGGGTTAGTATCAGGACCAGAGCCAACATTACGACCAGGGTCAAAACTACAGTCAGGGTCAGCCGTACAACCCAAGTCACGACTACAACCCCAACCAGCAGTACGGGCAGAATCCACACTACGGCTAACATGAACCCTCCAACCCCCATTTGTGGTGTCGTGTTGGTATTCTATCGTCGTCCGCGGATCGAGTACATTGTAGTATAGGCGTTCTTTGGTAGAGGCCAAGTCATATCTCCGTAGTAGCCAAATTTTGACCATGCCTCTGGCAAAAACATACCGTTTTAGTAAACAAATTTCTCTCCCCATACCAGAAAGGGCCAGTATCTGTTTGTGCAAAATACGTGTGGGAGAATAGTGGCGATTCATCGAGGTAACGGGACGTGAGACTTCAAATACCTGATATAATTGTCAGAGATAAGGTAAAGCGAACAGTCTGGACTCTTCTCACATGTGCTTAGGAATCTCTCTCATTATGTATAGATCCGTCAGACCTACGTGATATTGATTTGGACAAGACCTATGCAATCGTTTGGACTCGTCCCTAACCTATACCTAAGTGTAATGCCAATGGGCATGAGGTATAGTCGAACTTATTTGCGAGATGCGGAGCCAAGTGAAATGTTGGAGAATTTCCCATTGATATCTGATTTTGCCCGCTACATCAAAACTCACGCCTCCATAGCCATTGGCGTGGGCATTGTCATGTCATATCGTACGGCGTCGATAGCAACTCTTCGAGAATGGCCTGAAAGCCACGATGGCGTCGCTCTGAACGGGTATGCCCGTAGCTCTGTCTGCCGCATAGTCTAGTGCGGCTCCGAGTGAGGCATTTATGGGCTTGGCCGGTCCCATCCACTTGGGCTCTCGCCTAAGTTTAAGTCTTGGGCCTAATTGCTTCAGCTTATCTCTTCAGAGAACCCACCGTGGGATTGATCCGTGTTTGGTAGCAGCGAGGAAACTGCACGTCGAATCGATTGGGCTAAAACTAATGAAATGTCAAGTCTTCAAACGCTGCGAAGTACTCCAGTTTGGAAAGCCCAAGGTATCGCGAGCTAGGAAAGTTGTGCAAACAGCAAGATCCCCAGACGGAAGAGATGGTCAACGACTCCAACAGATTGGCTCAATCAGTTCACGTCATCATTCGGCACTGCCGGGTCTAGAATGTGGCCTGGAAGGACACGCAAAATGCGCCGCCAGTGAATGGCTGACGGGGCTTGCTGCTTTCTTGGCGTCTTAGTTGGCGCTATTTGTGTCTGACGGCATTGGCCATCTCACAGCTATTGTACCAAGGCCTTCAGTAGAGCGAAATCTCAAGGCCATGGCAATGCCCAAGTTTGTATGTATGAGTTGACAAGACATGGCTGGAGCCGAAGACCTGGCAGTACGTAGATGGTTCTTTGCTGGGCAGCCGTCTAAGGACCAATAGTATTTCCTGCCACGGCATGGACCAATCGAGAACATCCCATTGATACGGGATCAGAGGAGATATATAGCATTGGAATGACTTCTCTGTTGTCTGCCTCTACATCCAAGTTGAGTCACAGGAAGTTGTCGCCTGCAAACACTGAAGTTATCATGATGATTTTCTATCTTCTTCTTACCATAATTCCATCACTTTCCTTCGGCAGAACTATTGTGATACCTAGATATCAGAGCGGCGTAATATACGATGCCATAATAGTCGGCGGCGGCCCCGCAGGCCTCAGTGCCCTGAGCGGACTCGCCCGCGTGCGCCGGAACGTTCTCCTCATCGATTCTGGCGAATACCGCAATGGCGAGACAAGACACGTCCACGACGTAATTGGCTCCGATGGTACTGCAACCCTTCCAAAAGCCCCTTTTCACCAACCGTCCTCCTAAACTAATTCATCCCAGGCGTCACACCCGCCTACTTCCGCTACCGCGCCCGTGAGCAAATCTCGCACTACGACACCGTCTCCATGACTAACGGCACCGTGACAAAAATCACCGTCTCCAAAGACAACACCTTTACCGTGACCACCAATCTCTCCAGTAGCACAGAAACCATCCAAGCCAGCAAAATAGTTCTTGCAACCGGGCTAATGGACCTTCTCCCTTCCACCCCAGGTCTCAAGGAAAACTGGGGTGAAGGCATATTCTGGTGTCCCTTCTGCGATGGACACGAGCACGCCGACCAATCCCTCGGCATCCTAGGCAGTCTGGAAAAAATCGTCGGCTCCGTCCCCGCCATGCTGGAGTTAAACACGGATATCATGCTCTTCGTCAACGGGACTGACGTCCCCTCCGTCCAGGCCGCCGCGAACAAGGCGAATCCCGACTACGCCAAATTCCTAAGAATGCGCAACGTAACCATCGAAAACCGCACCATTGCCGCCATTATCCGGATGCAGAACGGCGGGGCGCATGAGGGCGTCGATCCGAGTCTGCCCAGTTGGCCAGAGCACGATTTATTTCGGGTTGACTTTACGGAAGGTCCGTCGGTAGAACGCGCGGCGTTTTTGGCCAAGTTTGGAAACAGGCAGAGGTCGACGCTGGGGCAGGACATGGGAGTTTGGCTATATGGGGGGAGACTGGCGGCCGATAATGCGAAAGGGTTGGTGACGAATATTCCGGGAGTTTATGCGGTGGGGGATGCAAATTCAGATAATTCGACGAATGTGCCACATGCGTTGTATACGGGGAAGAGGGCGGCGGTTAATATTCATGGTAAGTTGATTCTGATGGATGAGACAGGTGGGAGTATGAGCTAATGTGACCGTAGATGCCTTGGCGACTGAGTTTTATGAAAAACAGTTGGGCGTCGATGTTCCTGAAAAGGCGAAGAGGAGCTTGAGGCTAGACCTGAGGGCTGTTTGGCAGGAGATGAATGGGTGTGCTGAGGATAATATACTATACGCTGGGGATTACGACCAGTAATGTGTCCAGCTTACTACGAGGTCTTGAGCTACATTGATCGGCCAAAATGAGACTTAGTACAGTAAAAATTCTTACATTATTCAATTGCCTAGACATTGAAACACCCGTATTCAAGTCACAAATAGGAAGCTTTTGACAGTAACGCAGAGCACTTCTGCCCCTTTTCAGTCGGAGTAGGCAAAGCTATGCTCCAGCCCCTACTAGCATATGCCAATCCCATACACTAGATTATATGTGATTCTAGCATGCGGTCTTTCAATAACCCACTTAGTATTTCCAGTGTCTCGGATTAGATTATGTTTCCAATCTGTCCAAGTTGAAGACTACGGGGCAATTTAAACCACAAGAGCTACCGCGAGTTTGCCCACAACAGTTCATGCTGGTATATAGCAGATTCCATGTTTTGTTTTGTTTTGTGTTTGTGCTTTTTCTTACTCGCCTTCTCCGTCGTTAAAGAAACACTCCTCCACCAACTCCCTTCCTTGGAATCCGTCCTTATCCTTGACCAGCAATAGTTGACAGGCGACTCACTCCCCACAAACACGTACGCATCATATAATGTTGATACGTGACCCCATGGGGGGTTACCCTATAGCTATAGATAAGATAGATAAGAGCTATAAAAGAGCTCTGCCAGGCCAGAATAGCTGACCTGGCCATTGACGTGGGGTTAGGGTTGTTGGGTGCTCGTTTTCGTTTTTTCCGGTTTCAGACGAGTTATGTAAGCGCGTTCTTGAAGGGTATTTAAGACGTTATGTACATAGTCACTCTCTTGAGAAAAAGATAGGAATTCAAGCGGCCTTTTCCACAGTAATCTGAACCAATTTCTCTTTACTTGGAGGCATTCAATGTCTGACGTACCTGTTGAGGTACTTTCTGTTGCCCCTATAGATCTGATTGTGCCTGTTGAGGCCATTGTTCCCGCCTTTCACCTGTTGGGGTGATTGATAAAGGACCTGTTGAGGCTCCTTTCCTTCTCCAGCCTGCTGAGGCTCCAGTTGTTCGTACCTGTTGAGGTACTTGTTGTTCTGATCAGGGCAAGAGCTCTTGATCTTGTTATTTCTTTCCACCTCCCGGATAGTAAGGTCTTGCTGAGGATCTTGTTGTCCGTTGCCATCATCTTACACCTTAAACCTGCGGGGGGTTTCACTGCCCGTCGTCACCATCCTTTCCCAATACAACAATTCACACCCCATATGCACTCGCATCACCACTTAGCGACAGTACGGCGATCATAAGTACTGCTCCAGAAAGGAACTGACTAGAAAGACTAACGAACAGTACCGCGAGATTTTTACCTCATATTTTACGTTAAGGAGCGCGTTGGCTGATAACTCGCCAAACTTAGAAACGACGGGAACTCGCTTTCCGTGGTGCTCACGGGGCCGGAATAGATAGAGCAGCCCTTAACCTCTTAAAAATGGCTCGTTAACGGCTGTGAAAATCCCCTCTGGGCTGTCTATAAGTCGCTAAGCGAATGTTGAATAGTATTGCTTGGTATAGAGCTATATCTTCGAGTTTTCAGTAACTCTCTCGCAGCGGATGAACTTTTCGACTAATTGTTCACGTTCTCTTTCCAAGTTTAGGTCTTGTTGATAATTCCACGTTAATATGCGACCGTGCCGTATAGGGGTGAGGTATAACGTAAAGGGGGTAGAGCTATGTGCCAGCTCTTACGTAGTTAAGCTGCTAGGGGCACTTGCGTCTCCGTACGCACTCTCAACTTCGCAGCTGTTGTGTAACGAAACCTCTAATAGTCTAGCTGCGTAAAGCACTAAAGAGTCTGTAAGGGTTTGTGCTAGTAAGTAAGTCCTGCTGCGGAGTCCTCAAGCAATAATATCGGGGTCTGACGTATGGAGTATAGGGCTCTGGGTAACTGAAGTGATGCGAGTGCATATGGGGTGTGAATTGTTGTATCGGAAAAGGATGGCCAGGTCAGCTATTCTGGCCTGGCAGAGCTCTTTTATAGCTCTTATCTATCTTATCTCTAGCTATAGGGCAACCCCCCATGGGGTCACGTATCATGAAGTATTCGAGTAGGGTAACTGGGAATAGAGTCGTCAAGGCAGTTTGCCTCACCAATGGGTTAGATTGATGCTTAGATTGATCACTGAAGTAGAGACTGTCTATCTATGAAATGCCTGGGAGTCCTGTCCCTTATATATCCATCTCTCCTTCACTGATCTCGTTGGATCACTTGGATCACGTCGCTCCTGGTGATCCCAAGTAGGGGATCACTCTGCCAAGCGTGATCCCTATCACGTGACCTCTTCCTTTAGTCGGGGGCCTAGTTGTTCCTTTCCGTCCTTGTGGGGCTTTGTTCCTGCGGGGTTCCGTCATGGCCTATTGTAGGGCCTGTCGGGTTGGTTTTGGCCAGGTTAGAGCCAACGGTTCGTAACACTAACATAGTATTGTGGTGGACGTAACGCAGTAGCTAATAGAGCGAACCTACGTAGCAGCGTATGTATTTAGTCCAGCCATTAGGGCACGGTTTGACATACGGGAGCACTTGTAGAGGTACCGGGGGCTTCTGTAACGAGGCAGAGGCACATAGGTACGAATCAAGGTTGCATATCAGTGCATCTCTATTGTTGAATACTAAACTAGAGAAGAAAGAGAAGGAAAGGGTTACAAGTATGTCTGGCCGTTCTCCTATTATAAGGGGAACGCGCTCGTCCAGATCAGGGCAGGCCATGTCAGGATGTCCCTGCTTATCGTCCATGTGTCAGTCGTCACAGCTTCGAGCCTACGGCGTATTTAATGATAATAATAATATATTCTATATTTATACCATCCTAGAACATTTGAGTTTCTTTTCCGCCTGATTCTAAATAGTAAATTCAAAATTCATTAAAAACCGTCCTGGAGGCTCGCAAAAAGAATCTTAACATTACTCTAGACATAATATCTATATATAAGTTGCGGCACTTCCGCTGTATTTTAGGAGTTTTCTGCTCATCAAAGCATAGGACTCGATGCGAGTGCATATGTGTGAATTGTTGTATTGGGAAAGGTTGGCTACGTCAGATATTCTGGCTTAGCAGAGCTATTGCAGCTCTTATTTGCTATATAATTATCTTATCTATGGCTACAGGGTAAGCCCCCTTGGGGTCACGTATCAGGACTCTTGTAAGATACCAGAAGGGTTCTGCAGGACACATTAAAGATTCGAGATCGTCGAAGAACGCAAAGCAATTCAAATCTCTCTCTTACCTGCGACCTACCCTCTGGGCATCTTGAATCCACTTTGTTACTGGAGGACCTGTATTATTGTCTAGATAATAATACAACAAAACTAACTCCAAGCACGGCGCCCCTCGACTTCGGGTACGCCTACCTCGCGTCAATCGAGTACGGGATCCGCAACCTACTCGAGAAGCCGGCTAATGCGACGTTAGACCTGGACCAGGACACATGCACGACTTGACAGCGCCATCATTCTGTGCAACCAGGGCCTCTAGTGCAACAGCCCGCTGGTGCACCGTGTCGCCGATGACGTGTGGGAGCTCAAGGAGGACTGCAATGAGCTGGGCGCTGACAAGTGGCACACACACGGCATCGTTTGGAACACGGGCGATACCTATGACATAAGCGTCGAGGTCAAGGCAGCCAAGTGCTATATTTAGCCGTATTTGTAGTGTAAGCAGGACGTGTATAACGAAGTGGAAGTATATATGTATATACTCTAGCGCCTGAGCCTTTGGGGTGAGCAAACGCAGATACATTGTTACGACACTCTGTATTAGCTCTGTTGCGTAGCTATTTCCAGTCGACCTGTTTCTCGCTATATTGCAATGTTCTCCTTTGCCATTGGCACGGCATCCTTTCCAAATGTGCCAAACTTGTAATTGCTGTATCTGCCGTAATCCTCCAAAACTGGATTCGACACCTCGATAGCCCAGTCTCCGCGCACGAGCATATCATCGCGAAACTCAGTCAAGAGTTTCTTGAGCTCCTCCACCTTGGACTGCGTATCTCGAACCCGGGTGAGGGTTCGCCCGAACTTGAGTGCGTCAGTGAAGGCGCAGACACCAGCCTCGCCACGGACTTGGAAATGATTAGTAGACTTTCACAGTAAATTAACTAGACCAATTCAAGACTTACAGGGTGTCATGGAATGCGCTGCATCCCCAATTACCATGACCTTGCCAGCAGGCAGCTGGTCGGCTGTCAGCTGCACCCCTTGGAGCTGGAATCCAGGGCTTCTGTATCCCCCGACGGGGACCTTGTCCACAAGCACGCGAAGGTGGTCGGGGTACGCCTGGGTCTTCTCGCGAGCAAATGCAGCCAGCTCCTCCTGTGACGCCCCGACCGTCCAGGTGGGATTATCGTCGGTAGTGTTGGGGGCTTGCTTGTCAACCCAGAGAAGGATGAAGTAGTAGTACCCAGTCTTCCCATCGTCACTGACCTTGTTCAAGGCGGCGAAGACGGCGCTCTGATCATCACTGCCCAGGGTAGAGTTCATGACGATGTAGCCCGAGTGGGCCAGGGTGAGCTGGTGCGCAAAGTCGTCGCCGCTGAGCTCGACCTCGCCCACGAGCGAGCCGAGCGCGAGAGGCTTCATGACGTCCTGGCCGCGCAGAATGTGGTTCCGAACCACGCTGCGTGTCCCTTCGGCGCCCACCAGTATGTCACCGGACTCTGAGGTGCCGTCGGCAAAGTGCACGGTGACTTGGTCATCGTCCTCGTCGACTCTCACTAGTCGCTTTCCGAGCTGCACGTTGATGCCCTGGAGCAGCCAATCCCTCAGCCTCTGCCGGTTGGCACGCACTATCTTGCCGCTGTCGTCGCTGATGACGCCAAGTCGTTGCTCGGGTCTCGTGATGTCGTAGAAGACAAATTGGGCCGGGAGACCTAGAGGGAGCAGATGACTTGTCTTGTCAACGGGTCCCAACTCGCCCAGAGGCATCGAGGCTTCCAGGTCCGCGAGGGCTGGGCCGAACAATGACAGGGCCCAGCCCTGAGTCCGGGAGTCAGTGGTCGGGTCACGCTCAAAGATGGAAAAGGAGATGTTGTTCTTCCGGAGCTGATGGGCAAGCGTGAGACCACTCATGCCAGCACCTATGATGAGAATGTGGGGGTAGGGTTTGGTAGCCATGTCGCGCCGAGAGTGCTCTTTTGTTTAGGTGTGAGATGCGCAATGAGCTGGGCCTCAGCCTAATTTATCAAGATATGATGTGATTATTTTTTACGAAATATTCTGAAAGCTTTTGAGTCAAGAGATAAATGCTGGCCAGGCAAGGTCATGCAGTAATGGTGAATGGCTACATCAGGATTTGCATTTGCCATAGCCCGTGATCTTCAGAACAATACTGGCGGTGTGTAGTTCATGGTAAGATTCCGAGGACCGCGCGGTATGCTCAGGGACTTAGTAAGAGACGTAAGGAATTTCTGGTTTCATAGATCTTTGGAGAAAAGATACACAACCTGTAAGTGCAAAACGCGCTTAGCCTGTCTCTAGTAGGAGCTGGTGATGGTGTAACAGGAATTGGGCACCCATCATACCCTATACGCCGCGATCTAGACCTCCGGGTTCGGGAAATGTTTACAAATCAATACCAACTTTAAGCTGCTTCATCTCTCAATACCCATACACCTTCACGCCTCGCCGTGCTGGTCTGTCATTTTTTCGATGAAATATAATACACTGAGGGATCCGACGTGCAGCAGCTGGGGCGAGATGCAAAGCTTTCAATGGAAATAAGAGGCCGTGAGTACGATAGACGCGTTGCTATGCTGTAGTCTGATCCGTGGTTCTTACACCACTTATCACTAGTACTTTATGCAGTCAGCGCGCCCTTCCGGATGCATCGGGATTACATGCAAACCTCAGCGCGGAATAAGCCTGGCGGTGGTAAGTAAAGCAGAATAAACTAAACATGCCATGCTACTGTGAGGACCGAATATCTCTCCGAAGTTGCCTTCGCAAAGTCTTTCAATGTTAAGCGTCTCTGAGCGGAAGCTACCCAGAAGACCTACCCTAGCACGCCTCATATGCATTTGCTGACGCTCTGTGAGACTGCACTACGTGCACCCACCCAGGCTTCAAAAGCCTGACTAGTGTGAGATGCCTGTAAACGAGGCAAATTATCCCTTAAGCCTCAAAAGACAATGGTACTAAACTTCCCTTATTCGGCCATATGTGCTAACAACAACGCCGATCACTACACAACCCACGCTATATACACCACTTACCCGTGCCACGCCCCACCCGTAATAGTCGCTTTCCCCCCTATAGCGTGAGCCACCAGCATTTCATATAGACTATGCACGGCTCGGTACGATGAACCAATTAATCACTCAAGCTCTACCATGTGCCACCTCCTTTTCGCACACCCCCAATTTTCGCAGTGGCCACCAAAGAAATGACCAGAACTGCACCATACCATAACTAATTGAACAAAATAGCGATCAACGATTGGTCAGTATAATTATGTAGCTAATTGAATAAATCATCAATATGTGTTGGTCATTTTAACAATACGACCACTTCTGATGACAATTTGCTGGATAACTAACCCCTCCTCTTCTGATTCTTACGGTTCACATTGCTCAACTGGCTCTTCGGCCAATTCTTCAACATCGCTAACAATTGGCTCGTAAACTGGCTTCATCCTTGTTCAACAAGCGGAAGGATCTCAGGTCACTATGCAACGCATTGGTTACTTGAATAAACCGCCTGTAGGTCAAGAAGAACTAAAGCATGACGTTGTCGTCGACGCACATGATCTAGAGTCACATGGGGCGGTTTTGTATACAACTAGGCCTCATTGAGATAGCCCCCGGCGCTCCCAATGTAGAGTAAATATGTCACGTCAAACTTTCATTTGTTAATCTCTCGGTGGTGTCACTTCAGTTTGGCTGCGCGAAAAGTAGGGGTGTGCGAAAAAGGGGGGTGTGCGAAAATGGAGTAACCCATGGTAGCTACGGTTTCAAGATGCGGGATGTTTCTCACGTTCTCGGCATAATTCGTTTCGAAATACTAAGTTTGAAGTTCACAGGGGAGAGCATGTCTCCAGGTGCCTAGCTGCATCTTTTGTTCTTGGGCCATCCACGAGCTTCGCTGGACACTGCCATTCGTAGTTGGCCATGAGAAAGTGCTATATTGGTCTATTCGAGGAATGGGAGGCAATAATCTAGGGGCTTCAGTAGCCCTCAAGCCAGTGCTATACCAAGGATACCATGGCAAAGCTCGCGATTATACATGATGCGTTCCTTGACCACCAAGCCGACATCGCCGAAGATCTCGTTCCACTCCTTCATGGTCCGCTCCCGACTACCACAAGCGCCCAGCATGACCATGTCTAGTGAGGCCGGAAACGCGGGTACTCCTGCCTCCGGCAATATCATGTCGTTGATCAGAATTACAGAATGCGCCGTCATGGCCGATCTGATCTGGCGTAGTATTTGCTTTGACTTCTCGTCGTTCCAGTTGTGAAGGACCCAACCGAGATGATAGAACTTGGCATCTTGAAAGCCATCAGCACGTAGTCCCAACATATTCAAGCAGTCTTTTGCAGGGAGCTGCAATTAAATTTAAACATTCACTCACTTTTCAGAGGCTGGGGCGTAAAGAAATCGTGTGCAACAGCCTCGACACCCGGGGTCGGCATGGCATGGGCAAGGGTATCGGGCAAATCCTGCAACACGACACGGCCAGGCACTTCAGGAAAACGCTCCTTGAACTGGGCACAGTAGTGTCCGATATTGCCGCCGATGTCGACGAAGACGGGCAGCTTGGGATCCCAGCCCTGCGTGTCGCGCTCGATGGGATACTCATCCAGCCATCGACCCCTGACCGTCTGCTCCATGGCCATGTACTTGATGAGAGCACTCCTGTGCTCGGGATTGTGGGAGAACCACGTGTACGTGTCTAAGTCGGTCTTGTACGCGGGCTGAAAGACGGTGGCCTTTCCGTCGGTGACGTCCTGGTAGTTGTTGTTGCGCAGGAAGGCGGGCATTTCCTGGAACAGAGGACAGCAATTTTCAAAGCTATGCAAATCCATCATCGTCTGATCATTAATGGCTTGAGTTATGAGGGGTATATCAACTTACAAGTGCGTCAAGATGGTGATTGCCTCTGGCATCGCAAGATTTTGGCATTTTTTGTTGGCCTCAAACCGGTTGATGGCGGCCTCACGGATGAGTCCCACCGAAGCCATGTATCTCAGCAGGCGTCCTGATAAGCACATAGTAATCAGTACGGTCCCCTGGAAAGTCTCGTCTCCGTGGATACTAGACGCACCGAGGGTGATAGGATGAGCATTCGTGATGTCCTGTAGCTCTTGGAGGCTCTTGGGTCCCGAGTTCGCCAAGGTCTGGAATATCTTCAGGTCCTGACCAATCCTTGCAGCTGAAGTTTGCAAGGGCTATGAAGAGTGGTCAGCGGTGATGAGGAGACGCATGTAGGAATAATTGTGTTCACATAAAGCGAACTGCGGCAAATCAGTAAGACTGTTTGTGTTGGGGTATTGGAAGGGAGTTTTTCATTTACATGCGTGTAGCAGTTTCCTCAGGCGTCTCGATAGAGATAATAATCTCGTGTAACTGGCCCAGTAAGGCTTTCCGGGAAGGGCCCTCTGCTGACGCCAAAAGCTGCTTCACATCTTGGAGAGGATTCGACATGTTGTTCTAGTTAATGATGGTCAGATGCTATGGAGAAAGGGAGTGGCACCGCGCTCTTCCAAATTATGTTGAAGGAAGTTCCTGAGACTATGAGTTGCTTAACATAAGTCTGCTTCATGTGAGCAAAGCCTGAGGTCCTAGACTTGCCGAAGAAAGGATTCGCGTCACAAGGATATACTTCCTGACATTTGATCCAACGCGGCAATGAAAATCCCGCATCATTGCTTACAGTGAGTGGTTCCGATGAGTACTACGGTGGCGTTCATGGTGGGTCCACGGTGTCGTCCGCGATACCTATAGGACGCGATGACTTCAGGCTGTATTAATGAGATGACATCAAGTTCTTAGAAGGATTCGAATTATGTGTTAGCCGTATATGTCTTGTCCAACTGGATTTGTATGCCGCATTCAAGTAAAACTGATACACAAAAGCTCCTTATCGGTCAGCTTACTCAAATTCAGGTCCGTTACTTCAAAACGTCATTGCATAATATTGGATCGAACTCCGAGTTGAAGCCCGCGCGGTACTATGAGCGAAGGACCTGAGAAATGGCGATTGTTTCCGCGTTAAGGCTGGGTCTCTCGGGTCTATTCAGCTCCATAGATTTTAATAACACTGCAGGCTAGAGTTATATAAGAAGCAATAGGATATGGAGCAAGGCTAAGAATAATTGCCTATCGGTGCCAACCACGAAAGGTGTGCTTAATGATGGTACCCTGACTACCTTATTCCGGGGGTATACTATGGCTTTGAGAACTATATTTGTCTTTTGAGTCCGACTGGATGTGCAGTGAGCGAGGGAACACTACAATCTAATAAACGCCATTGATGATACAGGTTATTATTCTGGCAAACCTCACCCCCCACCAACCCTCTTTCGTTGAGAATACCTACCGCCGATAGAGGGCTTGAATTGTAAGTCAGTAAGCGCGAATCAACTAAATCTGACTCAGTCTCCCGTTCTGCATGTGGGACTAGTACCATGTAATGCTCTGGAAGCCGAAAGGCGCTCTTTGCCATAGGGAGATCGTCGATGCAGTTCTGGATTAGCAATCTATGTACCTAAGGTACGTAACATGCGCCGCCGAAGTTTTGCTTGAAAGGGTGTCCAGGATCATGGATCAAGCCGAGGCCAGGGGCTTCTACAAAACAGATATAGGCACATGAGTGCATAATCAACGCTCATGTAAATATTGTCCATAAAGACTTCAAAATAAACATAAATCTGTCATCCCTACTGTGTGTTCATCACAGTGTTAAACTCTCAGAAAATAACAAAACCGCTTTTGCTTACCTAACTAACATGACACGGGCAAAGGTTCTCTACTTTTCAGGTGAGATCCCCCAGGGAGACCCAGAGGGCGACCAACGGGATTTGTTCAGAAAGTTACACCTCCTCAGCAATGAGAAGAACCACCCCATCCTAGCTTCTTTCCTTACCTCGGTCACCTCAGCATTGAGAGAGGAATGCACCCGGCTGAGTCGGACCCAGAGGGATCTGATACCCACCTTTGAGAGCGTCCTCGACTTGACTGATCATGTCTTCCAACTGAGGAAGTCACCGCTCGGCGGAGCCATTGAGCGGGTGTTGGTCCTCGTATTTCAGTTGGGCAGCTTCATTGCGTAGGTACCCTCAAGCATACACAAAGGTCTCCAGACGAAGATGACTTACCAATTCATTGAAGATACCACGAAGTTTATCCGCTTGAGTACAATTTCCAAGCGTCGAATGCGTCTCTCATTGCAAGAGGTCCGGGCCTGCTCTCGGCGGCAGCCATTGGGCTTTCACCCAGCGTGACCATGATCCCAAGCATCGCCGAGGACATCACCAGGGTCGCGTTCCGATTTGGACTGATCGTCGATCAGGTTTGCCGGTCGCTAGAAGTCTCGCCAGATGAGATTAATGCCGACGGTGCCTGGATATACTGCTCATATGGAGTCGACGACAAGGAAGCTACCCAAGCAGTTGCTCGTTTCAATGCGGAGAAGGTAAGTCAAGACGCATCCTTACAATGATGATATTCTAACACACACGTCTCCCTAGGCATACCCTGAGACAAGCATGGCGGCAGTGTTCAACGTCGACGGCAAGTCCGTCAGCATCGGCGGCCCGCCGTCGACTCTCCGAGCCCTCTTCTCCGAGTCTGACTTCTTCCGGCACACGAGAAACGTGCCGATGAAGAAGGTCCAGGGAATGTGGCACCAGGGCACAATTTACGGCACAGAGCATGTGCAGCAGATCGTGCCCAAGATCGATCAAGCACACCAGCTGCATCTCCCTTTATTCTCCCCTGTCACCGGGCAACCGCTTGAGCCCACAAACGCCACGTCGCTGCTCAAGCAAATCATGGAGGAGATGCTGACGCAGATAATTCGCTGGGACAAGACCATTGACGGCATCACCCAGTTATTGAGCCAGCAGTCGCCCGAATCCACCCACCTGATCTCCATCCAGCCGTCACACTACGTTGAGAGCCTCCTCGACCACTGGCGAGTCGAGATTCCCACCGCAACACACTCGACCCAAGACATGATGACGGCAGTCATGAACCTCCCGCTCGGGACGAGCCAGCCCCGGGACGCCAGGTCGTCCAAGATTGCCGTCGTGGGCATGGCGTGTCGGTTTCCGGGAGGTTCCGACGACACGGAAAAGTTCTGGGCATTGTTGGCGCAGGGGCGAGACGTCCACAGTCACATCCCGCCCGATCGGTTCAACATCGAGACCCACGTCGACCCGACGGGCAAAAGGCCCAACACGTCTGGAACGTCCTACGGCTGCTTCGTGGACAATCCGGGCCTGTTCGACGCCATGTTCTTCGGCATGTCGCCGCGAGAGGTCGAGCAAACAGACCCAATGCATCGCCTTGCCCTGGTGACAGCCTACGAGGCTCTTGAGAGCTCGGGCTACGTGCATCGCCGGGGTATACATGCGCGGCGTGTCGGCACATTCTACGGACATGCCAGCGACGACTATCGTGAGGTCAACTCGGGACAAGACGTGGGCACTTATTTCATTCCCGGGGGGTGTCGAGCTTTTGCCCCCGGCCGCATTAACTACTTCTTCAAATTCTGGGGACCGAGTTTCAGCGTCGATACGGCCTGCTCATCCAGCTTGGCGGCGATACAAGCCGCGTGCACCTCGCTATGGAGTGGGGATGTCGACATGGCTATCACCGGCGGTCTCAACATCCTCACAAACTCGGATGTGTACGCTGGGCTGAGCAACGGCCACTTCCTGTCCCCCACCGGAAACTGCAAAACGTGGGATGAGGGAGCGGATGGCTACTGCCGTGCAGATGGCGTCGGTAGCGTGGTTCTGAAGCGGCTGGAGGACGCCGAGGCCGACAACGACAACATTCTTGGCGTGGTTCTGTCTGCGGCCACGGATCATTCGGCCGAGGCCGTGTCCATTACACATCCACACGATGTGGCGCAGGCGCATCTGTACAACCAGGTCGTGAGACGTGCTGGAATTAGTCCCCTTGCTGTCGGCTATGTCGAAATGCATGGCACGGGAACTCAGGCAGGCGATGGCACCGAGATGAGATCGGTCACGAGCGTCTTTGCTCCCAGCGCTGACCAGGGCCACGTCCGACCACGGGACAAGCCTCTCCATATTGGAACTGTCAAATCCAATGTGGGCCACGGGGAGGCAGCTGCTGGCATCATGGCCTTTGTCAAGACCATGCTAGTCCTCCAGAAAGGCATCATACCTCCTCACGTTGGGGTTAAGACGCGGCTCAATCCAGCTTTGCCGCGGGATCTGGACAAGAGAAACGTGCTCATTCCATTCACGGCCGCTTCCTGGGCACCGGACAAGAACCGGACGAGGCTGGCCATGGTGAACAACTTTGGAGCCGCAGGCGGAAACACGTCCATCATCGTGCAAGAGGCGACGCCGCGGCCGAGGAAGGGCGAGGACACGCGACAGACACAGGTCCTCACCATCTCGGCAAAGACGGCCTTTTCCCTCCACGAAAATATCAAACGTCTCGTGGACTACATGGAAGCACGAGAGGATATCTCCATCGCGGACTTGGCATATACGCTGTCAGGCCGGAGGAATCACTATAACTACCGCGTCTCCGTTCTAGCTTCCTCGCGGGTTGAAGCTATCGACGTACTTCGACCTCACCTTGTAACATCGCTGGACCAGGCGCCACATTTCGGGAAGCAAGCCCCCGTGGTGTTTGCCTTCACGGGACAGGGCACGTTCTATATTGGCATTGGCGCACAATTGTATCGAGATTCTCCCCTGTTCCGCCAGCAGCTCGACCAACTCGACAGTCTGGCACGACGACAGAACTTCGTCTCGTTCCTGTCCATTATCATGGGGACCTGCCGTCCTGAAGATGTCTCGACTGTTTCCATGCATCTGGCAATAGTGTGCGTGGAGATTGCTCTGGCACGACTATGGACGTCACTTGGTGTCAAGCCAAGCGTCGTCCTAGGCCACAGCCTGGGAGAATACGCTGCACTGGCTGTGGCCGGGGTTCTGTCCGATAGCACTGCCGTGTTCCTCGTCGGCACACGTGCCATGCTGCTGACTTCTACGTGTACATCCAACACTCACGGGATGTTGTCAGTCCGAACATCCGTGGCAAATGTCGCGCAAGCGGCAGGCGACGTTCCGTTTGAGGTTGCCTGTATCAACGGACCCAATGAAACAGTTGTCGGCGGCAAGCTCGCAGACATTGCTGCCCTTTCAGACGCTCTGGCCCTAGCTGGCCACAGGAGCGTGAAACTGGATGTCGCACACGCCTACCACACCAGCCAGATGGATGCTCTCCTGGACGAATTCGTTACGCAGACGCAGGCGGTGGTTTGCAAGAAGCCTAGCATTCCCATCATTTCACCTCGGCACGCCGGTGTGCTGAACCAGAATGACGTGGTCGATGTATCATATCTGGCTGCTGCGACGCGAGAAACCGTGGATTTCGCCGGCGCGCTCAAGGCTGCGTGGGAGTCTGGCATCGTGTCCAACCCCACCATCTGGCTCGAGGTGGGACACCATCCCACCTGCACTGGTTTCATAACCCGGACGCTGCCCTCGACCCGACTGGTAGTCTCGAGTCTGCACCGAGATAGCGACAACTGGACGAACCTGGCCAAGACTCTCAGTGCCCTGTACAGTGCCGGCATGGATGTTGACTGGAACGAATACCACCGGCCCTTCGAGCTGGCCGGAGCGCTCCGACTAGTCGACGCCCCAACTTACGCATGGAACAATAAGAATTACTGGATCCAATACCGTGGAGACTGGAATCTAACCAAGGGAAGATCCGCACCTGAGCCTGAACCCACACTGGGCGCAAATCGGTTCCAAACGTCTAGCATCCACCGGCTTATATCAGAAGAATACAGCCGGTCCAAGGCAAAGCTGTCGGCCGAAACCAGTATTACCGACCCGTCACTCGAGGGCGTGGTAGATGGACATGCCATGAATGGCTATGGAGTTGCTTCTTCTGTAAGTTCATTCTGAAAATCTCTGAAACGTCACCAAAATCTTCGAACGGGCATTGTTCTAACACCACATATGCAGTTCCTCCACGCTGACATGGCATTCACACTAGCAAGCCGGATCATCTCCCAAATGCTACCAGGCTCGGCCTCTCTCGGCATCAATATCGCTGATTTTGAGTACCACGAGCCCGTCGTCAAGCTCCAAAGAACGAGCGACGCCCAGCCCATCCTAGTCGCCGCCGAGGCCGACCTGGACAAGATGGAAGTGCAAGTCAAGTGGTTTAACCCTGCCAAGGAGCTGTGGTACTGCCACGCCACCGTCCTCTACGAGGAACCCTCGTCCTGGCTATCCACGTGGGCGCGCAACGTAAAGCTGGTGTCGAGTCGCATAGACGCGCTCAATGATATGGCGGCCGCCGGAAGGGCCAGCAAGCTGACGACGGACCTCGCTTACAGTCTCTTCGGGAAGCTTGTCGGCTACAGCAAGCTGTACCAGACGATGCAGTCGGTGATCCTCAACGAGGACGAGGCTGTGGCCGAGGTGGTGTTTCCCGCCGACGCCAGCGGGGCCTGGACCGTGCCGCCGCACTTCATCGACGGCCTCGTTTCGCTGTCGGGCTTCATCCTCAACGGCGGCACTCACTTCGACAACACCAACAACTTCTTCATCACGCCGAGCTGGAAGTCGATGCGCTTCGCCAGACCGCTGGCGGCCGGCGGCCGGTACTTGGCCTATGTGCGCATGGTGCCTGTTGACGGCCACTCATACGCCGGCGACGTGTCAACCGCTTCTTCAGAGCTCCTGATGCAAGCAGTGCTCTGGCGAAAACAACAGCAGCAGCGGTCCCAGCGACCGCTGCGAAACCCGAATTTCTCGCACCAAAACGTCCCGCCGCGCCTGATTTCACGCCGCCCAGCCCGGGAAGCTCCTCACTCGTTGTAGTTTCGTGCGGCGGTCAGGACTCGCAGACGACTGGAGAATCCACGCCTTACTCCGAGCAGGACTCGCGAGGCTTGCCTGCAGCAGCATCAGCATCAGCATCAGACGACATCACGTCCCGCGCCCTTGTCCTGATCGCCGAGGAACTCGCTGTCGATATCGGGCTGCTCGTGGATGAGGCCAAGATCACAGACCTGGGGCTAGACTCACTCATGTCCCTTGTCATGTCCCAGAGACTTCGGGAGGAACTGGGCATCGAGATCAGGGATGCCTTCTTTTTGGAAGTGGCCACCATCAAAGACTTGAAGAAATTGCTTCATTGATTTAGGCAAAAGCCGTGGTCCTCTGCTACCACCCTGAGGTGGTACAATCGATTGGTTGGCTTGCCTGCCTGGAATATTCGTACTTCAACAATGCATTTGCCTTTGTGTTGGCCTTTGAAGGAATGCGAGAGGGCTTTGCGAAAAGCGTCTTCGACATGCTCGCATCCTGTTACTGACCAAAAGTTCCAACGCATATATGACAAATTAGGAAAATCAGAGATTTCAATACAAACAGTTCAACCTGTGCTTTCAATGGCCATTTGCTGCACCCTGGCCACCTATCTGACAGAAAGCTGACGGAACGCCCTGGCAGTATTTCGAATCACCTGCCGATTTTGACTGCGCAAAAGATACTTGAGCTGAATAGATGCTGATGACCTAGCTCATCCTCCTGTTTGACCTCTGACTTGACCTTCTCTCAAAACCTTTTGGGTGTATTTAGTCTCATACTTGGTAGCTGTTCATAATCGAGCTACGCACGCCTCTTATGGCTGTTCAAGGTCTGATTATACGTCTTTACTACATAGCTATGTTTCTTAAAGTGGAAAAACATCTCCCTCCTCTGTCCAGCTGAATTACTCGGGTTCAATACCACTCTACCCCGATGCAACATCCCCAAACCGATACTGTGCCCAACTCAAACTCAACTCAGGAAAAGTCCAAATTCGTTCGCCAAGGTCCGAGCCTGCAGCACCCGCACAGATATGGATCGGAAGAATATGCTCCAAGGTCGGGTGCGCCTTTCTGGCGTCAGTGCGCCTCATCAATGCCGTCATCTTAGCTCGACGCTCGTCTGGCTTTGCGGTGGCAGCCTCTTTCAGTGCCTCGTCAAAGGTGAAGACGTAACTGGACAAGCATAAGCAGAGAATAACAATCGACTCGTTATTTCCCAGCCGGGGCAGGATATACTTACGGCTGTGTCTGGCCGGTTGCCCTTGTGGCCCGAAAATCACGAAGATTGTGAACAGCCATTTCCGCGCCGATGATGAGAACGCCTTCATCTCGCAGGCTCTCCAGTGCCTGCCCCATACGATAATGTTGATCGTGGTCTTCGTTGTTGAACAGCGAAACTTGTACGATTGGTACATTCAATGGGTTCTTTTTGGGGTCAAAAGCTGTTTGCACAGTCAGTGTATCAGAAACAAAACGCTGAGAATATGACACGACCAAGATACATGGGAAATACACTTACCAACCATGAAACCCGCCCAGACGCCGTGGTCAAGGCCTCGCTTGACTTTCTCAAACTCAATGCCGACAGCCGCAAGCTTCTCGATGACCCTTTCGGCAACAGCGGGGCTTCCCTTGTTCGGATAGTCGTATTCGTAGTAGTGCGGCGGGAAGCCGTAGAAATCATAGATGAGATCCGTCTTCTCGGCGACATTGATCCCGATCTTGCTCGGGCCTTCTTGCCAGTGGGCGGAAAAGACGACCACGGCCTTGGGTTTGACTTTTGTCGTGATCTCGCGCCCGACTTCACCCAGTTTCGCATAGGCGGGGTGATCCGTGGCTTCCATGAAGTTGGGCCCGCCGATGCCGAGGAAGTAGACGGGCATCCGCGAGGGATTGTTTGGAGAGGATGAATTAGACATGATGCCTGCAGATTTCGTGTACGGCTGGGCAGCCCGGTAGACGAGCGGGATGGAAAGGCACCCAAGGAGAACGGCAAAGTATATGTACCTTGAACGGATAACTGGACGTTGAGATAGCGGCACCGTGTACATGGCGCGCATTACTTCGTATTTACAGCTTTGCTTTGATCTCCTCGCCTATTGGAAACTTGGAAGGACCAACCGGGGTCTTGGGGATGCAGCCTTATCAATGGCTGCAATCATTTGGGCACGTACGAGCTGATAAACCCATGGCCAAACGTACAGAGGAAGCTGGGATCCCAGAAAAATGTCGAAATGGAGGTTCGGGGCGAATCGTTGGGGCCTGTGTTCGATATTCGCGAAAAGCAACGTCTTGCAGATAGGAAGCCATTCCCACGCGCGGCCGAATTCAACTACATGTAGGAAAAGCGGTAGAGGGTTTCTCTGCATGTGCTCAGGCTTGAATATTGGCCACCCAGAAACGCCCGTTCCCTCGTACAGGAACGCCGCTTCCACACATGTCTCCCCTTTCCGTTCCAAAGTTGTCCGTTGCAAAGTTGTACATTGATTGCGTGAGCAACTGTGACGTTGATCGTATCCAATCCAAGTGCCACCGGGCCCCGCGCGGCGCCTGGCCTGTGTACCATCTGCAGGGTGAGGGCTCATTGCGCGCGGTGTAAGCGCGTTGTAAGCTGCATAATTGCCGGGCTCATCGCGCGCGGCCTGGGGTGCAGGGGGGGTTGGTGATCGTCGCGCGCTGGTCTTGTGGGTCCTAATAGACTATTGACCAGTTTCTGGCAATTAAGCCGCATATACTGATTGGTCGTTGATCGATGCGATGCTATTGTGCAGGTGCAAACAAAGAGTTCGATTACAAATCCACGAAGAATGCTGGTAGGACCAAAAGTCTGGTGAATGGGTAATTGTAGACTCCGCTTATATATTAATATTTGACCCCGAGCCTTCCGGAGGCTTCACTCGGTATAAATAGAAAGGTATCTTCGGCTCCAAGATGCCTTCTTCCAACATATTCCATTCCATAGCTCATTGCATCTGTGGTCCCAAACCCAAACAGTCCAAGTCCACATCTGCCATTGAACCCAATATCACACGCACAATGGCCCCTATCGTACTAATCCTCGGAGCTGGGCCCAGAACTGGCGCCTCGGTCGCTGACAAGTTCGCCAGCAGTGGCTACAAAGTTGCTGTGGTGTCACGGAGCGGGACCGGCTCCAAGAACGACAAAGGATACCTCGCCCTCAAGGCGGACTTCACCAAGCCCGACTCGATCCCAGCCCTGTTCGATACAGTCAACAGCGAGCTCGGCAGCGCTCCCAGCGTCGTCATCTACAACGCTTCAGCACTGTCGCCTCCTCCCGATAAGGAGTCCGTCCTTTCCATCTCGGCCGACAGCGTTGTATCGGACTTAAACGTCAACGTCGTCAGCCCTTACGTCGCCGCCCAGCAGGCTGTCAAGGCCTGGGAGACGCTGCCCGCTGATACAAAGAAGACATTCATCTACACGGGCAACATTTTGAACCAAGCCGTCATCCCCGTGCCGCTGATGCAGAACTTGGGCATCGGCAAGTCGGCCTCGGCCTACTGGGTCGGCCTTGCCGACACCACGTACGCGGCCAAGGGCTTCCGGTAAGTATTTCCAATGTTTTTTGAAACAAAAAACAAGCGCCGCACACCCTGTTTGTTTCTAATATGTCCGGCTCGCCCCAGGTTCTTCTATGCCGATGAGCGCCACGCAGACGGCAAGCTCAAGGGGATGGCGCTCGACGGCCCCGCTCATGGCGATTTCTACCCGCAGTTGGCCAGCCATCCGGAGAATGTGCCGTGGCAGGCCACTTTCGTGAAGGACAAGGGCTATGTCTCATTCAAGTAAACTTTCCAGCTTGGAACTGTAATCTGGGATGAAAGAGTGCGCAATTATTAGCAAAGCATTGAATACAAATTCAATGCCATTTGTTGGATTGTGGGCAAATGGTCTTGTATTGAATGTGTCATGATCTCTAGAGAGTCCTGAATGAAGTGAACGGCGGCCATAAGGGCCTTATATAGACAGTAATGACTGATGCCCGTCCCACAGGCAGGCCTTGTGTGGTTCGATGGGTGGTGGTCATATTGGCCCATAACGTACGGTGCGTGGCCATATGTCCCTCCAAGACTAGCAGTCTTGATGTAGTAGCCTTGAAGGTCCAACATCATTCGCAAGGATTCATCTGTAAAATCCCAATATCATGTCTAATAGACCGTAAATACAACAGAGGTGTTTTCTCATTTGCCCTCCAGAAGAGGTGTCTTCCCAAGTTTTGTTCTACACGAGACGTGCCCGAACCCCGTCCCCCCCAACTTCCACATGCCACATGTCTTGCCTTCTAGACAAGCAACACCAGATCCCCTTGGCTCCTAAAGCACGTAGCGAGGTCGTGACTCGCAAGGTCTCCTCCAGCGTCCCGGCTTCGCCACACTTTCTCCATGATCTCAAGCGCCTTGCGTGCCGTGCCGAAGACGCTGGGCGGCTGTAGAACCTCTACTATGGCACGTAAATGGGCTTCCTGCGCCGGTTCCGCAAGGCAGCCCGCCACGCAGAAGGGCCACACCATTGTCCGCAGCAACGCCGGCGGCGATATCTGACGCGTCAGCAGCTCGATGATGCGAGAAACGTGGTAACGGATGTCGGCGCTTGCGGGCTGCCATCCGGACACGACTACGAATAGATAGACGAGCGCTGCATGAGCCCAGACGCGGGTGACCAAGGACCTCTGGCTGGCGGGTGTTCCTGGATCGTCGCTGCCAGCTGTGAAGACATCCAGCAGGCTGCTGCCCTTGTTGTTACCAGCACCGCTCAGAACGACTGGATCAGTCTCAAGCCGCGTGAGATGGATTTCCAATGAGTCCTTGATGGCCGTGGCGCGGCGGACCAGCTCCATAACGTCGAGATTCCCGGCCCCTTTGCATCTCTGCTTCCATGCGTCCAGCACGGCGATGTCGGCGATCTGCAGCAATACCCAATTTTGACACCCTACGACAGCCTCGAGATTGATGGGGGGCTCGTAGATGCTGTCGACAGTACCCAGAAGACTGCGATAATAATCGTAGAGCCTGGGTTGCTCCTGTAGTACCGTGCTGGCAATAATGTCATCAAAGATCAAAAGCGCGGACGAGAAGCGGAAGGCGGCCTGCTCAGCGCTCGGGACTTCGATATCCTGACCAGACAGAATCCACGACGATGGCCCTAGGCGACAGAGAACGTCATTGAAGTTCGTATTGAAACTGGTCGTAAGTCCGACAGCGCCAGTACTGCCGCTGTCGAGGAGTTGTCGGAAAAGGGCCAGCGCTGCGTTGAGGTGCGCCTGGCAGTTGTTGAAGCTCAGAACGGCAATCTCGAACCGTTGCACTTGCATGATGCCCGCCATGATGCGCACGGCGCCGTGCAGATGCTCGGTGATGTTGCCCGAGCCGTCGATGACCTGCAGCGACTGCCTCAGTATCCCAAAGGCGCCCCGGGTCTGCGCGAGAACCGCCTCCCAGTTGGCCATTCCCTGCGCCAGAGAGAAGAAGTACGAGCTCTGGCATAGCGTGGCCTGGCGCACTACTGGGCTGCTGATCATCATCTCCAAGACCCATGCCCGTCCGCCTTGGTGGAGGAGGGAGGGCTGGTAGAACGGAAACAAGAAGGGGAACAAGTGTTGGAGATAGAACGTGAGGAGGATAGTGTCAGACCTGCCGAAGGCTATGCTCTCGCGCGCCTGCTTAAGCTTGCAATCAGCCCCGCGCTGCGGGAGCTTGATAGTAGCGGATGTGACTTTGAAGCCGGGGCTCGGCTCAATTTCCACTTGTATCACATCGTTGTGGATGTCGTTGTCCGGGTTTGCCATGGATAGATCGGCTTCCGTCTCTAAGCCACGGTCGCCAGAGTCTTGGACCGCGCGCTCCCCTCGTCGGCGGGGGGCCTTTTCCTTCACCTCGCGCTTGAGCCGCTCGGCCATCTCCTCCTGTCGGGCGCCGCCATCCATCCACTCCGGCTTCGCCTTGTCAAAGTAGCAGGTGATGTGGAGTGCGAGACAGACATGACATGTGGGGTGATTCTCATCGCACTTTTTGCGCCGGAGTCGGCAGGTCCAACAGCCATTGGAGATCTTCATGTGACGAGGACGATAATAGTAGTCCATACTCATGATATTACGCAACACGACTGCCAAATAGTAAGAATAAATTAGGGTCTCTAGAGTTGCTCAAGGCGGATCGTTTCATCCTGTAGCCTCGCCGGACACGCGGGATGTACGGACGTAGGTCGTACAACCTGCGGTGTCTTTTTTCACCTATGATTATATAAGCAAGGCCGTAAGCAGACTTAACGCCGAGTTTAGATTACCTTCAAGTTCGACGTACAATTTAAATTACTTATATACTCCACCATTGCCCAGAAGACGATGACGAACCCAGCCCATCCCAGACGACTCGTACAAGCAGTAATTAATCTGAACTGTATCGATGTTTTTAGAACAGCACTCCAGTATTGTGTCGTCACTGGATGCGAAAGGATGCTTCGGTTGTTATTAGACGCCGGCGCGGATCCGAATTAAACAGGAGATGAGGATTACGAGAGCCCATGGCCGCTGTTCTGCGAGAGCATCTGTCCAATCGACCTAGCACATTGGTTCCTGAAGGACGAAGCTAGTATGGTTTCACGGGTCCAGTACTATGAGCCACTCGCGACGGATATGCTGAAAGTTATCTACAGTTTCCGACACACACAGCGGCAGGTTTTGTTGGAATACGGTGCAATATCACAAGGAGTTGAAGAGGATGAAGAGATTTTCTTAGCTAAGGATAGCTGAGAATGCAAACATAGGCGAAAATTGCGAGCAGAGTCTCTAAAGTGCGAAAATGATCGAACAGATTAATAAGAACTCTTAGCGGGCACTTGAGCCGAACAAAATTTCTTGAAGGATGCATAGGTCGGTATTGCGGCAAAAGTCGCATGCCAAATAGCAGTATGATTATCCCAACTAATCAAGAGCAAGAACAGTGGTAGTTGCTGTTTTTTAATGAACTTGGGTGGAAAATATGGCTGGCCTGTTGTATATGTATATCCATGCTTGTACTTAGGTGACAATTGATGAAATTGAAAAGACTGGAATCCAGGCTTTGTGATCAGACCTAGGGAGTAAATGGGCTCCATACTACCCATGGTTCAAACACCTTATCCCACAACTTAAAAATCAGATGCCATCAACCGAAATCTCCTCCTCCTACCACTTCGACGGCTTCCCTTGGTCAAACCAGTTCTTCTCCGCCTCACTCTTCCATGGCGGGGCATACAGCCTATTGAACTTCCAAAGTGCCCGAGGGTTAGGTACTGTCTTTATGCAATTCCCAATCGTACCCCTTATCCGTCGTATACGGTTCACAGTCTACTTTGGCGCACCAATTTGAACATCATTGATATGAACAACCCGATGGTCACTGGAGAAGTGAATAAACGGACTTGTGCATTGCTCTTGGTCGAGGATATCGGCCTCGAGGAGCTCCCCACCGTGCTAGATGTCGCTTCCTGAAAGGCTGTGGAAGTAGACACTCACATAGAAGGCTGGCAGTCCACCATTGGTATATAGAGCCGTGATGTCTTTGTCCAGGGATGCCTTTTTGGTGGCGTCTGTGAGAACAGTGTTGGGGTGCAAGACTTGCCAAACGGGCATTTTGAAGTTTTGACGGGGTGTACTAAATGGTCTATATTTCTTAATGCTTTGTCGATGCTTTTATTGTCTCTTTCGTTGCTGATGTGTTCGGCAGCATCCTTCTTACATTCACACGAGGCCATTCTAGTCAGAGGCAACGTAGACCTTCGCTCAGCCGGATAAATTCTAGCCTAACGGATTTTTCTTCGTTGACGTTAACATGCTGGGAAAGTAAACTAACCGCCGACTTGTTCGTGGATACTACAAGTGCGGACAGTGACTGGGAAGCACTCAATTCTTGCATCGGCATGGGAATTCATGATCACAAAACCTTTCTGTCATCAGAGCTAAAACATCGAGTGGGCGTTCGATACGCCAAGTGCTTAGTCTTTCAATGTTAATCAACACGGCTCGTAACCCCGATAAAGGTGTAAGCCAGAAACGAGCAGCAACCTCATGAGCATCGACCCTCACGTCCAACCTTAATGAAGGGCACATGCGCGCCCTTTCGTAGTTCAACATGCCGATCCCGGCGCTACATGTTCTCTCAACCAAATATCCTGTTATCCTTAAACACCTGCTGCTCGAATCATCAAGTCAACAGAGGTCAGCTCTTGTCGGAGAGGGTGAAGATCGTCGATATTCTCCGCACGCGGGGCATAAGTTCACATTTACCTCCTTCGAACCTCGCTTCCTAGGAACTAATACATCCAACTTGACCTGAAGAACGACTTCATGACTCTTCTACTAAGTCAAATTGGATATAATTTACCATGACTCGAAATGGAAATTTCTCCCTATCAGAGATCGGCGAGCAAGAGCCCCAAAACATTGAACAAGATGCACACAATCTCGACGAAGCCGTCTCAAGGCAGTGGGGATCCAATCGAAAGAGAGCATGCGTTCTCTTGGGCTCAGCGATACTGCAGATGCCCATCTGGGGTACATGATCCCCACCATGCTAATCAATACACTTCTACTTACTTACTGATACACAGACTTTGCCATGAGTTACGGCGTCTTCCAAGAATACTACTTTGATAACTGGACGCTGCAAGGTGGCCGCGAAGTAACCGGTATCATCGGGACGACCACGAATGGCGTCATGTACCTATCCATGCCCTTGCTCTTCGCGCTATTCACCAGACGATGGGCTCACAGACGTAGGATGGCGGCTCTATGCGGGGCTGCGCTGACATGCATCAGCTTCGTCCTTTCATCCTTCAGTACCCATGTGTGGCACTTGGTGGCAACACAAGGTGTCATGGCAGCGCTGGGGTGTGCGCTAATCTACAGTCCAACGACACTATCGCTTGGCGAATGGTTCAAGACGAGCAATCGAGCCGTAACATACGGCGTCTCCCTGTCGTGCAAGAATATCGTCGGATCAGCTTGTCCGTTCCTAGTCCGCGTGCTTCTCAACCGCTACGGCTTCCGCACCACTTTGCAAGTCTGGGCCGCCATCGCAACCGGCACCAGCATCCCCGCCATCTTTCTAATACCCACTCACCCCTCCAGCATCCTCCTGTCCACAAGCACCCACCGAGCCCGCAAGAACCCTTGGGAGTTCCTCAAACATCAGAGCTTCTACATCTACAGCACGGCTATTATCTTGCAAAGCTGCGGCTACGGCATACCACAGACCTACCTTAACCAGTACGCCCACGACGTCACTCTCCTCTCTCAAACGTCGGCCACCCTCTTACTCACCGTCTTCAACATCCCTGGCATCGCATCCAGTTCCTTCTTCGGCTATCTTAGCGACAACAAGCACTTCCCCCTCTCCGCCACGACCGTGACCGCCATCTCAGCCGTCAGCTCGGCCCTCTCCGCTTTTCTGATCTGGGGCCTCACGTCGCAGGGCAGCATGGCATTGCTGGTGTTGTTCTCCATTACCTTTGGTTTCTTCGCCGGCGGATACAGCGCCACGTGGGGAGGGGTCATTAATGAGCTTGAACGTGAAGCTTCGCAAAGGAATGAGGCGATTGATACGGGGATGGTGTATGGCCTGTTGAATGGTGCTAGAGGGGTTGGGTATGTGAGTGGAGGGTTGGCGGGCGTGCCGTTGCTGAAGTCGGGGAGTAGGGCGGCAATTGGTGGGTTTGGGTATGCGACGACTTATGGGCCGCTTATTATTTTCACGGGGCTCTCGTCTGTGTTTGGGGGTTGGGGCATAGTGTGGAAGTGGATGGGGTTGCTGCATTTGGTGTGATAGCGCCGTTCTGTGTATGCATTCTGGCTCGTTCGCCGCATCAGAGACGCGCTACTGTTTGGTATGGAAGTCCACAGAGGCTATGAACGCGGAAGACGATGACGCATGCGATCAATTCACAAATCCGCAACATCCTTTCCTGTAGGTTCTCTCTGTGATCTGACATTTGGTGTACCAACAGAGTAGACAATCCATAGGCTCCATAAGTTTAGGGACCTCTATGATCACCACACAACTTCATCGTCCTACAAAGCTAGCATATCGGACTCAAGTTAGACCGGATTTGTCGAAGACTTTGTACCATAGAGAGGTATTGCCGATTTGCTCTCAGGACTAATGCAGCACCTGCGGTCGCTTCCTGTACCAATGCACCGGTTCACATCAGTTTGGTTTTCCTTTCCTAGACTGGAAATTGTTTCTCATAACAAGACCATTCGGCTCAGAGCTTTTCGCAGTTCGCCACATTTACATCATTGATGTCCCCATGACCGTCATCGGTTCCTCCTCATCCCTTATTCTGATTACTCGACAACTGTTTCACCATATGCTGCACTTCCATTCCTTCGGGCCACAACTCCGGCCCGGGCAGCGTATAATTCGTCATATACGACCAAAACTCCGGAATCAGCACCCCAGGTTCGGTGTCATTATACACCCCCGGAATCCTTACCAGCGGCCCCAACACTCCCTTCCCGTCCCCGGTGACCCGAATCTGTGCACACCCAACATAAAACTGCGCACAATCCAGCTTATGGGCCGCATGCAACGCCAAACCCTCTGCGCGTAGCAAATATTCCCCGGCCGGCGTCTCAGCCGGCAGCGTAAATCGGAACGAATGCACATTATGCGTAGCCCAGACCAAGCCCTGCGGCCCCAGCGTGGTATTTGCTTGTGTAGTGGCGGCGTATATCTTGACCCATTCACCTGAGCCATCGTAATCTGCTGCGGTGAGGCCGGCGGGCACGGGGGAAAGGTAGACTTGTTGCGGGCCGGGGTGACCGAAGGTAGAGGCTATGCCGAAACCGACCTCGGAGCCCGCGGCGACGTGGTACGTGGATGTGTTTGTGGTGATGCCCGAGGAGGCCCCAGAGTTGCACCGCATGTCGGTTGAGTTTACGAGCACGAGGGGGCTGTTGGAGTTGTTGGTGCGGCGGATGTACTGGTAGGGGGAGCCGATGGGGGTGTCGTTTACGATGAGGGTGTCATAATTCCAGTGGGCTAGGACTGGGACTGTGATGGTCGCGAGGAGGGTAGGGAGAGACAGGAGTTTCTTCATCTTGATGACGTTCATGGAAGCGCTGTGGTGGTCTGAGTGTTCAATACGAGCGTTCAGTCCTAGTCTTCGTATTACTTACAAGTAGCTAAGGACGAACAACTGCGTTTATATCCACCAGAAGCTTTTCGGGTAGAGAGCCTAGACTGTAAAAACAAACGAGAGATCTGCGTCTTGCATACTCGGAAGCTACCAATATAAAAGTTTGATCCCATTTGGGAAGTCAACTCACCGAGTAATTAGGGTAAATGCAGGGACCGACCATTTGTTGGGTTCGTGGCGAGTAGTTGGGCACATTTGCCGGCAACTTTTGGAACCACAGTTGACCGGTTCAACGATATCATTGTCAATGTCACATTTCACAGTGAACTCCGGTCGCCAAATCTAATTACAGGAGAACGCATGGTGGTGGACCACAGATCCAACGAAGAAGTGGTCGTAGGATTATGCACTATTGAATTTAAGAGGCTGCTAGCCTGCCGTTGAAGCAACCTATGGATAACATTTGCTAATGGTTCGGACATGTTAAAACTACCAAGCTATGGTCCATGTTCAAAAAAAAAAAAAAAAAAAGGCTTCCTCATCGCTTGACTTCGTTTCGTTTCCCTATGCACTTCATCCTAATAGCATGGCTTCTGCTTGAAGAACTTCTTTCTGCTTTTGGAGTCTTTACGATTGCTTTCTCAATAACGTAGTCCACGGTCCAATTGCACACTTCGGCAGATTTTCGTACGCTACCACTTTGACCTGCGGTTTTTCACCACATAACTATGTTTGGTTCTTGGAATGAAAGTGATATGATTCTAGCATTACATGCGCTTCAATCTGATCCAAAATTAAGTGTACGTCGCGCTGGCCAGATCTATAACGTACCTTTTAGAACCCTTGCGTATCGACGCGACGGTAAAACCGCTCGAGCGATTACGCGATCGCCAACGCAAAAGTCGACTCCTTCCGAAGAAGAGGCAATCGTACGACATATAACCGACCTAGATTCGCGAGCATTTCCTCCCCAATTGAGTGGTGTTGAAGATATGGCCAACCGATTACTTCGAAGTCGCGACGCGGGACGCGTCGGCGTCAACTGGGCCTCGAGCTTCGTAAGACGACAACCAGACAGGTGGGAAGGTACGGCCAAGTACAGGGCTACAAAACCCCGCCCCAAAACCAGAAGTAACCATCATAAAGGAAGAAACAAAAACATCTTTTTTTGGCCTTCATATAAATCTCAGACCTCCGGACGCGTTTAAATCGAAGGATCGAATATCAGAGAGTCCTCTGCGAAATACGCGATCCAGGAGGAGGATATCTACAACTTCGACGAGACCGGTTTTGTGATGGGCCAAATCTCGTCCGAAATGGTCGTGACGACTTCTGATCGGCGCGGAAGGCCTAGAGCAGCCCAGAAAGGAAATCGGGAATGGGTTACAGTTATTCAAGGTGTTGGGTCGTCCGATTATGCCCTCCCTCCGTACATCATTTTCGCCGGCAAAACCCACCTCTCGTCATGGTACGAAAACAGCCCATTATCGCCTGATTGGGTTATCGCAGTTACTCAAAATGGCTGGACTACGAACGAGAGGTGAATATTGGATAAAGCACTTCGATCATCACACCAAGTCTCGTACGAAAGGTACTCATCGCCTATTGATCCTCGACGGTCACGAAAGCCATCACTCGACCGATTTCGAGGTATATTGCAAAGCTAACAATATCGTCACGCTTTGTATGCCTCCTCATTCGTCGCATAAGCTCCAGCCTCTTGATGTTGGTTGTTTTCGCGGGTTAAAAAGAGCGTACGGAAAAGAAATCGAAGATCTCATGCGAGCACATATAAGTCATATCTCGAAAGAAGACTTTTTACCGGCGTTTTTAAACGCGTACAACGCAACTTTCACGGTTTCAAATATCCAAGGAGGTTTCCGAGGGGTAGGAATAGTTCCGTACGATGCAGATTATGTCATATCACAGCTCGATGTGAAATTATATACGCCAACACCTCCGGGTAGCTCGGCTGGTCTCCCCGTCCCTTGGGAATCAAAGACTCCGAACAACCCAACCGAAGCCCAATCACAAACCGATTATGTGAAAAATAGGATTGTACGACATCAAAATAGCTCACCAACGTCAATTTTTGCTGGAATAGATCGGATTGCGCGAGGTATAACGAAGGTTATGCATCGGCTTGCCCTTTTAGAAGGCGAGGTCGAATCACTTCGAAAGGCAAATGAGACCTTAAGTCGACGTCGCCGTGCGAAGAAAAAACAGCTACAGAGTGGAGGGTCACTTCGTATACAAGCTGGACAGGACCTACAGTCTCAACGAGAGGTTGATGGGCAGTTACATGACGAATTTCGTCAAATTGGTGGTGGAAATGATGTAGAGACGTCTGAAGATAACGATTCTGAGTAGTTTCAATTGATGATAGGCGTTGTGGTTGAATTAACTTATACATTGTCGTATAAGGTCTGCCAAAGTGTGCAATTGGACCGTGGACTACGTTAGAGGTTTGGAAGCTGCAAAATACCCCATCAAGAGAATCAAATCTGCTCTCCACCACCACCCCAGTCTGCCGTGCCGCTAAGATCTAACGGGAATAGTATCCGTTTCTCGGCGTTCGCGGGGAAGAGAATGGGTTTTAGGTATTCGTAACCACGTTGCTGAAACCTACATCCGCGATGGCCTCACTCATCTCTGCTCTTTTTGTCTTTTCGTTGCGTAAAGTTCTACCTCCAACCTCTCGTGTCTTAATTTCGCACTCCTCGCTATATTATTCCTCGTCGGGTTGTTCCTCATCCGTCGAAGTGCGCTTAACCTCGGTCTATTTCCCTTGACGTCACTTCTTCGGGCCCGAAGTCGTAATATCCATCAGGATTGATCATGTTGCCGATCCCCAATATGTTCGCCCGCACACTGGCTTGTACGAGCCATGGTGTTTCACGAAGGATAAGTGCTTACCGTGCTGAGGTGATACGGCACTCGTACTCCACAGCGACCGCGACGGACAAGCTTCCTTTGGCGGGGTACCGTGTGCTTGACATGACACGAGTTTTAGCTGGTGTAAGTTCATGGATAGCTGAGAGTCACCAAATGCCTCGTTCCGAGGGTGTATTTTTCGGACTTGGGAGGAGCCCTTCAACTGACACTGCTTCAGCCATATTGCACACAAATCTTGGGAGATCTGGGGTAAGCCAGAACATGTACCCCGTCAATTCCACAATAGCTAAGACCACTCAGCGCAGAAGTAATTAAGATAGAACATCCCACACGAGGCGATGACACGCGCGCCTGGGGTCCTCCATATGCGACGTACAACTCGGATTCGAAGCTCAATGGCCCCGGAGAATCAGCATACTTCTTCGCTGTAAACCGTAACAAGAAGTCTGTAGGCCTCTCATTCCAAGACCCAGAAGGCGTGGCCCTTCTGTACAAGCTTGCAGAGAAATGTGACATCCTCGTGGAAAACTACCTCCCGGGCTCGTTGAAGAAGTACGGCCTGGACTTTGAATCAATGCACAAACTCAACCCCAAGTTGATCTACGCGAGCATTACAGGCTACGGGCAAACCGGTCCTTACAGCAGCAGGGCCGGCTACGACGTGATGGTCGAGGCTGAATTTGGCCTGATGCACATTACGGGATCGCGCGACGGGCCTCCCGTCAAGGTCGGCGTGGCGGTCACGGACTTGACGACGGGGCTGTATACGAGTAATAGCATCATGGCCGCGCTGTTGGCCCGGGCGAAAACGGGGAAGGGGCAATGGATTGACGTCGCGTTGAGTGATTGCCAGACGGCGACCCTGGCCAATATTGCAAGTAGCTGTTTGGTTAGCGGGGAGAAGGATTCGGGGAGATGGGGCACGGCACATCGTAAGTTACCTGATCAACTTGTTTTCACATATTACTGTGGCCAAATGGCTGATGAAGGTAGCGTCGATCGTGCCTTATAAGTCATTCAAGACAAAGGATGGTGATGTCTTGCTTGGTGGGGGCAATGATCGTCTCTTCGGGATCCTGTGCGACGGCGTCGGTCGGCCAGACTGGAAGACGAACCCCAAATTCGCCATCAATGCGCAACGTGTGGCAAACCGTGTCGAGCTCGAGGATAAGATCGAGGCGCTCACCAGGCAGAAGACGACACAAGAGTGGCTGGATGTCTTTGAGGGTAAGGGCATGCCGTATGCGGCTGTCAACGACGTCCAGGAGACGCTGAACCACGAGCACACGAAAGCGCGGAATATGGTGGTTGAGATGGATCATACTGAGTGTGGTCCGATCAAGATGGTCAATCATCCGGTCAAGTACAGCGACAGCAAACCGAGCATTCGCAGTGTGCCGCCGACGTTGGGGCAGCACACAGACGAGGTCCTGGGTGGCGTCTTGGGGTTGGATCCTGCTCAAATTGAGACGCTCAAGCAGAAAGGCACCGTCAGGTAGTTTGTTGATATCGAGAAGGCGACGGGAGGCGGACGTCAAAACGGTAAAAGAGTGCCCTATTCCTGCCCCCAAGTTACATTCAAGTTGGGGCGCCGGTGATGTTGGCAAGGCGCCATTCTCGAACGGCATCTTGAATGTGTAAAGCTTACTAAGTTTACTCCTAAGATGCTCTAGTGTTTGTACGAAGAACAACCCATGACATGCCAATATTTGCAGTTGTTAGGTCCAAATTAGCTGCAGTGCCGTACTGCGCCCCTCCGTAGTTGGCAATCGACATGGACGGAACGGGGCGCTCGCAAATCCAGACAGCATGGGTATTTTATGCAGCGGAAACCTTTGCACCAGCAGCAATTCCACATAGTCCCGGGTCCCTTGCCCACCTGGGGTTACACTCAACTGAGCGCAGCGCCGGCTTTCGGTGAACTAGTCCCGCAATACGAATACATTGTCTGGGTGTGGTGTGGGAGACTGGTGATGCGAGCTGACAATATCCTAGTCATGTCTGCCTAGCCGCAGACAGTCCCAAATGCCATTTTCGTTCCGATACTACCACACTTGACGGAGTCTCGCAGGTGCCGCGAATGTTTTAATTGATGTTGCGCCAATAATAGCAACGCAACAGATCTTGGTGCTCACCCCAACTGCAGTTCGAGAGACAATGCAACTCGAGGTAGGCTCAACGAGTGGAATTGTCTGCAGCGTACGAGGTGGGGTAGTGAGATATTAAGCACGAAAAGAACCCACCTGTTCGTGATGAATGCTTTACGCTCTGCTCAAGTCTTCTTATTTTGGGTTGTTGTCCCAAGTTAACAATCATACCTGTAGTCTTGAATTCAATAGCATTGCCTGCCCCCCATAAACTATCATGGCGCCAGCAGTTGGCAGGAGGTACGATCTCTTTGCACCGCAAGACAAACGCACGCATGTCCTCCAAGCCAGGAATGAGATGGCCGTGCCATTGAATCCCTGGATGATGATCCTCATCATCATCGGTGTCTTCTTAGTGGTCATCCTCGTCGTCTTCGTCGCGCTGTACTTCGCAAGGAAACGGCGGCGCGCGCGAGAACTGGAAGCACAAGCAGACCCAATGGCAATCCGGCGAGAAGGCTTTCGACGACGGAAACCCAGCGCAGCCGATCAAGCAGAGGCAGAAGAGCTGGAGCGATCCGTCATGATCCGCAAGTCGCTAGCCAGTCGCGCATCATCATACAGCATCGGCAGCTCGCGCATCCTCAACAGCCCGCGGAATTCCCATCTACTTGATGATATCCCGGCGGAAGAAGCTGAAGGAGAAACGGGGGGACTCAACGAGGATTGGAAGGAGTGGGAGGCTCGGGTGAGGAAGCAGAGGACGAACTCGCTTGGACAAGGGCACCCAGCATTGTCGCCGCCATTGGAGCAGCTTGCAATACCTCAGCAATCTCGGGGTCCATCGCCGGCAACGATGGTGGCTCCGGGCAGGTCGTCACCGCGGTTGCCACTACCGCCGGCGCCACCGCAGTACGGACGACCTGCAGACGAATCGCCTGCTCACGCGCGCTGACTGGTTGGTTTTTTCCTGATTCATCATGTAACGGGAATTGGCGAGCTGCACCGGCTCATTCCAGGAACTAAGGGCGTTCTTTCTCGCTCAATAAGATCGCGCAATCACCAACGTAGCATTTCCTGCCGAAGTTTGTCCACAAGTACAAGTCGCTATAATAAGCACAACCATAGCTATAATGCTATAATCTAGCGGTTTCTTCTGTATTTAACCTCTCTATTCTTCCTAATTTGCTCCTAAATAAAAGTTACTTTGCTTCAAATAGCCTTAAGTTCTATAAATAGCTTCTTCCGACCCGTTTGTTGAGTAATATAAGTCTATTTAGAAATATACTTGCTTATTTTAGTGCTTATAGAAAACATTTAATAGTATAGAAGATAGTATTATAAAGCAACCTATAAACGAGCAGTGTTCTTAGTTAAATATATACTATTTGCGTTCTTTGTGTGCCGAAATATGTCATAACCGCGATATATTCTGGCTATCTAAAATTCTAGACAGGTGTTACGAATCTACGATTCTAACCAATGCAACAGGCCCGATGGCAGGCCCAGTGGATACAGGACAAAGAAGGAGGGGAAAGTCACACAGGAGTGGCTAGTGTCAGGGTACGGCTAGGCCGAAGGCAATAGTACAGAGTGATGGGGAGTAACGGGCGTCCCTCCTACGTAGCACCGGGTGGTCACTGGTGGTCTCAGGTAGGGGTGCCCACGATGATGCATTGATCTCTACTCCTTCCCTATCCTACTTCGAGATGGTCCTTATATAGATAGTGTCAGGTGCAAATAAGCCACAGTGGCTTGGCCTGGACAGGGGTCGGAAATGTATAACTAGGCTGCTGTGACCCTCTTCTTTTAGAGAGGGCAGCGATTAACTTGTCGTTATTGAGTCCCCTATACTACGCTATTGGTACCTACCTGGTGACTAGCAGCTTGTTTCGCTTGAGCACTCTCGTCCTTCACTTTGCACTTGAAATCCCGTGACAGATAGCTAGGCCGCCGCTTGGACTCGGCATAACAGCAGGGTCGGCGATGCCGAGGATCTTGACTCTCGTCATCCCAAAGCTTCACATAGATTGTAATCATGACTCGGGAGTCTTTTGTCCGAAACACCCCTCCGGCGGCCTACCGGTGTCCTGCGTTCAGTATCCTGACAGCTAGCTGCAGGAGGAGCCAGCTAGTGCAAGGATCACAAGTCACGTGACTTACAAGGGTGGATAATTTGGATATGAAATGATCCAACATATCCAAAGGATCATTCACGTTAAATTTCAATCAATCAATCAATCAATCAAAGGATCATTTGGATATGGAATGATCCAAAATATCCAGTTAGGACCAATAGTCTCCATGAAGGATCTAATGGCCCCAGTTATCAGTGAAGGAGGGAATGGATATATAAGGGACAGGACTCCCAGGCATTTCATAGATAGACAGTCTCTACTTCAGTGATCAATCTAAGCATCAATCTAACCCATTGGTGAGGCAAACTGCCTTGACGACTCTATTCCCAGTTACCCTACTCGAATACTTCAGTTACCCCAAAGCACTATACTCCATACGTCAGACCCCGATATTATTGCTAAAGGACTCCGTAGCAGGACGTACTTACTAGCACAAACCCTTACAGACTCTTTAGTGGTTTACGCAGCTAGACTATTAGAGGTTTCGTTACAACAGGCCTTTAGTTATCTTTTTACCCTAGCATTACCAACGGACTCAGTTGTATTTACTAAATCGAGTGGCTAAATACCTATACCGCGGTGTTCGAACCTTTGGTTCAACACAGCCTAACAGGTCCATTGGCAGACCTGCATCGAGTCTGCTACGAAAAGGAAGAACTATGTCCCGATCTGGATACGACAACTCTTACAAGACAACCCAGCTAGTATCAGAAGGAGCTGGACATTAGCCAGCACCCTATCTAACCCCTATCAAGCGTAAACGCAAGAGAAACTAGAAAGAACAACAGAAACGAAAGGAACGTTACGATCGGGATAAAGCAGAAAAGCGGGCAGCTCTGATATCGGAATTCGAGGTCATGTAATAGATCACGAGAAATCAATAATCCAAGGGTGAGACGAAGACTTATAATCCAAGCGTAAGCCTCACCAAGGGATCACTACACTAGAAACGATCTAGGAGTGATCCCGGAGAATCAGTAAAGGAGAGGATGGATATACAAGTGACAACGTCCCCAGGTATGTCTCTACTTCGGTGATCAAGCTAAGGATCAATCTAACCCATTAGTAATGCCTATCAATCCTTACCATCAGCTTCGACTTTATACATACAATTCGGTTTTCCATAGGCACCCAGCTCCGACAGACGCCTATTGCTCAGACAGCTCATAGCAGGACTTACCTGTTAACACAGACCCAGCTACCGTTCTACCCTCAAAGGTAGAGCAGTTGACACACGCGGAACCTAGCTATAGTTTTACGGACTATAAATTTTGACGACGGGCAGTGGGTGCCCGCAGGTTCAAGGTGAAGATGACGGAGACAGACAACAAGATCCTTAGCAAGATCTGCCGTCCGCGAGGGCAATAGCAAATAATATACTATAAAACGCTCTTAATTAGGGCATGGTTTTTACTCAGTTTGGTAGACTTGGTACCGTTCTTTCGTGCTACAGACGCGGTCTTACAGGGTAGAAGGAACAACGCCGTTCGATTGGGCCGCTTTCCGCACAGAACCGCCCGATTATACGACTTCCTTCGCCTCCTGAATGTGGTATTCCCTGTCGCGATTTATTGTCCGAATTCCGAATATGAGTAACTTCGAAATTGACGACTGCGATTGGTTAGCACAAGAAAGGGTGCGATTCGAAGGCAAGTCGAAGGTAGTGTTGTCCGACTACTCTTGGTGTCTGACTTCGGCAGGAAACACTATAATAAAAGTCGGAGTGACGGCATTGATGGGCAATGTGCATGGCCGTCTCTCTATCATCATAGGACATCAGAGATCATATGGTAGAAGCCAGCGCCATAGCGATGCGTTTTGACGGTTCCGTCCGCAGTTGACGGGATTGCTCAATGCGATAGAGACCCAAATAGTGAAATAAAAAATAAGATATATCTTGGTCTGAGCGCGAAGTTGCGGTCTGTACAGCCGGCGAAGGCAGTATTGACTCCCATCAACAAGGAAAGGTGACTTGAGGAAAGCAGCAAAGTTTTTAGCACAAAGAGCCGTGGAATAATAACGCCCAGAAGCCCTCCGGTTGAGCAGTCGCACCCAAACACAACCACCTCTCTTCCTAAAGTCCCCCAGCAACAAGTAACTACTAATTCATGCTTAATTCGGTACTATTTGGCAGTATTTTCTATCTAATTTCATACCCTGCGTTCGATCGTCTTTCCTTTAGACACCCTCCCCTATATAATCTCCATAGAGAGCAGTTGCGATGGTGAGTCTAGCACAATCGGTGAAAACTCTGCTGACTAAGATTTTTCGATTTAGCGTTGGCGGGGCCCCCACTTATCACTTACCTGTACATCAGTCGCTCGTGCATCTCAAGTTCCAGCGCAATTCTGTCCTTGTCAACCTCAACGTCAGCCATTGTCATTCGTGCAACTATGGCGCCCTCGACGACAACGAGCGAGGGCGACATCCTTGCCGCTATGTCGGGCGGTTCCCATGGTGTCCCCGGTGCTGCTGGTGCCGCTGGTGCCGCAAAAGAGGTGTACAAGGAGAATTTGAACGAGGTGCTTATGTGCCCAGACTGTCGCGTCACTCCCCCTACCATCGTCGAGGAGTTCTCTTCAGGCGACATGGTCTGCGGCGATTGTGGCCTTGTCCTAGGCGATCGCATCATCGACACTCGATCCGAATGGCGTACCTTTGCGAACGACGATCAAGGCAATGACGACCCTTCTCGTGTCGGTGACTCGATGAACCCGCTGTTGAACGGCTCGCAGCTCGAGACGACCATCGGATTTGGAGAAGGATCGCGCGCCAGAGAACTCCAGCGCGCCCAGAACCGCACGCAGAACGACAAGGCCACCAAGACTCTGCTTTCAGCCTACCGCGAGATCACCACACTCTGCGACGCCATGCAGATCAACAAGGACGCCCAAGACCGAGCCAAGCACATCTTTAAGCTGACCGATGATGCCAAGCTTTTCAAGAGCAAGCCCCAGGAGTCCGTCATCGCCGCCTGCATCTTCATTGCCTGTCGCCAGGCCAACCAGTCCCGAACCTTCAAGGAGATCTTCCAACTCACCCGCGTCCCCAAGAAGGAGATTGGTCGTACCTTCAAACAGCTGGAGAAATTCTTGCAGACCATCCAGGAGAGAAATACTGCCGGCTTGTCTCTACAGCCCATGGACAACGGAACCGGATCTACCAGTGCTGGCGAGCTTTGCGGACGCTTCTCCGCTCAGCTCGGATTCACAAACCCCCATCGCATGGAGAAGATCTCCAAGACCTTGGCCGAGAAGAGCTCTTCTATCAAGGATCTGGCTGGTCGCTCTCCCCTCTCTGTCGCCGCCGCCTGCATCTACATGGCATCTCACCTCATTGGCGAGCCCAAGAACACCAAGGAGATCGCTCTGGTGGCCGGTGTGAGCGATGGTACCATCAAAACAGCCTACCGGTTCTTGCTCGCTGAGCGCAATGCCCTCATCGAGCAGGCCTGGCTCACAGGCAAGATCGCTGGTGATATGAGCAGGCTCCCAAACAACTAGGGAAAGTTGGGACCTTTGCAGCCGAAGAAAGTTGCACAACTACGCCGCGGTTGGGTCTAGATGCTCTTGGAAGACAGCGCACGGTCATGGAGTATCCTTTGGCCCTCGGAAGACAAAAACTGTGCTCTTGAAAGATAAAGCGACGCATACTTCAGGTTGACACCATACCTCAACTTTCGATACCCCATATCAACATTCTTACATCAAAAACCTGTATTCATACTCAGCGAATCCGAATTTGACGACATTGATTTCTAGGGCTGGCAGGGAAAGTCGATATACACAGGCGTTCATGGCAGGCATGGTTTTAGCCTGATGGCATTTTGGTTCTGCGAGTCAAAGTCGGCCAAATGGCAGGCTTTGGTCAGTTCTTGGCGATGACTTTGCAACTGGTTCACGAGTCGTAGATGCAATTTCAGCGCATCATTGACATCTTGGTTGGTCTTGCAGTACCTCGTGTTGTGACTCAACTGCCTTTGATCCATTGTGAACTCCTGTGTTGAAGGTAACCTACATTGGTTGAAGTCGCTAATCAGTGTGCAGGATTGGAGATGTTACCGTAGAATAATAGACATCATGATACCCCCAGCTTCCACAATATTCCCGTGCGTTACAACGGCGTAATATAGATGCATACTGTGGCCTCTACGTTATTCCTGTGGACCACAATGTTGTGACAAAAGTGCATAGGTATCATGCTTACCTATGAGCCCATATTATCACGCCCTTAATGCGCCATGTATTCTGCCACCTCCTTGTTCGTGTTCTAAAACCTGGGTGCCTTAAGCACCGAGATCATACTGAAGTTTTTTCCAATATCCAAGCAACTCTATTATAGTTCTTAGATCCGGAGTAGATTTGTACCTAACCAGGCCAGCTACACGTCAAGCCTAAAAACAACCGGTCATCTATTTGTCATTTTTGACGGTACTTCCGAATACCTGTAATCTGCACCAAATTGCTAGTACCTCTCCAATAAATCTGTAGTTTGTGACTGCTATGGGGCTTGGACGTGATTACGGACATGTCATTCTCGGTCAAATCCGAATATGATGAGCATAATTGACAAAGAGTCTTCATTGTCGCTATCATCTCCCATATTCTGGCACTGGCTCTGGAAGTGACGTCGCGTAGCCTCGTAGAATTTGAACAGCTATTCCACGACGACACAATCCGTCAAGAGGCACTCAAGTTTCTCTTACGCAATGAGGTCCCGCCATCGGCAGAACGAAATTATACCTTCGATTATATCGACTCTTCTTTAGATGATGTCTCTAGTTTAATCGGAGAAAGGGATAGATTTGACAGAAACCATAAGGTTTTCTTCCCTGCAGCTGAAAATCTATTTTAAATCAGTGGAACTCCAGACGGGTATTGGCGAGAAACGGCTCTATTCTGAGTCTAGAGCTAAGTATTTGATGCCCAAGTGTCCTGATTGCTATCAGGGGAATGAAATGAAGGAGTTGACGGGCGACTTGATGAGTTGAGGCTTGAAGTCAACTGAATAACAGTCCTACACCTTGCCTTATACATTCTAATATGGTTGTATAAATGAAGGAATGAATGACTGCTAACTGTATTGTTTGTATGGAAGGAAGAAGAGCTAAAGCTTATATAGATAGTCAGAAGGACCTTCAGGTTTGACTGTGACATTTATGATATATCAGCCATTGTTGGATCTTCGAAGTCTCTAGTGTGTCAGTGACCCTGATATGTCCGCATCCAATACGGAGCGTAGGTTTGGTCCCATAACCATAACCTTGACATGTGGCCCAGCTCGTTCAAAAGGATTGGCATATTTGAACATTGCGACGCCTTGAACTCTACCACCGATATCTGGGACGAGAAAAGAAGCAAACGCGCAGTTCGCCGGCAGTTGGCGCGGCAGAGCTACCATCTGGAGGCGCTCGCCGTCAGCTACGTAGTCGACGCCACGCACTTCTTCAAGCCATCTTGGACCGCTGTGCCTCCTATACACCCGCCAACCCCGGAAAATCTACAAAATCTCAACCTCCCTCCGACCTCATCGCTGAGGACGGATACATCGGTGCATTGTAGGGCCTCCTGGAAGATGCTGGTAAGCGGCCAAGAGAATACCAGTCCTACGATCCACGGATCAGTGCAACGTCGCAAATGCTAGAGCTCGCTGCCTTCAATATTTGGCCCGCTGCGAGTTGGAGCGCCTCCATCAATTGGACCAGCACATGGCAATTTCACTTCAGCGGCGAGGTTAGGGTGCTGTGGAACGGGTTTCGCAAAGACACAGTGTCCAGCTCAACAACGTATCAGTGGAGCTTCTGGATAGAGATGGCCATGGCGGGCCGGCCACCTTTATCCACACGGTTTCTGGTAGTTGGTCCGACGTCATTGATGGAGATGAGGGAAGAGAGATATCCGAGGAATCACCAGACCCGATGGAGACTGAACGCATTAATGACCCCTTGGAAAAGCTTGAGCGCCAGTCTCGAGGACCAGAACAGGCCCACAAGCAAGCCGGATGCGATGAGGAACGCGAGACCTTGACTACAAAAGCTTTCTAGACGGCCGAAGTGAAGAGAATTCAAGCTCGCAAGGTAGGTCAGGGCAACTGATGTGATCGATGCCTAAATCAACGGACATATGAAGACTAGAGGACAGGCTTGCATATATAACGATATCAACAGATTCAATTCTGTCTGATGAGATAGGTCCTAATCAAGGTCACAACCAAAAGTAATGCGGTCTGTAATACCGAATCTGCAAGTGTGTGATGCCTTTGGTGATTAGTTTCACGACCGTGGTAATGGTACAATAACCAAAGGACAAACGCCCCAGGAAAGGCAGCGTGCTTCTGCGATAGCATCATTCGAGAATACAAGTAACTTCTTGAAGAGGTGGTATCTTCATGAAATGCAAAATCCGCAGGATTGACGATCGTCAAACTGGTATGGGATGCATAGCGCACACCGTTGGCATTATTTCATCCTAGCATATTCCAGTACCAGCCAGCCGGAATGACTACTTTATGTCAAGTTTAATACACTGGAATATCGGATAAGCCTATATTGATCGACACGTTTATCCCATCATACTGCATACTATTATAGTAGTGCTGATAAGTTACCCGGATATTCTAAAGGTAGGTTTGAGTCGGTGTAGAGGTGCGGCGTTTTATTTGGTGGTGTCGTGATTTGGGATCAGGTGCTGTACTTTTACATATGAACCCGAGGCGTTTGATATGGTTATCATGTAGCAATACAGAGACGTTTTATGAAGATGTCGCACTGAGATTATGGAGTCCTGATCCTGAAAATCTGCTCACTATGCTGGGGGAAAGGCCAGCGGGCACGCCAACTCCGTCGACGTGTGACTTCGGCATTTCTAAGCCCGAGTTCGGGGCCGAACCGCTGCTTGCTACCTGAGCAGGACTGGACTCATTTGCATGGCGCGTTTAGCGTCGAATCCAGAACGATCCGAGCGTTCATTCATGGTGTCACGACAGTTTTATCTCGCTTATGTACATATTGACAATATGTGTGTACGTAGTAGTAAGACCGGACGATCTCCGTCCCGCACTATGAGGCATCAGCAGAAGAAAAGTGGATGGTGTATTGAACCACCTGCTGTCAATATTCTGTTTAACCCACGCATTGATTCAAGTCGTCACAACAGTATGGCATCGCTTACGTACATATTACTGTCAATATATGTGTTGTAAGACCGGACCGTCTCCGTCCCGCACTAACAAGCCTCAGTAGAAGAAAAGGGATGGTGGATTGAACCACCTCCAGACCAAAATCTATTTAAGCCAAACGTTTTCACGGAATGATGGACAGCATTTGCAGATCTTGAACCAGCGATCAACCTGAATGTTTCAGGAAGTTAGCAGTCACAGAACGTAATACCCACACCACAAGCTGTCACAGCCATGACCTCCGTCGTCCCCAAAATCGCCATCGTCGGCGCCGGCCCCGCAGGCCTGACGCTCGCCCGCCTCCTCCATGTCTCAGGCCTCAAGCTCGAAGTAACTCTCTTGGAGCGTGACCTTTCTCCTGCCTCGCGCCGAGAACAAGGCGGCACGTTGGACCTGCATACCCACACGGGTCTCGCCGCGATTAAGAAATGCGGTCTTTGGGACGAATTCCAGAAGCACGCTCGCTACGACGGCCAAGAGGTAATTTTGATGGACAAAAATGCGACGGAGTTGGTGCATAAACGCGTTACGTCGACGCTGCAGGACAGACCCGAGATTGATCGGGTCTGGTTACGGAAGATACTGTTGGACGCAGTGCCGGGCTGTTGGATTAACTGGGGGAGGAAGGTTAGGACGGTGACGGATGATGGGAAGGTAAGACTTGATGTCTTGGCTGAGGGGAACGGTGGTGAGGTCAAGGCTGAAGGCGCGGAGGAGGAAGGACCGTTTGATTTGATTGTTGGTGCGGACGGGGCGTGGAGTAGAGTTCGGCAACGGTTGATGCCGCATGTGACGCCGAGGTACTCGGGTGTGAGTGGATACGAGGTGGCCATCTTTGAGCCAACAAAGACTTGTCCGCATGTTGATAAGATGGTAGGGCAGGGTATGTTCATCGGCCTATCAGATCGGAAGTCATTGAATGCGCAGCGGCTGGGAGACGGGAGCATCAGGGTTCGGAGTTGGTCCTATTGCCCTGAGACCGAGGCCCAGGAGACTCTGAACAAGTTGGGAAAGGAAGGGACGAGAGAGAAAATCTTGGAGAGGTTCGCGACGTGGGCGCCAGAGATGACGGAGCCGTTCAGACACGGGGACCTGGATTCGTTGATGCATATGACGCTGTACGAATTACCTGTCGGTTCTAAGTGGGACCACCAAAAGGGGTTCACGCTGATAGGAGATGCGGCGAGTCTCACAACACCGTTTAGTGGAGAGGGTGTCAACAAGGCGATGAAGGATTCACTCGAACTGGCTGAATTAATCGAGAAGAGCCAGGAACCGAACGATGACCTCACGCTCGATGAAGCGGTCCTGCGCTATGAGAAGTTGATGTTTCCCAGAGCTGAGAAGCTGCAGGCAAAGACTATACTCTACCGGGACGCCATGTTGGGGCCTAATGCACCGCTTGGACTCTTCAGCGATATGCTGAAAACCATAGCAGGTGACAGCCCCTCCTTCTTCGTGAGACTTCTGGGATCGGCGCCGGTTGTTGCGCTTGTGTATAGCTACTTCTGGGTTTACATCCAGATTGGCTGGGCTGTACGCAAGTTCTGGAGGAGAACGTAAGGATTTGACTATTTGGCATTAGACGGACGGTTGCCCTACCAAATAGAAGGGCACCTGGAGGAGCTTACAGCTTGCTCTTGTTACATCATACTCTCGTAGAAGGGATCTAACCCGGTCATGGTCCACTTAATCAACATAACTAGCATATCGCAATACGGGTGAGACGCTTCGTCTGTCTCTAGGTGTCTCAGGAGAAACTTGGTCCTCGGAACAGGACGGAGAAATCGAACGTACCTACAGACTATGTTAACCGTTATCTGCATGCGCTTCTTCTTCGACATGACGAACCGTTTATCCTTGCGTATAATACATTTCCCTGTCCGTCCTAGCCTCCTTAGCCTCCATGGATGGGGTTCTGGCGCAAAAGGTTACTCACCAAAAGTGTTGCAAGCAAGCCGAAAAAATCCAAATTTGCAAGATCGCAGACATGTTTAAGGAGCGTTTGACAATCTCAGAGAGGAATCGCATAAACTACGCGTCCTTCGTGCTACGCCATAACAAGCCCTGGAAGGCACCAACGGATGGTGATATTTACGTCACGATCGAAGATTTAGTGCTCATAGTCTCTGGTCTGCAGCATCTGAGATGAAATACGCCCAACCCAAGTTTGATGAGGCCATGCAATTATGTCATCCGTCGTCTGTGACTTTCCGCCGCACTGCTATTTCGATGACCCAGTCACCCAGTTGTTGAATGAGGAAACCACTTCAAAGACGCCGAGAGTTGCCATACTCGGACATTGTTGGGATAAGGCTCATGAAGTACGCCGAGAATGTAAAGGACGCGTTCCAGTCATGTGACACTAGCCATTAGGGTGCATAGGAAAAGTCCTCGGCTGTGCCAATGACATATCATCTCGGCGTGGCTGATATGGAGGTTTGATTTGGAATTCGCAGTAGGAACAAATGGACGGAGAGGTGAGATTCTATAGTATGTATTTCTAGCCCCCACTGACATTTGGATCGACGCAAAGGATTTTCTTGGAGAAGGATTTCTGAGCGTATAGCTAGTAACAGGCTGTTGGATACTACTACAGCCGGAACCTAGTTTGTACTTGTGTAACCTATACTTGAGGTACTTTAATAAAAGCACGTCGCAACTTGTCGCCATGATAGGGGTGTGTGTCACAGAGATATATGCATTGTTAGCTTAGTTACCACGGGCGTTGTCTCTTCTCACTAAATAAAATCAGAAGCACCATATAATTAGCTGCGTTACGATAAGCAGGATGCGATAACAGCATCTAGACAACACTGATATCTAAGCTGATTCTCTAGTAAGCACGAATTATCAGCTGGCAGATGGTTTGCACGACCACTGTGCTGACATGGTGGGCCACAGTCTGACCACCATGGGGATCTACGAGAAGTATAGCAGCTCGCCATTCGTGACAAAATGTGCCCTGTCTAGCCGCGATTACATGAGATATAATCGGTAGATCTCAGAGCTTTCCACAGCTTGCACTTTGCGTTCGCGACGCAAACTTTGCGTGTATGTCTCTAACGACCGCGGTCTTCCTTGCGGTCACTCTACCTTCCGCGCAACACTAAAGATGGGATGGGATTTCGAGACTAGGGTCCCTTATATTCATCTGGTGACGCAAGCATATTCCGCATGCGGCGACATTCCGAGTGCAATGGATTGTGAGATCGAAATGACACATCGACGTTGTAGATCTACCAGCGGAGCTGCCGTGCAAATGCCGTGCAGCATGTTGCACAATTTCGGAATTCCCCGAACTTGACAGATGCACTGCGTCGGCTCTTAAAAAATACGCAGCAGACTATGGGGCCTAGGGCCGAGGCGGGAGCTCTCGTGGGCCCTCTCTCGAAGTTGATCAAGTATGGGGTGAGATAGAGTCACGCCCACAAGGATCAGCGCATCTGAGAATTTCGTCCCAGATTGTCTGGCTGTCCACGTCGTCACCATCGTAAGCTTATCTCCCTTCGAACTTAATAATCGACAGGGCCATCGCTCTCGGACTGTTACATCCAACCCGACCGCGTGGTTCTCAAGTCGCGAGAAGTAGGTTTCGGTATGTGCATATCAACCGCTCCCGTTCCGGATGAACCTCCTATTGGACCACCCGAGCGCGACAAGGTTTCTCGACTATAAAATTGAGGATCGCGGACGTTCCCGAGCAGGCATCGGGAGATACACAGCTTATACTTGCTTCACCGAAGCCAAATCATCGTTACGCTGTCTAATCTGATCCCACAGTCTTGAGTTTCTTGTCATACGTTTGGCGCACCGACACCATGTCTACGTTTAGTCAAATTAAAATCCCGAAAACCCATGGTCTCGGATACACGCCCACTCGTCTCGCAGCCAACTCCCCATAGCCCAGAAGGACATTGGAAGTTCTCGTGGGCTGAAAGGCGTCGGGATCCTGGCGGTTAGCCCCATGTATGACGAGGTTCCGCTTTTTTTCTAAATTCGCATATGGACGAGCATGACATGATCGTGCTTGCTTCGCCCTCATGGGTAGCACTAACATGCACATGGCGTTTCTGTGTTGGAACAGGAGCCTGCCTGCTCCAGCCCGCGGGCCAACACCAAATCCATCTGTTCTATGCCATTAAAAATAAGATAGGTCCCCATGCAAATGTTGTTAATGCCATTGGTCGAGTTTTCTTGTAGAACTACGTTTGGCAAAGTAGTACCACATAGAAACGATCACTCACGATGGCATCAATACGGCGCAGCTCTTCAGTCCTCCGTCGCGAACAAATGGCCAGGCTTGACAGCAACCGGTACACGCTAAATTTACAGCTGCCGCCGTATCGCCTGGAAATACCGTCCATGCTGGAATTCTACCGAGGAGACCGTCGCAGCGATGCTTCTGGCATTCTCGCGGAGCTGCACGAGTCCCAAATTGACATCCTTCAACAGCCGGCGTTGATATCTGACACGGAAAGTACAAGAACCGCCGAACTGGACGTGACGGACCAAAACGTAGACACTTTCGTTGACTCTTCCGAGTCGGCTTATGAGAAGGCGATCCGAGAATCGAAATCCACTGGTGAACAAGGACTGAAATCATCAAACCCCGAGGATGGAGATGAAGCGCCGGGTGAGGCTGCAAGTGCAGACGAATACCCCAGCGGCTTCCGCCTGTATATGGTCGTTGTCGCGTTAGTCCTCAGTATTTTCCTCGTTTCCCTAGACATGGTGAGCCCGTCCGCCCCTACCCCTGACTTAAACGTGCCTAACACGAGTTGCGGACCATCGTCGCCACAGCAATTCCCAAAATTACAGACGAGTTTCACGGCCTAGCCGACGTGTCCTGGTACAGCGCCGCGTTCTTTATGACCACCGGTGGCTTCCAGTCGACCTGGGGCAAGGCCTACAAGTACTTCCCCTTGAAAACGAGTTTCCTCCTCTCCATCGGCATGTTCGAGCTGGGGAGTCTGATTGTACGTTTTAACCTCCAATATAGTTGATCCCTTGGCCCAATTCTGCTGGCACTAACAATTCCCCTTCCCTGTTTCGCAGTGTGGTGCTGCTCCCACATCGACGGCTCTCATCGTCGGCCGCGCCATTGCGGGAATAGGGGCTGCCGGCATTGGGTCTGGTTGTTATACCATTGTGGGGTTTTCGACTGAGCCGATGAAGAGGCCTGTGTTTACGGGGATTCTGGGCGCGTCGTATGGTATTGCAAGTGTCATTGGGCCGCTACTGGGAGGTGCATTTGCTGACAAGGTCAGTTGGCGATGGTCAGTCAACCCATTCCCCCCTTCGGGCTCCACTGAGCACACCTCACGCATAATCTGACTTACCACACATGACTTGACATCCTCACTCGTCCTACTCAGACGAAAACTGACTGTCTGCCAGGTGTTTCTACGTCAACCTTCCCATCGGCGGCGTTTCGGTCCTCGCCATCTTCCTCTTTTTCAAAACGCCCTCGGCAGCCCGCCCCCAGGAAGCCACCTTACTCGAGAAGATCCTGCAGATGGACATTGTGGGCGCCTGCATCATGATGGGCGCCGTGATCTCGTACATCCTCGCCCTGCAGTGGGGCGGGCAAACAAAGCCGTGGAACTCGCCCGACGTCATCGGCCTGCTCGTCGGCTTCGGCGTTATTCTCATTCTCTTTGGAATCTGGGAATACACCCAGGGCGAGCGGTCCATGATTGCGCCCCGACTATTCGGGAAGCGAAATGTTTTCGTGCCGTCCATATACATTTTGTGGTTCGATGGGGCCTATTTTGTGTTGATTTATTACCTGCCGTTGTATTTCCAGGCTATTGATGGGGTTAGTCCTACGGATTCAGGTGAGTTGATACCAGCCCCTAGTTCCTGGCATGGCTCGCGGGAAGCTCCACCGATGCCGTGCTTATACCAGGTGACCAACAGGCATCCGCAACCTTCCCCTCATCCTCTCCGTGACCCTAGCCGCTATTGGCGCAGGTTTCTTCATAAGCGCCACCGGCATCGCCGCCCCCATGATGTTCGTCAGCGCGGCCATCGGCATGGTCGGCTCGGGTCTGCTCTTCACCCTGGACATCGGTACCAGCTCCGGGAAATGGATCGGCTACCAAGTCGTTGCTGGTGCGGGCTTCGGCACGGGCCTACAGATCCCCATTATAATCGGTCAGGCCAGTGTTGACCCGTCGGACTTGAGTTCTGTCACGGCCATCTTGCTGTTTTTCCAGACCATCGGTGGGGCTTTTTTTGTCTCGGCTGCTCAGGTCGCTTTTGCGAATGGTTTGATTCAGAGGGTGCAGATTACGGCGCCGGCTGTGAGTCCATCGGATTTGCTGGCGACGGGTGTTACAATGATTAGGGAAGTATTTAGCGCGGATTTGCCCGGGGTTCTGCTGGCGTACATGCATGGCATTCGGATCGCTCTCGGTATGGGCATTGGCTCGGTGGGCGTTTCTTTTGTGGTAAGCTTGTTCATGCCTTTTGCGAGGCTGAATCCGAACGCTGTCAAGGATTTGGGTGGTGCTGCTTGAGTTTGACAGACGGCTCGTCTCCGGGAAGGGAAAAAATGAAGTCTTCGGTTATATACAAACACTTAAATCCGTACACGATCCTTTATTGGGGGTGGGGGGGATAGAATACTCTGTTCATCTGCACAGCTACCACTAGGTGGGAAGGTACGGCCAAGTACAGGGCTACAAAACCCCGCCCCAAAACCAGAAGTAACCATCATAAAAGAAAAAAAACATCCTTTTTTGGCCTTCATATAAATCTCCACTTACAGGCCAGTCCCCGACTTGTTCGCTTAGTAAAAGCATGCCGTCGAAAATATCCACACATGGGATCTGTGAGCTAGGTGTATTTCCTACTTGGACAAGACAAACATAGACTGAAGTTTTGTTTAGTAATTTTGTATGTGTTGGGTTGTTAACCTAACCTTCTCCTTGACAGATGCGAGATGCGAAGCTATGCCGTGGGAATATCCAATGCTAGACTACACCAAAACTTTTCCCAGTATACCATTGGATCCCGTTCCCATGCCCGATACCCAGAACGCCATGTACGCCGTCCTCCAAATAGACTGATCATACATCATTTTGGTACATGTTATGCGGATTTCCGTCTTCTACTCGTAAAACCGTTCGATCCACTCATGCTCCAACAAGTCCATTGGCGCCGGCCACCACGACATCAACGGCCCCTCTATCGCGCCAACGTGGTACTCAGGCATGACAAACTTAATGGCTTTCTTCGTCTCCTGCCCTGTCGTCTGCGTACTTTGGTGCGTAGTCCTCGGACTGCTGGTAATCCTACCATCGTCCTGGCGTCCCAAGAAAACAGGAAAGTCGACCTCCTCGCCGCAAATGGCCACCTTGTGCTCCTCATGGTGGTGATTATGCTTATGCGGCGGGTCGAACAGGTAGCTCTCCATCTCGCAGTCGCTGAGGTCGAACGAGGAAGAGGAAGTGGAGTTGCTTTCTGAGAGCGGGGTGTGCGAACCCGTGGATATGGGGGTCAGTGGCTCAAAAGTGGGCTGGGGCGAGTGGCGATGCGCCGAGACGTCGTTGATCATGATGATGCCGGCGTGGTCGGCCGGGTGCATAGACTCAACGTAGAGGAGCTCTGAGAGATCGTCTTCATTGTAGATGGCGACCTGAGGAGTATTGGATTTCTTGTAGTCATTGTCGCTGGCTTTGGGTTTCATGGCGGCAGGTTTTGCGACCGGTTTGGACTGGAGGGCAAGTTGGTCGAGATGGAAGATGTCGCCTTGCATGGTTGCGATTGTGTTCGAATATGAATGTGATTGGAGGATGTGCTGCTTTGTGCGTTGCTATTGGCTGTGACTGTGCTGTCTGATGATGAATCCAGATGGTCTCGATTGAGTGCTGGGCTTCAGCGTATATAAACTCAAGCCAAGAATTGACCACATAGTAATACCTCCCGGATTATGGCCCTCGGAATTTTCAGGTGGCCTGATGAAGAAGCTCTGTACGAGAAAGATGGAAATTAGTTGTCTGACCCAAAGCAGCTGGAGCCGTCAGCCTAACTCGCCCGAAACCTACTCGTCCAGGTTGTCTCGAGCCATTACACTTCGCAGGGCTTGTCCGACGGTCGATGCGCTGTTCCGGTGGTCGTTGCGCTGTTCCGGTGGTCGTAGGCGGGCTCCGAATGGCGTGGAAAAATCGAATCAAGGGGCTGAAAGTCGTATGATCGGAAATGACCGGGTTGGCTTGGGGAAACCTGGGCGACCCCCATGCAGCATGGGGTTCCGACTCTCGCCGAACCCCAGCAATTGACCCTACATTTTCCTATGTAGCTCAAATAAGGGACACGACACAACTAGATGTGGAGAATTCAGAGCCAGAGGTCTTGATGACATGTGAAAATTCATGACACCAAGGTGTTTTTCCAGTTTGACTCGCCCTATCAGGGGCAATCCAATTGCTCGGATGGCATACCAACATCACGATCGAAGCCCTCTCCCAGCGGACGCAGAAACTGCTTGTCAACTAACAGACCGCTGGAAGCACCTAGAAGTATGCGGAGCTCCACAGTAATGCGCGGTTACTGTATGACTTCAATAGTTAAACATATCCGGCTACACGACTTAATAACTCTGCGCAGTGGTTACGATGGTCAGCTTGCTTATGCAGGTTGCTTAAGTGGTTGTTGGCGTTGTCACTTCTGGGGAGGGGGTGAGGGCCCAGGGGGAAATAGTGTCTCAACTCCCAGTCGTTACACGGGCCACGGTGATATACAACATCAAAGTTAGTCCTGAACGCCACCTGATGGCCACAGGCCGAGGTGCAATCGCATGGCCCACCTTACTCGGGTAACAGCATCCTGTTTAGAATGTACGTCAGGTTCAAGCTGAGTCAGGGACCAAGGTGGACGACGGTTTCCCACACACTACGCAGAAATCTACATCAAAACAACGGGTCGACATGTGAGCAACATACTCAACAACAAGTTTCGTTGCAATTCTCCTAGCTATGGTTTCATTGGGCCATCTTGCGGTCCTGTAGTCGTTAACATGGAGGTCGCGAGGTTAGTAATAAGCAGGGCTCGAGGGCTGAGCTCCCAAGTTAAGGTTTCTACATTGTGGTATACGAAAGCATATTGAAAACACCAGTGTTATTTGTGGGGGTCTCTCCCCTAGAATATGAGTGACACGAACGGACGTAAATACCTACGCCTTTCAATATAGTGCATGGCTACTGCCATTAATTACGTATTCGTTCATGGCAACCTTTTTACGTCGGATGTATACCCACCTGAATGCGACCCGTTTTATATGTACCCTTTGGTGCATATTGAAAGACAAATTTCATGGAGCAGAGTTGGTTAGAGTCAGGTGTGAATAATGGATTAATTGTCACTCGCTCACATCCAGACACGAAGAAAAACAAAACGATCTCCACTATGTACGTAAATTCACCTCCGCAACTCTCTATTGAAATCTTCAATCTCTAACCCAACACCCCGAAAACCCCACCTCAGTCCTAATCGGCTCCTCCCAAAGCTCCGCATACTTATCGGTGACATCAATCAGAAACTGCGAGCAATGCTCCGTATGCCCAAAACTCCCAATGACGGCATCAAAGCTCTTCTCGTCAAAAAACGCCTTGAATTGCTTCCGCCACAACATGTTACAGTGAACAATGTGATCCCGCGTGGACGTGTAGTAAAAGTCCACCTCGGACATGGCCTCGATGCTCGGCAGCTGTTGCGTACGGTTCAAGTCCGTGTACCCCTGCCACGTCCCGTCTTCCTGGTATTCATCGATGGACTCTTGGTCGATGCACGCGGGGTGAACCCAATTGTTGATTAGGATGTCGTATTTGCAGCCAGCGGCGCGGGCTTCTGCGGTCGAGTTGCCGCAGGTGGTAAGGTGGGCGTGGGTGGTTAGGTTGTGGGGGGTTGAGGGTGAATTGGTGGCTGGCTGGCTAGGAGTTGGGTGGTTTGCAGAACAGCTGGGTGTGGTGAAGATGATGACTAGGATCCAGAGAAAGGAGCTGAGGATGAAGACGAGGGAATGGGACAAGAGAGGGGACATTGAGCTCCAGCGGTGCTTGAAGAATTCAGTACGATCCCTACCATATTGGTAGGAACAGTTGGCCTCGTCTATTGTTGGGTCGTCGTCTGAGTATTTTAGGAATGGATGGTTATCAGTTGCTGGCAACATTTTGGATTTGTTTGCTGGCTTTCGTGTGGATATTGATTTAGACTGGGTTTCGAAGAATAACTAGAAGTGTAAATAAAGGAATCGATTGATATCATAATAAAGATTTCTGTTTTGATAGTACTCTCATCTATGCGTATTTCAGAGTTTCGTTGTTCGGACGCTGTTTCATTGGTCTTAGTTTCGTCACCACCTACCTGGCGATGAAGTCTGTGCTCGAGCTTGGCCAATACAGCTTCTGTCGCAGATTCGGATCCGGTAGAGTTGGACATTCAGTAGAACCGAATACCTTCATGTCTTCCATCACACGATTCTTTCCTCCGAAGGTAGTGTAGGTGTCCAAGCTCCCATGACGCAAAACGCTCCTCGTTGCTGACCAGTTCCAGCCAAGGACAGCGCAAAGATCGGACGAGCACTCTCAAAAGCTCTATGTAATGTTTGCAGCCCCGGGGTGCCAATTGTGGTGTAGGTCCGAACGATCTCTGCACCTGTGTTGTGGTATTTGCAGCCAAAAGCCACAGTTGCTACCCGAACATCTAGAATATCCGTAGGGCATCTCAAAACGCCCTCAATATTTTCAGCTTGTCAAGCTCTTCAGCGATGTGCTCATCATAGGACAAGGTGTCAAAAAGCAATAGATTTCTAAGTATCACAGAAAGTAACCGTAAATCGGTGTGAAAAAAGAAGACCGCTATTGTAGACCTAAACTTGAACTATCGGAGCAGCTACTGCTGAAGTAATATCTTGGGCCCTCATACTACTCACACCGCCCCTTTTAATGAGCCGATCGACGAGTTGCACCCATATATGTGGATAATGTTGAGTCTATTCCTCATTTCAACGGAAGTATAGAAGAGAAAGAGGAAGTTAGTGTTTTAACCGCAGAACGCATCGTCCTTTGTTTCTACCCGTAACAGCCGCTTGCGCCCCCTTATTGACCGATTTTACCAAGAAAGGAAATAAATCCACCTATGAGGGTGGCTGACCGGGATATTTTATGCAAATGGCGCATTCACTTCCCAATACACCTATAAGCATTGGCATTGGCTTTCAACTGTAAGATTTACGACCTGGAACGACATCCACCTCGGATCGTCATGCTAAAACTTGGTGCGCTCGTCAACATCGAAATACCCCTCATTGAGGCTCTCCTCATAGCTTTGCACCTGGAACAGCTGGTCGACCCAGCCCATGGCTGGGCAGAGCGCCCAGAGTTGTAGTCTTCCTGGCTGCTGTCGCGCCACTCGCACGACACGTCGGAGTTGGATAGCACCGCCCTTGAAGTGGGTGTTGTTATGCAAGGCATCCATGCCCGCGCTTTCTTAGATCCGGTAGAATGTTTCTGTGCCCTCTTGGAGGAAATCCCGGCCGGTGTACGTGATGACTAATATATGGACGGTAAGTTAGTTTCGACGGGGATGGGTGGATAATGTGAAATTTGAAGGGGTTGGTTACTCACATCTCCAGGACAAGCTACGATGATCAGCGCCACGAGAATGGGAACGCTAACATACATATCGGGACAACTAGAACAGACCTTCCGGTATTTCGACGAGGGTTTCTCTAGAAGCGCCCTCCTTGCCTTTACCGCCGTATTGCCCGTATGTCTTAAAGGACCGTCTCAATTTTGATGTAGTGTAACTAAACTATTTGCGTGCTCCTATGTCTTGTTCCTCGTCCTACAAGTCAGTGAGAAGACGCGGGGTTTGTTCGCAGATCTGTACATGTCCTAGTTGTCTCGGTTATATGATTGACTAACGTACCCCACAAGCAAGTTGGCCACTTTTTCTTGGCACCGTACGAACAACCTTTTAATTAGCATCTTTACACATACCAAGATGGGATCGAATTGGAAAGAAAGCGACATGATTCTAGCGTGTCAGGCGCTTCAATCGAAACCCTAATTAAGCATCCGACGCGCTGCCTAACTCTACAATGTCCCTCGTACAACTCTAGCTAACCGAAAACGCGGACTACTATCTCGACGCGATACTCGACAATCTAGTCATAAGCTTACGGAATCAGAAGAGTTAGCGGTCGTACAATATATACTTGACCTAGATTCGCGATCATTTCCTCCCCGGCTCCATGGTGTTGAAGCTATGGCTAACCGACTGCTCCGTGACCGTGGCGCTGGACGCGTCGGCGTCAACTGGGCCTCGAACTTCCTACGACGACAACCAAACCTTCGGACGCGTTTTAATCGAAGAATAGACTACCAACGAGCCTATTGCAAAGACCCTGACGCGTATCGCGCGTGGTTTACGCTCGTACGAAATACAATTGCGAAATATGGTATCCAAGAGGCGGATATCTATAACTTCGACGAGACAGGGTTCGCGATGGGCTTAATCTCATCCGAGATGGTAGTTACAAGTGCCGAACGACGCGGAAGGCCTCGTACAGTCCATCAAGGCAATCGAGAATGGGCTACAGTAATCCAGGGTATCAATTCGTCCGGCTGGGCTATCCCGCCGTATATTATTGTCGCGGGTCAAAACCACCTCTTATCCTGGTACGAGAATAGCCCATTCCCGTCCGACTGGGTAATCGCTGTAACCAAAAACGGTTGGACAATAAATGAGCGAGGCGTAGACTGGATTCAGCACTTTGATCGCTATACGAAGGATGGTACGAAGGGTGTTTATCGTCTTCTTATCCTCGACGGGCATGAGAGCCACCACTCGACTGACTTCGAGCTATATTGCAAAGAGCATACTATTATTACACTTAGTATGCCTGCTCATTCGTCACATAAGCTCCAGCCTCTCGATGTAGGCTGTTTTAGGGCTTTGAAAAGGTCGTACGGCAAAGAAATTGAAGACCTAATACGGGCGCATATAACCCATATCTCGAAGGAGGATTTCTTTTCGGCATTCTATAGGGCGTATCGTACGACTATAACTAAGTCGAATATCCAGGCAGGTTTCAGGGGGACAGGACTTATTCCGTACGACCCGGGATATGTGATTTCACAGCTGGATATTAAGCTACATACGCCTACACCTCCTGGGAGCTCGTCTGGCGCCCCCTTAATCTAGGAATCAAAGACTCCAAATAACTCAACCGAGGCGCAATCCCAGTCTGAATACGTTAAAAACAGAATCGTACAGCATCAGAATAGCTCCCCGACGACAATACTTACGGCTATTGACCAATTTTCACGTGGTGCGACGGCTGTTATGCACCGGTTAGTTTTACTTGAGGATGAGGTCACTGCACTTCGGAAGGCTAATCAAGAGCTAAGCCGTCGTCGAAGGATTAAAAATCGACAGCTACAAGATGGAGGATCTCTTAGTTTACGAGACGCTCAGGACTTATAGTCTCAACGGGATATTGAACAGCAGCTACAGGATAATATACGTGTAAGTCGTCGTCGTACGAGACCGACCGAACCACGCCGACGGCGCTGTAGGATCTGCGGAGAGCCCGGACATAATGCTCGTACTTGTGAGAATGATAAAGATACGTACGAGGAAGAGGATTCCGATTAGTTTGAGTTATTATTTTTTAGTTTAGTTAAGTTATTGAAGTTATTCATACGGTGCCAAGAAAAAGTGGCCAACTTGCTTGTGTGGCCAACTTGCTTGTGGGGTACGTTATTCAGTTTGTTGTTTCAGATTAGGTATTATAGCACCTGTTGTTTACAATGAAGCTAATAGCTGTAAACGCTACATTAGTATAAACGTCACCCCCCTAAGGAAGATAACCAGAATGCGTACTTAATTATTCCTCATAAACAAAATCTACTTCAAGAAAACTTCCAGCTTTTCCAAGAAGAATGAAACCAACTCACGTTTACGGTAGTTTATGGGTGAAATCATAACGATCGGATGGATTCATCACGGCCTGGAAACCAACAGATAGTGTCTGAAAAGTTTTGCGCAGTCAGGAATGAGTTGGTTATGTTGTTGCTACGTCCAAGGATAAGTTTACATGAGATGGGAAGGTACGGCCAAGGGCAAGGTCGGAGGCCTACAAAACCCCGCATCAAGCCAGAAGTAGCCATCAGGCAAGAGGGAAAAAGAAAACATCTATTTTCGGCCTTCACGCAAGATCTATATGTTGACGTTGATGCTTGATATGAAGGATAAAATTGCAAAAATAGGGTTCTCAGAGGGGGGTAGAAGTCTATGTACTTCATTCTTACCAGTGTCATCACTATCACAATATAGCAGGAGAGGCGTCACTCTACGCCAGTCCAGCCTACAACCATAGCTGGTAGTCTCTGCTGCAGTATGATGAGTTGTGAGTCTTTGTTGTTAACACCGTTCGCTTGGGATATTCAAGAGGCTAATAGGGTACTACAACGCAGAACTAACAAAGCTTAAAGAACCAGATATGTCACAAACGAAATAAAATATCTTAATAACAGGTTACCTGCAGTAGATCCAACGTACTATATCGACGTAATTAAATACGATCCCGCTGCACCTAGAGTCCGGGCCTGTTCTCTACGGCTAGTAGGCATTTTCTAAGGCAAATTTAGGTGTTTCCCACTTAAAATACACATTTATGCAGGAGAGAAGTGTTACGAAGCTTGGATGTTTCTTCTTAAATAGGGGCAGTTTCTACAGTAGCCTAGTTAAGGGCCCTATTGAAGCAGTAAGGGTGAAAATATCCCTAGTATTGACCTAGAGTTTTTAAGAAAGGACCAACGAACAACTCGTCTGCTGATTGCCGATTCCTCGCACCCGCAATTGATATTGACCCAAACGACCCTTTCAACCCTATCGCCCCGTCCCGCGGTGTCATGAGCCGAAATCAGGGGGAACTCATTACAGTCAAATAATTTGGGCTGGAACTCCACCGGTATATGGATAACCCTCGAGCCGTCGAAACAGGTAATCCGCCCGGCGCTAATTTCATAGAGAAACCGGCACGGTGGGCTCAGCTTCAAGTGGCTTCATCTTTCTTCTGCCTATTTGATCATGTTTGTCTTAACAACGTCGCGTAAGGGTCGGTTCGAATCCACGGACGCCCCATATTGTTGAGTCGCGGCTTTGTTTCTCTTTTGTACCCAAAATGGCAAGTGTTGTTGCATCCGACGATGTTGCTTTCGAGGATATGAAATAGTCATGACCCGGACCAAAGGACCTAACAAGCTGTGCAGAGGCGGTATCCCAAACTGAAACAATATGGTGGCAGTCACAACCTATGATCAACTAGGTAGAGTCAGCCCCGAATGCTATGGCATCGCCGCCGACGGCCAATCGGGATCGGTAATCCAGCATCCATCAGCTGAGAAGTCCAATCCGAACGTGTCCGCCGTATGTCCTGGGAGCATGCTTTCAGTTGCTGCTGCCCACCTCCAGTGCTTCAGAAAATGATCATGTCATCTTCACCTCCAGGCGCCTTCGTTGCATGATGAGAGTACCTGGAAACAGCCAGCACTGTAAACTCATTAAGATGAGCGCGGAATAACTGGCCTCCAGTAACAGATCGGGCACTAGAAGGGGTTTCAATTAATCGTACATCATGGTCTTAGAGTATCCCCGAGCCCAAATGCTCCCTGATGTAGACGGCTCCATAGCTTAGGTTTTACTAGTTAACTAAAGGTTCTGTAGCAGCCGAACCCTATAACCAGTGTTCAAGTTCCAGAGCTACTTCCCACGCCTGACTACCGTCAGCGAATGCGACAATAGCCTGGCCCCTAGATGAGAGTCGAGCGCATGTATACTTCAACGGCTTGTCGGCATCGATCATAGGAGACAGATCAATACTTGCCAGGAATGAGGTAGCCTTCTTGTCATATAACAGGAGGCAAGCTCCCGAGGCAGTATCCCACAAATCGAATGTCTCGTCCCTTACGCTAGCCGCAAGAATTCAGCCGCAAGGCAATAATTACAAAAACTGCAAGACCTTATTATACCCTTTCAATTTTTTATCTCGCCACTCCAATTGTCGTCCCTTATCATGGGTGGACGCACATAACGTAGGGCCGGAACGCTGTATTCATTGGCTACATTGGTCGTTCTCCAGTGCCTCAGGCATTCAGGGTTCAGAACACAACTATTGCTTGCCTCGTGCTCAGCCAAATCTGATCTGATCAACAGACCAACTGATCAAAGCAACACAGATTTCATTATCTTTGATTCCACACGATGACAACCGATGTGTCGCATTATCCTAGGTTTGGGAAGTTTCCAGTACTCCAGTGTGCCCCGGTGATGAACATGTTACAGTATGGGGGAATTCTGAAACTGACTGGCTCTCCAACAAGTTCATCTTTATGTGCTTAAACAATGGCTTTTTCCCCTTTGGAAGAGCTGCAGATTGGCAAGACATGCGTGTTGAGTCAGACCAGTGTGGTTTGGCATGATGGTTTGCAACAACATACGCCCATTCAGCTGGAGACAGAGACACGGAGTTTCAGAGGAGGTACTTCAAAGGTACTTCCAGGATAGGTTGACCTACACCTCTCCAGGCACGCTGATTGTTAGCAACTGATAGCCCCCACAATGCTTGGTTTGTTACTGGATTTTTATTGCGCTAGAGGTCATAATTCCCTTGTCCAGAGAAGGAGGTACTTAAAGCCCCATAGAATGTGTGTGTATTGATCAATCTCTAAACGAGAGGCATCTCCCATGCTAACAAGCTGATGCCTGGCGTGGTGTAGATGTAGATGCAGGTTACACTCAACTCTAAATGTTGGATCCCACCAATTAATACAAGAAAATGATTGGTTCTCGCAGACATACTCCACCAAGTTTAACAGCGGCAAGAGCCATCCGACGACCGGCAACCTTGATGGCGGCGGGGTAGCTTTGCCCCACACTAGACCCGTGTGCCGCGTGCTCCTGCCTGAGACATCGTCACTCCAAGACTGCACCGACATGACTTTCCCATCATTAAGTTGCCCTGCTCCTTCCATCCAACATATGGTACTTCTGCCCGGCTCCACCTAAAGGTATTATCAACAAGAAAGGTTATCTCATCCATCCCAACCGACGTCTCGATCCACTTCCACACCCTACATCATGTCTGGCATAAGGAGAGTCAGCAAGGTAGCTTGCGCCTTTCCAATCCTGTCTCAATTCTGCCCTCTCATGACCACTAATCTAGCTTCTAGGAGCTCACTGAATGCCAGGGTCCTCCGCCGCCCGAGGGCAAGGACATGTCGAAGGTCAAGTTGCAGGACGGAGCGGCCATCCTCCCCCCGACCACGATGGAGGGCATTTGGGCCAAGGCCGACAATAGCAACATGTACAGGTGGGATATCTGGATTGAGGGTCCTGCCAACACAGTTTACGAGGGTGGTATTTTCAAGCTGAAGATGGAGCTGCCTGAAGGTTCCGCTCCCAGCGGTACTGGTGGTTACCCTTTCAAGCCGCCCAAGATCAACTTCACGACGCGCATCTACCATCCCAACGTGACCAACGACAACACGGGCGACATCTGCCTCTCGCTCATCAAGACGGACGTCTGGAAGCCCGCCAGCAAGATCAAGGGTGTACTAGAGGCGGTGCGACAGCTGCTGATCGAACCCAACCCCGACGACCCCCTCGAGACGCGCATCGCCGAAGAATACAAGAACAACCGGGCCGAGTTTGAGAAGAACGCCAAGAGCTATGTGCAGCGATACGCGAAGGACACTTTGAAGGAGAACTCTTCAAAGACCACCACAAAGAAGGAGACTCTGAAGAACGCCCCGTCCAAGGTTTGAGTATGGAAACAACCTCCGATGATGGATCGGCCGGCTGGCGTAGGTGGCGTACATGGCAGGGAATCTCTAAATTGATTGTACTGAACGGGGGCAACATCGCACAAGTTGCATTTGATACCATGGGATAGAAACTGGAATAAAGGGCATCTGAAAGTTATCTTTTCATGGCAGACGTTGAGAATTGCGCGTAAGGGGTTGGAACAATCGCACCGAGGAAGGCACGCCAAGTATGGGGGCATACAGAGAGTTCTGGCATAGGCTCTGGTCCCCAACGCCCGTGTCAATGAGAAGGATTGGCCATCATCAACCGCATTTTTCATCAACATTCATGGATAGGGCCTTAGGACAAGTCAACTCGACAGTTTCGGATGTAATTGGGCCTCTTGACTCTTTCATTGGTTAAGATACCAGTCTTGGCTGCCACGGTGGTTCGCTGTGACTACTGAGACTGGCAGGCGTCGTCACACAGACCATACGAACACCTAGCAGCTCAGCATCACTCCATTCATCAACAACCCTACTTACAGGTAAGCTCCTAGCCCGTCACCTATTGTCTATTAAGCCAGTGTAATGCATTGCATTGTAGCAGTTTATTCCCCTGGGACTTCATAGAATGACTGATCTTGGTCATTCATTCATGGGACGTACCACGTACGATCGAACTTATCCCATGTTACCCCATGGTATCCTGTAATAATGTCTGCTATGCCATCTACAGTCCAGTCTCGCTTGCTTATTTCGTAGCAGGCTTCATCGGAGTAGCTTCCGTATATCGGATTCCTTCTGGCTGTTCTCACGTGTACCAGCTCAAGCGCTCAAGGCAAGCAGTCGCAACCCATCGTCATGGCCAGGGACCAGCCCACGCAGACGACCTGTGGGCTCTCGCCAAATCTCCATCTTCTCTGTTTCATTCTTCACTTAATCGTTGAGCAATCGTATTCTCGCTTTTTTTGGTCGATACCATCCATCAGCTTGCTACATCATCATCGTTGCTCTCTCATCAGCATTCATCTACATCACACAGGATCAGCATCACAGAATCATCAACGTACTTCGCGATCACGGAAGTAGACACGCAAACTCCCCCCTCATCCACCATGCTCGCCTCGGCTTTGTCCTCCGAGTGGCACCCCAATGACAAATTGAACGGATCCAATAACCCATCTCCTTCCCAGAATGGCGACCCTCCTGCCGACTCGGTTCAGAATGACGAAGCTTCGTCCCCAAACGGCAACCCCTCGAACCAGACCGGCGGATCCTCATTTCTGAGTCCGGTGCAGCACAACAACCATGGAGCAAATTCCAGCGACTCCTACATGACAATGGAGCCCACCGAGCACTCTGCCATCGAAAGCAAGGGACCCCCTCCAGCCTACACCATGCCAGGCCCTTCTGAACGACCCCCAACCAAGAACTACCGCGCCAAAGCCCTCTGGGCCAAAGTCAAATCCAAGCTGAACCACCTCGCCAGCCGCAATGCCGCTAATAATAACAACCCCAACAAAACCTTCAAACAACAGCAAAGAGACCAAGCCCGGATCCAAGGCACCCCGGATCACGTTATGTCGGCCCTGGCCTGCGCGGCTCCGGCAACCACGTTGAGAGGCAGCGTCCGCGATAAGCTGAAGAAGCCGTTTCGGCGAAGCGGAGGCGGCGCCGCCTCGAAGGGGCCACACGACAGAGAGGACGGCCCGGCGCTCGCTTCGGGCGCTTTGGCGGGATTTGAAGACGGTCCCGCGTTGGAGAATTACGGAGGTTCTGGCTTGGAGGCGCCCTGTGTGAAGTCGACCGGCACGGCCGTTGCTGGGGTTCCGGCGATTGAGGTGACTAGTGTTTCGGATATGGAGAAGTTAAGTAAGGAACGAACTTGAGTTGGAAGGAAGGATCGAAGGGGGGACTTGCATAACAATAGAAAGGGCTACGTATATGATGGCTTGGCCACAATACAGGAATTACAGCTTGCTTATGCCATGGGATATGAATACTTGTGACATAAGATAGCCGTGTTTATAAAGTAGAGTGATTCAGATGTATACTGAAGAAACGGAATTTTAGAGTTCGGCTAGATGGCTCAATGCCATGAAGAATAAAGGGACCAGTTCACGTTACCACGCCATCCATGAATGAGAACTCCATCAGTTGCCTGAAGAGCAATATATTGTCCACTCGGCTCAGTAGAAATGATCGACATAAATCAAGCATCTTAGTCTATGGATCATCGCGTCGCTGTGAACGGCGTATTTCCGTCGTGGCAAACGGACTAGGCCCGGAACCAGGACTCCTTGTTCCTCTCTTCAGTAGTATGCTATTTGGCGAATGCCCGTTGATTCGGTTGAATCGATGCTTTGGTCTCTCATGAAGTAGGGCTGGAGTGGTATGAGAGAATCACGAAATATCTTGCTAGCCTTGTTTCTCCATGGCGCCTAGAGTTGAGATAGTACCACTATAAGAGTAATTTACCTATACTTCTGATTTCCAAACAACCTTCCAGTCTATTCCGGTGAGTTTTAGAGTAAGCATTACGACAGGCAGGTCTAAGCCCGTCACTGTACGGACGGCCCACGGTGTTAGCGGTACTAAGGCCTTCGGCCACGATATCATCGAGGTCATTCGCAGCCATGGCGTCGATTCAGTGTCCCGTCCGCTTCTACAAGTGCTTTGTAGGTGTTGTTCCGAGCGCAGGCGCAAACACCTGGGGAAGCTGTAGGCCTTATTGCCCCTTTGTCATACTATTGGATGTAAACTTCGGATCTGTCCTGACAAGACGTCATTGTAGCTGGGGATGGAGTGGCGTGGAATAGTAACATTTTACTTTTAGCGCCGATTGACCATCAGTTGCTCTATTTAGAATACCCGTCTTATCTAAGCGTCCCCATAAAGTGGTCCCCTTTTTTACCGGCTTGATCATCCTAGCCTGGACCGCCAGGGTAGTTAGTCAGGGTGGAATTTCACTAAAACATGTGGAGGAGCTTATTACTACGTCCCTGAGGGTCGAGTTTGCAAACGCATAGGATATTAACTTGAAAATGTGGTCCTCAAGGGGGTCATTAGTTGTAACTGTTAATTTATAGAGATTGAGGGATTCAATCCTCTATTGATGACTCTGCGTAGATCCTGTCTTGATTGATCTATCTATCTGCTCTTGTTGTGTCTTCTGTGTAGCTATTTTATCTATGAGGAAGGGTTTTGACCCCATTTGTGCAATTGCCGCTACACCGCCTTCGGCCTAGGGCATAACCATGGCGCTCAATCCCACAGAGATCAGTTAAGTATTACAGGAAGGATAAACACCGCCATTGCCATAGTGCCATGTAGACTGGTTCTAATTAATGAGTTGAATCTCCAATGAGCCAACTGACTGGCTCTCCAGTCTTTAGTATTTTACATCAAGTATCCCTTCCATTCACCGTCAATTTAGAAATATCCCCTTCGGCCAGTCCAGATCCAAGAAGCTCTTCCCCCAAGAGATGCCAACCCACATCTGGAGGTGTTTACTGGCCATCGTCGACGTCCGTAGCCTGCCAGTCATCTTGACCTTGAGTACTTCTCTGCTGAATGACTGGTGTGCAACGACCCGAGATGTACCATGCACGATCTTTAGCCAAAGCCAAGCACAACCACGACAGCCATGCCAGCCTAGTTTCTACTAGAGGGTCTTTATGACGAAATCCAGCTGCTTTCGATTCGATCTATCTTCGACGCTACAAGGACAACTTCTGGTTAAGAAAATGACCACATCTCTCGGTTTTGTCAACTCTACACGCTCGCTCATCGCGTCTCACATCACGTGACAGCCTCATCCAAGTCCATGTGTAAGGTTTATATGTAGTATGCTTGCATTGATGCGCATTTTATGATCTACCCAGATACTCTTTCTTCTTGCCCATTTTAGTGTTAGCCATCTAGTCTAGTTACAAAGTTGTTTCGGCCGTCAAAAAGGAAGCTCGGGTCATTATTCGTCATTATATGGTGTTGTACTTTTCGAGGCGGCGCAGGTGCCGGCCGCGCCGGCCATGGAGGAGGCGATATGTGCTCATGCCCAGTGGTGTGTCCCTGTAGGTGCCGTAGGGTGGGTAGCGCGTGCCGGGAGTCGCGTGGTAGGGCGCTTGGAACTTGGACGTGAATGGGTTGGTGGTTGGAACAAATAGTGATTCGTGCTTCAGAACCGGGCATACTCCACTCCCGACAAGGCATCAAGGCGTTTCGTCCCCCCTCGATTTCTCTCTCCGCCGTCCGAACAGGGTACCTTTCCTCTTGACGTCCGATGCCTCGTCACTTGATCCTAGCCCCGATGCCACACGTTCGCGCTCAATTTTGACGGCACTCCTCCGCTCATCTCGTTTCTTCTCCACCTCCTCCTGGCTCAAGTGGCCAAAGCCATTTCGTCTCTTGAAGCACGCCTCCATCAGCGCATTGGCGTCAATCATCCTCCTGGGAATCGTCTGCACGACCTGGAAGATCTCCATAGGATCGCCCACGTTCCTGATCTCTTGCTCGCTTGTCTTGAAAATGGCCAGCGCGATGCGGAACAGCGTCTTACTACCCTCGTAAAAGAAGATGTCCCAAACACGCAGCGTGGTCTCGATAGGCAATGTTCCGATAAAACACGACATGAACCAGGCCGTCATGCATAACGTGATGGGGGGGAGCCGCTGTCCCAGTTCGGCAACACGGTTTTTGCCGCGGGCTCTGCGTTTGGGTCTGGCTGCGTCTGATCCGTCCAATTCCCCTCCGATCTTAGTCCAGACAGCGGGCATCGCATCGCGCAAAGCTTCCATTAGCACGCCCAGGTCGACGTTGGCACCTTCTAGACTCAGCTCGTGCGTACCAGGAAGATACACACGGGTTATGATGTTAAGTAACCAGAACGCATGTTCTTCTGACTCGACGAACAGGAGTAGCAGACCGGCCAGGAAGTTGAGAGACTGACAGTAGCCAATGCGGGGGTTGTAGATGGAGAAAGCGTGGAGAACGCGACGAAGTGAGGATATCATGGGGGTTTCGTCGGGTCGAGCTGCGTTGCCCATCGGCTCCGTCACGGTCTGCTGGCTGTTTCGGCTCGGCGGTGCCTGGGATGGCTTCCCAGATCGAAATTTGATGTTGTCGGGGAAGGTGCGGTGTAAATCTCGCTCAATGGCTTCGTCGTCGACGTCTTTGGCCTCGGCCTTCAATAGGCTGTCGTAGACTCCTGCGTGCTTGGCCACGATGGCGGGGCCACCTGCGTAGTAGAACCATGCCGCACCTCTCCATTCCGGGGGGATGCCTTTGCGAACAAAGCGTTTCGTCTTTGCTGATCGCTGGGGGAATCGATTTGGATCGTCTGTCATGAGCCCGCTCTCTTTGAGGAAAGCTGTCCATTTCTTCCTCCTCCGTGCCATGTAATCTGTGTAGCCACTGTTCCAACTGTCGTACTGCTCTTTCGTAACATACTGGTTCTCTTTGCGGAAACCGTATCGATCTCGCGTGTCGTCGTTCATGTCCGTGTCGGTTGTCAGATGCGTAAACTGCCTTCGCGGCCTCGACATGGGAATATCGTCGTCGTGGTTGTCTAGTAGCTTGCCTGAGTCGTGTTTTGTTCCATGGGCGATGTCAGCGTTGATTTCTATGGCAGGCGATGTGGAGATAACCGAGTTGCGAAACACGGCAACTGAATCGCGCACCGCCGCATTGGGGCTAGGAGCCGGACCAACTTGCGGGGCTCTGGTACTGGCGCCGGGAATTGGTAGAGCGTCCGTCATGGCCTCTAGCATGGCGCTCCTCCTGCGGCTGCGTTCTGAGCAGGCGGTCGCTGGTCTCGAATCGTCGTGGTGATGCTCACCCGGTGCGGGCGAGTCGTCGCGAAACCCCTTAGCGTACATGCCCATAACATCGTCAACGCTGAGGCCGTCGTCCAATTGCCCGTATATCGAAGTAATGGAGCTGGTCTTGGTCATCAAGCTACTCCTCTCGGTTGTTTGGGTTCCTGGGGCCGTCGATGCCGACAGCTGGGAGCGGTAGCTGGATCTTAGCTGGTCTTCGGCTGATGCCATTTTCCGTAGGGGGTTTCGTGTCAAAGAGGCGCCATTTTCATAGGTCAAGGGTGGTCGGGTAAGGGATGGGTTTGCTTGTCGACTCCTGCCGCGGACGCTATCGCGCGAGTGGAGGTCGGGCGAAGGGCGGACGGGAAGGGATGCGAATGTGGCGGCGGACCGGTTGGAGGAGATAGAGTGATTTCGTTCACGAGGCCACAGGAGATGTGGGTTGTGAGAGGTGTCGGTTTGGGTCGGGTCGGAGATTGTAGACGCCGTGTTTGTAGGATATCGAGATCGGAGGGATTCGGGGTATGATTGCTTCAGGCTGAGGCTTGGCTTCCGCGGCCTCGAGAAGTTGTCCACCAACATCGGGTCGCCGACAACATGCCGACTCTCAATTGAATTCATGTTGATCATTGGGCTCAATGGCGGGCAATCATCTCTGATTTCCGAGGTTTCGGAATCAATGCTATGGCTGCGTTCCCCGTGTGAATTTATTGGTGCAGGGAAGTGGGCAGTCGTAGCCGTCAATGGCAATTGGAGGTTTGCAGGGGAAGCAGACCTTTTGTCGTAGAGATTAGTCGAGCTGTTGGCGAGAGATGCCCAGCGGGGAGCGACGGGTGAGAGCGGCGTGGGCGGTGGCTGGGGACCGAAGTCGTACTGGGCCGAGGGTGTGTCGAGATCGGTGGTGGCCGAGGAGCCGGGACGGTAGAAATTAGGATGTTGTTGCGGACGCAAAGGTGAGTGTCGAGATGGTGGATGTAATGATGTTGGGTATTCTTGGTATTCTTGATCCTCCTCCTCATCGACGGGACTGGGGAGGTCTGACATTGGGCTGGTAACTGTCACGGGGGTCGAGGGCTGCGACGACGTTGGTGTCTGTGTGCGTACTCTTGAGGCATAGAGCCCAAACTCCCTGAACTTCAAGCTCCGTTCTCGTCTGACACTTGGCCCGCGAACAGACGTTGCAGCAGAAAACTGGCCGGGATCCCCCTCGAATACTGACGTCCCTGACGGCCCTGACAATGGCCCTCCTTCCATCTCGTCCGACGGGGCCATTGCTTGTGCCATGGCGGCATCAGGTTCGTAAAGGAACAAAAAAACAGCTTCAGATATAGGCCACGTTGAAAGGACGGTCAAGACAATGAGAGACACGTTCAATCCAATTCAAGCTGACATCCACAAGTGACAAGGCCCGAGTCTTGACTTTCACCCCAAGCGGGAAGACAGTGGGGACGGAGCAATCGAAGGCAGGTACGAAGTACTTAGCGGGAAATTCTCTGCTGGCGGGGCCGTGGCCCGTCACCTCCCAAAATTCGCAGCACAGCACAGATTCCCTGCTGTAATTGCTTGGCGAAACGCCTGGACGGACGCTAGACGGCCGCCGCCAGTGCCCGCTTTATATACGCGGGTGCAGACGAAAGTGCTGGTGTCGAGCGAAATATTAGGTAGACAGATAGACGGACAGTCGGAATTTTAACGGCAATTGCTGTAATCCCAGATAGCAATACAAGATAGCGTGAACATGAGGCGAGGTGTACGGCTCGCGTTGAATTGGATCTGCTGGGACCCTCAAGACGGACGTTAGAGAGCTCTGGGAAAGGAGAGAACCTGGATTGCCAGAATGCGCCAATGCAGCTTTAGAATCGTGCAGCCGAATGTCCTGCAGGGCAATGGATCATACCGCCCCAGAATTGCATGCGGCACCTACAAGGGCGCTATCGTCTGACTTCGGGATTGCATATGCGAGCTGGCCAATCCTCGTACGGTAATATGTCTTCACCTGCGTGATAGAGGATAGAGGATGCAGGTCGATATGCATACGTTGTGATGGTCTCGCTGCATACCTTGCGGCTTGAGGGATGACGAGCGCCGTTCGGAACACAAAGTTGCTGAGCAACTGGACTGGGCAGGTTCCACCGAATTACAACCACGGCGTCTGTTTCAACGGCCGGCCTCCTCAGGGTCGTGTATGAGTTGAGAGGGGGCAGAAAGATAGCCGTTGACGCAGTCCGGACTTCCCGGCTTCAGCCACAGCCAACAGAAGTTCAGACTATGAGACAGCGCTACCATGTATCTCGCAGCTATACAATAGAGCAGTGCATTTGGATAGTGGTCAAGTGAAAACACTTTGAGGCACACGCGGAGGGACCCTATGAACACTATGAGCAGCCCTATTTGTTGGCAGTTTTGGTAGTTGGACACCAGTTGGACACCAGGTCGATGTCAACCTGCAAGCTTAGTTTTGGCTGTGCTGAGCTCAGCCGACTCACTCGAAATTACAATTTGACAATGGCACGATAGTCCGTGGACGAATCGCTGCAAAGTGCTGAAATTGGATTGGAATGGGCCGCTGTGGTGCCTGAGCGGACATGAGACGGATTGGGATGTCACGCTCGGCTCGTCCATCCGCCCCTTGTGCGTGTCCAGTCGGCTGTGTTATTGGTCGAGACGGGCCAAAAGAGGAAACCGAAAGGAAGGCACCAGGAACAAATCAATAGTTCTACCACACCCCTTGCTCCACGATGATGTCAATTTTGTGACAGCTCTCCTCAGCAGTCCGCAGGTCCAATCTTCAGCGTCCCAATTCATTTCCATTTACATCAGACAAGAACAATAGCCCACATTGCAACGGTACTTTAAAGGAGTCTCATCTGTCAGCAAATGCACAGTCATCATTACCGACCCTCCCGTCACTGGCTTTATTGGGTTGAGCATCTACCAACAAGACCGTTCAATGCTATAATCGTTGACAAGGCCTGATAGCATCCATGCCCAAATTCTAACTTGGTGGTCCACTGCCGTGGTTCAAGGGGTTGGTTCGGGGTTCGGGGCAGTCGCTAGCGCCCACAAGGCCATTTGGGGTCTAGTTCTTACAAATGGGGTTGCATTCCTTCCTTCCCAACGAGATTTGGGGCATTTTTAGAATTTCGGATTTCTGTGCATGTCGCATCCTCATCTCTTTTCACAATTCTGCTGTCAACAGATCTCGATGATTTTGTTACCAAAAACAGGCAGTCCTGACCACAACACAGAGCGGTCTGTCTCTGTTTGCAACGGTAAGTGTCGACTATGTTCTCTCATTTTCAGCTCTCTTATCGTCGACGAGTCAGTCATGCCCAAGTCCAACGTTGGTTGTCAGCTGCACCCGCCTCACAAGCGATACCCGATATCTTCGGGCCAAGAAACCATGACCTTGGACCTAGATATTGATCAGCAAGCCAGCCTTGCCAAACAGATGCCTACGCCCTTAATCGCTCTGGAGCTGCACATCTCCCAAGCAGGAAGCCCAGCCAAACAGCTGCGCAGAAAGTCTCACGTCGAGAGAGACTCATACACCAGTGCGATTATGCTGCAAATTCTCTCCTGTCGTGCAGCTGCTACTCAGAGGTATCTGTCTGCCTGGTAAATTGGCGATGCCAATTGCATCGTCGTTAAAAGGCCCTCACTCTCCAATATTCTTTCATTTTCGGTCATCTCATTTCCATCGCCTTTCCCCTCACCAGACGCGCTTCACAGCATCATCAGAGTTACGTCCCATGCTCGGGGCAACCCCCGAAGGTTGGTTTTTAAGTTTCGGTGCTGGTGCAACATCGCTGCCAGGTTTGTTGGTACGCGTGGTTGCTTCTACGCGACGCGCCTGGAGACGCTATTTCCGCTCATCCTCCCATATGCCCGCGATCCTCTTGATCGCTGTATAAGCAATCATTTGGTCCTTCGTCTTAGCGACTGCTTTGCCGATGCAGACGACGAGTAGCATATACTTGTCTCTGCATGCGGCCGAGTCGTTATCAAAGTTGTCGAAAACGCCGCTCGTTGCTCACTATCTAGGATAATAGTCACTCCGGTTGAAATCTACCCGCAGTCTGGGAAATCTCCCCGCTGTGATGTACTGCAAACTACTTACTTCCACGGCCTCTTGTTCCGTTTGCTAAAACAAGCAGGCCTCTGATGATTATGGACGCACTCCATCGTGAATCCTCATTCGCACGACGACTGTGCAAATAGGGCTGCCTTCACTAGGCTGGGGGTTGGTTGCGGATTGGTGATCGACGACGGCACGGGAAGGGAAGGGATGATGCGAAGGGCACGCTTGCGAGCATGCCGTTGCGCCGTTTGCTTTTTCCAGTTGTGATGACGGCCATCATTTTAGAGGAAGAAACCCCACCGCTCCCCCTCACCTTCGCCCACGACTCTTCACGTGATGGATCGGATTCGACTATCCCCGATTTTTTGGCGCAAACCCAGAGCTCGTCAAGCTCGATTTTCCTTTTTGGGATCCCTTTTCAGGGCAAGGCTGCTGCGAGCTGCGTCCTGCAGGGATAAGCTCGTGGGAAGGTCTGAGCTCTTCGCTTCCCGCAGAGACAGCCAACCAGCCATCGTCATTTCGTGTCTATTCCCGATGAAGCTTCTCGGCCCAGATCGCAGCTTTGGCCAGCAAGTGATCCGAGTACCACACTCATCACCCGCAGCTTGGTGGTTCTCCCAGCGCGACCCACAATGACAAGAGGGAGGCCCACCCTGCCAGCCTACTTCCCCCAGTCGTGCTCGCTGCCAGCTGGACGAGCGAGGAGCAGCAACCAGCACAATGGGCGGACGTCGCACGCAAGCAAGCTTAGAGCTCCCCTCCGCCCCCTCTCTTTGCTGGCCAGCTCCCAGCTTACGGACCTCTCGCTCCCACCTTTGGCCCTTCCCCCCTTCCTCAGTAGCCGTTCTCAAGCGCAACACCCAACGTTCCCCCCAGCTTTTCCCTTCCCCCTTACTTTCTCTCTCCCTCACACATCCTCCAGGGAACGACACTGATCGCTTTTCTCTCCCTCGCCCGCGAAAATCACACCCCTGAAGCCCCATTGACCTCGATTTGCACCGCCAAAACCTGTTCCAGCCATGTCATCGCGCAAGAGAAAGCAAGACGAGGACGAGCTCGTTGCCCTTCCCAGTGACGAAAGCGAGGAGGAAGAGGAGTAAGTGCCGTCCAGCATCCGCATTCCTCCTTTCTGCCACTCTTGCCATCGAGTGATGGTGTGTCCAGCTCGATCTGACCAGGTATCGCATTCAATGCGCCAACACAGGCCATGCACCTCACAGTAGCGCATTGCCAGTTCCTTGGTCGCAAAGGATCGCCTCCCATAGCGCGAGCATGTTCATCGGCTTGTCACTCACAGAGTCCTAAGGCGATGCCAATGACACTTGTTAATGATGCACATAGATACATCTCAGACGAGGAAGACGGAGAGGAAGAAGGCGACGACGACGATGAGGAGTACGACGAAGAAGCTGATCCAGAGGAAGAGGGAACCAATGGCGTCGAAGGTCAGTCATGTACCAGCAGCTCGATGCTCAAATGCCGGACTCAATCAACCGACATCACTTTCGTTCTTCGGATGCCCCATTCTACAGCCGTTGGTCAATCATCCATGGACTGACAGCAGCCAGCAGACAAAGCTCCTCCATCCAAGAAGCGAAAGATAGTCGAGGCCCCCGCCGACCCTGTCCCCGCAGTCGACGACGGCGAGGAAGATGGGGAGGAAGAGGAGTTCGATGAGGAGGCTGAGGGCGAAGGCGAAGAAGAAGAAGATGGCTTTGATGATGAGGGCGAGCCCGAAGAAGAGGGCGCCGATGAGTCTATCAAGGTGAAGGTCGCAGCCCCTGTCGCCGAGGAGAAGATAGCCGACGAGGTCATTGCTAGTGGCCTCGGCGGCGACGATGAGGAGTGACGCATCACACAACATTTCTCCTTCATCTTGTCAACTTCCTTCTAGCTCCAACACACTATCAATCTTCGCCGTGCGTAGAGGTCTATGCCGTCTTACCCATGATTTGCTCCTCCTTGGTGGAATTTCCTATACCGTCATCTACACCCATTGATTCTGCTTCAAGAACATAGAGCTATCGTTTCCCAGATAGTGTGTTGGCGACGGCAAACGGACGGGTATAAAAGGGGACGCCGCTAGATGCGGCTGATAGTAGTGTTCAACAAGTTAATCAATCATACATACCATCACAATGCTGCTTCACAGTCGACACTGATGGAGACAGGAACAGACCACAAGAGCTTAATACATTGCACCGTGAGACTCATCGAGCTACGAGAAAGCATAAGCTGCCGCTCAAGGGGCCATGTATTCAGACGTTGAAGTTGGTTCACTCGAACCAATTCTCAATTAATCATCGCGGGTCTGGTCTCCCCTTTTATGTGTGGGCTGGCTACATTGCCCCTCTCTTTTCTACGACCACTTGCAACTCAAACCCCACATTTACATCCCCACGCACTCGTCACAGTGCTGCGTCGTCGAATCGACCTCTTCCTCTGCAAGTGTTGTTCTCTCTATGGTTGGTTGGCCACTAATAAGCTCTGTGGGGGGGGCGACGAACGTAATGCGGCCTTGTGGCGGCCCGATGATGGGATGAGTGGATGCGGCGACCTGTCTGAGAGGGATCCACTCATGAAAGTGGATGCAGATTTGGATCCTTATAGGGCGGAGGAGAGGGTTTGAGATTTTGAGCGTTGGATTGATAGGTCTGACGGGTGGTCAATCACGATAGGTGGACGGACTGCGGCAGTTGACCGTAGACGAGGACTGGGTCGGATTGAGATGATTGAGCTTGAGGTGTTCTTGCACTTGCGACGCGGGCAATTCAACTCAAGCAGCAATTTATGACTTCATATTCTCCTTGCCACCTTTTTCGTTTCGTTCCTCGTCTGCTTTCCCACCACCGCCCAACTCAGATTCACGAGACAGCCGGTAGCGCAGAACCTCCAACACCATGTAATGCCTCTCCCGGCTTTCAACAATTCGAACGAGCCATGGCCGTTCCGGTCCGTCCAAGAAATCGACACACCCCCCTTTCCCAATTCCTCCCCTTCCGGCACGCACGCGTTCAAGTCAACGATCACGAGCGGGTCCCCCTCGAATATCACATTGTTGGGATTCGGATCGTCGTGCGACAGATCCAGCCCCGCAAGTTTCTGATTCCATTTTCGATGCCCTAGCGATACACCTCCATGCCGAGAGGCAGCGCAAGCTCTGTACGCCACCGCTCGTAGAGCATTTCGGCGTACTTGGCGAGAAGGGGACCCCGGATCTTGCCTCCCTTGACGACACAGCCCAAGTACCGTACGATATTCGGCTGCGGGTTCTTCCTCAGCACCTCGCCGACCTGCACTTCCTTTCACTTTAGATTGTGGCGCGTCTAGTCCGGTGAGTTGTCTTGGCAGGTATCCAATTTAGGCAATTTGACGTACGAGTTGGGCGGAAGCGAATCAGGGGCTTGGGTGAGGCTGGGGCGGTAAGCTGGCCAGAGGACGTCGTCCAGCTCGGCGAGGTTGCGGCTGGCTAGGTTTCGTGTGCTACATTGCGTGGTTGCGTCGAAGTTCTCGTATTCGTCTTCACGATGAGGCTTGTAGGGGCAGACCATTTTGCCGTCCTCTTTGAGGAACGCCATGGCGCTACGGTGAATTTCCATGGTGGCTGTTCTTCAAGGCAGAAGAAGACTTAAGCATGTTTTAGTAGAGGCTTGAGATGCTTGGGTAGGTCCTATCAGCTTATTTGGCGTGGTGTATTACTTGTTTTGACAGATGAGAAATGGACTGGTCGGAGATGGCCGGCATGGGAGGGAGCAACTTCAGAGAACGTCGTATTGTTTTGCCGTCGCAGGGTATGTTGTTGTAGTTCAAAAAGTCCAGACCATATATATTACTGGAAGCATATTTAGCGTACCCATACCCCATAACGTCCCACACCCAGATCCGGGACACCCCCACATGTGGGACACCCAAAAATGCCTTATCAACACCGCTAGCCTCTAACTTCAACCTCTTTTTTCTTTACAAATATCGATTCAATCGTTACAAAATTTTATGTACGTCTTCTTTACACTAATATGAGTCAATATACCGAAGATGATATTTATCGAGCTCTTCAAGCAATAGCTACCGGTCAAAGCCTCCGAAAAGCAGCATATGAGCATGGTGTCCCAAGGTCTACTCTTTCACGACGGATTCAGGGAGCCCAGTCAAGAGATATAGCCTTCGCTGACTACCAGAGGCTCTCTCCAGCCCAGTAATCTCATCTGGCTGAATGGATTCGATTCCAGACTGCCCTAGGCCTCCCACCAACCCATCAACAGCTCAAAGACTTCGCCGAGCGTATCCTACAGATCCACAGAGACACCGAACCACTTGGAAAGAACTGGGTCCAGGCTTTTATCAAGAGGAATCCTTCAGTCAAGGTCCGGAGAAACAGAGCTATCGATTCCCAGCGTATTAATGGAGCCTCAGCTAATGTGATCAGGCAATGGTTCAAATACCTCGCTATCCCTGAGATCAAAGCTATTAAGGCCTCGAATCGATACAATATGGATGAGACAAGGTATTCTAGAAGGTAGAGGATCAAATTGTCTTGTTCTAGGATCATCTGAGACTCGTTCTATACGGAAGAAACAGCCTGGATCTCGAGCTTGGACATCTCTTATAGAGTGTATCTCTGCGACTGGTACTGCACTACCCCCACTTGTGATATACAAGGGGAAGTCTGTACAGCAGCAGTGGTTTCCTCTAGACTTGACTCCATACGAAGCCTGGAGGTTTACAGCAACAGAGAATGGGTGGACGTCAGACTCTACGGCTATTGAGTGGCTACAAAAGATCTTTATTTCTTTGACTCAACCAGAGGACCCTGAAGAGACTAGGTTACTTATCCTAGATGGGCATAGTAGCCACGAAACGACAGATTTTATGTACCTCTGCTTCATAAACAAGATACACTTGCTTTTCTTACCGCCACACACATCCCACGTTCTCCAGCCTCTCGATCAGTCAGTCTTTGGATCCCTCAAGGCAGCCTATAAGAAAGAGCTTGGTTACCTTAACCAATGGGATACTACTACTGTCGTAGGGAAGAGAAACTTTCTCCTCTGCTATAGAAAGGCACGTTTAGCAGCATTGACCATCAAGAACATTATCAGTGGATGGAAATATACTGGTCTCTGGCCTTCGAGCATAGCTAGACCCCTTATGAGCCCCCTGCTCCTTGAGAATACGTCAGCACCAATCAAACAGCCTAGTCAGACTTGCAAAGGGCACTCTAGTAGTCAGGACTGGGCGTTAGAGGCATCAGCAGTAGCCTGGTCAACGCCTAAGAGGAGAGATGAGCTCCAAGATCAACTCAGCTTATTCAGCAAGCTTGATAATGATCCAAATACCCAGCGGCTACTCTTTCGGAAAGTTCAAAAGGGCTTTTATGAGAAGGACTACCAGTTAGCTGTCGCACAGCAAAAGATTGAGGCAATAGAGGCAGAGCTTGAGGCTAGTAGGGCTAGGAAGCGGAGGAAGGTCAAGATGAGCCCTAATTCGAAGTTTACTAATATCAAGGCTATTCGGAAGGCTCAAATCGAGGCTGGTGAAATTGAGGGTAGTACAGATGAGTCTAGAGAGTCTGAAAACCCTAGTGATGGTGAAAGCTGTATTGTAGTCGCATCAGAATAAGTGTAAAAAAGGTTGAAGTCAATGGTTATAATATACAGCATCATTTTTAGGCGTCCCACATGTGGGGGTGTCCCGGATGTGGGTGTGGGACGTTAATCAAGTTGGCTACATTGTCTTGGCACCGTACGAACAACTTCAATAACTTAAGTACAACCAAAAACTCAATTTAAACCAATCGGAATCCTCTTCCTCGTACGCCTCTTCATTATAATAAGCACGAGCAATATTTCTGGGCTCTCCGCAGATCCTATAGCGCCGTCAGCGTGGTTCGGCCGTTCTCATACAACGACTTACACGTATATTATTCTGTAGCTACAGTTTAATCTCCCGTTAAGACTAGAAGTCCCAAGCGTCTCGTGAACTAAGAGATGCTCTATCTTATAGCTATCGGTTTTTAGTCCTCTAACGACGGCTTAGCTCTTAATCAGCCCTTCGAAGTATAAGGTAAGTATATATCGTACGACCGCCGAATCTCCTAATTCCGAAAGATTGTAAATAGATTATCGAGTATCGCGTCGAGGTAGTATTCCGCGTTTTCGGTTAGCTAGAGTTATACGAGGGACATCATACAGTCAGTCAGTCAGTGCGTCGGATACTTGATTCGGGTTGCGATTGAAGCGCCTGACACGCTAGAATTATATCGCTTTCTTTCTAATTTGATCCTATCCCGGTGTGTGTAAGGATGTTAGTTGAGATGTAGTTCGCGCGGTGCTAAGAAAAAGTGTCCAACTTGCTTATGGGATACGTTATATGATGTATTGAAGATTGCTTTGTAAATAAATTCTTACTTCACTAAAGTCTTCACCAACACTACTCAGGGGCCAAGCCCACACACTTAATCACAAATTGAGCTGAAAGTTTCGGGCTATGGAAAAGCTTCCACATGTGCAATATAACACTATTAGAGTTGTTAAAAGTCATAATCATGACACATCCAAAACACATATACTAGCGGGTCCTGGTATGGTCAATATACGATGGCCAAGTCGGCTAGGACGCCATTGCGTTGCATTTACTGGCTTTGTCGATGATAGAAGACGGCTTAACACATGGTACATCATGATATAAAGGAGGTTTGTTCTGACATATGGTGAGTATTCTATATCCCTAGGGTTGTCTTCGTCAGGTGTCTATGTTGTGTGATAAGAACAAGACCTTCAACCCTCGTCACTCCTCGGAAAAGCCACAAGACAAACTGCTATTGCCATTTTCATCACCGCCTTGGTCCCTCCAAAACCCTAATTACATAACAAAGAAATGACATAGCTGCAATCAGGTGGTATTACTACGAGTTGCACGTGGTATACACTGGAATATCGAATGTATCCCATATTATTCCACTCATGTGGCACGGTTTACAGCGTCCTTTGGGGCAAAACCAATGCGTGGAGGGTTGGCAGCGTCGAAGACGACGAAAGCTGGCTTCAAGAATGAGTCTCCGAGGACTACAGTCTTATCGTCCCGATGGGACTGCAGCGCGCCGACGCATTCAGTGGTGTGGTCCCGCTTGAACTTCATGCCAATCAAATAGTTGGGAACGTGGATTTTGATGTCCTCAACACCATAGAAAAAGTCGGGAAGTTCCGAATTGCAAGGGTAAATCCACACATCCGTGTCCAGGGGAAAGTGATGCTTGTCCGGGCCGACCCGCTTTGCACCATCAACGTTTTCCCAGTACCGGCGGACGATCCCTTCGGGCATCATGGTGAACGGACTACCCAGGGCGATAATAGCGGGTATATCTTCATTCCTGTAGACGATACCGTCACCGATAGCCCAACCCGTGGTGGTAAAACCCCATAATCCCGCCTCGTTGTCGACCGCAGTGTAGGTGATGCCGTTTATATACGACGGTGTTTTCATGGCGCCAAATGTAAATCTTCCCGCTGTGGCGATATTTAGCAAATCTTACGTAGTGAAAAACACGCCAAGGGGTCAAACTGACGTCTTTCGTGGTAGAGTTCCACCGTAAATGTCGGGGCTTCCAAATCTCCAGTCATGTTTTCCAACCATGTCTTCTGCTTTACGGGCTCCACGAGGTTGCGGCTGCCGAAGGCGAGTCCCAGTTCGCCTTCGTGTCCTTCGCGATCGGGCCGTAGGCTTTTTTCCGTCAAAACAATTTCCCTCACCGTTTGTACGACCTGGTGCGGCGTGATAAGTTGGCCCACCTCAACACTGTCGCGATAAACAGGACCACCTCGTTTTGAGTCGTTCCAGTAGGCACCCTCAATCCACTCGGCGCTCTTACTGTCATCGGGATTATAAAGCTTATGATGGCTAACCAGATATTTGGGCATGGCATCGCTGTACACTCGAAAGTCGGCGTGAGTTGTGCTGAGTTTCATGTTCAAGACCTGGGGAGGATTGCCGATGCTCACAAGTATCGTGTGCTCCGTAAATTCGTAGCCGTTCAGCACCGGGGATATCGTTACGGTGTCATTGAGGCGGTCCAGCTGAAGCGGGGCGAAGGATTCGACTTGGGGTGCAGTTGATGCCGCAGGAGCTAGGATGGCGAGGGCGGCCAGTGCAATAACAAAGTAGCCTGCCATAATTTTCGTGTGAAAGTTGGGTTTAGATAGTAATAGGAATTGCTTGCTTGCTCGACGCAGTGTCGGATCGAGATAATTTAGATATTATTCGGTGAAGTTGTAACCGATAATGAGCTTGTTTCGCAAAGAGTGCTACCTTTTATATGTGGAAAGATTCTTTAAGTTAATAACAAGTTTGGTAGTCGGAGGTACCCTATTGGCGAAAGTAATATACGAGACTCGAAGATTCCCATCTCCATTGAAATATTTGGTAAAGGTTATCGAACCTGGCTGCAAAGAACGTTACGGTGCGCGATTCCAGTATTTTGAGTTTGGTCCAATGCCACCGTTAGGGATACTGGAATTCTCTCGCAATAGCCGGCTTTTGGCCACCCATCAGAGTGGAGAAAGCCTTTCCTGCCTCTAGTTGGAAGTCAAGGTTCAGGAGCCCAAGGACATAACGCCCACTAATCTCTAGCAAAGTAGTAAGATAACTACTTTCAGAATTCATTGTATCATGCTTCCGAACCTCATGAAGATATGGACTGGTTACAGCAGAAGCATATGCATGTCGTCTTCAGGTGCCGCAGTAAGCGGCTAACATAAATAAGGGCACCCCGTGAGGCTGAAATTAGCCCCATGAGAACACGAGTACTTGTAATGCAACAGCATTTGGCCAATGAATTGCGATTTATGTCTTTGGTTGACGCTTAGCATGTGTACTGGTTTGTAAGCTTGGATAATTGAGAAGCTGAAATCTTGGCCCCCTTTCCCGAGTAGCAAGCAGTCCACGAACTATATTTCGTACTCGAAAGGCCCAATACATGGTGATAGATAAGTATCGCATAGTAGCCATGAATTTTGCGTGGGAAACTTTGCTGTTATCGGTACTATTCTGAATAGTCCTACTTGAGAACTAATTTGTGATGTTTGGTATTCCTGGGCGAAGCAAGGGTTGGAATAACTGTCGTCAAAGACGGGTACGATGTGGCGCGTCAACACTTTACACCTCATAATCACTCCATAAACTACTGTCCAACATCGGCACATGAAAATCTGCTTACAATAGACTAACAAAAGGGGGAAAGCCCCTCTGTAACGCTGTAAAAAGGCCAGCTTCGAATGTCTCGGTTACATACGTGCAACGGAATTATGACATACGTTTACTGACCATCTCTAGCACCTATAAGTTCTCTCAACACCACTACGGAAAGGTGGGTGGCCGGAAAGATGGGGTTATACGTTAGTAGCATTGCTAATGCCACTGTAATAATTGATCCACTTGAAGATCTCCTCATGCCAAACCCTGCTGTTCTCCCGGTTCAAAACCCAGTGGTTCTCATCCGGGAAATTCAAAAACTTGGATGGCACGCCCTTCACTTGTAACAGGTTGAAGAGCAAGATTCCCTCACTGACGGGAAGACGGAAGTCGAGGTCGTTGTGGACGACGAAATGTGGCGTTTGCCAGTTGTCCACGTACAGGATGGGGTTCCAGTCGTAGTAAGGCGAGCCCGGGGACAGGCTGGACTCGTTGAAGACGCCATGGAAGTCGTGTTCCATGAACCAGAGCTCCTCGCTAGCCCACTGGTTCAGCGTCGAGGTCGAGCCGTCGTGGGTGACGATGGCTTGGAACCAGCGGCCCATTTCGTGGCCTTGAATCCTATTTTGGTTGTCAGAACGGCCAACGAGAAGAAAAGGAAAGGAAAGAAAGCTTACCAATTCGACATGTACCCTCCAAACGAAGCACCCGCATGGATTCCCTTAGCGGTATCAACATACTTCAGCGTATCATTCACATACTGCCACGCATGGACCACATCCCAATACGGATACGACCCCCACTGCCCCTGAATCGCATCCGTCAAATTCTGCCCCCAGCCACTCGACGCCGTCGGATTGGGCGCGATGACCACATAACCCTGATCGGCCCAGACCTTAAAATTCCACCTCGTTGACCAGCTGTTGAAGTGCGCGCCCTGGGGACCACCGTGCGTGATGAAGGCAAGCGGGTACGTCTTGCTTTCGTCAAACCCTGCCGGATACACAATCCAGGCCTGCTGCTCAATCTCGGACGTGTTAGATTTGTAGTAGAACTCAGACACGTCCTCGGGGCTTAGGCCTGCGAGTTCGGGGTCGACTTTGTTGGCTTGGAAGTAGATGGTATCGACTTCCCCCGTCGGGGTCACGGTGTAGATATCGCGGCTGGTCCAGATCTTGGAGTCGGAGACGAGAATGTTGGAGTTGGGCAGGACGTAAAAGCCGGCGGCAACGCCCTCGTCGGTGATATTCTTAGGCACGTAGGAGTCATCTGCCGAAAGGGGAATAGGGAAGATGCGCTCGCGGCCTAGGTCGGGCGCGGAAACGTAGATAGTGGATGAGTCTGATGCCCACTTCGCGGTGTCGGGCGATCGGTCCCAGTCCCCGGCTAGACGAGTCACGTTGAAGTCGGCGGCGTCGGTGCTGGCCACGTACAAGATGGTACGGTCAGACTCGTAGTAGATGCCGTTCATCTGGAAGTAGGCGATCTGTTCACTGGAGGGGGAGAACTTGGGGGCCGAAGAAGCGCCCTGGGCATCGGGGTAGGGGCCATTGGGGTCTCGCGGGTTGATGGGCACGGCATCCGAGGCAGTGCCTTCGAAGTCGACCAGGTAGATCTGACTGCTGGTGAAGTTAGCCAGAGGCAAGTTGACGTCCTTGGTCAAGAAGGCAACTTTGCTGCCGTCCGGAGACAGGTCGTAGTCGTCGGCTCCATTGAGGTCGAGTGGGCTCTCGGCGTACGTGACGTTGTGGATGCCAGTCACGTAGTTAGTAAGCTGGCCGTCGAAAGAGTACGACCCGTTGTTGTTCTTCAGAGTGCCGCCGAAGACAGCGTTCAGCCTCTCGGTGCGGTAAGCATCCTGGCGGTTCCATTAGCTGCCGTTTGCTTTGAATGGATTGTCCAGTTTCGGCTTGAATAAACTCACCCAATGCCGAACATAAATCTGGGAATAGATCCTCGCAGAGCTCGCAGGCTCGGTGGCAAGGGCTTCATTGTACGCAGTCCCATTCGGGTACGCCAGCGAGTACACCAAAAACCGGATGTTCCCGTCTGACGTGAGCACAGCCTTCAGACCGGAGTACGGCGCTGGCAAGGATGCGATCAAAGTGGCACCCTCAATTGACTCCGCATCGGCGAAATAGATGCTGATGCCGCCATCCTCCTCCTCATTGGTGCCATTGATGTAGAGGAGGCTGGTAGGCTTGGAACCGACAAACACAATTTCCGAGATGTCATCCCCAGCATACCAGACAGAAATGTCTCCCGACTCAAGATCAAGCCGGTTCCATACGGTGGATGCCTCGCCAGTTTCAAACGAGTAGTTTGTCGCTGTGAATAGCGCAAAGTCCTGTCATGGAGAAGGTTAGTTTTGTGGTTGCAGCAAAGACTTGAGGAAATTGGGCTACGAACGCCACTTGGGTTAGGCAGTGCATCCGAGTATCGATTCGCCGCCAGCATCCCCTCTGGCGTGATTGCCGTCACGCCACATAGGGCTGTCAAGGCCGCGACTGCCCACGTCTGAGTTTGGAATCGCCTCATCTTGAGATGCAGACTTCAACTGACTTGAGCAAAAGTTGAATGACGGCTGAAGAGTGCATTCACAAGGGGACAAGGAGAAGAGTGCGCCGCGGTTGCGGTTTTATTAACTTCTTGAACGCCTTGCATTCTTGTAGGCAGCAAGCGCGATTTCGCGTTGCGCCATTCTCCGCTCTTCGTTGGCCAAGCCTGCATTCCGTTGCGACCTGCTCGTTTGGGTGAATTAACCCGTCACACAATCGTACGCCAGTCTCATTGTCCGAGTCAACGGTGGGGTCACTGTTTTCCCGTCGTTTAGAAGTATATGCATGCGGCTGTGCCGTTCGCTCACCTCGATGCTCGTGAGCTCATCTTTTTGGAGTAGCTCAGAACCCAGCTTTTCTTGGAAGGCCCCTTGCGATCGTCACGCTGCACCGTAGGCGAATTCTCCCCGTAGTTCTGTATCGTACCGAATAGGGAATCGGTGTTTACACCTTATTCCGAGCTGACAGCTCGAGAGCTTGGCAATCCAGTGTGACATGAAGTCAATTATTGTTGGTGCTTACATGTCAACCAAGGACAGGCAGGTGGTTGGTGAAAGCAGGTAGGTGCATATTATTAGATACAGGGGTCGTGGGAAAATGGCCATTAGTGTGGAGTGGCTGAGATTACCAGCCGCTTAGCTCCGGACCTTTCCTGCAGAGCTTGGAAGATACAACCCATTTAACCCACCACGTAAAATACATCACGATTCAATACCTGTCTATGTCGTTGTTAGCTGCCGTTTCCAGTAGCTTCTGCGATAGGCGTAAGCAGCCAAGAAAAACTGCAAGATATAACCTGCTATAACCCCGGGTAGCCTACATTCGAAGCCGGTCAACCGGTTGTGCGACGATCGCTAAAGGTTATTACGGTGAACACCGTAAATATTAGGGTCCAGATCTATTGTGGCACATGTCCTGTGGCTTCAACCTGTCAGCTACAGATATAAAGTAATATCTTCTTCTTATACTTGTTCTCTACTAAAAGACATAGACAGACCCTAGGGTTTATACAGCCGTATTTCCTACCTGATGGTTAAAGGCCCACGAATCTCGACAAGTCTTAACCGCATTGACCACCTTCTTATATGCACCTCTAATTTGTCGGAAGATTATACGGCCACAACAATAATGCGTCACTCATTCACTTTGCAATTATTCTACATCCTCACACAAAATGCCTGGTCCGGTGGAATATACTGCCGATGATTTCGAGTAGCGAATCAAGGATGCTCAGAAGTAGGGACACCATGAAGAAGATGAAAATAGGAGAGCGCGACGAGACTTAAAGTAGAAGAAAAGCGTTATAGGGTACGAACTGTTGGATTCCAATACCAGGGGCTGCATTGGTATGATAAAGGCGCTTGGGGAACCACTCCCAAGTTAGCGTCTGAGGGGTCCCTAAATACTACAATCCGTGCCTGCCTGCCTGCCTTCCTTCTATCCCTCCATACCGGCTACAACTTCCTACACGTACTTGTGCACTCGATACAGATACGTCTGAAGAAGAAGATTGAGATTGCTTTTGATTGACAATTTATGCCGTGGTCAAATTATTACGATTCTAGTCATATGGTTTAGGTTTAAGCACGTCGCTTGCTTATTATTTACGTTATCTGTTAAGTAAACAGTTTAAGAGGACTACGAAATTTGGGGATAACTTGTCGGATTAGTTAATAGTCGAGTATAATGAAAACATAAGAAAACGAGTATCTAGGCCATAACATTCTCTACCCCCTCTAGACGATGTTTGACTGAGCTATTAGCTAAGCAGTCGAATCATCCCAGAATGTCACCATCTCTGCCGCAAGGCATTGCTATTGTACCATTCTGCTAATGTGTGGCGTGGCCCAAACTCGGCGCGACCTCATCTCTTGTTGAGCTTGCTCACTGCTCGCAGGTGCATCTATCACGAAGTGATCAGATATCAATTCCGGAAGCACACGGTATTCTCGACTCACACGCCAACTTCTGCATGGCGAAGAACATGCAGACGAGCTGTATCTCGGTGAATTCGTGCTGCACCTCAAGACCGCTCTCTGAAATATCACTGGCTTGAACCCCTTGATCACGTGTTTCAGCTAAATCAATTATGGTTAGAAATATTAGAAATTGACAAAGCCTAAGCTGTGGTGACACATCATGACTTACACATCGTGACTTACGGTACGGTAGAGCTCCTTCTTCAGGATCCCTAGGGACAGATTGTGCTTCCGTGAACGGCCTAATGGGATGCTTTCTCGAACCGTTGCGAAAGACCGTATTGGTAAAAGTGTGGTTTCTTCCAGGGCAAGGAGGAGATGAAGCTTGCCTTTTGCCAGTTTGATAGCTTCTTCTTGTCGGGAAAGGCTTCAGTAGTGGCGCTGAGCTGCTCCTGCCATTACGGCATTTAGCGCACACTTCATAATGGCAAGGGAATACACTAATCATTGCAGTTTCAGATGAAATGTAGATGCATCAGTATCGACAAATCAAGTTCAAACAGCGCGCATTTCTACATTGGTAGACTGGCAGCGACAACACCACGTCCAAATAGAATAGGTTTTCCACGGCATCTGGCCGCCAACAAAGCTTTCAGTCATAATGGGGTTTTTACCTCCTGATTAGCTGCTGGAGTAATACGATACTCGCAGTGTTGATGGTCCTGTCCCTTAACATAAGGTTGACCTCAGCTGCAATATAAGTGATGGTGCACTGGGGTTTACCGCGCCCAAGTTGGATTTTACAGGCCCATCTTCAATAAGTGAAAAGCGATGAATTTCAAGAGAAAAGGTCGGGCTACAAGTAGTTGTATGCGTCCCCGATTTCCTGCCCAGAAACTGGCAAATAATACATGCCTGTACTTTTGGTTCTAGAAGCTCCATACCGGTATCTCGCCAGAGACTACAAAGCGCTACACGACACCATAGCCAAAATCCTTGTACGTGGCCTCACTCCAAACAAATTAGGAATGAATGGATACTGATTTCCGGAGTCTTTCTTAAAGTAGTCAACTGCATCTCTCATTGCGCTTGAAAAATCGTCGACTGGTCCTGATATATGATTGCTCATTTTACCGTTCCCCACTGTACCTGGAACTGGATCCAAGTTCAGAATAGTATCAACGGAATCCTTATCCGAAGGACGGTAGGGATAGTCGTTCCAGATCATAACGGCGATCCACATATTGATACGCGTCCAGCATTGGGCCCAACTATTCGGGTTGAAGGTTTTTTGTGGGCGGAGCCAAAGATCGGATGAAAACGATCTCCTGTCGGGTACCAAGACATCAGACGAAGTCGTGGTTAGACGAGTTGTGACCTTCGTCATAGGATGAATGTGCAAGTGACGGGTGCATTCCATGCACGGCATGTTGTCCGCGTCGCCAAAAGTGAGGAGTTCAGGATGTAGGAACCCTGTTGGGCTTCCGGCCGGGCACATGATGTCAATTCCAAGCAATTCATGTAACCCTATCGTATCGGTCGGCTTTACCATGATCTAGATGCGGAGTTTGGATTGATGACAGATGAGAAGTCCTGGAGCCACTTTGGGCTTGTTGATGAACTGCCCTGCGCTAGTTAGCCCTTCCAATACGTAGCAGCGAGACCAGCGGAACAACTTGTAACATTCTGGATTGCACGCATAGTCCCATCCATCTTCTGTTTGACGGTGACATGATTCGGCGCCGTGAGCTCTCATGACGTGTGGCTTGCGACGAATATAGCATGCCCGTCTGAGCACTTCGTACATCGTTTGCTACTCAGCGCGACTTCGAGGTTACCATAACCTGCATTCAACAGGCCCAGAGGGGCCTAGAGGACCACCGCGTAGCCGGTTTGGTGCTTTCTTACGCATATCCTAGAGTATTAAGGGGGGTTGTTTCAATCACTTAGAACCCCACAAAAGTTATTTATTCCGCGCAGGTACACCCATGGGGAGTCACAGCATCCAATCGAAACACACGCCGACATCCACTGCCAAGATGAAATCAATTCACGGGGCCTATGACGCGCCACGATCCCCCTTCATTCGACGTCCGTTTAAGCTCTTGGCGCCAAGCTTAACAGGCTCTGTTAATCTATCTGGAATGGGATCTAGTCCACGATCACGCAAGGACCTACCCATTTTTGCGTGACTATGGGCAAAGAGCCGCAGAGTCGCCCGACGACATCTGGGATGTTAGCGCCACCGTGTAGCCACTAAATGAAATCTGATAGTGAGGTCCACTGTTGGGACAGGGCTGGCCAGAGCTGACGATGCGATTTGAGGAAAGTTTTTACTGACGCGGCCCTCCTTGCTCACGGGGAGCAGGCATCGAAGAAGTTTGCGGACTCCAGCAACTATCCACGAGCCCTCCCGGTAATCAAGATGGCACTCTATTGGTGACACCCTATTCGAGGTGCCCCTCCGGAGAAATATGCAGGATTGCCGATGAGGAGGCTAGCATACGCGGGGAGCCAAGTCGTGGTTATAAGACTCGGGATTTCCATCGACTGACAATAGAGTCTTTCGTTCTTCAGCTTGCGTCTCTACACTCTTTCTAAGTGACAGCACCTGTTCTTTTTATTTTTCTTGTTTGTACTACCTGCTCATCAGCTTCTATTCCACACTAGCGCCAGTCGCCCATCCCTTCCTTACCTACATTCAAGATGAAGTTCACCATTGCTGCCACAGCGCTGTTGGCGACTATTGCCTCCGCCTCCCCCGTCTGCCTCAGTGGCAGCAGTAGCAGTGACAGTAGCAGCGCCAGCAGTGGCAATTCCACTAGCTCTGACTCTGGCTCTACCTCTGGGTCTACCTCTGGGTCTTCCACTGGCTCTGCCACTGACGCCTGCGACGTCGGTTACTGCACCCAGAATGGCGGCACCACCGGTGGAGCCGCCGGAACGACCGTCACTGTCACCGATCTCGACAGCCTGACCGAGTACGCCGAGGCTGACGAGGCCTACACCATCATCGTCTCAGGCGAGATCTCCGGATCCGCCCAGATCCGCGTCGGCAGCGACAAGACCATCTACGGCGAGTCGGGCAGCTCCATCACGGGCGTTGGCTTCTATATCAGCGAGGTGTCCAACGTCATCATGCGCAACCTGAAGATCGCCAAGGTGCCTGCCGACAACGGCGACGCCATCGGCATCCAGGCCTCCACCAACGTCTGGGTTGACCACTGCGACGTGTCTGGCGACCTCAGCGCCGGCAAGGATGATTACGACGGTCTCGTCGACGTCACCCACGCCTCCGAATGGGTCACCATCTCCAACACCTACTTCCACGACCACTGGAAGGCATCGTTGGTCGGCCACTCCGACAGCAACGCCGACGAGGACACTGGCACCTTCCACATCACTTACGCCAACAACTACTGGAGCAACATCAACAGCCGCTGCCCCTCGCTCCGCTTCGCCACCGCCCACATCATCAACAACTACTACGAGGGTATCTTGACCACCGGTATCAACACTCGCATGGGCACCGAGGTCTACGTCGAGAGTTCCGCTTTCGCTGACTCTGCCGATGAGGCCATCACCTTTGAGGACTCCGACGAGACCGGTTACGCCGTCGTTGACGATGTTGACCTTGGTAGTAGTTCCAACTCTGCTCCTGAGGGAACCATCTCCCTCAGCGACTTCCCCTACGACACCATTGAGCCCCTTGGCTCTGATGCGCTTGCCAGCACCATCCCCACCACCGCTGGCCAGACCTTATAAAGAGGTTCTTACCCTTCCGAGTGAAGGGTAGGTGCTCACTCTTGAACCAATGACGTCTGGCATTGCCCGCCGATTGAGATATCGTCGTACAATGACGGCTGCAGGTTGTGTGTGCTGTTGGTCGTGTCAGAACTCATCAGGCTGGAGGAGGGAAAACAATTTTATTCTTGTATATACGCTGGGTTTTCCGTATAGTTTAACTCAAAATTTACTGCTCCGTTACGACTTGCTCTTTACTATCTGACTTGATGTATTGTATTATGCCCAATGACCATTGCTTATGTAGTTCAAGCTGAGCCTGAGCCAAGGGGTCAACTATTCGTATTTGGTCAGCCTAATATTATGGACTTGACCTTACATAATCCGGGTGAACCATGCACAAGCGCTAACTAAGCTAAAACTTCAGCATACGGATAGGGCACTGAGGTCCCAGGGTCGGCTCAACCCAACCAACCACACCAGCACCCCCGGATTGGTGGAAAATTATATAGTAGGCAAAATGGTTGGTTTGCACTGATTGACACTGGCTGATATTAACTGTACGAAATGGGGCCGTCGGCGACCTCGTCGTCACTCTCAAGCCTATCGCCGGCCAAGCCTCGGATCCATCACAACAATAATGACCTTCTAGTGCCAATAGTGTAAAGAGTCTCTACACCAGTCTAGATGCGTGGCTTCAGAGCCAGCACTCGAGCACAGTTAGGGTCGGATCTTGCTGATTGCTATTAGGGAACATAGTGAGAAAAGAAACTCTGACGAACGGGGCTGAACTTTTGTATGGAAGGTGAAACTTGATGCTCTGCACTTTCTGTCAATACAACAAGTCCGATGTTGGTCGTATTATGCGGAAGAACTGCTACGTACATATTCTGCCTTCTTTAGAAGTATGCAATTTCGGTTGGAATCTAGATATCTACTTCCATTCGACATCTACTAGAAGCCTTCCCTCGAGAAACGTCGTCGCAGGCTATTCTGGCAACGTGAGTCACAAGAAGAATGCTGCTTAGGTAGAAACCTGCCGCGTTTAGTTGAAACTTCGGGAGTGAAATTCCTGCTAACTCGGCGCAGAAAAAAACATCTTCGTTAGATGTGAACTCCAACATCATGAGTTATGTATCTGTATTTGTCGGATTACACCAGCCCTTTTCTGGGTCTTTGGGTGTCCAACGACTATATTATAGCTTTCTTGGCTGCAACAACTAATTGATCGGATCTTCCGGTATCTTCAGCCAAACTGATTACTCTGTCCTATCTGCTCTGATGCAGTGCGTACCCTGGGATCGTTGCATGACTTCATGTACTTAAAGGCCCTTATAGCCTGTTGCGCTCTTTGAGATTCCGGGGAGGGAGGGAGGACGCATTCAATTCAATGCTTTGTTATAGCTTGCAATATGTCCAATGGTACTCTTTCGATCCCATCCACAAGACAGACAGCTCAAACAATTTGCTTGACTTGATGTGTCCAATGGTAATGCGATGCAGGAAGCATGGCTGGTCTGGCCCCATCGGCCAACGGGGATAGACATCGGCTACAAATGGCGGACGATGATAGGCCGTTATGTCGAAACAGCAGCATACGAGCACATTCCAGCGGGGCAAAGGCTCAACAAGCCAAATGTTGATAAACAATCCGGGGTGCAGCGGTGTAACATCTGGAACGCGCCCCTTTTCTATTTGCACAGGGATTGTGTGGACCCGTCGGTGTGAAGAGGTGCTTCTTGAAGCTGTACTACTTAAGTCATCCCAAGCAATGTTCACTGTCACACATATAGTACTTACTGCAATTCGATGACTCTTGCAAAATGGACTCTAGGCTGTTCATATCGCTCTCTAGCTGAATATCTCAAGATTTTATCGGAACCATCATTCATTCGCTCCACCCACGCAAGAGCACGCCCAACAGGGGCATCAAATCAAACCCATGGCTTGAGGTCCATCTTCCGAGTCACCCTCGAACATCGGTGCCCCGTCGTCCCACTTTTCCAGCTTGGCCTCACCCTCACCATATTCGCCCTATGTATCGCTACCTTCGCCACGGCCATCCCTCGTATTTCGGACGAGTTCCATGGTTTGTAGGATACTGGGTGGTATGGTTCCGGTAGGTCCCGACCAGACATACATATCAAGAATCCTGTAGCATATGCTGACAATATGCGCCAACCACTACAGCCTGACTTCTTGGAATGTGTAGCGAGCCGCTTGGCAGGTAACTGTGCTCAGAGCTCTTCAGATATGTGCATTTCCTTCCCCAAATCTGCATGGCTCGTCTCTGATATTGACTGACATGGTATATCTGTGGGGCGGCACAACCGACCCTCCCCGTATCGGCACCCAACGCACAATTTGGTCCTCGAGCGTCTTGACCTTCCGCCTCTGTTCCAGTTGCTTTCTGCAGATCTGATTTATCCCCGTTTACTTACAAGCAACAGGGATATGTCCCCCCTCGACCCAGCCATCTCCCGCACCCCCCTCATTCTCTCCAACGTGGCGAGCGTCATCTTGGTCGGCGGTCTTGTCCGTAAACTTGGCCACTACATGCCCTTCGTCCATGCCTGTATCGTGCTCATCTGTATTGGTCACCACGCTGACGCCAGACACCGACAAGGGAAAGCGGGTCGGGGACCAGATCCTACACGGCTTCAGAGTGGGTGCGTGTACCAGCTTCTGCAGATCGCGGCCCAGACGGCGTTGCCGCTGCAGGGCGTGCCGATGGGTCTGGCTATGATGATTTTCTTCCAGAATTTCGGGCCGGCTGTGCTATCTAGCACGGGGGATAATGTGCTGAACTCGACATCGAGGATGTCGACTCCAAAGTCGTCGCTGCCGGTACTACCGCCGTGTACGTGGTGTCGTGCCTGCCCGCTACGAGGACGATGTGAACGTTGCGTAGAATGATGCCTTGGCATGGAAGTTCCGTGTTGCGCTTCTCATGTCCTGTTTGACTGTCCTTGGTGCTGCTTTTACGGAGTGAAAAAATGTGAAGTCTGCCGGGATGGGGAGTGCACCAGTAGACACTACTGCGTGATTGATAAAATGAAGAGTCGCACAAGATCGCCCTATAAGGTCTCTCGAGCGCAGGTTTTGAGTGTTGGGGTAACCAAGATGACAGAACCATATTGGAGAGCGAGAAACTAAATTAGATTGGATCTAGTCGATTCCAAACGAGGCTACGAAAAAAGTACTCAGTCATTACTCACCGAACCCCTGGGTTTGAATCGCGCTCCATGGTATATGCCGGGCTTTGTCAGATGATGGATAGTGCGCCCGGGAGTATGGTAGCTGTCGGGATCACGGCATATGAGACAAGCTAGGAGCCAGGAAATATGCGACATGGGAGCGATACCAAGTCGCCAATCAAGCGTTCATCTTATGATAATGGAACTATCATGCTCAATTAGTCTATTCTGGGACAGCGAAGATGACCTTGAATGATTTGTCGAGGAAACTTGGGGGATTTTCATCCAGCCTTCCTCACGTCTAATGCTTGCATTAGTCCCATGGAACGGATATAGGACATGTATTGCCCATTTTTTTGCACTGCTGACCGCATCAAAGGGTAATAAGACCAAAATCCGCCTCACGCTTACTGACCCAACCAAGTATATACAAAGAGTGTTCGCTATATGCAATTAAATCCATTCCTCCAAGCCGATAGACAAATCCTGTTCTCTACATCTCGAGCCATCCAAATGTCCCCTTGTGCATCTACACTTCCCCTACTTATTATCCAAAACCTCAAAAATCCCCTCCATCAGCATCGAAGGCGCCGGCGGCGGCATGTCGCTCAAAATCCCCATATCCAGCATCGACGTAACCGGGCTATCCCTCGCACTACTCGACGCCCTGCAAGCCGGCGTCAACGGCCTCGGTTCCAACATCCCCAGCGCAATTTCCTCCGCACCTGACGCTGAGCGCTCCGCCTCCAGCGCCAAGTCCAATTTCGAGCGATGTCTGCGTATCCGGCCAGGCGAGCTCGGCGTCACGGGCGAAGGCGAAAGTGAAAACTCCGGCCGTGACGACGGCGAGGGAGAGAGGTGCTGTGAGTTTGAAGCACTTATCATGAACTCCGCTTGCAGGAGAAGGAGCAGGTCCCCGATGGTGATGCCCGGCGGGAGTTTGAAGTCCGGCCGCTCGATCCGCCTGTACGTGGGGGTCCTTTTGGGTCCACTGGGCGGGGTCTGAACCGTGCTGGCGCTGTGGCCATCATGGTCACTCTCGGATTTGGTGCTGTTGGCCTGACTTGACATCCGCTGCGGTTGCGGTTGCGGCTGTTGTGAATGCCTCAGCGATGACTTCCTGAACATGGTCTGCACCCTCAGCTTGCCGCGTAGCGACTTGCTGGATGGCTGTCGCTCCATAGTGGGGGGCAGCATGCTCTTCCTAGCCTCCTTGAGGGAATGAGTGGGATTTTCGGCCTCGAAGGCCGAGACAGCCTGGGAGACGGCGAAGTTCTGCGGGGCGGTGTGGTTCATTTCCTGAATGAGGTAGTCTAGCTGCGTCTCGTCCATGTCGGCCAGGGCATCGTAGAGCGAGCCCAGCGAGGTCTGCTGCGGCTTGTGTCGTTGATGAGGCGCCCGGCCTCCCGACGGCGGGGACGGACTTGGTGTGTTCATGTACGAATCCATCATTGGATGAGCGAGACGCGGGCTCCGGTACGATGACTCGCATGTGGGTGTGTTGCGATGCGGCGTCCAACGGTCCGTCCGGTATGCAGCTCGCAAGTGACGTGAAACTCAATCGCTGTCAATCACTCAGAATCATGAGGGTCGCCAGCAGCCACCTATCGAGTACAGGGCTGTTGGTAACCCTTCGTAGATCAGAAGGAGAATTGGGTTGATGTCGTCGGTTCTCGGAGTAATGAGAAGATGTTGATATCGATGAGAGAACTCAGCAAGGGGCGATAGCTTTCTGCCATTGCTGGCTCAGCAGCGAGCTCGCAATTTCAATATTGGGTCACATGAAGATTGAGTTGTCGTTGGTGCAGGGTTGACCCCTTTTAAAATTGGGAGGTGGAGACTTCAGCCGTAACACCAGCCACGGCACGGCACCAGCCACTGTTCTTTCGCTGAATGGCCCGCTGCAATTAGACTCCGTTTGCAGCCTACAAACGGAGCACCTCACCTGCGCTGCAATTTGTCAAATGAGCACAAGCAACCAGCTTAAAAAGAAGGCTGTTGTTTGGTATTCACTAAACTCAGATCATGGCGATGTGCAGCTCCCCTTTAATCGTTCTTTCCGTGTTTCGATCTCGTTTGAATCACCCGCCTCAACCGAAGTTCAGTTGGCTCACTATGAGTTTCAGGACTTCAGGCAGGCGAACCGAGGACATCCAGTATGAAGAAGGAGCGTCGACCGTGCCAGAATAGAGTGATTGGAAGGCAAACCCCCGAGCATATCCTTATGGTGAGGCGCATCTCAGGCTCCGAAACGCCGTCATTGGACTCTGCAAGTCGGATGATAGTCTTATCCGAAAGCAGGGTGACTACTAGCCATCCGAGGACATTTCCCAGGCCCAGGGAGTGGTATACAAGCACTGATTTACCGAGGTCGAATCTGTGTGTTTCCTCGAAAACAGTTGGGATCGTCGCGTAGAGCAGCTAGACGACTTCAAATACGAACGCGATGTACAGGAGAGGAACAACATGAGAGAAGAAAGTACATCAGCTCCAGCGGCCTGTTTAACCCGTTAAGGATAACCAGGGTTGTGCTTCGGTTGCCCGAATCGTCGTCGCAGCTCTCCAGGCCATATCGGCTAAGTTCTTTCCGGAGGTGTACCGTTTGCCGTTGTGCCGTTTCCTTGTTTAGCACTTCAATGAGTACTGCGACGACAGCAGCAACGGCCAAAACAATCCGAAGTCGAAACATCACCCAATAGTATCGGCCCAAAACCCGCCGAGTAGGGGAACGACGGTGGGATCTTGTTGAGAGTTAGCAATAGGTAGTTTCATTTCAGGATAGCATGTCGCGGCACGGCACGGCATGGCCCGGCATGGCACGTCATGACATAACATGAATATGTGGTACAATGGCGAATTACCAAGCGAGGGCCAATATTCCATATGCCTATAGCGAAGGTACGTTGGTCGGGGCGGAACAGATCGCTAATGATGCTGCCCCCGATAGTATAGGTTAGGATCAGTCGGCTAATCTAAATAAGGCAGGACGGAGTACACCTACCCAACAGCCAGCACCACCGACACCGCGGAAGAATTGAGCCACAATGAGAACCTCAAGGAGCCAAGGCACACCCGATCTGCCAAGACAGAAACACAAATTGGACATGCCCAAGACAGGCTTGCGCCCTTATATCTTCGACAGAGGAGGGGCGATAAATACCGGGCCGACGACGTATCCAAGTAAGTATATGCTGACTGTCATGGATCCGACAATGACGTTGTCGTTGTCGAACTCTTCGACTAACTTCGCAGTGGCAGGGGAGAAAATCAAGGACGCGAAGGGAGTCAGCAGGGTAATGGCGGACAAGAGCCCAACTCACATTCACTTGTGCCGTCCTGGGAAATTTCAGGGCATCTGGGGATAATCCTGACTCTCCCAGCCGATGATACCCTCGTTCAGGCTGGTGAGCGGCAGCAGTTAATGACGTAGTCCCTCCTTTTTGTCCGTCCGCCGCTTCACAATGCTCAGTATAGGTGGGAAGGTACGGCCAAGTACAGGGCTACAAAACCCCGCCCCAAAACCAGAAGTAACCATCATAGAAAAAAAAACCATCTTTTTTTTGGCCTTTATATAAATCTGGTAGTATGTGGGAAGCCTTGCTTTTGATGCTAGGTTAGGACAGTCTTGCATATGTGGCTAGACTAGATTGCGCTAGGAGTATGTTATATATTGTCGGATTCCAATCAGCGGGGGCTGTACTGGTACGACGAAGCTGCGTAGAGGCCCAATCTCAATTTGGCCCTGAGGGATCCCTAAATACTACAATTCGTGACTGCCTACCTTGTATCCCTCTGTACGTGAGGCCACAGCTTACCACAGATATATGGAATATTGTGCCGCCTTTGTGCTCCACAACAAGTGTAGTATGGTGGACCGTGCAGCTTTAGGACACGGACTATAGATTTTAGTAGCCACAAGAGGCCTTTTAGCTATAGCTTCTCCGAATCCCGTATATCACAGTCAATACAACAGTGATACCAAAAGGTAGGGGGACCCACTGGTTAGGTGAATCCCATTCAATCAGATACTATAACGTTGCGCACTGCTGCATTATAGCATCCTCCCCCCTAGGTGCACGCATCAAACAGGTTCTCAAACACAATTGTATAGGGCTGTTTTATCTCAAGATGCAGTATACCTGTTCTTCTTATCGAACCCTAACTGTGAGATGTGAGTCACAAGCCTAGGATTATCGAAAACGGGCGAGTAGACATTCTTAGTCGAAGACCCAGCCACACACAAGATATTTATAGGAAGTGTAGGCTATCCTCTAATTTCACGACGAAGGAAGCCTCGAACCCTCGCGATAAATTAGTATGAAGTATATAATTCAACCATACTTATAATTGTAGAAGAAAATATGACAAGCTAACTTACGAAATCTCTCGGATAGCGTTCAAGAAGGAAGGTCGGTAGTAGGAGGAGTTATGTAGTACTATGAAAAGATCGAAATACCAGAGGTAATACTGTTACGGGGCTAGAGCCATTGCGGTTTAATGTGGTCAGAGGCCAATTTCAGGCCAGTATTCCCGATTGCGGCACCGCACTAGAAGATGCTAGCATTCCTAGACTCCCTTTCCTACTCTTCTCTTTTCCCTACTTATCCTAGTAAAAGTACACTAGTTGCGAACACCGCGAGCCTACCTTATTGATATCCCCAGCATACTTTCATGTAATCTTCAAACCCTGTTTTTCTGAGATCCGGTATATTCCGTATGAGGATGTAAAAATGTGTTTTAGCCCAGCTCCTTGAAGTGGAAGCTCTCAGCTTGGGTGGTCGAAGGGCGCAAAGATCTGACTGGACCCAGCAATTTTGATGGATCTTCTCATCACTTCAAGAGTCACATTTCTTACCAATGGCAAATCGAGGTGGGCTATTCGCGTCAGGGCAACTTTTATACAATACGACTTGTTCAAATGAGACAAATGTCGCTTCAGGCAAGCTAAGCTTATTTCTTTGATGTGGAAATGTGTGCAACGTGCGTAAGTAATCTCGCTATTACAGAACATCTGCCCGCAATCAACCACATATCTAGTCTGTGTGCTAATACTTCCTGCGATGACTTCAGTCAGACATCTCTCCCGCGGGGTCTTCCTGGGTTGTCGTCATGCCACTTCCGTAACATATCTCTAGGCATACGATCATCCCAAGAGATGAGCCAACTTGTGTCACCGGACGACATAGTGACCTGGTACTGAACTCCAGAACCCCGTGGTCTCGAATCCAACACCTCGATCACAGGTTGTCGAGACGTTGCCAACTCTGGCTCCTCATCGTCTGCCACTTTCACCTTTTGCCGTTTTTCCTTGTTCTGCTCTCTTTCCTCAATTCTAACCTCCCTCCTCTTCTTCTCCTACGCGAGCTCTACTGGGGTTCCGATGCACTCCTTGCAGCGGGCATCCACCCGCACCTCTTTGATCAATATGATGTTCTTGGGCGTACTAGGGCAGTTTATTTCGGAGCCTTTCTTGTCTTTAGTCTTACCACACCTCCTCCTGAAGCGCTCAAAAACATGCTCTCCTTTGCATCTGGCAGATATCAGTGCGAGGTTGCCACAGCCGCAGGGACTTTCATCCGGAGTCAGTGGTCTTTCCCGAGCATAATGTCTTCCCCTGTTTGGAATCATCAATTCTGGTGCTGGTTGCTGAGCTGACTGAATCAGATTCATTTTACAGCACGGGTTCAGTATGATTCCGCTAGTCTCGCGGTTATCGTACTTTGTCGGCAAGGAGATTCTTGTCAGACCTTATAACTACCAAAAATACCTCATTCTACAGCGAGTGGGTCCCTCGTCTTTTGACGGTCAATTTGGTCCAACAATTCTGTCAGAAGCGTACACAACGAAGTCGTCGAAGGTAACAGGTAGCGCGTAGTGTTTTGAGCTCCCATATTTGCGGGCATAGAAATCTATGTCGCATCTATACTGTTCTGGTTCTTTGAAGAGTATCAAATGTGCGGCCTTGCCTATTCTGGTTGAAAGCTGTATAGCCTCGTTCTATTTGCATTTACCTTGTTATATTTCGAAGAAAGAGTTAGCACTCATTTAAAACAAAATGCATAGTGTAGAGTCCTGTCGAATGCGGTAGTCTCTTTGTTCGAGTGTTAACTCGCATTCGTTTACCGAGACATCGATTTCTTCACCCTCCGACATTTCATCTTTGTCCACACCAAGTTTTACAATAGCTTCGGCTGAAGCACAACGTAAAGACCCCAGATATCCAGCGAGCAAGGCTAGCTCCGAAGATAAATACTCAAATACCTTTACCTATTTAACGCCTTTTTCTTTCTCTTTTGGGTCTCGTCTCTATCAATAGCTCCTGCAACCATGATCCACCCAAATGGCAGATTCTGGACGGCGAGTACGATAAGTTACCCCATGCATGGCGACGGCGAAGAACGTTGCACCGTCATTGACACGGACCGACGCCGCGAATGGTACGTACTGGGGCCGAGTAAGTACCTGACTGATCACGAAACGGACGTGATGCGCACCCAGGCAGCGATAATCAACAATCTTGACGAAGTGCAGCCGAATACCGTAACCATAAGTGTTGATGAAGACGGCGATGTCTGGGGCTTTTCTTCAAGACCTCCGAGTCCCCTTACCATGGCGGGGCTTGACAAGGCTTCCGATATCCGTATGCCGCTATTCTCCTCAGCGCCTACCTTGGCGGGCCAGCAAACAGTTGGAATATCGGCATTGAAAGAGGTCGATCGGCTAGCGCCGTTCTTTGATCTTATGCAATGGCCTGCCGGTGACGAGAATCCAAGTAACCCTCAAAATTGTGGAAACCCTGGTGACGATGGAAGTAAGAACTCAGCAGGAGGATCGAAGGTGATTTTCAAGTACGCGCTGCTCAACTACAGAGCCGAGGATCTATGGAATGAGATGCACTTCCTTCAGTGTCTGCCGCCTCACGAGCATATCCGTAAAATGGACCGACTGGTACTCAGAAACACATCCCGTATCCTGGGGTTCACTGCAAAATACATCCAACCCAAATACATAGACGGAGCCGATCTGGCCAAGGGTCAAAAGCAGTCCTTCAAACTGAAGTACCTCAAACAACTTACTGACACGCTGGACTTCCTTCATTTCTCGGCGGGCGTCGCACATGGAAACATACGGCCTTCGAATATCCTGATCGACACGACCACGGACAGCATCCAGCTCATTGACTTTGGTCTGGCAAAAGTAGCCACCGAGGAAAGCATCCAGGAAGATCTGGACAAGGTGTTTTGGACCGCCTACGAAATTGTGACGCACGACTACCAGAGGAGATTCAATGAGCCCAATGCTCGGCCCAAGAAGTGGATTGAGCGGAGGGGCATGTCATGCACGCCCGCTTCTATCCAAAAACACATTGAGCAGTGGATCACACGGCGAAGCCACCAACAGATTCCGGAGAGGCTGGTGCCTGAATGGCCCAAGTTTGAGAATGACTATCTCGAGGTCGAGGAGGAGATATTCGGGGATGCGGAAGAATATGCTGAAGCCAAGGAGAGCAACTTCGCTGACGTGAGTAGCTGAATTCTGAAGCATGGCTTTCAAGCTGGTTGACCTACAATAAACAGATGCCGTACTACAAGGAGAGTCAAGATATATTCTCCTGGGAGCGACCACCCTACTAAGAGGTCTATGGGCCTGGAATTTGGAGTACGGGGAGTGCGATTGAGGTGGATGACACAGCGCTTTCAGAATCAACTGGATCTGAGGGTAGCAAGAGGAAAGCCTCGACGAACTCTGATGAATCGGAAATAGAGAAATTGGAGAACCCGAGTATGCCTGAAATTAAGCGTGCCAAGCATTAAGGAAATGGGCAACTTATCGGGAGCACGTCATATACATCACAAGAACCGATAGCTCCGGGAATTATAGATATATGCACTGCTCAAATTGAACCCTCCCAGAGACTCCAGGAGCTTCCTCTCAGTCAGTGCTATTCACCTTTAACGAGCATGTAAAAATTGATTGACGAATGTACATCAGTGAACCTAAGAAAAACTGAGACGTTCGGAAGCATACCCCAAACTAAACCGTCAACTATGCAAACGTGACGTTCCTCCTTCCAATCCTCCTCCACCACAGACTATCCACAACCCCCACCCCTAACGTCCCCACCAGGTTCAAATACTGCTCATCCTCACTAAACGCAAATTCCCTCCTCTGCACCCTCCCAATATTTGCCGGCAAGCTTGCCGCCGTCAGCGGCCCATGCAGTACAACCCCATTGTTCTCATCAACCATCGCAGCTTCATCAAATCCAAAGGGCCCCGAGTATGCACCCGAGTGCTTGCCCACAAGCGCCCACTGCGAATCAAACCGCTCGTCTTGGTCGAGCATATTGAGACTTTCGGGCCTCCATTCCGGCTCCGTGGCGTGGATTAGAACAGACACGTAGCCGTTCGTGCTGTACGTGATGATGCCCGTGGGATGGCTGCCGCCGGTGTTGTCGTTAATGATGGCGCCGTTTTCAGTACGAGTTATGTTGAGGAGGGTAAAGGCACCGGTGAAGAGGGATATGGTGCGGGTTGAGACCATGGTGCTTATCTTTTGCTTCGGGAATATATTGCAAAAGGGAACCTGATCCCGTCTGCTCATGAATGGATTGGTGATATTTATAGTGACGACATCACACCCCCCTTGTCTGCATGTTGACGCCAATGGCGCAGTAGATACCGGCCGCCTCGTTTCTTTTTTCCCGGGAGAGGAGTGTGTGTGTGTAACTAATAAACGGGACAACCATTTCCACTCTGTTCATGGAAAATCCCGGAACAAGCCGCTTACGCAAGATATGGAAAAGCCGCATAACCCCCTCTTATTCTTGTTCAACATAATAGAGGTACATACTATGAGTGTAATACTGCACCAAATATCAAAGAATTTAGACGCACTCACTTCAATTCCCCTAATGATCAGTATGGGCAACGACAGGGCTTCTGACGATCGTGGGTTTCTACTTTTAGACCTACCAGCCTCACGCGTCCACAAAGATGCAAAAGTACATCCTGAAGACATTTGGTATTTATTTGTACTCGTTCCCGACCTGCAAGTTCCGGACATCCACCAAGCGCATCGGATTTGCGAAACCCAACCGGCATACAGGACTCATGAATGATCACCTATGCCTCCACTCCGATGTCCTTTTCAACTCGCGGTGAGGGGACCGTGACACGACGCTGCCGACAGGTTTTTCCTCGATGGCACCAGCCCGTCTCTGTGCTTGGGGGCAGGACGCTGATCAGTTGATGCTGGAGCGGGGAGAGACGAGCTGTCCCGGTTTGTCGCGGCTATATGTCCCATTTAACGGTGGGCTGCGCATCTGTTTTAGTCCGCAGTTCGCTTGGACTGAGGCGGGATATGTGTCAGTCACGATGCTGCAGAGGTTCGATGGGATCGAGTGGTTGGGCGTTGATTTGAAGAGTGACTGGCATCACTTTATGATGATGTGTAGCCCGGGGTACCCAGTATATAAGAATTAGGCAGTCATGGGTCGATTGAGGCTTGCGACTAGATAATGGTGGAAAGTTTAGAGGCTGGTGACGATGAAGGCTCGGTCCTATAAAGAACGGCATAATTGTCGATGCGCTATCGATACTAGTATGATATTCGACTCTATGTATCTTGGAGTGTTGGAAAAGGAACCTTCGAATTATACATAAGCTTCGCAACTGAGAAGGATCAGGGAAATAATATAAAGTACATTATCAAGAAATGCAGTTGTACATCAGAGAAGTCTGAGTTGAATCGAAACAAAAACACCTGCAATAGCCCCAAGTCTGGTGAGTCGCCATGTCAAAGCCGAAAATCCACCCCCTAAGAGCAGGCTTCAGGATCTTGTTGAGCAGTCTAGAAGTATCGAACCGGGAAAGATAATCTCTCAAAAACAGAGAAAGCTTTACGAGAAGTAGCAGAACCGCCACCAGAGGAAAACAACCAAGCGGGTTCGCTTAGGATATTCGAGGCCAGAATTAGTGGGAAGTGTCGAATATCACGTGTGTCCAATCGAGTAGTCAGCAGTGCGTAAGATTGTATATGAATGAGGTCTTTTTTGTCCGTGTTCTATTCTCGCGAACTCCCGTTGCTCTGCCTTTTATGGATTCTTTCGGAAAATGTCGGAGGTGCATTGTTCAGGTGTCTGACCCCTAAGTGGACCGTAACTTCGGAGTTACTTTCGGGAAGAGGGGTTCATTTCGCCGTCTGAACTTCAAGTGACACTAGTCTTCTCTAGTGCCATATTATTTCTGAACCTAGGAACCAGGTGTCCTATCTGACAGGAAGAAGATGCTAGCGAGCACGGACGATATCCACAGGCTCAATAACTCTTACACGTTACGCGGCAGCTCCAGGAACTTGAGAGGATACATAAAATGTTGCGGTGCTTTTTGTTTTTAACAGTTTTACGTCGCTCACTTTCGACTTTATTTGGTATAAGGATATTCTTGCAAATGATTTAGTTTTTCCAAGTTGCAAAGAGATAAGTGGTAGGCCTTGAGCAACGTCTTTAGAGCTATACATATAAGTGTACTTACGGCATTAGGGAGGGTTGCCTCCGAAGACTGGGAAGAACTAAAAACTACAGCCAACCACGTGATACGCAACTTCACAAGTACACACCAACGTGGCTTCTGCGATTAAATCATTGGTCAATGGGATTATATTCATCTCCTCTTCGCAATATTTTAACTCAGATGAAACGAGAAGTAAGACGACACTGAGCCTGTTGCCAGCAGCTGTGTCAAGGACCCTCGGCTTACTACTTTGAGTCTTCCGGGGATCGATTATAGTAACCCAGTGACGATATGCCCATGGTACATGAAGAGCAGGGTTGTGATAGTCTAGACAGAAATCATTCCATCCATACCGTAATTCTCTTGGGTACATCATATTTTCAGCCGTCGTGTCCGCCTTATATGGATTCAGGCGTCCAGGCCCATGGATGTCACGCCGTGCTAGGGGTTGCAATCCTTGCCACTACACCACCTTACCAGATGTCTTCACCAAAAGAGACCAATACCAAAGTCCCTGACTTTGATATCTACAACCACTTATCAATCTGTTCAGACCAGTGTAGGTCAATCACGTGACAACCGTCACAATGGACACAATCCTGGCAACCATCCAAGAACATATCATTGACAATTGATTGAGCCAGAACCCGGTATTTTCTAATCAATATTATGAGAACCTCGTGGGTATTAACCGCAACTGCGAGATCAATGACGGGCTGAACTTGGGAAGACGGCCGCATATTTTGCATGTTTCTATCCGCTGCAACATGGCATGGGTTTATTTCCCTAAAGTCACTGCGCCAACACATCGCGCCTAGTAAGTAGAGGGTACAAGCGAATTGACATAAACCTCAATATTCGCATACCCGGTACTTCCAATCGCCATAGCATCACTCGCGTCACTCGCATCCAGTCCATTCGCGGTCTCCCACTCATCCGGGATCCCATCCCCATCCGTGTCAGTCGGCGCAGTGCCGCCGGCGATATATCCCGGCCCGTTCATAGGGCTGACCGTCTCGTCGCTGATCAGCTCGCCCGTCTTTCCATAGCTCTTGACTTCATCCACAAGTCTCGCGTCGACAGCGTCGCGGGAGGGAAAGGTGTTGCCCGCGTTGGCGAGCACGTAGGTCAGTGCGTCGTCAGGGGTGAGAAGCTTAGTCGGGGTGGGGTAGTCGTATTGGGTGGTGACGATGTCCATGGGGCTGTAGCAGGTGGTGGCAACGCAGAGGACGACGCCGTTGAGGATGCCGTCGCGGTCGCTGTCGTACAAGTTGTTGGAGACGTCTGCAAGGGATAGTTAGCGCATAGAAAGGAAGCGGTTACAAAGGGTTTATGCGTACAGCCGTGGAAGTTTTCGTTGCCGCGGGTAAAAGCTGTCACGCTCGTGCTGGGGCCGGAAATGAAGTAGTTGTTGATGATGTTCGCGAAACTCTCGCCCGCGCTGTCTCCTGCGATGTAACCACCGCCTCCACCCCAGTTATAAACAACCTGGCTCGTTGTCAGTAAGGAATATTCGCCGAACCAAGCGTTTAGAAAGGGGGACGCACATTGTTCTGAAAGTCGTTCGTGCCCTTCACCTTGGGATTCCGAGTCTTGTTGTCGATATACAAGTTTCGGAACAGACTGATGCCATAGTCACTCTGCATCAACCCACCGCACGAATGCGTCTCCAAGCCCTGGCCAATGATCGAGTTCTGGATTGTGACGTTGTATACATCGCCGTTGATGGAGAATGTCTCGTCGCGCCCCCAGGTAACCGAGACATGGTCGAAGATCATGTTCTCTCCCTCCGCGATTGTGACGCCATCTGAGCTTAGAATTAGCGTACTAATTTCAGGCAACATGTGGCATGGATTCATTTACCTTTGCCAGAATCACCGCCCTTTCCCATGCGAAGGCGAATGTATCGCACAATGGTGTTATCAGCGTTGGAGAATGACAATCCGTTGCCATAGACTGTGATGCCCTGCACATAGTGTAAGTAATACACTTCGATGAAACCGGTGGTTGTAGACTACTCACGTCACCAGGGGCGGTCTGCCCGGCAATGTAGATATTCTTTGAGACAACAATCCGATCCGTGATATTGATGGTGCCGCCCACGTCGAAAACCACAATGCGGTTAGTTGTCGACACGGCATCGCGGAGAGATCCAGTGCCTTCATCGCTTAGTGTCGCATGTTAGCACCCCTTTTCTAGATTCGCATCGGGGTACGCCGCCTTACTCCAGATTTGTGACATGGTACACTGATCCCGTCCTTCCACCGACCGCATTTCGTCCGAAACCCTCAGCGCCAGGGAAGGCAAGGAGTGCCGAGACGCTTGGCAGGCTGCTAAGCGCTGCCAGCGACGCTGCTGTCAAGAACTGGAAGAAACGCATTGTCGCTTCGTTGCAGGGCGAGGGAGATGGAAATCAGAAGTGAACGACTACGAGAGAGTCCGGGAATTTCGCCATGGGACCGTAGTGCCTTTAAATCCAGATGCACAGCACAACTTAACACGGGGTGAACCTAGCAACTATAACTGAAACCCCGCAAAAACGACGTTCCTGGTAGTATCTTGATATAGCCTTGGCTGATATAAGTGATGGAAAAATTGTTTCACGATGAAGGGCGGTCCCGATTGGATGTTGGAACCATTCCATGGTCTAATTCGGTAACATCGCCCGGGGGTAATTGCGGGGCCGTGTCGATCGGTTCATGGGATGTGGCCCGCAGAAGCGGGATGAAGGGTTGAGGGACGGGTCCTGGTCCTGGTCCTGGTCGGTCGTACGAGTTTAAATGTCACATAGGCCAGAACGGAGATCGTGTTCGTACAGTTCATAACACAATCCAACCCATAATTCCCCTGGCAATCGACTAGTCTGAGATCGTAAGAGACTTCGGATGTGATGGAATGGATTGACTACAAAATATCGGCTACATATGAGGACGCCGTGAAGGTGCGACTATGGTTCGTTGAAACGCCTTTGCACGCGAGAAAAGTTCTTCCATGCATGTAAGCCAGAGGGAGGTGTTATGCCCACAGCGATCTATCCAAATTACCTAACCCCTATTTCACTGCCTCTGCTTCTCCTTCTTCCCTAGTTAAGTTGGGGTCACTGGTCGACGTTGCTGTCAAACCCAGGGGCACCTCCATTCCTCGCCACTTCGATGTCCTTCTTAAAATTTACATCATTAATAGCCATAGTCGCCGGCCCTTCCCACTCATACGTCATCAGCTTGTCCCTAAGCTGCCTACTCGGCCACATATCATACGCAACCACGTCTCCCCTAAACCAACGGCGCGCGTGATTCTCGATTCTCTCATCCTCCTCCGTCGCAAACCGAAAGCAATGCGTCCCCTCCCTCTCCTTATGATACACAATCTTGGGATGCGTCCTATCCATGCGCACATCCCCGGCTACTCTAGTCTCATACCCCCCATGTCTCGAGGCGGCCACCATGTCCAGCCTAGGTGTGTCCCCCTGAGAGCCTACGTCGACAAAAACCGCAATGTGCTCCCACTCGTGTCGGTGCCCACCGTCGCCCTTCCCTCCTCCGGCGACGTCCTTTTCGAAGTAGTAGTCGTATAGGTATACGCACCAGCCGTGGTTGCAGCGCTTACGCACATACACATTGTTGTTGTCCAGGTCGGACATTTCACGGCAGTCGCACTCGTTGCAGGTGTTGCGTACGGGGAGGCCCTGGGCTAGATTTCCATTCGTGTCAATGGCAGGAACATTGTAGCAGCTGTCGGTGTCGAAGTCGAGGGAGGGCTGCCACCGGAGATAGTCTGCTTCTGAGTGGGATCCAAGAGCCTTGGGGGGCTCTTCACGTTTTAGGAGGTCGTGGTACAGACCCAGTGGTAAGGCATAAGCCTTGGGTGCGAGGCCGATGAGGGTGAGTGGCCACAGGGCCATGAGGATGATTATCCACGGAGCCATGTGAAGTTGTGGAATAGCAACATGGAAAACCTTTCAGCAATCAAGCGCGATTTTTAGAGGCCGATGTTTGGCATTGAAGAATGCGGACACGGAATAATATACTGAAGAGAATACTCTGAATACATCTTAATAAAGTCCATACTGTACACTTTTTTGTCCTTTGGTTGAGTTTGTTCTGTCCACTTTCGCAAGTCTGCAACGCTACGTCGGAAATGGTCAGCTCCTTACTGACAAATTGTTCTTCAACAGATAGCTTTGTAATTATGCATATTGAAGGCTCTTGGTGACATTCGCCCAATTCCTCTAGTACAGCACGGCTGCATAAGTAGTCCGAGGCCAACAGGAAAAAGGACCAACCAAACAACATGCCGTTTGCACATACCAACCATGCACGTCTCCTGTCAAATGCCAGCCAAACCCAACAAGTATACAAGCTTTTTTTCGCCACTAACTCAAAATTTACGCGAGTTGTTGGTCTTGCTATACTGTGGAATCGAAAACTGAGATGAAGGTGGACCGAAGGAAGAAAGGCCACGTCGCTGAATATCGTTTGTCGTAATTTCCGTGCGTATCACTGCGAACAAATTATGAATCTCATAGGATAAATCCATGTCTCCACATAGTGCTCAAGTGAGTCTAAGGAGGCACGTTGCAATTAGAATCGATGCCACTGTCCACATATCATGAAGGTAAGGCCTGTCTGAGCTTTGTCATTCGATTCCACCACATGCATCAAGGAATCGACTTTCCAAGCTTAGCTTAGACAACGGAGAGGTCCATATGGAGGGGGTTAATGTTGACTACCGAACTGAATCCTGAGAGCATCCATCAAGCTACCTCCAATGGAGATCCCGGATATACTATTTGGCTTAACAGGTGCGCTTTGGTAGAGTATCTCTGTCAAAGGAGAAGCTGGCTGGGTCAAATGACTCTGATGGTGCCATAAAGAACAAGAAACACAAGAGCGTCCAACTTAGTCACTGACGGGGATTCAGTGTTCCATTTTTGCTGTTTCGCGTCTGAGCAAAGTGTAAACGATATGAATCACGGCCATGAATATGTGACTCTACCGCAATGGTTTGACAGTTATCCGAGTGTGAAGTTGGGGGATGAGTTCGGCGGGGATCCGGAAGTTGGCGACTTGACACATGAGCGGCGACCGCTAAGTATCTTGTGTGTCGGCAAGAATGGTTTGTTTCTTCTCAAGGATCGCAGTTCTCGGAGGGAATACCACTGGGGGTTTCACGTCATACCCCAGACGAGAGCGATGCTTCCGAGAAAGCGGCGCAAGAACTGCGAATCAGCTTTGATCGAGTGCACCGCTTTGAAAGGTCGAACCTACAAGACGATCGACTTGTTATTTTCTTTCGCTGATTTACAGGACGCTGCTATCAAGTACACACTGAATCTTGCAAGACCGTCAGATTCGCACTTCTTGTGAATCGACTCCGTCTTTCTGTTGGTTCCTGTTTCTCCTCGATGCGTACGTGGGACATGGGGCCGGGCAGCTGGAATCAATGGCGATTCTTGGTCTAGGAAATGTTGGTCGAATTCTCCTCATACCCTCTGGTTCAGAGTGCGATCGTGGCAAGTGGAGTCGTCGATGGCGCCATTTTTGGATCCACGTCGCTGTTCTGTCGACCGCGCTGGAAGGCATGCTCTCTTTGCGCATGATTTTGGTGCAAGACTGAACGTCGGCCACAAACGTCCGTTGCGAAGCAAAGCTGCCTGAAATGGAATGCGCAAACAGTTCCTGTCGAAGTTAGCAGACTTTCACACAAACCTGCGGCCGATGATCCAATTTCCCCATGTCGTGCGCTGAGCGGCTCAAGGGTCGAGACTCGATGACTGGATTAGGTGGTCAGAAGGCACCCGAATAATTCACGTGGGTAGGTAATGATGTCCACAAGGCTTAAGCTGACGGTGTTCGGAGCTGACCAGCCATAATGGCCTGGCCCGCCAGGAGGCCGGCGCTGAGCTGTTTCCCAATCCTTCGGGTGTGCACCGATGGAAGCTCAGCCCACACTAATCCAGATTCAGGGTCTCGAAGTCGATCATCGAACGCGAATTGGAATCTGGGGCAGAAAGATTTGTCGCTAATCCCCAGAATCTCCGTCGGTAAACGACGATGCGAATGACCAGGCCTCAATTGGCCGGTTGGTTTTCGACGCAGTTCCCTTTTGGGCTTGCTTATACCCCTGTCGGCGCCCAATGTTGGCGTACTCCGTCTGAATCCGCCCAAAAATCACCAGATCGGAGGCGCCCGTCAGTGCAACATGGCGCCACTGTCAACCCCGGATATCACCCCACACGAGAACTCGCATTGCAGGCGGAATTTCTCGGTTGGGCCAATGGGTGTCGCAGCGATTTGGCAGTCAACCAGGGTTGATCAATAGCTGAGGCAATGGGTTTATATGTTTCGTGTTTGGCATCTCTATCTCGAGTTACTCCAGAGTTCCACAGCATCAGCACCAAAGCGAAACATCCCAAACTCGAAAGCTTTTCCACCACATCCAAACACCAGCCAATCAACAATTTACTTTGCTCGACCAACCAGAGCCACCTTCACCCTCATCGTCATTATGCAACCTTCCACAATGGCCATGTCCAGACTCGCAGCACAACGCCGCTTCATGCAGACCGCCTCTAGGGTCACCCCGGCCAAGGCACTGCCCCGAGCTACTACTGCTCAAATGACACGATTTTTCCCTGGTGTCGTTGTTGTAGGAGCTGGTAGGCCAAACACCCCACTTACTAGAGAGAGCATCACCATTAACATTGACTTATAGTATACGGCGTGGTCAGCTATGTTCGCTCGCAACTTCGCCATGAATCCAGCTCCATGGACCGCATCTTCGCCCAGCAAAACACGCCTGAGGTCGAGGCAGCGAGGAAACGGGACTTGAAAGTCGAGACGATGGGCGACCCACGCAAGACCATGTTGAACCTCCTCGGATAGAGTGGTCAAACCCTGGAAAAAATGCATTCGCGGGGCTACATCTTAATTGCCTTTGTCTTTTGGCGTTATTTGGTTACTGAAGGAGTTGGAAGATATCATTGGAGGGTGGTTCGCTTGCATAAGACTGTTGATGGGACTGAGCGCACGGGTTCATAGGAGCCCGTCACATCTGGACCAATCTATCGGAAGGGCGAGAACATATTTATTGCTGGAGGTGCATCTGCATAGTTGTTAAATAACTACTGGAGAAATCGTAAATTTATAATTACTCGCATCCCAAAGTTCTTCCTGTGACTAATCTCAAGCGTCGTCCACTACCCGACATGCGATAGTCAGAAAAACCAAACTCGACTGAGTCACTTGTCCATCCATGCCCATTCTGCTGGCTGCAGTTGTAGTTTACACTTATTATCACATATTCCTCCATTTTTCCACCTAGGCCAGTTTGCAGAACACTTAACAGTGAGAAGAAAGAGGCAAACAAGAGACGAAAACATAACTTTAGGAGAACGACCTTATTATCAGCCATGATGACATCGTCGCAGGTGCGGGCTGTTAACATAAAACTAAGAATCTCCTGCAGCAGCGACTGTGTATAACAACGCTACAACAACTCCTCCTCAATTGGCTAATTTCAACCTTGTTGTTTGTTTCCCGTGGGAACTCACCTCCGGCCGTGGTGATGATGTCCGTTCGAGATATTGGCTGGCTACTGCAAAGCTCAAGACAACTAGCGAAGCAGTCGATGAATCTTCGTCCTCTGACAGCCTACCGCGGTAAATCGCATTCAGACAGAGCTTTGTGTGAATCAATTCACCAGTCTTCTTATGAACCCCTGACGATGCCGCACTTGAATGGTGCATTTTGGCCCTCGTGCACCCGTGCGGCATTCGCATCCGCCTCAGTTGCACTGTGTCTTGTCTGTTAGCGAAAGACAAGAGGAGAGCGGAGTTGATAATGTCATCTTCACAGCCTCACGTAAACATATTCCAGCGAATTAATTATATGTTGCAGTCTTGGCATTGAAGTGTGATAGGTACAGGTCCTTGGCCTTGCAAATAAACGTTCAATCTGCTTGGAGTTGACTTCACAGCGTCGAGCCAGTCAACCCATTCCCAGTCTCCATAAAGGCTCTTCGTCGATTTTGAATCAAAGTAAGGAGAGCATAGTAGTGGCAGGTTTAAGTGAAGCCGAAATAGGTACATCATGTGCTCGCCGATTTACCAGGTAAGGTTAGAAATTCGTACGAAACCAAGCATCTATATTTATGTGAGCTCTATGGTATCATTCTGTCCTCTCTAATTGTTACATCCCGATCTGTAAACCATAGGTAACCCTCTATCTAGTTATTACAGGCTCTTCTCCTTATGAATTTCAATCCCCGGAGCAGCGCCCACCAAAGTCTTGCACTGCGCATAGATGACGAACTGCCCGGCAACAAGTCCACACGTCATGACAATACGAGGTCCCAAGCCAGCAGTAAACAACCTCTTGGGCCCAAACTCGCGCGCAAGCGTAAACATTCGACTAGTCGTGCTCTGGCTCTTATCTCCCGCCCCCTTATTGATAGCTGATAGCAGCGTATCCGCCGGGTGCGACAAGACCGCCGCCGCAACACCCGCCACCATACCAGACGTTAGCTCCACCCCCGTATTCTCTAAATGTGTCAGCTTTGCCTTCCTCTCGGGGCCCATGGCCCGGAATATGATCTCATTCGCCGCCTCGTGCACGGAGAACTGTCCCACGGCGTACGGGACCTGCTTGAACAGCAATGGCACGAATCCAGAGTAGAAACCCCTCAACCCTTCTTCTCTCACCAACTTCATGAATCCGGATCCCAGACCAGAGGCGAAGTTCCGCTGCGACACGAGCCGAATGCGCGTCGCCTCGAGAGGACAAAGGGCAATATCAGCGAAGAACTCAGCTGTCGCGCTGGCTCCCAGGTAAATGGCGGTGCGGTGCTCAACGGCCTTCTCAGTTGACCCCGTCATCTCGATGAACTGCTTCTTGAAGAACTCGTACCCGGTGAACTTTCCACCGCCTTGCACCAGGTAGCCTACGGCCGTTGGGCCGAAGCCGGTGAGCAGAGCTCCGGCGCCTTCGCCGGCGATGATTTGTCGCGCCGCGCGGAACATGTTATAGCCTTTAAGGGCATCGTCAACCTGGATGCGGGTTTTAACTACGTCAATGGGTGTAGCGGCCTGTAGGGTGGTTAGTGGCGAAGTTGCTGAGGATTAGAGGAGGAGGATAGGGGGACGTACACCATGGGTGGCTGTCGCTGCTAGGGCGCCGGCGCCGAAGAACTTGGCATAGTCGGAGATGCTAAAGTCAGGAGTGATCTTCTCTTCTTGAGATCTTTTCGCCATGATGTGGGTTGTTTCTGGGTGCTCTCGAGAGCAGCTGTTATTAGATGAGACCCTAGTTCGTCCGTTGACGATGGACGTTGTACCTCGGTCCTCGTAACGAGTCCCGACTCAGCAACCCTTTAACCAGTGGTGCAAGACGCGTCTTGTGGATCTCAAAATGAGCTTGAGAGAAACTATACAAGTGTGCAGAAAGCAGCTTCCTGTATTGTATGGTTGATGGTTGTTTCCAAAATCTTGGCACACCTCTGACCAGTGACGTCGGTCGATGGATTGCTGTGTCCAAGTGTCGATTCTGTTCTGACTGGTATCTTACGAAATCGGACAATATGAGCTGAAAAAGCTGAAAGCAGAACTAGCAGGTACAAGAAGATGCCTAAGAACCAATTGCAATATTTTTGAATTCTTGAATTTATGAAGCCAAGTACGGCGCGACATTTCGACTCTTGTTAGGTTGAGCTCAACCATTCGCAAATCGTGACGTCATTCCGAGCATCCCGCTAACGACACTAGGAACCATGATTTATAGGGCCTCGTGACTAGACCGCACCGCGAATGGCCGACAAGAAGGCTGTCCATAAATGTGTTGAAGTTCGCTTCGGCGAAATCTGACTTTCCCACCTGAAGCCTGGAAAAGCTTGCAGGCATGAACCATGTTAGCTCAGGAGATCGTCTGATTCTTTGGACAGCCCATCCTACTGTGTAGGGCCCCTTCGATCTTTTCTTCAAAGCTGCAATGACTTGTAATCTAGACAATGAGAAAACAGAATCAGTTGAAGCTACCTCAAGATTTTCAGTTGGGTCAATACCATGTTTGGAGGTGAGTACACGTTCTATGCAGACTAAGATACCCTGTGCTCGTAGGCATCACCCGGAGCCATTGCATATTCACCTTTCGATCTGAGGCTATTAAGAATATGTACCAAAGTGCCTTGGACTAATGAGGCGTCGCGAACTTTTCTGGACACATGTCTTCCCGGTCTGCCAATACCAAACAAGGAGTGATGACAATGGAATGGCGCGTCTTCACCACACCAACAGAACCGATAGTGACTGATGCGGAGATGGGATGATGGTATGAGCACTAGAAGAGTATTAATAAGTACACGATACTAAGTCGAGCCTTTGTGTTACTTGAACTTGTGTTTTGCGCGTGTGGACTCATCCCATACATGTTGGTTGACAAGTACAAAGGAAGCTAGCCAACTGATAAATTCCCGCCAATATTCTATATAAACAAAGATCTGAGATTATGCTTTAGGATAGAGTGATGGTAAACCATATAAACTCATGTTTCTCCTACTGGAATGCCATGATATTTCACCGAGCAATACCAGTATCCTGAGAATCAACTCCCACATCAGTTACATAACTTAAGATGTTATAGTTGTGCTTTGTCCGTTACTTCAATGCGAAGGAACTCCTCCAATCGCAAGTGTATTGATTGTCCTAAGATATTGTAACCAATATAGAGCAGGGGAGAAGAATGGCTCAATTACGCTGTAAGGAGCTGGCAAGCTGGCTTCTATTGTGGCTAGGGTGATATTTCCGTACAACGAGTGGGCCATGGTCAGCCAGACTGTCAGAACCGTAAAGAGGCCAAGGATCGGGAACATAATGGCTGCCAGCCGAGTCTGCCTAGCCATTGTAAAAACGAGAGCCAACAAGAGCCAGTGGGATGAAACCGGGACAGAAGAACATAAGCCGGAAATAACCCATCCAAGTCGTATCTGCGCCTCCGTAGTTGAGAGCCAAGGAGACGGCCGACATGAAAACTGGGTGGATGACGACTGTGATGTGGCTCATGTGCAAGAGTTAAGGCATATCTATGATCATAATAATGCTATATTAGTGGCGGATTTGATTCCTACAGTGAGATATGATAAATGAATCAACAAATCACAGAACCTTTGTTCACCCATATTGACAAAATCCAATGAGCTCAGTAGGTGTCCACAGACTGGGAAATAGCCTACGTAAGATCAAAGTAGTGGTACTTCAAAGAAAACAAGTCCAGAAAATTGGGAAGAAATTTTGAAATTGTGGCCTTGTGCCACTCATATCAACAGGCAACGATGGATCTGGCAGAAAATCTCGATAGAAACGAAGAGCAGCATCAAGTGACGCCCAAAAGATGCCGAATGATATATTCCGGCTGATAGGGAAACATAGCCGTGGCAGGTTAGACATGTTGCGATACTCACCCAAAAGTACTATCGTCGGATCTGGACGAGGAGGCATTGGAGGCATGAGGTTTCAAGGTTCTTATGGAGGATCGTTGTGGAGAAAGTATGTATACTGTAGGCATGATAAGATAAAGCGGAGTATTTGAATGGTTGAGGCTGCGAAAATTGCATCATATTCATTAGTCCCGGCGTCCAGTGCCAAGGATGATCAGAGGTATATTCACAGATTCGAATAATGTATCCCTATACACGCCTAACGCCTCTTGATACAGCGATTTTGGGATCACGGGATCCACTTCAACAGACCTCCAAGCTATTCGTCATCTTCATCTTCCCATTGCTCCTCTTCTAAGCGTCCCTTTGCCGACTGAGCCATGATGGCCTCCTCAGCATCCCCCTCCAGCCCTTCACTGTCGAACCCATCTTCCATCATTTCGTCAAACAGATCACTATTATTGCCGTCGAGGTCCATCTCATCTTCTTCGTCATCTTGTTTTTTCGCGCCACTGGCAGCACGTTCCTTCTTCTTCCTCTCGACATTGGCCTTCTGCTCTTTCCTTCTTGCTTCCTTCTCTTGCAGCTTCTTCTCCCACCTCCTCTCCAACTCTTGTTCCTCCGATTTGGTTTTCGTGATGGTTTCATGCCACATCGTTTTGCCCGAACACATGCCTTCCTCGACCTTCATCATGCGCAGCTTCATGCGCGGACCCAGCTCAATCAGTTTCACGGCGCGGCGCTCCACTTTGTCGGTCACGTCGTCGTTTCCCTCTCCATTCTGTGCTTGAAGAGCGGCAGCCCGCGCTTTGGATGATAGCACTTTCCTTGGTGCGTTATCGAGAACCTCAACCTCAGCATCCGTGTCCATCTCGCTGCCACTCGTGCCATCCGTCATGTACCCATCACCCCCCTCGCCGCCAATCATGAAGTCGGAAATATCCTCCAGCTTACTCAGATTCGGCACACCACCTTTCCGTGACTTCTTGGCACCGATCAGCTTCTCAGCAGCATTTAGTCGCCTCAGAGGCTTGGACACGCCAGCGGTTTTGGTGGTAATGGCATAGTGTCGGAAGTTTATGACAAAGGACCCATCGTCCTTGTCCTTTGCGGGTTCTCTGTTCAGGAGCAGGACTCGTCGTATCGATTTCAGCGGGGTGGTCGTTGGGTTAATTGGTGGGAACAGCGACTGGAAGATGGTGGTAGTGAGACTCTCCAGGTGTTTCGGCACCTTGGAGTTGGCGTCGGCGCCGGGCGTGGAGAAGTTGTTCATGACCAGCAACGGCGGCGTGATGAACTCCTTTCCGCCGCCCTTGGGATGCCGTTGCGCCCTCCTGACGTCTTTGCACAGAGAGTACTTCTCGACTCGGAAATGCAGGGTCGGGCCTCGCGGCGCCAGACACATGCGCAGGTTCGTGTTGCCCGTCTCGGAACGCGAAAAGAGCATCAGGTGGGTGACGCCCAATGGGCCGGTCATTGTAACGTAGTCTCGTAGGCGGTTCGCACGGCGCTCCTTTAATCGAGTTGCGGTACCAGGTTCCATGACTTGACGGACATCCTTTGCCAATTGACTGACATTGGAGCCAACCTCGCCTGCGCCGATACGGATCACCATGCTCTTGGGATTTTTGGCGGTCGCATGGCCCGGGGCATTGGTCTCGGGGTTGCTGGCACCAACATGGGTGCGCTTCTTTGTTCTTCGTTTCGCCATTTTGCGCGTGTCAATTGGGCGATTACTTTGAATTGGCAATACCTTCGATGTTTCTTTCAAGCTGTCAACAGCTCTGGAAATTTTCAGGGAAGGCCAGGCACGCTCCCCGCTGTAATGGCAGAAAAAAAGTTTTGGGTGAGATAAAGAGCCGCTTAGCCCGATAAGCCTTGAAGGCGGTCAAATTTTCCTTGAAGCTTCACCTGTATTAGAATCAGTCCCTCGATCTCTGGCCCAATCCTTCTGCTAAAAGGACGCTTGCTTCAGTCACTCAGAGTCTACCAAAAGGCACACAAAACTCCAGGATCCTGAAATTCCATTGAGAGCATCTTTGTGCATATCGACATCCCCGTTTGCGCGATCCTCTTCAATTGCAACTTGACCCCGCCAACCCTCCAAGCAGCCAACATGTCGTCCGTCAAGCGAAGAAAGCTGTCGAGCGATGCGCCGAAGTTCCAGATGAATGCGCCAAAGCCGAAGCTCAAGGCAGCAAAGATCCAGAAGAAAGTGGTCCCCGTAGAGCCTGAGAGCGACAGCGAATCGTCCAAAGGCGAACACCAAGAGTCTGCCAACTCAGACGCGAGTGATGATGAAGAGCCCACAGAACCAACTACGCAAGACGATCCTAGGAGCGACGCAAAACATGGCGACGCCGCGGCTTCTGAAGAAACAGAGGAGGAAGTCCCTAAAACGTTCAAGGAGCTTGGGGTCGTCGAGGCTCTTTGCGATGCTTGCGAATCGTTAGGCTACACGCAACCAACACCCATCCAGGGTTCGTGCTTTCAAGTACCCTTCCCCAGGTCTGCCCACGAGCATAAGTGGCCCCGCGCCGTTGTGCGAAGCCTTCAAGCTCGCGGGACAAGAACCAAAGCCTTTCTCCTGGCGCCTTGCCCGGAAGCGATTGCTGATGCCGTTGAACAGCGAAGTCTATCCCGTTGGCTCTCCAAGGGCGTGATATTATCGGTCTGGCAGAGACAGGATCTGGAAAGGTACGCATAACGAATCTTTCTGGCCGTATACATTCAACACATGATATATGACTGCCTCAATCCGACACCTTCTAGAACATCAAGAACTGATTGATTGCTTCTTGCAGACCGCTGCGTTCGCCCTTCCAATTCTTCAAGAGCTGCTGGCCAAACCCCAACCACTGTTTGGCCTTGTACTCGCCCCGACGCGTGAATTGGCCGCGCAGATTGGTCAAGCCTTTGAAGCTCTGGGCTCCCTCATCTCAGTACGATGTGCTGTCATTGTAGGTGGTCTAGACATGGTATCACAATCAATTGCTTTAGGTTTGTATTTCTTCCGGTTGGACGAGCACGGTGGCAGCTAACTCTCAAAAGCCAAAAAGCCGCATATCATCGTGGCCACGCCGGGTCGTTTGCTTGACCATCTCGAAAAAACCAAGGGATTTAGTTTGCGCCAGCTGAAATACCTGGTGATGGACGAGGCAGACAGACTGCTGGATTTGGATTTCGGCCCCATTCTCGACAAGATCCTTAAGTTTGTGCCGCGAGAGAGACGCACATACTTGTTTTCAGCTACTATGTCGAACAAGATTGAGAGTCTCCAGCGTGCTAGTTTGCGCGATCCGCTGAAAGTCAGGTCAGTTCCACCACCCTCCTTCGCCCCCGACTTATTGCTCGCGTGCTTGGAGATCGATTGCTGACTGCTGAATAGCATTACAACCAACAAGTATCAGACCGTGTCGACACTGCTGCAGAACTACCTGTTCATCCCGCATATCCACAAAGACACGTAAGACTCTACGATCAAACCCCAAAGGCAAATGTTCAAGTGTTTGCTAACATTGTGTGTCTAGGTACCTCATTTTCTTGACCAATGAATTCGCGGGTCAGAGCGCCATTTGTTTCACTAGAACAGTTTGGGAAACCCAAAGAATAGCGATCTTATTGAGAGGGCTCGGATTTGGGTGAGTATTTGATTCAGTTGCCTAGCTCTGCAGTAAATGTGTGCTAAGCGCGACTAGGGCCATCCCACTTCACGGCCAACTCTCGCAATCAGCACGTCTAGGCGCCCTAAGCAAGTTCAAAGCCGGAAGCCGAGACATCTTGGTGGCCACAGATGTTGCTGCCCGTGGTCTGGATATCCCGAAGGTCGATGTTGTTTTCAACTACGACTTACCACAGGACAGCAAAACTTATATCCATCGTGTGGGTCGTACCGCCCGAGCAGGAAAGTCCGGAAGGGCCATCAGTCTGGTTACCCAGTACGACCTGGAAATTTGGCTCCGCATCGAGGCCGCGTTGGGTAAGAAGCAGGAGGAGTACCAGACGGACAAGGATGAAGTGATGGTATTCAAGTCGAGAGTAGAGGAAGCCCAACGGCATGCGCGGAACGAGATGAAGACGCTGATCGAAGACCGTGGAAACAGAGGTGCCACCCTGAGAGGCAAGGGCAAGTTCCAGCCCAAGAATGGTAAGAGGGGACGCGATCACATGGATACAGAAGAGGGCTAGTTGAACTATGTGCGCTGAAACAGTGTTATGAGGTAGTATAATGGAAGTCAGTTTATACCTTGCTTGATTCGATTATTCGAGACTTAAATGTATTCATGACGCTAGCTCACAGGAAGGTCATCTAATGGGAAAACGCACTACAGTACGGTGCTCTCGTTCAAAGAGATGAATACATCTAAGATCCAGAAGAGTAACATTAGGTGAATCGCACGAACCTAGCCTAAGGAGAATGGTCACCAACTAAATTAAGATTCGAGAAAGCAGATACTTTATATAACACTTACCGCATTGAAGGTTGTATAAATCAAACGATCATCACTGGCTGAGGGAAGGGGATGTCTGCTTGAGAGTGGTAGTGACAGAAGATCGACATCTATATGCGAGGAGCCACACCTCTAGCGGCATACGTGTCAATAAAAATGCACCCCCGAATTGAGAGACATCTGAATTATAGCAAACTGTGGGCAATATAGCATATATTGGCCGCGGTGGTGATAGAGGGAAGAAACTAGAAGGCTGCAGTGGAAGGCAGGGCTTACAATCATAGCAGCGGCTTGGGCACGACCTGGTCCACCCAACACAATTAAATGCGCTTGAACTTGTTTCAAGAAAAGCGTTCAGTCACCAGAAAAGTTGCAGTTGCTCCTCTTCTTTGCACACTTACCTCTCACCCCATACACAATGGGTATATTCAAGGTCTCAATCCTCCTGGTGACTGTTGTGCCTACCATCAGCAGCCACAGAAAAATGAAAAGAGAATATATGACAGACATTTTTATGTGAAAGACGCCGGCTATGTATCACAGGAAATCTTATAAGTCTTACGGATGTCAAGGTTGGACTTTGAAAATTGACACGAAGCCAATAAGATGATCCTGGAGAGTCGGGCACTAAGGCGGATATCGAGCCCGGAGGCTTTCATCTAATGAGAGATGACACCAGTCAGATAAAGAGGGAATATCTTCAAAGGCGAGCATTTCGTCCGTTGTCCTGTGTATGAGTAAGGAGCCTTAATAAGATACCATCAACAATGCTGGAACCGACGTCGACTTCACTTTTGGCGTGGGATAATGGTCTGTAACGGTAAATGATCTTTTCGTTGAATGTGATCATCTCTCGGGAGTCCTCTTAGGATTGTACTGTAACCAGAAGGGTCTTAGATAGGTAAAAATGAGCGGTGCCTCGCCCCACGGGCAGAAGTTGAAGTATTGAGATTTTTCTTGGGTTGGTACTATCAATTGGTGTTTTCATCTTTATTTGGATGGATGAGGGCGTTGAAACGAAGCCTATTTGGATATTGATACCGGCGGCCTGAGAAAGCTGCTGGCAGCAAAGAGCTCCAGGGAAATACACCGCAGCTTCCGGCCAACCACATGGACGGAGTGAACTTGGGACAAGACGAATAATAGGGAATCGATGACAGGAAACGCCTGTCGTCATGCACTACAGAGGACCACAGCTTAAGGCGTGGCTGGGGGGACTACCATAACATAGGCTAAGGAGGAAGCGTCTGCTGATATTTGTCGAACAACGCACGCACTCCGACGAAGTGCTAGCTAGCTCGAACGGAATTTCAGGCAAGGTTCAGCCAAGAGCAGTGACACCTGTCTGGTCGATTGGTGACGAGGAACAGTGGTAAAGAAGGAAATGAGTCGTAGCTGATGATTCTAGATATAGGGGAAAGCGCTTCGTGTACACATGGGGGGAGAGTGGTGGGCAAAAGACGGAAAGGCGAGAAGTTGATCAAGCGTCGAACCGAACGAAAACTAGCTACAATTACATGGATTAACCATATGTGACAGTTCTCGTCCATATGATCAGGGTACCATTACATTCCCAAACTTGTTTCAACCGCGATCGGGGTTAATAGTTAAAGTCCGTATCGGCTCCGCCTTCAACACAGTGGGTTCCGTCAGCCGGACCTCCGTAACATCGAGCCCGAAGTGGAAGTTCGTCGTGCCCCGACATCTCCGCCTCGTGAAGTACGCTGGGCCAGTTGTAGACCAGGCACTAGAGTATATGAACAGCCAGAGCTCCGTTTCCAGTAGCAGCAGAACACAGCAGTGTTTACCGAAGCACCTCAATCAATAACTGCAACGCTTACTCCTCCCAGTTAGATCGCATACACTTTCACATTTATTCGAGACCAGTCTCAAATGGCAGCCATCAGTCCCCAAACAACCATCCCAATAGTCATAATTGGAACAACCCGTACGACGGCCCTGTAAACAAGCAGCGTGTTCCATAGCAAGATCAGCAATTCATCCTCACCCTACCAAATCGCCGCCGTGCTGGACAAGACCGAGTCCCCTGCATCCCTCCAATACACAGCCCCAAACCTGGCCGTCGTACTCAACGCGCTAAACCCGCGCCCTCGGGCTCTGGTGACGGGGCCTGCGATTTCTGATGCGCTCCTGCCGGAAATCGAAAAGGTGTGGACGGAATTCACGGAGAAGTGGGGTGTAGATGGGGTATGGGTGGCGCTGAGCAAGACGCATCCTAATTCGGGGCTGCCGCCGGTGGGGACGGTGGATAAGTTGTTGAGGCAATTGAAGGGGAAGTTTGGGGTATGAGGGGGAAGATGTATGGTTGGTGCATCTGGCTGTGTACAATGCTCAATGCATCATCTGAAGCTGCATCGTATCTGACTACTTGTAGATGCACTCTGTCCTGATCAACCCACGCATTAACTCGTAGAATTCAGCTGCGGTTACTAATGTAGTCTCTTGAATCTAGGTAAGGTCAGAATTTCGCCTTGAGTTCATGGTCACATGTCCAATTTAGGAGAGCTGAATCCCTGGAGGAACCCAGCATGCAAGCATGTGTCGCGTAACCCGGCTTACCAGTTACGGCAAGTAAGTTGGTCTTGATTCGCTTGAAACGACTCAGTACGGGGAATTTGAAGAGGGTCGCGCCTAGTTACGGTTTGTGAAAACCAAAACCCCGTGCGGATGTTTGATCCGAGAATTTGCTTGGTGGCTGCAGGGCGCTTCAAATTCTTCAACGTAGCACACCGTACGACCAAGACAGTCTCAATAGCCTGTCAGCAGCCGCTTGCAGCCTCATCAGCGTTGCTCGTACAGCTCGTACAACTGAAACATAAGTGTGCACTTTCGTCCATGGCTGGGAAACCAACTAGGTCGACATGAAAACTTAGCACCAACAGGATGGAAGAAGAGACACCACCTCTTCGGAGTTTTCATCACGAAGTCATGACAGATGTGGGCTCGGGTTTGAGAAATGTTGTTGGATTCGCAACCTCGCCGAACCCAGTCCTGAACGTCAAAAAGGTGTCATCGCTGCAAGTGCTGTCTGGCGAGCCTGGTCAGCTCCAGGTGAGTGAGCAAGCATGTGAATTGGTGCCGAAATAGGCAGGTGACAAGGGAGACAATCCTTCGCTGCCGTTAAGGTTATTCGCGACTTCCACAAGATGCTAAAAAGTTGCCTCCACCAACAATTCCACGCCGAGGCAACCCAAGAAACGGGTAAAGCAGCCAAGCCCAACTTCGCGCACGCTGGCTGGCTTGTCGGTGCCATGGTCGCAATTGGCGTTGCAATCAATCGTACAGCAAGAAGGGATTCCACTTCTGCTTTCCACCTCCCGCTCGTCTGACCACGCGCGTCGCCTCAAATGTTTCAGCTGCTACACAGAGCCGAGCAAGCTTGTTCATTCGGCAAGTCATGCCAGTCAACCAGTGCTCGCCCGGAACTGGACGCTGCGAGTAATGGCGTGCACGACCCAATCAGAGCTCGAATTCACTCAAAACCCGACTACTGCTGCCACCACGGTGATCTATGTGCTTCGATTGGAGGCACGGTGAACTCTCTTCAGGTAACAGAAGCGATCTCAGGACGGATCCGAATCTCAGCCACGTCAGCCAATATTACCCGATAGGTCGGCGTCACCGTCCTTGGGCAAACAAAGAATCCATCCAACTGGTTGCTAAGAGAGCAGTCAACCGATACAGCCAATCGCCGCAGATGCGCCTATCTTCGCGCCATTCAGGCCATCCAAGCCAACCCCAGATTGCCCAGGGGGCAACCCTGACGATAAACGCATGAGCCAATGAGCGCCCTGCCTACCGAGCTGAAAACTTTCCAGATGTTTTCTAGTCAGAAAAACGAATTGCGACCGACACATTTGCCGCGTGGCCGCGACCTTTCGATTGAGGAGTCGAGGATAGGCCATCTCGGAGTTGTCCTTGGAGAATCGCAGCTCGCCGGCGAATGATTGAAATGCGTCACAAATCAACCGCGATATTGCTGAGGATTGACTGATAAGAAGCCAGAGGAAGATCTGATGCTATTCGCGATCTGCCTAATCTGACAAGCCACTGCCGCCGGAAGCCGTCGGGCCCATTGCCACGAAACCAAGCTCAATCGCAACATGTCTATGGACGGCAATTCAAGCCCTGGCTTGTGCAGGTTTACCAACAAACTGGGATAGATTGTCACTATTTCGGTACTGTTCCGAGAAGGTAAGGAGCATACATAGTAGCAAGTGGTCAATAACCCCAGAATCTTGGGCCGGCAAACCGTGGACCTCTCATGTCTCGAAATAGAACCAAGGCCTAACGGGGTCACCGCGTTCAGAGCAGCAACCAGTCTCGTCGCTATCCAATTCCTTGATCGGCATTGGATGTGTTCCAGTCTGGGTTCCAAGGTCACCAAAATCGCAATTAATACTCGACGGGCTGCGCGCCGGAGCGATATGAGACCATTGTTAAGTTGAACCACCGTCTCGATACCTTGCTATCGTGAAGGATGCAAGACCGACTTGATGGTTAACCTTATGACACCCATAGACTCGAAGAACAGGTGCGCCCAGTCGCAATCAGTTCTTGCAGTGGGATGTCATCTCCGGGTCTAGTGTTGGGCGGCAGCGAATCAGGGACCCAATTCAAAAAGTGTCACCGAACCCTAGCAAGATCCCTGCCGTATCTGCAGAATGCCTTCGACCCTCCAGCAGCCAAGACCTGATAGATAGGGCGTCCTTCCGTTTTCGAGTAACGTCTCCACGGTCTAGCTCTTCTGGACCGCGCGATCATCGCCAGATTGCGACCCACGATTGTGTTGGTTTGCACACGGTCAAGAAAATATTAATTGGCCACTCTCCGCTCCTCTCGTCACTCAGCGATGCAGGTCTTGTTCCCCTCCTCACTCAGCTTCTGTTTCCGCGCGAGGGTCTCACAGCGGAAAGCACGTCGGGCTGCCAGTTCAACATAATCCCGATTGAATTCCGTCGATCAAGACCAGGCACCGCGGAGCTGGACAAGAAGGCGACATCATGTCGAGCTCACCCAGAAACACGTCCAAGACGAGCCTGCCCTTCGAGGGCCACAATGCTTCGCCGCAAGTAGGCGTGGACATCAACCCCGACCTGGCTCTGGATTTCGCACACGAGCATAAGCATGAGCACACTCACCACCACGGTCCTGCCGCCACCGCGAAGCAGCATGAGAAGGATGAGGTTATCTACTCTGCCAATACGACCATGGCGGGGAACAACTTGATGGACACCCCCCCGCAGGACTATCAAACGCACAAACTCAACGATGTCGTCTTGGACAAATCGGTCGACGAGGAGAGCGGCAACATAGCCGTCGTTCGGGATCGCGACGATTATGATGGTGAAAAGCCCGGGTTCAGCTTTAAACGATTTTACCGCCAATACCGGACTGCCTTCCACATTGCCTTCTGCGTCATCACTTTTATTGTGTGGACGGCGTAAGTCCTACTCATCTTGAGGCCTAGCCTTCATTGCGAATAGGTTGAATAACAGTTGTGAACAGATGGTGGGTCCACGGTCTCGTCTACCACCGGCACGATGGCCTCGGATGGCTGAAACCATTCCTGCTGTACCTCGCCATTCTTCTCCGCCTTATCTTCATCTGGGTACCGATCGCATCGGTCATGAGGCCTGTTCACTTCATTTGGAACAATTCAGTGGTCAGGGTGTACGATATGATCCCCAAGAAGCTGCACAAGGTAGGCCAAAACCTGCATGTCCACTTCCCGAAACCATGCTTCTAACATGGTTCTCTTTAGCCGCTTGCCGCATTGGTCACTGTGGCCGTGTTTTTGATTGGCGCCTTCGTGCCCGAGGAGACAGGTCAAAATACGCGGGCCAGCCGTGCCCAGTCTCTGTTCGGTCTGCTTGTCATGCTCAAGGTTCTGTACTGGACGTCGCGTGACCGCCATGCCATCCCGTGGCACACCGTCATCGGTGGTATGCTCAGTCAGTTCGTCATTGCCGTCTTCGTCTTGCGCACCCAGGCTGGATACGACATCTTCGCCTTCATCTCGTTCCTGGCCCGAACTCTGCTTGGCTTCGCCAACGAGGGTGTCATATTCCTGACGGACGATACGGTGCCCGCGTTACCGTGGTTCTTCACCAGTGTCATTCCCGCCATTATCTTCTTCGTCTCCCTCGTCTCCCTGCTGTACCATACCGGTCTCCTGCAGTGGTTCGTCGGCAAGTTCGCCACCTTCTTCTTCTGGTCCCTGCGCGTGTCCGGTGCCGAGGCCGTCGTTGCTGCCGCCACTCCCTTCATTGGCCAGGGTGAATCGGCCTTGTTGATTCGTCCTTTCGTGCCTCACCTTACCCTCGCCGAGCTTCACCAGGTCATGACATGCGGCTTCGCTACCATTGCCGGATCCGTACTCATTGCGTACATCAGCATGGGCCTGAACCCCCAGGCTCTGGTCTCGTCCTGCATCATGTCCATTCCGGCGTCACTGGCCATCTCCAAGATGCGCTACCCCGAGTCGGAGGAGACCCTCACCTCAGGCCGCGTCGTGGTCCCCGAAGACGACGAGCACAAGGCCGCCAACGCACTGCATGCCTTCGCCAACGGCGCCTGGCTCGGTCTCAAGATTGCCGGCATGATTTGTGCCGTCCTGCTCTGCATCATCGGCTTCGTCGGCCTCATCAACGGTTTCCTCATCTGGTGGGGCAAGTACTTCAATATCACGGCCGCCAACGCCCCGCCCGAGGGCCTCACCCTCGAGTTCATACTCGGCTACCTTTTGTATCCCGTTGCTTGGCTCCTGGGTGTTCCTAATGGCGAGCTCCTCGACGTCGGTCAGCTCATCGGCATCAAGATCATCACCAACGAGTTTGTCGCTTTTGCATCTTTGTCGGCCAATACCGCGCTGAGCCCGCGTGCTCGTCTTATTGCTACTTATGCTTGCTGCGTAGGTTATCCCCATTCTCACTAACTAACCTTGCCGAACGACGGAATGGCTAACATTGATAATAGGGATTCGGAAACGTTGGTTCGCTCGGAAACCAGATCGGTGTCCTGTCGCAAATTGCGCCTGGCCGAGCCGGTGACGTTTCCCGGGTTGCTGTGTCCGCTTTGATTGCTGGTGTCATCAGCACGCTGTCTTCGGCTTCGATTGCGGGTATGCTGTACACGGATGCTATGCAGTCAATGGCGACCGTTGCTTCGTCATAGGGGCCGAACTACTCAGATGTTCATGAGATTCCAATGAAGTACCGTGTTACTGTAATAACATAATAGGGCGATGTTACGTCTTTCGAAATAAGTATAATACCCCAGGGAAGCCATGAAGGCTACTATCATAGATACATTGTTTATGATACAATCTGTCCTTTGACGATATCTAAACCGCCTTAATGAGATTGAGATGACTGTAACGACTAGCTCGTGACTAGAGAGTATTTCTTCAACCACTACACTAACCAACTTCCCTGATGAATTGCCATTACTTCAGGTGGTGACTAACTTGACCTCTCCAAACTCACTCGCATGACATCCAGCGAAGGGTAGGTCTCGTGATGCTACCCTTAGAGCACAATACACTCGAAGGATCCGCTTTCGAATGTCATGTCTAGTAGGTGAAGATCATGGTTTCGGGCCACGCATATCTGACATGTCAGTGGTACAGCACGGTTGCGAATTTATTGGATGTATTTCATTCGGCCGCATGGCCAGTGCATAATTTATACTGGCCACCACTTGGCTATCCACGTGGATATAGGTTGTCGGCCGACTATACTTGTATTGAAAGCGCCTCCGTATACGCCGAGGTAGTGAGATGCACTAGAGTAGGCGGATAGTACTACATAGATCGACGGATTCACACCATCCAGATTAGATACCTGCTAAACTTACGGCTGAAGATTGCGTTGCATTAGTATTATGTCGTGTGGGGAGTAGGGCGTTTTTCGGCTGGTACCGGTGCACTTGAATTTGTGGTCAAGCTTTGGATGACCAAATCTTCCAAACTCTCAGATCTGAAGTTTCCACATAAACATACCGGAACGCGATCTGCACAACGATCTGCTGAGCTTGATTTCCCTGCGCGCAAAGGCGCGGATGTGCTACGTCTCACGTAGATGTAGCTGGTATGCCTAATAGCTGTCAAATCGGGACACACTGCAACAGCAACACTGGTTTCATACATTCCCATTTAATATGAAAAACAATGACTAAGCGCAATTCTTTTCCCAAACTGAGCAGTTGACTTTCAGCAGACTGGCCGAAGTTCACGATTAAGAAATAGCGCACTTTGCAAAGTAATATGTGCCATACGGGAATCCATCTGCACGAATCCTATAGGTCGCATTTCAGGCGCATTGGGAACGAAGCGAGCTGGAGTACGGGTATCATTTCGGGGCCGAAGTGGGACTGTGAGGGCCTCGGGCCTCGAGTGGAGCCCCCTGACTCGCCAGTATCCCAAGCCACGAATCGCAGTGCACTATCCTGATATTGCGTTCTCGTGAGAATGCTACTATATCGAAAGTTATATGTATTTCTCGAGCTTCTCTCAGAAAGGATTCGGGGAAGTAGGGTGATACATATACATGAATAGGCTGGACCGATGATCTCTACCTCTTGCTTTCTAGTCGTTGGTTGTTGTAATTCACTTGGTAAGGACTATTGCGCTACTTTTTCTCACTCAATCATTTTCTTTCGTTTTCTACATCCGGTCTGAATACGTCTGGCACTATTTAGTAGAAATTACATTCTAATGAAGTCCACAAGTTGCGGCCTGGCGGTGGTCTTGCTTTACACCAGCGCGACCGCGTTCTCGCTCTCATCACTGGGTTCATCACTGGGCTCCCTTCTCGGACTATCGGATGACGACGACGATGTTACCGCAAGCGCTGCCACCCTGAACGATGCGGAACTCGCCAACATGAAGTACTTTGTCGAGTTTGCCGCTGCGTCGTACTGTAACTCGGATGCTACGCTTGTGGGGCAGAATGTCTTGTGCACTAAAGATTCTTGCCCGACTTTGACAGCGAATTCGGTTCTGAATTTCGCATACTTGGGGTTAGTCACGTTTCTTTGCGTCTCAAGCGGACTTGGACGACGTGAGCTGACATTGTGCACAGCGATGCCCACCAAGATGCCGATGGCTTCGTAGCCATCGACGATACCACACAGACTATCGTCGTGACGTACAAGGGCACAACCAGCATAACGGACTTTGTCACCGAGTAAGCCAACCCCATCCACATCCTCCCCGGGTCTCCAATTATCTTCCCCACTGACACCACCCCCAGTGCCCTCTTCTCCACCGAATCCTGCGACGACCTCGTGTCCGGCTGCCAAGTCCACACCGGCTTCTCCCTCGCCTGGTCCGAAGTCCAGTCCAGTACCCTAACGGCCGTGTCGTCCGCCCTCTCCCAGCGCCTAACCTACTCCCTCGTGGTCACAGGCCACTCCCTGGGCGGCTCAATCGCTACGCTAGCAGGCGCCTACCTTCGCGCCGCCGGCTACGCGCTTGACATCTACTCCTACGGCTCTCCCCGCGTGGGCAACGAAGAATTCGCCGAATTCGTGACCACGCAAGCGGGGACGCACTACCGCGTTACTCATTTAGCGGACCCGGGACCGAGGTACCCGACGCATATATTGGGGTACAGACATACGAGTCCGGAGTACTGGTTGAGTACGGGGGAGGCGAAGACGGTGGATTATAGCGTTGGGGATGTGGTGGTTTGCGAGGGGACGTATAATGATGATTGTAATGGGGGTACGGAGATAGGGGCGTGGACGCCTCATGGATATTATTTTACGAAGGTGGGGGCTTGTAAGGGGGATCTGACGTTGTGGAAGAGGGACTAGGGTGGTTGAATGGAGGTTGGTGAAGATGATGCTATATTATCTGGTGTTATCCTTCTGTAATGTGCCATTATCCTGTTTATTAGTTAATGCCATCACCTAGTCATTCTGTGAAATGACGAAAAGACCTCTCGTCGAGTGAAAGATGGGTCATCTAGTTCAACTTTACAGATGAAGTCCAGTTGGCAACGGCTATGTCCTCCGAAACCTCCTCGCCTCGTGGTCATGGTCTACGGATGACTTTTTGGATATTTCCAGCCCGTTACACGGTCGTATCAGTACGTACCGCCGCAAACAACGCTTCTACGACATCCCTCGGCAAAACTGGAATGAACACTTCCTTCTTCCCCAACTTGACCCCCTATTCCTCAAAGTCGCATACCATGAAAACATGAAAGAACACATTCTGCAATCCATTTGCCAGCACAAACTCCCCAACGGGAATCCAATGGGGACATCCCTCCATGGCTGATCCCCGGCTCATCCGTACCAATCTGCACCGGCATCTTGGTTCCCTCGGCTCTCTTTTCCATCTCATCTGCATCCCAATCCCTAACGTTCTCCTGTAACATATCGGGCGTTTTATCCAAGAGTGTAATAATTCCCGGGAAGATGAGTTCGCGCTCGCTTCAAAAGTCATTGATGTTGGCGGAGTGCCAGATAACGAGGGGTTTCCCGTGAGGGCTTCGAGCAGAGAGATGGGGTACTTGGTGGCGATGAGGACTTGGGATGGGGAGCATATTGGGGGCTCGATGGGTGTCGACGAAGGTGAGGGTGGAGGGGTGTGAGGAGGCGTTGGTAGGGGTGCGATACAGGACTTGTAGGGCATTGGCGTCGTAGAAGTGGATAAGCATCGTTTTGAGATATTTGGGCTGGGCTTTCTTTAGATGGAATATCATCAACGACGTGGTACGTTGGAGCCTAGAGCTTTCGGATTGAGAAAAGGCGAAAATATCTTCTACATCCTAATTATGTAAGTCCTCAGAACAGAGTCCAGGTCCCTATCGTGAAAGACTAGCTGGATCCCAGACACTGGTAGCTAGAACCCTAGCGTCTAGCGCATCGATAGTAGAGGCTGTACTGAACCGTGTCTGTAGCAGGCGGTTAGCAAAGATGAATTGCGTTACTGTTACATTAAGGGATTGTACATTGTTCCCCTGGTCAGTCGATAAATATGACGGAATATTTTAAAAATGGCGTGGGGACTCTGAATATGCAAGTACTTACTGAGTATGACGCCCGTAGTTAGCATGATATCTCCAGGCTTGGAGAAAGACTGTAGCGCCATTATAGAAACCTGGTTTCTAAGGCCGATCCCAGTACCGAAAATAATTTGAGGGCCGATATGCCGAGCATTAAAAGAGCCAACGTCGAGGTTATAGAGCAGGGCGGCACCGAAAGTGGCTAGCAATCCGCTGGTCAGCTTATAAGGCTGCAAAAAGCTTAATTTTCCGACGAGGAAACCGCCGAGAATGGAGCCCACATTATAGAGGGCCATGCAGCGGAAATGGTCCACATGATTGTGATTCGCCGCAAGCCAGTCGCATACTCTGGCTCATCGGTAACATGTTCGGCTGCAACCTCATCTTGCTTCTCTTGATGATTGTCCGAACCCAATCGCCCGCCCTTTCTTGTTGAATCGGTCGTATGCCCGGCTTTCACGTTGCCAGACACCGGGGCCTTGCTTGTACTCAAGTAGTGAACTCTGTATCGACGTATTTGGTTTTCCTGTCTTGCGTTTGGGGTGTCATCGGTAGGCTCTGTCGAAAGGGGGAAGGGGGGCGCAGGCGGAAATGCTCCAGGGCAACTGTGAAGCATTTAGACCATTATAAGAGGAATGGTAAAGGCGCTGATTGGCGAATGGGAAAGTTCAGACCGCGTTTCAGCGACAGACACAGCCAACACTTCGATCCATTGAGAGGAAGAAGGACTTCTTAGCGGCGGGAACAAACCATCAAATAGGAGAACATGGAGACCGGGACTATAGGAATTGCGTTCGCATATGACATACAGCTGGCAAATGTCAGGCATGAAGTACGGTAGCTGACAAAAGTCGGACGAATATCGCCGACTTGCGTATCATCCGGTGTATCGTGGCTCCTAGCGAGCATCACATCAACTGGCCTATGGAACGCAATGTCGAACGCTCTAGAAGACAAGAAGCACTATGTCAGTACTTGGATTCCATGTCTTTGTATTGCGCTTTTGGACATCAACCGATTACTACTGGGTTTTAGCTACTGTTAGGCAGAGTTAGGTGTAGACGAGTCAAGTGAATCTGGGAAAGAGTAAAGCACGGACTAGCCTGACACTTGCCGTCTAGCTAGGACCAGGTAGACTCCACCATACGCCAAGGTGGATGATGATAGTATCAAGTCTGACAAACCATCCCTCCATTTCGGCTAGTGTGGAGTGACTTCGGCTAGACTACAACGTCTGAAGCCGTCAACCGAACTCCGTCGCAGAAAGTTCTCTGCAGCAACACCCCGGCCGGCAAACCCCAATTCCCAGACGACTGGTTCGCTATTCAGGCACGGAGTAGTAGTTGCAACATGTGCATCTCTCAAAATCCCGCAATACTCACCCAAAGACCGGTTTCTCGGGCTTAGAAGACGCATGTGTCTCCAGCTGCTCCTACCTCAAAAGGAAGTAGTTAGCGATCGAAACATCGAATCATTCGTCCCCAAACGCTGCAGTGCCGCCTATCCATCCCACCATGACATGAGTACCGGATAATTTACTTACCATCACGCTGGGTCCGTGGAACGACGCAGGAGGGGCGGAGGGGCCATGCGCCCCTCACAGTGGATATCCTGGCTGGTGCATCTCGATCTCCCAGGGAAGCTCCCTCCCTTCAAAAACGCCGTAGTGTCGTGTCGTCTGTTTTTGCTGCTCAAACCGACGATCCAATCCCGTACGTTGCGTTACATAGCACACACCATGAGCAACACTATATTGGCGTCCGCCATGCGTTCGGTCGCGAGGCAGTTCGGACGGCATGACGCAGATGTCGGTGTCGTCGCGGCGGGAGGCGCTGAGACAAATTCAACTACTCTAGATCCGGACAAGATATCAACAGAGACGGACGAGGAGGACGATAAAGTTATGCCGAATGAATTTGCGGCAGAAACTGGGTGGACGATCGAGAATACGAAGCTAACGAACTTTGACCCACCTGGACTTGAGGTGCGTTACCACACCCTCGATAGGTCTACCAGAGTTGTGACGTGCGCGAATTTAGGGCAACTATTGACCCTTTACGCAATAGGTGGATAGTGACGAGGGTGAGCCGGATATTGAAAAGTAGGAGTTTCACTCGTTGTTGGATTTGAGCTGCGTGTCAGAACTAACAGGAACCTGTTCAGTCCCTATGTGACGAACCCGGTGAAACTCGACGAGGCGGTCGAGGAGCACAACCGACCATGGCATCAGTACAAGTACGGAACCAGTAAGTTTTCCTTTCAAGCATACACCAAGGTGCCTTCGACCAAGCGACCATTCCTGACCTGATCTAGAATACTTCCTACCAAACGACTCGGTCAGTTGAATACCCATTGACGCGAGGGACGTATGATGCATCCTCAAAGCACCAGTATATACGCCGTCCTCGCAGCATCGTGTCTTCTCTTAAGCACTCATCCGTGTTTCTCACTTCACTGGGGCAGAATTTGTGCATCGGTAACTACATGCTGACCAACTCACCAAGGCCGAATTATCACGTCTGGACCGCCAACACATCTTGTGGCGTGCGATTCTCGACGGAGATCTCTTCAAGGCTCCTATTGACCAGGCCAAACATGTACTTGATCTAGGAACCGGATCTGGAATCTGGGCAGTTGAGTTTGGTGAGTCGAGCCCATTCATTACCTTCATATATTCCCGTGCTGCCGCAACACAAGTGACTGATGCGTTCACAGCCAAGGAGCACCCCGATAGCCATGTTACAGGCATCGATCTCAGCATGCCCGAATCAAAAGAGTTAGTACCAAATCACCAGTATCCTGCGAACCCCGCTAATCTCCCCACAGTATCCCCTCCAACTGCGAATTCCAGCTCCGCGACTTTATGGACCCCTGGGGTTATCCCCACAGGTTCGACTACATTCACGGCCGCCTCATCTTCGTCGCCCAATCCGACCCCCTCCGGCTCCTCAAACAAGCCTACGCCGCCCTCGCGCCCGGCGGCATCCTCGAATTCCACGAGTTGTACGGCCTCCCCATGGCCATCGACAACTCGCTTCACGGCAAGTATACCGAAGAATTATTCTTTGCCACCGTGGTGGCCTCGCGCAACCTGGGAAACGACATGCTCAGCTTGCCTCGATTCGCCGGCTGGATGCGCGAGTTGGGCTTCGTGGATGTTGTGGAGGAGCAGCGGGCATTGCCGGTGAGTGGATGGGCTAAGGGGAGATATAAGGCGATTGGGGCGATGCAGGAGCAGAATCTGAAGGTCGGCATGGGAGGGATATATACGAGAATGTTGAATAAGGGGCTGGGATGGAGTTTGGAGGACACAAAGGAGAGGATTGGGAGGGTGTTGGAGGAGGTGGGGGATAAGAGGATGCACGCGTATTTTCCTGTGTAAGTCTGGTTTGTCGAGGGCGGTGGTTTGATGGGTTAAGCTAACTTGCGCAGATTCGTGGTATACGGGAGGAAGCCGTTCGATGCGGCTTGATGTTGAAGAGGAAGACCAACGGGATAAAGTGACGGGTGCCGGTGATAAGATCCGACGGTCCGACAAGTAATGGATGGGGGGAAGTCCTTGCGATGTAGCATTTCCGAGCGACCGGCATAGCATAGGCATAGTGTTGCGATCTAAAGTGGATATGGTGATTTTTGCAAAGCGTAAAGCAAGTTTGGTTATCCCTATTCTATTCATATCATGCCGTAAGTGCTTCTGTAAATAGACGATACAAATTCTCCCTCGACCGCCACCCAGCCAAAGGCAGGCAACATCCCCCATCGCCTAGCCTCTTAAATACCCCTCAAGCCTCCTGATCAAAATCATAGCTATTCCCAAAACCTCGTGCCAGATAACTCCCCAGTACCTCCTCCCTCCCAACCCAATCAATGGGAATTTCCAACCCCAACAACTTCCCCTTGCGCTCCAGACTCTCCAGCATAGGCCGTACGTCCTCCCCGAGCTGCAGCCGCATTCTATTCCGATACCAAGGCGCAAAGTGGATCATTGCCAGCATGATTCTTACCTCCTCCGTACTATTCGGCATACCCGCGTGCCAGAGCCGCAGGTCTCTAATCACAACACTACCCTTTTTGATGACCGGTTGCACGGGTCCACAACCAGCACTTTTCCTCTCCTCCAGATACTCCTCCTTGATCCGCCCGCTTGCCCGTTCACCGTGAACTCCCTCCTGCGCGTCGGGTAGGCTATTGTGCGAGCCGAGCCACACTTCGGTGGACCCGTTCACGGGACGCATGTCGACGAGGGGCACATTAACGACGAGAGCAAAGGCGTGGGAGGGGTGCGAGAAGTCGGCATCGGAGTGGACTGGTTGGCGCTGTGTGGAAAGGGGCATGGCGGCGTTGGCGGAGACGAAGGTGAGTTTAGGGCGGGGGCCGAGGAGGACGGAGGTTATTTGGGTTACGATGGGGTCTGTTACAAACAAGAAGGGACATGAGTTTACCAACTGGGTTGTATTTAATGTTTATGGCAGATGCCTGAGCTGCACATGCCCAGGCTAGGATGACGAGAAAGGGAAATGAAGAAATGGGCAACGAATAGATGGGTTGACGTACTGACGAATACAGCTTGGTGGAAATACTCGGCTACAGGGGGGGGATCGATCTGAAGATTGCCTTGGTTATAGTTGTACGGACTGTTCTCAGCCCGAGCCTGAAGTATACGTGCATCTAGGATCATCTTGGCGTTGAGGTGTTCGAGCTGCCGGTGCGGGACGACGTCTTCGACGACTACGATGCCGTCTTGGTGGAGCTGGCGGACTGCTGTTTCGAGATTGCGCATGTCGAGTGCCTCGCGGCGTAACTCGGTGGGTGAGGGTTGGATGATAGTGGGAGATGATACTGCTGCTTTTGCAAGTGAAGTCAGAAAGCGGCGGTCGACACTGGGCTTCCAGTAAGCTCGGCTCGTGAGGATACGGGCTGTGGGCATCGTCATGTCGAGCTTAGAAACGTCGATGGTTTTGTTGGGTGTATGTGATAAAAGGCGCCTGAAGATCCGACAAGAAATTGAAGCAGCGTAGGTGGTGGAAACTCAAACTCTCTTATAGATGCGATGTCACTACATTGTGTTCCTATAGAGGAATACAAGTGACCTGTGCGGAAACCCGAGCTCGGAATATAGAGCCACGACGGGTTAGTGTGTACATGGCGGGGATCAGTAGCGTTTACTCCCCTCAAGCCACCTGAGTAGGATTTAACCTAGACTGTCTGAAGAACCCCTACTAGCCGATTGCTAGTCCCAAGCATCTTGCAGCAATTTGGCAAGACGGTCAATTGGCCACCCAATCGTTTTCTTGCAAGCCGAAAGGCGCCGGATAATTTCCTGTTGGGCTGCTTCCGCTCGTATGAATCGGCCGCCTATCACCCGTTGTGTTAGATTCTTCCGCTGGCATGGTTCATCATCAAAATTCCAGTTGCATCTTGCTTACAATATGCCATCGGCCCGAAGGAGTTGACAAGAACCACCGACATGTTAGTAGTGAAGGCAATACCAAAGAGCTCCAGGGCTGTGTGTTCAAGAAGATCCTCTTGTGCTGGGCTGCTAGGGTTAACGGTTTCGATACCACCGCATGTTTGTAAAAGAGCCACCGCATGCTCTGTCGGTGCAGATGTGGTTAAAATCGATACAGATGCCAGATAGTAATGCATGGCGGATGCTGTAGTCATCGTCAGTCGGCCTATATTCACCAACGCGTCGACTGAGCTGCACATATACTCACCGTGGCATGCGCGCAAGAACCACACGGATGGAAGTGCTCCAAGCGACGCAAGTCCCCTTTTACCACTCGAAAACGGTCTGAACCGTGACGGAAGACTGACGAACCAGTTCTGGGTTTTGTTGAACAGTAATGTCCATTCCTCAACTGAAATCGAACGGGCGGCAAACGCACTGTTTATCAGCTGGCCCAGTATCAATGATATTGAGTTAAGATAGCTCTCGTCCGTCGCATGGCCCGGGGGTCCAATCATTTCCAGGTCTATTTTCAAGGGACAGTTCTCGTAGAGGCTGAAAGTGATATCTTCGCGCAGGTAGTTCCAAAAACCAGCAGCTAGAAGCCCTCCTTGCAAAATGCCTAGAGACACACCGGCATATGCAGCCAGCGAGTAGGCGCCTTGGAGATGTCGGTTGGGGTCGACGTCTTCTATACATAACACTTCATTAACCATCTGCGCAAGTGAAAATGGCGTCACTGCTTGATAAGTAAATGGCAGCCGAAGACTCACCATCAAGAATTTCGTACGAGCGCAATAGACACGTCGCCGCTAATGCGACGCCCCTAGCCTGTAGATGACTGCCCTCCTCAAGCCCAATCATCAGACGAACGCAACGTCGGTGATATAACTGCGCCATCGCGCTTGTTCCTGCTGTCCGCGACACCGTCTTGCTCAAATGTACAGCCGACAGGGCCATCAAAGCGCAGAATAACAGCGGCTCGTCCAGGGCTAGTTCGGGTACCAAGGTGGCGAATGTGTGCGACCCATCACTAAGATCGTACCAGCTAGACAGATCCGATACGTAGTGGTGGAAAAGGCGGGCTAGCCTTGCATCCTCGAGTGCAGCCCGTGGATTTTCGGGGAATTGGGTAGTCGTGTCATCGTCAGTTTCTATCAAATAGATTAATAATTTCATTTACTACATGAGATGGATCTTAGGAGTGTGCATGAGGATTCATTACTAGATACGGTTGCCCCCAGCGACGTCGTCCCTGGCCACTCAACAAACTGCGCGGCAATCGTCAAGCGGTCGCAGTAACGTCCAGCTTTCGCGCATTGTTGACACACGGGGAGGCTTTGATCGCCTGCACGAGAGAGAATGCTCAGTAAATGCGTGGGGTTGCAAATCGGAAGAAGGAGGGCGTTTACACTTGACTTTGCGTTGGCGGCAGGTGTTACTGAAACCCATAAGTTGGAGACTCGAGAGATACTTTGAGAGGTTATCAGAGACCTACCACGCTAGAGGCCCGTTAGATCTGAAGTAGAACCTGCTGATTGTTGCTGATGGTAACCGTCACTTACCTGCTTTGTTCAGTCCGCGCGGCATGTCTTATTTTCAAAGCAGACCAGTACGCTGTTGCTCGCTACGGTTATCGAACCTGGAGGTAGAAAATGCATTTCTCAGCCTGGCTATGAAGCCAAGACTTTTATGCAAGCTTCTCTGAACTTGGATAAACTAACTACAGCTAGGGTGAAGGTGATGCCCGGGCGTTATCGTCCAGCGTTACCAGGTCACAGGAATGAATTAACTGCGTACACTTCCTCGAGTGATCTCGAATTACTAAGCGCTCCCGGATTTCGGTTATTTGACAGTCGAACATTAGCAGTCTCGTCAACAAGAATGCAGTCCTCACATGTTCCAAATTTCTGTTGCCGTCGGCCTCTACTACGGGGCCGCGGTCGCCAGGGTCTTACCCCAACCTTTCCAGGTTCCCCAGAACAGAGTTGCTGGCCCAGAGTGGAAGTGACCAATCAACTATCACAATGCAACACACCCAGACCAGGTCGTCAGCCCAATTTCTTGAATATTTGATGTCCCCGACAGATCTCATCCCAATTTGCTAATGCCATCCGTTCTGTCCCGGACCAGGCTCAGGGACCACGCCGGATACGGATGGGAGGCCGACGAGTACCAAGTTTCTCCGGCCGCGGTGAGAATAAATTACTGCACCGGCATATTGCGCGATGCGGGGTACATACAGTGCTTGAGGTATGTTATAGTGGGAAGCTGACATATGATGCCGATGAGGAAGTGTTGGTCTGGGTAAGATCATCGGGCCAGAGTGGTATTCTACAGTGTTTCCACTGCTATATAAAACGTAACCTGTAGTATGGCTATCCTGCTGTAGAGTCTAGCTTGCTTGGTTTTTAAGAACTAGCCACTTGTGCCTTGCTCCAACCCGCCCCAAGAGTACCACAAAATAGTACATTCTCAGTCAACACAGACAAGATGAAGTTCTTCCACACCTGTCTAAGCCTATTTATACTCACCAGGACGGCCCTCGCTGATGGAGCAGCCATCGTCACAGCCATGGACTCCATCTCCCAGAGCAATGCCGCTCTAAACTCTACCATTGTCTCCTGGAACGGTGATCTTCTCGGCACTCTCCCCATCCTCACCAAATCCACCACTCTCCTCGCCTCGTTGCACGATGCCACCAAAGTAGCCCAAGCATCTGCACAACTGAACACCATCGAGGCGGTGACCGTGGCCTTTGCCACCAACGACCTGGTCGCAGAGACGAACTTGACGCTGACGAATATCATTGCCGCCAGACCGAAGTTTGATGAGTTGCTGTTGAGGCCGATCATTTTGCTGAGTTTGAATCAGCAGAAAGAGGCGAGTGATGAGTTTAGTGCGGCGGTCGTGGAGAAGGTGCCTGAAGAGTTGAGGGGTGCGGCGGATGCGTTGGTAGCGGCGCTGGATGAGGTCTTTGGGGTGGCTTTGGAGAGTTATGAGTTGTTTTAATGAGAGATCAGGGTGTGTGTAAGGAGTCGGATATTGGACTAATGGAAGAGATGTGATGGCTCTACTTCTAGGAAAGAAGGAAAGAAGGAAAGCGAGGCTAGGGTTGCGGAGGAAGTGGTTAAGACGGCAGCAGGGAATCCGCAGAATGGGAGAGATATGGTGGCTCTATTAGTTGAAAAGAAGTGAGAGGTGAAGATTACGGAAAATGTAAAGCAGCAGCAGAAAATTGGGGGACTAGGAGAGACGTAATGGCTCTCCTTTTAGAAAAGATGAGAGAGAAGGATGTACTTACGGAGGATATGGTATGTCAAATTGCGAGACATTCTAAATGACTAGGCCACGGTCCTCCTTCTGGAAAAGAAGAGAGACGAGGCTATGGTTATGGAAGTTGTTGAGTCACCTGCCTGCCGGCTGGGAGCCCACCATAGATTATAGACCTGTCTGCCGCAGCTAGATAGGTCACTCCACCGATCACCTACAATCATGTCTCTTTTTCACTTGGTTCCTAACAATGGATAATATGATTAAGGCGTTAGTAGGTAATGTTACGGAATAAGGAGAATGCGAAAGAGATAATGGCCCTTTTTCTTAAATACCGTAGGGAAGATGTGCTGGTCGAATCCACGTAGCAAAACCAAGAGCCTGCTTTGGAGATCCTTGATCAGATGCTAGTACTCCATGACCATCTTCGTCCGGAATGGCTGTGCCTTTTTTTGATAGAACCGTTGGGGCTTGAGTTCGCTTTGCTGGATGATGTTTTTGGCCAACCAGTACTCGCCGTTGATGGGCCACGTATTCTTATCATGGTGTAGAAACGAATACCCAAGTCTGGCGTCGGACAGATCGTCTTCTAGCGTGTCCCATGGGATAGCTGGGAACCCAAAATACTCTTGTGTATCTGGTTTGGTTTCCAGCATCAATGCTTGACCGACTAGCTGTTTGTCTCATGGATCAACCCCTGCATTATCTCTCTCAGCTCTTGTATCGCGAACTGGACTCGATGATGCGAGATCCTATGCCCCATCCCACTGGATATGTCCTTCGGCTGGCATGGTATGCACCATCTTGAGCCCATACGTTGGCGATGTAAAAATCCAATCCATGAATCTGGCTTTGGCACCACCAGTAGCCCTGGTCATAAACCTGTCCATTCGGGGGCGCACGAGATCGAACAGACTCTCCGTGACTTCCATGGCCTCGCCGCGCTCCAGACCCTCCGCCAGAATAACGCATAATATAATCGATAGCTTCTAGCCAGCCGTAATCTGGTACAATTACCATCACAGCCAAAACACTGATCACAACACTTTCGTATGGAGATGTATGGTAGTGATGGTCAAAGAAAACCACCATGACTGCCAAACATTTCTCGTCTGACATATCCCGCTTTGCCATCTTCGCGGCCGGTTCTGGTCACCCCAACGAGACGCAATTCTTCCAAACTCAAGATCGAGAAATTAAGTAATGAAATGCTTCGTTTCGCTAAGGCACATCAACAGAATCGCACGATCGGGCGCTTCCATTCGCTGGTCTTATACTAAAACTTTATCCAGAAATTAAAAAAAGCGAAATTCTACCCCCCTGTCGTTTTACATCGGATTGTAGTGTATACTATAGGATAGGTTAGGTTCGAAGTACGACGCTGATGTTTGTATAGGAGGGGTTGCAATTTTCGTGAAGATCAATCCACGAAGGATAATATCAGTGCGGCCAAGAAGTTGTAAGAGCAAACAGGAAAGTTCTCTGCTTGTGTTCAAAGGTACCTACGTAACGAATGTAATGACTGACGACAAACAGCTAGGATCCAACAAAAGATGAAGAACAGAAAAAGTGAGATCGATCCCGTAGATCAATGATCCTGGAAATAAATGCCAATGCGTACGGGGCCAGAAATGGAATCCTCTCCCCTCCTCTGCTCCCCTATCAAAGCCCCCACTCAAATTCACCGCGAATGCCAACTCGCCACAATTTTCTGTAGAATAGAGCATTTGAGCCTCTTTTGACGCCTGAATGGATTAGCACTTCCCCAGATCCAGTCAAGGTCTCCTACCTACAGTGAGTGTTTAACAGTAATGGTCGCCATAGAATGTTCGGCCAACCGAGGCGTCGTTAACACCTCCGCAGGCCCCTTCAGTGCACCGGGCATATCCGTATCCAGGTTCGCCACATGCGTTCGAAACACTGATATGTCTATCGATCATTTGGTTGTAGTTCCACGTGACTCCTTCGTAGTTGCAGAAGAAAGAGTTCTCCGTTTGGTAGTACACCTGAATGTTCTGAATTAGAGGAATGGCCATATCACGCGGAGATTGTTTTCAGCTTACCCATCCCGTGGTTTTTACACCATAGTACCCGTGATTCTCGGCGTTCCTGGCCGCCGCCTCATTGGCGACTCTTAAAAGGTCCTTATTGCCACTTCTACCGGAGCAAGTAATAGCTTCTCCTCGGGCTACGAGTTTGGCTTCAGCCGCAGCGGTTGCATTGTCGTACCTCGCGATGTCTTCTTCCGTGGCTGGCTTCAGGTCATCTCACGCGGTGAATTCAACAACATATCTACCTTCATCATTAGGATGGGCCACGTAAATGCCATCGCCTTGATATTCAGCATCACGGATGGCAAGGTTCATTCTCTTAACGGTCAAGGACCTGGCTTCTAGAGCTGAGTCAACCTCGGGTGCGCCTGCAACGACAGTAGCGAGGATGATAATAGCGTTGAGGAACTTCATTGTAAGAGGTTCTAAATGATTCTTCTTGTGACAAAGTGGAATGCTCGGAGGTCGTGAAGGCAGATAAACTATCAATTGTAGACATATTGTGTTAGTATGGGGGCCAGTGATCTGTGAAAGTGGTTTGAGTCGTGATGAATTCTCAGTCCATGGGGAAATATTGCCGGCTTTATACTTCTCTTTCTTTCCCTGTCTCTTGCCTAGAATTTTTGGATCTGATTTTCGCATTTTTCTCTTTGAATTGTTTTTAACGGTTCGCGGTGCTGCGTGCTTGTTCTTCAGCTGCATTCGCTTCACAAGCCTCTTTTCATCAATGTTGCACCCTATGACTTCTGGTTGGGCTTGCTTGCAACTTAGCTCGATCCCTATCCGTGTAGTCCTGCCTGACCATCAACAAACGAGAGGAGTGAATCCAGCAGGCTGCACATATGTGGACCCCCCTATTCTCATTGACGAGGTAAAGTGGCTAATACACTGCAATATTTGATTAAGAATCCTGCTAGCTTCAAAATGCATGTATTTTGGGAAATCGGGGCACTCGAACACAGTGTTCTGTACAGATTTGGGTGATTCCGGAGAAGGATCCAAACTATGATTAAACCAGGGTCAGCGATTACCATCATGTTACGCGATGGCAATTAGAGACATAAGAACAGCACAGCTCGCACAGGTCAAGAGTCGCATCAAAGATGACCAATCCAGCAGTCATAAGTCTACTGTTGCACCGACATTCAGATATGGCCTTACACCTCACTGTCATGAGGGACCTGCAGGTCATGAGGCATATACTTCGACTGCTGATGTGAGACAACAGACAGCTTGGCAGATAAAACGCTGTCAACTCGGTGAAAAGTTAGAAGTCGAGATGATCCAGAATCCTCAAGGAATACAGTGGATTGCACATGAAATAATCCAGATACTTGGCTACGACCATAACCCGAATAAACAGCAACAATCGTTCATTATAGGGATATTAAAAATATAATTCATTGGAATCTTCTAATCCCTTGGAGCCACCGTACACGCTTTATTCATGTCTCTGTGCCTACGTTTCCGAAGAGAGAAACGTAATAGAATGGCCGCAATAGTCGAACGTCCGGCAGTGGTGGGCCAAGTTCCACTGATGTAGGAATGCCGTTCGGGGTTGCGTTTCTTTGAATAGACACCTGAGCCACCAGCCTAGGAAAGCAATGCTGCACTGGCCCTTAGCCTCGGAATTTATGCTCACGAGTTGAAAGGCTATTATTCCCCTTATTCACCTGCTGAGGCGATACACTCTAGGGCCTGTTAAGGAATAGCCTGCTAAGGCACCCGTTGTTAGTACCTGTTAAGGTACTCTTGTTGTCCTGATCGGATTAGCAAGGCTTGCGATTTTTGTTAATATTTCCACCTCCCGGATAGGATAAGGATCTTGTCGTCAGTTACCATCATCATCACACCTTGAACCTTCGGGCATTCACTACCCGTCGTCACTATTGCAACCGATGAACGCACCTCGTTACGGACAGGCCATCTAGCCAACACCGTGGATCTCCCTTCCGCCGCACCGATCCTACAAAAGCTGACCACCGACGATTCATCGCCCCCTGGCTAGTGAAACCGCACACCCGCATCATCCGTCATCTTGAATTCCGTTTAGCATACTCGAGCTTCCACTATCTTTCAAACAACCGTAAGTCAGTCTCCAGTCACCATCGATCCGAAGTAAGATGCCGCAGACTATCAGAGTATACAGAGGGAGGCCAAGGAATTGCTTGCCGAAGTGATGTGCCAAGGCGTGACGTGGTTAGTGTTTATCGAGGCCAATGCGGTGATCACTTCGATAATAGAGTGGATCAAGACACAGCGGAGAAAGGGCGGGTCGTCAGAAACCTGGGAGATGGTCCATCATGGAACACAATAATCAAGAGGGGTCAATGCTGAAAGGGCCGAAGGAACACGGTCAGCATGTGCGAACTGAGATGTCTAGTTGGCAGCTTTCAGACCTTATAACCACCAATACGACGCGATGAGTAGGTCCCTCGTCCTTTGACCGTCATTTGGTCCAATAGTAGTTGCAAAGAACGACATGTGTACACACTTCAGATTTAATTCTTGATGGATTCTCCTATTGGATTGTGGGCAAATGGTCTTGTATTGAAAGTGTCATGATCTCTCGAGAGTCCTGAGAGAAGTGAAGGGCGGCCATAGGGGCCTTATATAGGTAGAAATGACTGATGCCTGCCCCACAGCCAGGACTTGTGTGGTTCAATGGGTAGAGGTCATATTGACCCATACTTCGTACGGTTTGCGGCTTTACGTTTCTCCTTTGACTTAGCAGTCTTGACGGAGTAGCCTTGAAGGTCCGACATCTCCTTCTGCTAGATGGATCAACACGTTGCCAAAAGCTCAAGGTTACATAGTCGTGTTGCACTTGTTAAGTTGAGCATGCGTAGGCAAAGATAAATAGTTAGTTCTATTGGGACCCATTGCGGGAGGAGCCACACCCTCGGGCCGTTATTGCCCCGAGACGAATTCCCGATCATCTGGGCTCGTCACCCGCGACTTCCCATAACAATATCGTCGACAACGTTGTCGCCTCCAGAGGTACGGAAAAGGCTCCTCCCGCAACAGCTTCCCCTCCCACCACAACCCCGATTATGTATATACTTCTGTAATAGCTTCCCTCTTAATAAAAAGAGTGCCAAGGGACCCATCTGTGGCCCCTACGGCGGTATAGGCCTCTAGGACGCGAACAGAACGCTCCTACTAGCGTAATTGCTAGTCGAGGCCTGCACCGCCCATTAAGCCACAGGTGCCCCGTGCGGGCCAAGCTTTCATCAATTGTGCCTTCCTATTCGAGTATAGCAAAGGGGGAATAGATTGCTCATTAAAACATAGGTATTCGGGAAAAATAGCTATATTTACGGAGCTCGTTTGAACACAATGTCTCCGGCGGCTTTGCTGCCTAGCGCCAAGCCCTCGGTGGTAATTCAGACTTCACTTCTAAGCTTACTGTACCGACAAAACATGAAAGCACCACCCAACCAAGATACTACTGCGACTCCCGAAACAAAAATGGAAAACAACCTGAAAGACACCATCCAGTTCTTCCAGGAGCTGGCTCCAATCCAAACAAACAGCGTTCTTCAGCCCAAATTCGCTCATGAACTAGCGCCGCAGGATGCACAGCAAACTCGCATCATAGTGCACCGTCGTTTTCTAGCCTTAGTGGAAGCTTTCCTGGCCCACAAACGCGAGCACGGCAGCAGTTATGAAAAGGCCCTGTACACTACCTCCTGGACATGGCAGCAGCAAGTCGCCCGATTGATCGAGAAGCGGCCTCTAGTTTTCATGGGCGCCGGCGATTTCACCGTTCTGCGTAACGGCAAGAGTATCGAATCGCCTACGAGGGAATGGGGTAGCGTCGGCACGGAGGCGGAAAACGGGAACAAGTACCTCTCCCTCATGGAGTACCTCAGCTACGACGAGATTATGCTCGGTAGCTTGATTGGCGTCAGTAGTCCAAGTTACTTCATCAATGACGGCAACCGCTACAACAAGGGAGTCCCCGGTGATTCGGGGACTTTCGAGCCGAGAGGTGTCATAATCGGTCTGGTCGGCGCTCGATTCGAGAGGAAGGATCGCATGGACAGTGTGCATTGTCTCCCAACTGTCGCATCGCCCAAGCAGCATCCCCTGCTCAGCAAAGTTTTCCAGGACTTCTTCGGCTGTCCGAAGAAAAACGTGCCATTCGACTTCGACATGTATAAGTCCCGGATGCGCATCCCTGCCGAGATCTTGCTATGCGAAGCGAACGACCGAGCCAACACGGCTGACAAGAAGGCATATATCTACGTCGTGGGGCTTGGCCTAGGGGTATGGAAGGTCAACTCCGCGCAGACGAAGCATTATGTTGAGGCTTTCGCCGATGCCCTGGACATGCTAGGTCCAGCCCTGCCCTGCATTAGCACAATGGAGTTCGCGTACATCAACGCTCCGCCCGACCAAGAGAGATTGATAAAAAGAACGGGTCAGAAGTTTGGTATCGACATTATCTTTTCCAAGCGCAATCCTGCTGAGAAGCTCACGGGGGCCAGGGAGGGACAGCTGCTTGTGCTGAGCTATGCTTGGGATGGGAACTCATATCCTGGAAATGAGTACTGGATTGGGAATATGGTAGGGAGTGGTGATCCTGCAGCTGCTTGTATGAGCACCGTCAGTCAGTTGCATAACCCGCAGCTGAATCCTCAGTTCTTGGAAAGGATCCAGGTTTGGGGTCTTCCGGTCGATGAGACTCAGACTTGACAGCTGTACGCAGGCGGATACGAATGTGACGAGGGAAAGTTCCTACGGGAGATGAGAGGGATTCATGTTATGGATTTGATATGTGGTTTGTAGGAGTGGTTATGAGAACATGGATGAGGAGGCGATGAAAAAGGAGGGAGGTTTTGGAGGCTGTGTTTAGTACTAATATTAGAGGAGGTGATGTGGATTTATGGACGGAAAGGCTAGTAGGCAGCAGTTCACATGGGGCATGTGTCTAGCCACCTTCCACTCACTGGATACAGGGGTGTGCGGAAAGATAGCGCTCTCGCCTGCGCCACTCGTGACATCCTTTGCACAATACAATGTCGTTTTCTCGAGGAGATATCTACTAGACCTGAGCTCCCTGATCAGATCCGTAAATGGTGTTTGCGGACGGATTTATCAAGCAGATGCTTTGTATTAATTCCCACCAACTTGCCATCCCTAGCTATTTCGACTCTGAGAGACATTTAATGCGTGACAGAGTAGAAGAAGGTTCAACCGTTCATTGTTGACAGGCTTTATAAGGACGCCCGGCATTCTCAATATAGCATGTCTTGGCTTGGTGTTGGCTCCACAAAAGGGAGCATCGAGCAATTCCTAGTAACACAATCTTTGCGGACCAACATTGGATCCACATTTTCCAGGATGCAGCAGACCTCTCCCTGTGCCTCTCGTTTATAAGGGCATCGAACACGTTGCCACATCGTATGGGTAACTGGGATGGCATCTTGGCGTCAATATATATTCAACAGTTGGTGCGCAAAAGCATTCGTACGCACAGGAACCCTATGCCAGGTTCGAAAGAGACCGAGGCGATATGGGCAACCTGTTGAACTTGAGAATACTTCCATAAAGACAAGGAGGCCATTAAATAAACATCAACTTGTGTGTTAAGAATCGTCCCCAGGCAAATGGCCCTTGTACCATGATCAGAGTAATAGGATCTCTCATGGGTGATCTAAAAGTACCGTTCTACTCTCCTCGACCGACAGTCAGTTCCTACGTCGACCGTCCTCCGCCACCTTCTCACACAATAATTGCACGTATAACACCGACAACAAGCACAGTTACTCCCAAACGCACCAATTGTGCACCCGCACCTATGACATCGGTGCCTCGTATCTAGACACATTTGGTTAGAATGGCCTACCAATGTCGCTTCGTGTAATCTAGGGGCAAGGCGCAAACAACATACCACGAAACGTCTCACGCCACACTTCCTCGGTGTGATGTCGATAGTCCTGGTTAAGGTGTTGGTGATGGTGGTGGTGGTGATGTCTGCACCGGTATTTCTCGCATTTGCACTTCTTATGCTTCACCTCGTTGTTGATCACTACTAATATTCGGGCATCCTTGTCGTGAGAGCCGTCAATTTTCTTTTCTACCTTTTCGCATTCGACCTTCTCGACCTTTTTGAGTTCGACTTTGGGTTGGCCCATGGCTGTCCTGGGCAGAAATTTCGAATGAAAGAAAGTCAGAAATGGGCGTGAGTCGTTCTGGGAGACAGAGTTGATTGTCTTGTTGATTGTCTCCCTGCAAGTGGGCTCGCGTCGGTGGTTGTCTTATACCTCTATCTGCACATTGGCTTGGCGGGTTGAGTTTGCGGAGGTCCGTTCGATCTTTTGGCATGTGCCAACTGACGTTCTGTTCCTTCCGCGCGGGAGATCATCACAAGATCAGATGAGTCGCCTGAAGCCGGAAGATTGGATTTGTTCAGATCATGACATGAACCTTCGTCTCAAAACCAGATGATCAGTATGTATCTTTCACAAATAGTCTTCACTGCAACGACTATTCGCAAGTATAGGCATCAAATTCCCGTTCTCGTTAGCTGTAAGGTTGATCAATTATATGCCGACTCTGAATTTCTAGGGTTTTAGAAGATGATTAACCGGATCAGAGATCACTTACCCCGTGAGATGTGGTGGATTGGATGTCGGTTCTCTAGCTATGTCACAATGTCTCGGAGATATTTTTGCAAAGCCTATTTGCTTTGGTCAATAAGGTCCTGGATCCATGGATACATGTGAGCAGGGAAGGGAGAAAGATCATACCGCCGTATTTTGCTTTGCGTCTCTTTTCCAATCCCGGTACATACATACCTGCTTGAAGCTCGGGCTAGGATTAGGGTCTGCTAACTGTTATGGGCGCCTCATGTGAATTCACTAAAACTCGGATTGATCATTCCATCCTCCAATAACCACAACCAGCCACTTGAAGCCACAGCGGAACTGTCTTGGCCCAAGCTCATCGGCGCTGTTGTCCTGTCAATCTCCGTTCTTACCTTGTGACGCCGCGAACGTCTACTGTCCAAGTCGCCAAGCTACCCCCGTTCTTGGAATATCACAGGCAACCAGGCAACCTGAGGAAAATCATTGCTTGAGTTGAGGCCACTAGACGCTTTCAAGGACTCCATTTCGCCGTTCCTCTGTGGAGCATTTTGATCCCATCGCCGACATTTCCGGTAGCAATACAGGGGATCGCATCATCGTCAGTTTACGGTGAATTGTTTCCCCTCTGCGGTCTCACCATCATTAGTTTGAGTCAGTAATTCCTTTACTCTCTACGATCCCATTATCTTCCAGTTACGGTAGATCACCCACAACGCAGATAGCCATGGCAACCACACTACGCACCAAGCGCATGACTCGGGAGCATGGAGAGCTCATCAAAGCCAACCCCGACTACTTTGTTTACTTCAAAGATGACGGCCTGACCAAATTCGACGCTTACGTCGTTGGACCCGAGGACACACTCTACCAGCACAAGTTTGTTAAACTGCGCTTCGAGATTCCCGAGAAATATCCCCTGGTACGTCGCTTCTCGGCTTCAGATAACTTCCACTAACCGAATTCCAGGTTCCACCAAAGGTCACTTTCATACAGCATTCGGGACAGAGGATTCACCCCAATCTCTATGTCGAAGGCAAAGTATGCCTCAGCATCATTGGCACGTGGCCCGGAGAACCTTGGGCTTATGGAATGAATTGTCACACCGGTATGCCCTCATCTTCCATATCCCGATGCAAGCCAACCATCACAGGTAGGTCTTGCTAACTTAACACAGTCCTCATCACAATCCGATCTCTTCTCGATAACCAGCCGTACAAGCATGAGCCTAATCAACCAGACGATCCGGCTTTCAATCGCTTCGTCCAGTTCTCAACCTGGAGGTGCCTGTTGCTAGATTATCTTCGGAATGAGAAGGAGGAGCTGGGCAAGGCTTTCCTCCAAAAGTGCGTTCTCGAAAACGGGCCTAACATGCTCGAGGAGCTGCACCGGCAGCGCATGACCCACGCTCTGAAGAAGGAGGCGTTCACTTGCCCGTATGTGAGTGGCAAAGCCAGAACAATCAGGCATCCGGACTACGATAGTTTGATCCAAGATTTGACTGCCGCTATTTCCACTGCTAGCGGAGGTGGAGCACCCAAGGCATTCGAGAAACGGGCCAGAGAGGAAGATGATGCGCCTCAGTCCGCTTCCGGACGAGGAAATGTCGCAGATTTCACCGAACAGCACAAGGGCAAGCGTGCCAAGAAGGGCTCCTCAGGCGCTGTTGCTGGTGTGCCAAATGGCGACTTTGGTCGCTGCGCCGAAAAGCCGATCGCACTTGATGAGGCTCAGGTTACCGCCAGCCCCAAAAAGACAGCTAAAGAAACCAGTAGTTCACTAACTTGACTTGAGAATATGGGCGCTATGAGGCGTTATCCTACCCACCAGACATAAAATCCTCGATTTTGCTGCCACGCAAACTTTACGAGTGGAGGGCAATAGGAAATACTAAAACAGGAATGAAAGGCCAGCAGCTGTGCATGGTGCGGTAGATATCCTTATTCTAACTGAAGAAGAGACAAAGTGGCACCGACCTTTTTGGCAAGCCAGAATCAACCTGCTTCAAGGTCAGTAAGAGGGGAAAGAGCATCTGCACTCTGTCAGATGGGTTTCTAACTCTGTCTTTAGAGATGCTCCTGCACTGCGTCGGTCTTAGGATTCTAGAGGCAACAGCAACATATCATACTTGGGTTTTCCAGTCTTGAGACAGCACATTTTGGGCGGTCACAGATAGGACAGATACTCGGGGTATTGGTGGCGGTGGTGAGCGAGAGGCATGGTCCGCTCCTTGATACCAATATCCGTATTAACTACCGCCGGAGCCACCTTTTCCGATAAGTTAGCTTAGCAGAAATAAGACCCATTCACAACAAGAGTCGAATTCCTGTGATTTACCACCTGCAGCAACATAAAGCAAATGGAAGGACTGTGATGTAAAAGCCCCAAGCATGTGACCGACCTATGATACAGTGCTTAGGATAGATGCTTCCTCTCTCCACAGTCCAACACTCATCTGTCTGTAACAACGCACTAATTTAGCATTACCGCCCATATAAAGTCGGAAACCGTATGGGAATAAGTGAAATGCCACCTCGGAGCTTCCCGCCCATGCAGCTTTCCTTGCTAGTGCAACCGCTTATAGTACCTCTTCAATAATTGAATACCTAGACCTCCGAGGTTTCGTTGTAGCGTCATAGCGAGTCAACTCTAGCTGCCAAATTGGCGTGAGGGTTTCGCCCCCAATCCGGTGAAACCCCGGAGGCGCCTTCTCTAATGAACGTTCCTCACGACAAACATACCGTAGCTGAAGTTTAGGTAAATGCGTGTCAACACAGCAAATACAGAGACGACAAGAAAGTCCCAAACCCCTTCTCTCCTTTCGCGTTACTGCAGCCATCTGGCATCTCAGACAAGAAAGGATGGATATCGTCGAGAAAAACGAGTCCTTCCACCGAACAGGCGACAAAATCCAATTCGACCCCGTGACAGCAATCATCCGGAAAACCGAGGTGTTATATCTTGCGAAATGGAAAAATCGCCGGTAAATCCCTGACTTCTCGCACATGTACAACGTGCAGAAATTAGAGACGGAAGATAGAGGCCCAGAAGTAAGAAAGGACTGGATGGTGGCTTCCACCACGTATAATCACTGCTACGTGAAACCCCCAACCTCTTCGCATATGCTTCATCGAACCTTGAAACCCACATCCACCACGAGGTTCAGACGTGTGAGGTTATTCGAAATCATCCTCACCCCAATGTTGCCTCGTACTACGGCTGCCGCGACACGCGAGGACGAGTCTCTGGTCTTTGTTTCAAGCGGTACACCAGCACTTTGTCGGAGAAGGTTAGCCCTCACCATCTCAACAAAACCGCCTTTCTGTCCAGTAATCGGCTGCTCGTTAATCAAGCTGTAGAGTTATTACTAGCTAGTATTCGTAACGGTATTCGACACCTCCACGCACTCGGCCTCGTGCACAACGATATTACACCATCTAACATCATGTTAGACGACGACGGAACGGCTGTTATTATCGATTTTGATAGCTGCCGGCAAGTAGGGGCGTTGATACGAGAGACAAAGACTAAGAGAACACATGGGTGGCATGATCCGAACGTAAATGTGGCATCCGAGACAAACGACCTCGATGCCCTTGCCGAGTTGCGGGCCTGGTTACTTAGTTCATCAGCCACCGAGTTCCAGTTTGCGTAAACATTTATTGTCGAGCCAGAAGTCAAGCATGGAAAATAGTCCGCTGCTTCATAATTCTACCCGTATTAAGGCAATCTACGACATACGTGGTTGCAATATCAATATCAATCTGTGTATTCTTGCAGTAACCACTCCGCCATTCTCTCTTTGTTTATTACCAACCATGCTCTAAAAAACCCACAACCAAGATTCACCGGATGCCTCGGTGCCAGTTGTGATTAGTGGAAGAGTTTGGTTCCGGTCACCGTTCCTCTGACTGCATAGATCAACAAAACACCATACTAGCTAATGGTCTAAGCCAAATGACAAATGACAGTGTATTGAGCCCCTCTCTTCTGCATGCCATAATAGTCAATTTAATAGGTATTATCGTACAAAATTCAGTATACACATGTGGGACTAGTAGGCAATTGGTTCACCGTTATTTTGGATTATTGATTCCGAGCGGTGTGGTTTGCTTTCAAGGTCAGCATTCAACTGCTTATGCCCCAGCGCCAGCCATCCTTCTAATACTGCCTGCTCCGGGTGTCTCCAGTATCGTGATGCCTACAATGGGTTTGGGAGTTCCATCTCTTGACGAAGCTCTCGATCCAGCTAGTTTCAGGAGGCGAGCCTGCGACGATGTAGCCCGTGTCATGGTAATATGGCGAGAAGACGGCTTCTTTAGCCCATGCCTCTCCAGCCGGCGCCAGAAGAGCCCGAACTACCGCCTCATCATCGCCATCGCTAAATGAGCCTATTCTAATCGTCAAGAAGGTTCAAGGCTGGAGGCATGCAGGGTTTCCATATCATAGCTTGCTCGACAGTCTTGTGGACATCTTTACCAAAAGATATAGGGCATCGGCCAAATGAAGGGCGCTTGAACAACCCCTAGTTCCTCCGCCGATCATTACTACACTGAAATTCTTGGACATCTGGATGGTAATGTCTGCGCATATGCCTCTGCAGAGAATGTGTTGTATTCTTCCATGATGAGCACTTCAAATGAACCGCACTCGACCTGAAGATAATGCATTCATCGACGAAAGCAGCTCGGCAGTCAACGCGAAGATAGTACAGAGTCAGGTTGCAAAAAAAGGTCTAACTGGGCTGGACCATTCGATAAGAGTGGAGCACGATCTCTCGGTCTTCCAGGAACCCACTTACCTTGGTGGAACCTGCCCCGTTCTTTTCGACTGTGAGGACGCAAGAATTCGTCCGCGTGACTTCACCCCGCGGTGCTCATGTGGCAATGGAGTCTTTCTCATGTTTCAGCATAACATTCTACATCTTTCGGGGCCGAGGTATCAAACTCTGACCTCGTATCTTCTCGTTTGCACCTGCCCTTACGCCCCAAGTCATTCACCGAGCCTTTTCCTCATCAATGCACAGCTCTTCCCAAGATGCCACGTCGGAGCCGCCGGGACCAGACTGAGCCAGTCCGCAAAAGAACGCGGACGGGCTGCTGGGGTTGTCGGAAACGTCGCATCAAATGTGACGAGGCAAAACCCCAGTGTCGAAATTGCATCCTTCGTGGTCTGGCTTGTGACAACGGCATTCAGTTGAAATGGCACGCCGAATTCGAGAGTCGGGGGCTGGCATTTGGACGGCAGGGCGTGTGGGCCAAGGACCCGCACTCGTCATCAACAAAGCCGCATTCTCCGCCTGTGACAAGCCCAGTTGGGTGGTGTGGGCAACCTCGGATTGGACCGCATCATTTCCTACACACCCTGTACACTGATTTTCAACCTAACTCACAGCGCCAAGAAGTTTGTGATATTGGAGATGAGATCAACACGGTGGGCTCTGATGGCGTTACTTCTGGTCCTGACCAGTCTTTCGTCCCAACCCAAAACACGCTGTTTCGAAGCCCCTCGCCCCTTATTCGCTTCGATGGATTCGACTACGGGTTGCTGGAATACTACGTCCTCCGACTTTGCCCGTTGACCAGTGCCTCCCAAAATTCACCGTCGCCTTTCGCCAACCTCATTGTCCCCTTATTCGGCACCTGTACTTCCGGGCCTGAGGATGTGTTGCTTTCGGTCATGGCATTTTCCGCCCGGCACAGGAGTATAGCAGATGACGACTGGTCCCAAACCGCTATGACACTCAAGGGAAGAGTTCTTACCTCACTCCAGAGAAGGTTAGGCTCGAGCGGTGTCCCAACCCCCATCGCATGGGATCCGCAGATACTTATCATCATGATGTTTCTCTGTCTTTATGAAATTGTCGACAATTGCGACCACCGATGGGTCATTCATCTCAAGGCCAGCCAAGACATAATCCGACGCAGGAAGCAGTTACCGCCCCCACGCGCGCACGTGGATAACAAGGCCTTATCATCCTTTGCCGAGAGATTCTTCGCTTTCCAAGATGTCATCAGCAGAACAGCTTGTTGCCACGCTCCCTTGTTCGGAGCCGAGTACTGGGAAAGCAATGAGCACCAACGCAATGTTGACTCCTGGATGGGTTGTAGCCCGGAGCTCGTGCGCATCCTCAGTCGCATCACAGAGCTTAGCAGCGCCAGGGGAGCTGACAGGATCTCCGCAGATGACTTCACAGACCAAGCTCAAGTACTTAGGTCGGAACTCGATTCCATGAGATCGGACATCCAAACCCTGGAAGATGACGATCTGGCAGCTGTCGCAGAGTTGAAGCGCTTGTCTGCTCTTCTATTCTACTATTGCGAACTGTACGACGCCTCCCCATCCACCCCGCTAGTCTCTCGGCTCGTCGCTAAGATTCTACGGGGAGTCCACCATCTGCTGCGAGGATCATCCATTGGAGGACTCGCCTTTCCCGTGTTTGTGGCTGCCGTGGAACTGGAGCCGGCAGATGAGGAATTGTTTTGCGACAGTGAAACTGGCGAATCTGTCTATGGACGGCGGCTTGTGTTAGAGGCATTGGATGTCATGTCTAGACACTCCTTGTCTAATGTTCCACGTACTAGAGCTGTGATTCGAAAGGTGTGGGCGTTGCGCGACATGCACCTCCAAGGCGACTCCGTGATCGATGAGTCCCCCACAGCCAAGTCAGCTCACATGAATGACTGGGGTTCCTTTGTCGGCCCAAACAGCTTGAATATCAGTTTGGCTTAGACCTCTGCAGGCTCCATAAGTCTCCTGCGACGTTCTGGTTCACGCGCATTGACAGCGATAGGAGCAAGGAAATGGTCAAACAATCACTAGGCTTGTCTAGGCCTCGGATTGGGTTTATCTTCGGCGTGAACATGACTATCGCTTAGACCTTCCTAGTCCCGACCAGGGGAAGAGATGCGCGTCGATCTTTCCCCACAAAGCCAATCCTATCCCGGGACAAACCCCCGGGTTTGGTTATTGACCCTGAGGCCGGCAAACAACATGCGGAATACTGTGAGATAAGGACATAACATACATCTTGTAGCGCCTCATGGGGCTTCTTCTGAGTGGCGACCACTCAAGCGTCTGACTCAATGATGGCGGCGGAGCGACTGGACCGTGACCAATCTCTGGGAACGGAACTTCTTATCGATGGTATTTCAATATTTCCCCTACTCTGACGCGTTTGCTGATTATTCGGCAGCGGAAAAGTCGGTTGGCTTGTCCCGTGCGAAGTGCTGGTCATTCGGATGTCGCTCATCTTCCTAGGGCCACGGAACGTGGTCCAGATCCTATTGTAAAACTAGTTGTTTCAATTACTTTCTGCGAGGACTTCACTGGTCTCGCCTCATGGCATGGCAAAAATGGAGGAAATATTATCAAACGTTCCTTGTTTTACTGTACGCCTGTGCATTGTCCTCTGGCGAGAATACACCTAGAGGTCAGACATTCCCATTACGGCCATATTTCCATCACCTGATAGACACAACCAGATGCGTGGACGACTGTAAGCGAGGAAACCGGCGTCACGCTGACCAACGTGAGCGACAGCAGTGCATTGATCTACTTATGGTGATTTGTAAGGCCCACAGCGGTACCTTCCTTGCTGATACAGAAATAGGGGTTCGTCAATGTATGGCGGATCCCGCTCGCAAACAAATTGGCCGAATATTCGTCTTCCTCACAACTACTCTCATTTGGATGTGTGATTCTCATTAGTATTGGGACTTCGGCGTATCAAGCCTTTATTCAACTCTCCGTAAGTCTTGCAGCGAAGGTCATTCTTCGGGCTAGCATTGACATCTTGAAATGTATTGGACATATTCTTTCTTCATGATTGTGGCCGAAAGCTCTCGGTATATCTGTTCGGCTAGCGGCTGGGATCCGTTGAATCAGAGAACAGGCCCATTACCGACGGAAACGTTGCGAGGCGTGAGTAAAGTGTACCCCTAAAGATTACGAGTAAGCCAAATAGGCAAAGAGAGTATTCAATCACGAATACAGCAATACTTTCGCATCTCTAATGAACAAGTCCAAGTAATGAGGGATCTGGATTTTTCTTCGCCCATTCTTATGACTACGTAAACTCGTTTCTCATCTATATCAACAAGCATCGCAAGATCTAATGCAATTCTCATCGTAACCCAACCATCTATCCAATAATGCCCCTAAAAACAAACTCACCAAAACGCCATGCATGTATGCTACCCGTATCACCACCCAAACTTCTCTATTCTAAGTTTAACGTCCGCCCCATTCTTGACCGCCCTTGCACACGCATTCCTCGCCGCTCTATTCATTGCATCCGGCCCCGATACCACAACGCCCAGCTCCTGATCATCACCCCGGAGCGCCAGGTTCGCCACATAACTCCCTATATCTGGTCTCCCCGCCTCTGCCGTCGGCTCTGGTATCGTGATGTGGACCCCTGCCTGAGCCAGCTCGTCTAAACACTCCTGCAGCATCCAGCTGCGCTGCGCACGCGAGTGGATCGCCCATAAGAGATGGAATTCTTTTCCTGCTCCCCCTCCAAGAGAAGCAGAGAAGGGTTGTTCGTGCACAAGAGCCCAAAGAAGAGGAAACACGACCGCAATACCGGACCCGCCGGCGATGAGAATGATGGTGTCGCGTGCTCGGAGCATGTCGATGGCATCGGTTGACCCGTAAGGTCCATCCAAGCGCACAGAAATACTTGAGTGTTCTTGCGCGTAACGCAGCAGATCGCCTGTGAAGCCGCCGTGTGCGCGGATGAGAAGGCTGAGCCATGCGTGCGGAGGCGAGGCTTCAGCGCTGGTGCAGGGCTTAGGAGCCGCGGATGCAATAGTAAAGGGGTGAGCCTGCAGCATATGGGTACGGCCCAGGGCGGAGGCGGAGATGAAGACGTGGTCCATTGGACGCCAACCATGTACGATACTCTGACGAAACCGTGCCAAAACTCCCCAGCCCGTTGATCGAGGGATGTCCCAATCGGCAGACAGAAGCAGCGTGCTGCCATCATCCAGAATATCCAAATTGGCCTTCATAGAAACACGCTTGAGCCCGACTCGCCATATCAAGCGATCCGCCAGGAAAATGACCAAAGCCATGGCGACGTACGGCTGAGCCGTGCTGAAATGGAGGTATAGGAAAACCAGTGCCGCCACTTGGAGCACGACGTGTGATGCCAGGAATACCTCATACCACCTCTGTCGAAAGCTGCCGAGCGAGGTCAAGTACAGCAACTCATAGGCCGCAAAGGCGCCCAACCCCAACAAGACCAGTTGCCCCGTCAGGAAATGCCAGATGTTTCCCCGGAGCAGCCACTCGGGCGAACACCAAAGCTCCCATATAATCATGCCGAGGGTATGAACAAATGCTTCGAAGCACATGAGCTCGCCGACGCGGCGGTGGAAGATATTGAGTGCTTCATAAGACCGCCCAGTGAGGAACTTGAGAGGCTGGTTCTTGGCGGCTAGGAGGTATAGGAGCGGGAGGTTGACGATGAATACCACTCCTGCCCTGTCGGCAAAGGAGAAGAAGTACTCGGGTCTCCAGTCGATTTGATAAACATTGTAGAATATGTTCAGGGCGACGTAGGCCAGGACGAACAATGAGGTTCCGTTTGAGGGCAGGGTGCGATTGATGATGGGTATTGGTCGTGGTTGGTACATCAGCCACGCGGCAACGGCGTCGGGAAGTCTTTTTGCGTAGCGCTGCCTTGGTGCGTCCAGTGGGGAGCGGCCTCGAAAGCCCAATAACGGTTGCCGCTCAATGTCGGCATCGCTATCAACCATCTTTGAAGTATACTCTAGCGCTGAAGAGTCCTGCAGCGTGCTGCTAGAGGACGAAGATGGCTGGTTGAGGTCCTGACTGCCAAAATCCTCACCCGGGCGCTGCTGTCCTTCAAATACCAGCACATCCTCGGCAGTCTTGGCACTTTGCGACCGTGTAACGCTCTGCTTCCATTTCCGCCTACCAAGCAACTTCCTTCTCCAATGGAGTACCGAAAGTAAGACTAGCACGACCAGCAGTACATAGTTATAGGTTACCACGAAGTCCCGTCCGTCGACTATATAAGCGATAAGGCGCCGCAGGTACGCGAGTTTCTCCGGGTCGGGCGAGAGGCTTTGGCTGGAATTATCGGAGATTGTTGCGACGCTGTCGTTGAGCTTTTGCCACGCTGGGGATCTGGTCTTGGGTAATCGCAGGCTGGCTTGTAAGAAATTAGCCCATATATTGGTTCCGGAGGCGTCGTCCATGGCTGCGAATGCAACTGGTCATGTCGGAAGACGAAGAAGAAAGTGGAGGTCGCATCGTTGCGGATGCCTGGGGTTGCACGAGAATCTTATCAGATGGCTTATAAACGAGCAGTAGTACCGTCGCCATGGTCATGGGTGGCATGGATCACGCAGACGCGCCGACCTCGGTTTGCAAGGGTGTTGTATCTTTTGGTGTGGATCTTGACGCTATAAGCGCTGGATAATGCTTATGATCGCTGTACAAGAAAGGCGGCGCGAAGCTAGTGGGGCATAGAGTAAGCGTACTTTGCAAGGACTTATTCGAATATCATCAAGCAGCCTTACGTTGAATTGTGCATAGAACAGTGTCTATGCGCATTCAGTCCAGCACCTCCGTGTGTTCATTCTCAGTCTAGCTGGGTTTTACGACCACAATGGATAATCTGATCAAGCTTGAATCCCTGGAGGGGCGTAAAAACAAGCTCTCAAGTGAATAATTACGAGAAAATCACAGATGGACTTTATGAATGATTTCACCTATAGCTAACTGCTATTCTATGTCTGATGACGGTGACTGAAGAGGGGCCTCGGCAGCAGTATTCCGTTCGCCATCTAACACTAAACTAATTCCGGAACGCTGATGGATACGAGATATAATAGTAATACATGAGATCCAAACCCCTAAGGCTACCCAGATTTACTTGTTAACGAAACTTACAACGACAAAACCGGCAGCGATGCTAGTCGCCAACTTCAGCTCCGAAGCCAAGGACAAAGTCTCGTCACGATTGTTGTCTCGACTGGGGGGCTTGGGGCCTATTCCTCGAGGCAATCTCCCAGGGCTCCTATCCTAGACTCCTCATGCTCACCAATCCCAAGGTTGAAACAGCACGAGCGACAGCTGCCAAGATCAGGGACATGAACCCATCCGTCCCGATGGGCATTTTGCAGCAGCTGGATCTTGCGTCCTTCAGCTCCTTCCAAGATGCCGCTGAAGAAATGAACAAGTATCCCGAAGACATAGATATCTTTGTCATCAATTCAGGCACTCTGGCCGTGCCTTATTCCAAGATCAATAAGGGGGAGAATTAATTCCAATAAAACTACGTCGGCCATTTCCTCTTCACAAGCCTCATCATGGAGAAGCTCCTTGCAAACAGGTCCTCCGGCGAGCGTGTCGTTAACGTGAGCCGTGGGGGCTATCGTTTTGCACATGTGTGCGGTAATACTACAATTTTCACGTACGATTCATCACTCGCTCCTCCCACTAGACTCCAAATGTATTCGGCTTCTAATTATCTAGTATTAGTGAGTCCTTTATCAAAGGTCTATATTAGTATTATTATGCATAGATACATTGATCTTAAGAGAGTGTAGAAAGCTTTAACTAGAGTTACAGAACGAGTATTAATTAGTATAGTGACCAGGTTGAAAAGGGCTTTCTAAGTAGTATTATTTTCGTTTAGCATTTATCTGATAAGCCGCTGAAAAGTTACAGTATCAAAGCCTAGCTAGTCTAGCGGATCTTGCCGGAATAGGTAAATAATTAGCGAAAGTTGAGCAAGGTCTCATATAGATCCTCGATAATGTTGTCGAACTCTGCCGATTATTAGTATCGTCTGGGGGAACGTAAGCTTAAAGAAGCAAAGGACACGCATACACGGACACTTAAAGCTAGCGAGAAGGCATTTAGACGGGACCACTCGTCAATTCTTAACGTGGTCAGCAACTTAGGTAACGTGAGTGAATCCTTGCTTTAGTAGCCTTTCTGTCGGGCACTAGAATCATTTGAACATCGTGGAATGCGCATTCCATCTTTCCACGGCCAGTAGTGGACATACGGAAGCCCTGGAATTGATACATGACTTGGATTTCGCGGCAGTCTGCCGCGACTTGCCAAGGCATGAGATGAGGCGTTCACTTAATGCCAGCAAGGCAAAGTCTACATTCTTCTTGCGATCTGTGAAGAATTTGTACTTATCTTTCGTGCCGTTAGGAGGCTCCGAATCCCAGGCCTAACAACGCGATTGACGTACCATACGTCATTTGACGAAGGATCCTGATGTACGTTGGATTCTTCAAGATCGTTGTCGGTGGTGTCGCACCCAGAAGCCTCGTCTTGCGCTTCTGAAAGCGAGGGAGAAAAGAGTCTAGGATTCCATAGCCCGTGGTAATGGCAGGTAGTTGGAGCTGGCCGTTCTTATCGAGTATTAACAGGGCCTCCGGCTCGAGAAAATGCCTGGTGGGCTATCTTGTCGGACCGCACACACCCTTTTCTAGCTCTTTCGTGCTCAACGGCGGATTTAGGGTTTCTTAACTTGCTCTAAATGAGCAAGTTTGATGGGTCCTCTTTTCTGTCCTCAAGGCCCTTATGGCTGGCTACCTTCACTCGTCTGGACTTGGCAGATAGAAACACATTCAATTCCATGCTTTGTTATAGATTACGACAAGTCCGGTGAATGTCACCATCTCTAGTGATCGCCACGCAACAGAGAAGACAGTTGATGCCATGTTGATTCCTGTTGATATGGGAGCTAGGTTCTTCAGTGTGAATATGTAGTTTCTAGGCATGTCCATGGATTGATCCCCTCCCTGGCTAAAACTCAGGATTCCCAGCGAAATAGGTCCAGGCGTTGCAGTAGAACAACGTGTGTGGCAGATTTGGATGATAGAAAACATGTCGAATTTGCGATGTTCGCCCTTAACTGACTCGCGCCACTTCCGATCAACGAGTAGCTTCTTGAAATGCTTGGCTAATTTCTGGTTGCCGTTGCAAAATGGTCTGTTATCGCAATCGGCGGAAATATCTACTCTGCACATGACCCTCGTGGGATCGCACCGTCACTGGCATTTCAGCTACATACGAACGGGAAGAAGGGAAATATACGTTGGGTTTGGGGGGGGCTGCTGCGCGTGGGGGTCCCAAGCAGCACAAGGGATGTATCTCACTCATGAGTGCCTCACCATGACCTTAGGCAACCAACCACAACCTCAGTATAGTTAAGCTAAAATAGTATTTGTCCTACGTCAACTTCCAGCCGCTATATTGCATGCTGAGCAGAAAGTAAGCGAGTCATCTGTCTTCCCTCTGCTCGTATTCCAAATGGCCTTCGTCGATCCTTGATCTTTTTAAGCCATGGCAAGCCACGATGTCTCCTCAAGACTTACACGTGTTGCGATGCAACATCTCAGCGCTTCCCCTGATCCGGCTCATCGTCTCATGCCCATCGTACTGCTGTACATACGCCGGATCCAACACAGCATTACTCACCAGTGGCGACATGGGAGAATCCTGCTTAGTGGGATTGGATGGAAAATCCTGACCCAGACAACTAGCCCACGACCTCATGGGCAACTTGTGCGCCGTTCTTTTCCTTTTCTCAGCGCCAACGGCGGCGCACGAGGATAACATGATTGCCAAGAACGACGAGGACGATCAAGAATACGACCCAGCTACGCTGATGCCGGCAACCCCGCCTGTAGATAGGCGCGCGGCCGCATCATCTGTGCGGTGGAGGCACGGTAGTGTTGGACGGGGTGGGAATGGGGCTCATCAAATTCTTGGTCGGCAGCGGAAGGCGATCGCCCCACCCGTCGCATTTCGACTTAGCTACCTGCGTAAGGTTGCCATTAAACATGTAGTACTAGTATAACTCGTACGTGTTAGCGTTAGAAGCGATGCCGAAGTCGGCATGGGCGGCATCCGCCGCGGGCCAGTATGTGTCGTTGGCTTGGCTGTCGATGGTGGTCCAGGGGCTATAGACGCTGTTCACTGTCGTGCTGCTGGCTAGATGTAGCACCTTGTCTGTGCCTAGGTAGAAGACGAAGCGGGTTTGTGCGTTGTCGATGGCGAAACCCATAGATTTGGCTGTGCCATCCCAGCCTTATATAGTAAAGTCGCTTTAGGTGCTTAGGTCGGGGTGAAGGAGATGTTGGAGCTGCTGCTTGTATATAAGGTGTTGAGAGAGTTGAGAAGGGGAGATGGGAAGGTGGCTACATACAGTTAGTACCTTTGCTTAATACCAATAGTTGCTAAGATGAGGACAAAAACCAGAAGATTGGCTCACAAATATGCCAGGTTTTGTCTGTAATCAAATTCGCCACCTCAATGCTCCTATCGTCTTTGGGCTTCACGCCCATTATGTTGTAATCTGACGGTGAGGAGGCGCTATCGATTCCCCTGCCGGTGATGTTAGCGTCTAGGGATGCAGGCCCGTCGTATAACCAGCAGCCACTGTTGTCGGTCAACGTGACTACTTAGAGCCTGCCCAACTCGGCATAGTACATCCATCTTTCTACTTAGATATTATCAAGGAGGATCCGCAAACCCCCGTGGATGGACTCTGTGTTAGAGCTCGTTGATCTCCTAAAGGGTCACTCGGATACTTCCTATTAGAGATATAGCAGTGGCCCGTCATCTGATTGCACTAGTTACGTATCGATACGAGGTTTTTGAGGTCGTTTTGGTACATAACATCGGCCTAGATCATTTAGTATGAGCTTACTGAATCAAGCATCTCAGGGGTATTTAGCACGTATCTATGTCTCTTTGTCCCACCACCAGCTAGCAGCGGCCACCGCCGTCGAATTCTTTAGTTTTACAAAGACATATAGTCGCACGTCGTGTAATTCTGCAAGATAACTTGAATACCCACCGGGACGTACAGGAACACCGCAATCGAAAAGCATCAGCCATTTTGAGTTGATAGGAATAAAAGAGTGAAAGCTAGGCTGAAATGGGTCGTAGAATGGATGAGTTCACCATGATAGAACTGGAAATTCATTGTATTCACAAAATTATCACAACGAGAAGGGATGCAGAAGTGTGCTATTGATAAGCTAGACAGGAGCAGGCTGCGGGATATCTGTCGTGGCTCGGCACCAAGCACCAGGTTCTGGGGAACATGGGACTTACACCATATCTCCCAGACCCCGGCAAAAGCACGTCCAAGCAGTTCTTCTCGTGACTGGAGCATTTTCGATCCAAACCCTCACCCACTGGACAATCAAAATAGGGGCCATGTAAGCTGCGCATCGAAATGCACTTTCAGCCGCTGACTGACTATGGTTATAGATGATAACGCAGTATTCCACAGCCTCGTCTAACACCCTCATACAGCGATATTCGGTATCATCTTTTATCGCCGAACATTGGCAGAACTGTTTCCTCTATTCATGTGTACCCAAGGTCTACCGTATTGAGACCTGCTATAGTTGATACTAAGTTCGCAGTAAAGCTGTAATCTGAAGTCCGCCTATACGAATGTAGTTCAATATGACATGAACTTTGCTCAACATCACACAACGCATCTATCTTACCGGCATGATGCCAACCAAAAATGGACCATATTCTGAACCAAAAGCACGCTAACTGTTGCTGAACAACCTTGGGGATGACTATCGATACATGGCGATTGGTTCAAGTTGCATAGGCCAGCATGGCTGGTCAGTACCAAGTGACTGGCTGAAATACTCAATACTGCTTTGCCGTTGATGAGCCCTTTGATTTTCTGGTTAGCATCAAAATGTAGCTTGGGACATCCGGGATGAAGAAAGTAGACCAGTGTCAATGTGGCCAATAGATGGGGTTGCCAGACCCATCGTGAATATACAGTGACAATACTTGACCTTAAAAAGAAGCGTCTAGTGTACTGACCCAGTAACCAAGTTGACTTGTTATCGTTCTAGCCGGCGCCAAGATATATCACGCCTCGGTCCATCATTACCCCAATACCCGCAGCCAAGACATAAAGTCATTTCCCGTCCCCGCTTGCCTGCGTCTCGCTATGAGGGTATAGACTCGTATTATCACGTCATGCGCTATAATATGCAGGAAGAGTGAACGGCAATGGGACTAAGTTCTGTCTGCAGAATGACTTTAGTCGTATCATTCGTGGATATATATCTTGATGGAGCCACTAGATTCAGTTCAGGGGTTGGCACGCAAGCTCCAGGGATATAATGCCCTGGACGAAAGGTGCCACTACAAGGTACGGTTGACGAATCGATGGCGACAACGACGTCGCATTCACGGCTGAATGACCGAGATGTAACGTTGGGCCATCTCTAGGGTCATTAGCTTGGTGATAAAGATGGATATTTCTAGCTGCAAGGGCGGGTATATTAGATGACACCCTGCTGCCAATCTCAATGTGTCTTACCTCTCGACCTCCGTCGTGACAGTTGCAAAACGTTATAGAAGCCATGCATCCGAGGGCAGTCAGCCTATTGGCCATTCTTGGTGCTTCTTTAGTCCTCGGGGCCCCTCGGTCCTTTCTGAACACCAGCACCTTAGACGTCGCGGTTCGCTGGCTCGAGGGCGCGCCGGACTACAACTCGGGAACGACCTTCGGGCTGCCATGGCCCCGTGGCAAATTCAACGCCAACACGACTACCTTTACGGGCACAGCTGGGTCTGAGAAGATACAACTGCAGTCTTGGGTGACGGGATACTGGCCTGATGGCTCCGTTAAGTGGTCAGGACATGCAATTCCAGCGTCACAGACCATTGCAGAAGAATACACCATCACTGCTTCAGGCTCTGACAACTTGACGGTATTGTTCGAGAAGCGTCAATCTGCAGGTATTGCCACTGACTCCGGGGATGGCATTGTTGTTGACACAGGCAAAATTTCCGTCACGTTCCCCAAGTCCGGGTCCGTCCTTGTGAGCTCTATTCAGACCTCCGGGGGGAAGACTGTGGGTCAGAGCGGGAGGTTGATCCTGCGCACTCAATCCGACATTATCGACTATGAAGACAACAGTGTGAACCAGACTTCGATTGAGCACTTAGAGTTTCAGGGCGTCATCAACCAGACCACCATCTCCGAGGATAGCTCAACTCGCGCTTTGGTGACGGTCAGCGGCACTCACCAAACTGAAGCAGGTGCAGGTGCCTGGCTGCCATTTACGGTTCGATTTTACTTGTACGCCAGCTCGGATGCCATCAAGATTGTGCACAACATTGTTTACGACAAGAACTCTTCCGATACTTTCGTCACGGGAATTGGCATCAAGTTCGATGTCCCCCTGGCAGAGGAGGAGCTGTACAACCGCCATGTCCGCCTGGCAGGAGTCGATGGCGGGTTTTTCAACGAGGCCGTGCAGGGGATTACAGGTCTTCGCAGGGATCCTGGACAGGAGGTCAGCACGGCTCAAGTTGAAGGGGAGGAAACCCCTGACATTTCAACGTGGGCCACAACCGTCAGCTCTAGGACGCAATGGATTCCCGCCTGGAACGATTTTCGATTGACTCAACTGTCTCCCGACGGGTTCAACCTTCAGAAACGAACCAAGGTAGGTCAAAGTTGGGTCAAGATCCCAGGAGGCACCCGTTCAGATGGACTCGCCTACCTTGGTGGTGCTACTGCGGGTGGTCTCGCCGTCGGGCTTCGAGACTTCTGGAAGAAATATCCGACAAGCCTCGACATTTCCAATGCCGCAACCGACACAGGCAGCATAACAGTCTGGTTGTACAGCCCGTCAGCTGGGCCTCTGGATCTTCGACCATTCCACGATGGACTTGGTGAGAGCGGTAACTATACCAAGCAACTTGATGCATTGGAAATCACATATGAAGACTACGAAGAAGGCTATAACACTCCCTATGGAATCTCGAAATACAGCGAACTCTTCCTCTACGCCTTCGACACCACACCGTCCTCCGACACTCTAGCCACTCTAACCGCCCACACGAACCAGCCCCCAGTATTATTCGCCGAACCAGACTACATCCACTCCACCAAAGCCATCGGCAGCTACTGGGCCCCCCCGGACAACTCAACAGCCGCGGCGGCGACAATAGAATCCAACCTCAACTTTTTGCTTTCTTACTACCAGCAGCAAGTTGAACAACGCCGCTGGTACGGCTTCTGGGACTTTGGCGACTTCATGCACACGTACGACGTGGACCGGCACACATGGCGCTACGACATCGGCGGATACGCCTGGGACAACTCGGAGCTTTCGCCAGATTTGTTCTGGTGGAATTACTTTCTGCGCTCGGGAAGAGCAGACGTGTACCGTTTCGCGGAAGCACAGCTGCGCCATGTGGCCGAGACGGATGTTTATCATCTCGGTCATATGAAGGGCTTGGGCACGAGACACGGCGTCCAGCATTGGGGCGATAGTGCGAAACAGGTCCGCATCTCGACGCCAATTTATCGTAAGATTTTCTGGCATTTGTCCGGTGGAGATGAGCGGGTGGGGGAGTTGGTTAGGGAGGTGCTAGATGTGGGCGAGGTGTGGAATGTGATCGATGCGAGGCGGAAAGTGCACACAGCTGGGGTGAATTACGTCCCTGATCCCACGGCGGTTTGGATTTCGCTTGGTATCGACTGGTCCGGCATCGCTATTGCGTGGCTCATTGAGTGGGAACGCCGTGGACCGAGGTGGGAGGAGTCCAGGGAGAGGATATTTGAGAGTATGCGCACGATTGCGAACTTAACGAATGGGTTTGTGACGGGCGAGGCGCTGTATAATACGTACACCGGCGCCATCTCGCCTCCGCCTACCGACCCGGAGAATTTAGGGGAGGTCACTGTGGCCCATCTCTCTGCCAGCTTCGGCATGCTGGAGACTATCTCCCAGCTTCTCGATCATCTAGGTCCCGATGACGTCCCTACCGGCTTCCTTGAGGCGTGGTTGGATTACTGTTACTACTACGGTGCCAGTTCGGTCGAGCAGACAGCTCGGTATGGCGTCAGTTTCGGAAATTTGAATTTGAAGCAGGGACACTCAAGGCTTACGGCGTGGGCCGCTAATCATCTGGGGAATGAGACGCTAGCGCAGAGAGCGTGGAATGAGTTTTATAATACAGATGGGTTGAGTTTGAAGACAGTGTGGGAGACAGAGAAGGTCAGTGGGAGTAAGGTGCTGATTCCGGTGGATGAGGCAAGCTGGTTGGCGGCGAATGATGCGGCGCTTTATGGGTTGGCTGGGTTGGAGAATTTGGCGTTGGTTGGGAGTGCTTTGGGGGATAATTAAAAAGACTTCAGTTTTCAAGAGCTGTCTGTTCCTCTAAACACGAAGCGCATCAGGAAAGCGCCGTTATCACCAAGTTATTTTCTCAAACCACTGTATACTAATTCATGCTCACACATTTCAAATAATTTATGAATATAATATTGACACAGGGGGCATATGGGCTTCGTACTATATATTGAGAACTTTGCTATGTCGAATAGGGACTGCTGGAGGTGCTTCCAGGACAAATATGGAGAGGAATGACACTGTCACATGCGTAGGCGTGTTTCACAGGCCTGAATAAAGTAAGGGTTCAGAGTTTGAGTTTCTAACACTAGCTTTGAAGAGGCATGAGTTAATAATTCCATTGTCTTCTAACCTGGTTCTCTAATACCCCTTACTTATTGTGTGGTCATATGTGATCTAATCATCGACTGTAGACTATATCATATGTCTTAGGTTCACGGTATATAAAAGCCAGGATCTTCTGGGTCATTTAACAGCCATCATATACCCTTGAACATTCACATACACTGCGTTGAGCACTAATCTCTCGGAAAATACTCATTAATTGAGATATCACACAAGAGAAATTCACTATAATTGAGCAGCACAAACTTGATAAGAACACCCGAAACACTCCAAACAACCTCATCAACCCGAAACGATTTCATCTTCTCCAAGCCGAGTCCCCAGCTCCGGCTACATAGAAAAGACTAGCCAATTTTTCCAGTGTCCTCTGCATCCTCCCTTAGACAGCATGGTAAAGGTGGAGAAGCTCTCTCGCGCCCCCCCCCCCTACCCCAGCCGATGTGATGGGTGACTTTTTCCCCTCTCCACCTGAAGGCACAACACCTGGCTCATCTGTCATCTAACACAGAAGAAGCGTAGTATCCAGCCGTAATGGGTATCACCCATGTCAGACCTCCGCTCAGCTCCCGTCGCACCTCTAAGTTCTGGTCCTAGACGATCTGCACTCCCATCCTCAGAACTTCACGAAGTGGAACGCCCCATTCACATATTGACCCATTTGGTCTTGTGACTCCAGGCCTTCCACCTTTGTTAGCAAGGGCATGCAGCGCAACGACTCTAGATTGTTGGTGAACTCAACCGGATCGGCAAGGCCCAACGAGTGCTCAGAAAACCCACTAGTGGCTTAAAAGGCACATAACTCATGTCAGCTAAGCGGGACAAGTTAAAATACAAGAAGCACGGCAAGTAGCTATGTGCCGATTGCTGTCCCTGATTCCAAGTGGCGGACGCCGTCTACTAAGCGAACGCAGATGTTGATCTAAATTATTATATGAAGTATTTTCACATATGACCATAAGATCGACAAGGTGGGAGCCATGGCCGTGGCGCCGCTCCTTGGCGCCGCCCGCTTCAACCCCAAATGCGACGAGCAGTTCCGAGATAGCACGCCCGCCACCACCCCTGGAGCCCCTCATAGGCCACTGGTTTCCAACTGGTACATTAAGCTGGACACTTCCTGGTTCAACCCCATGTGCAGCACGTGCAGCACCTCAAACCCTGATAGGCACGGCTGACAGAAGGAAAAGACCATGGTCCCACCCACCACACATCACGTACGGCTGCGACACCTCGGTGCCCGTCTTCGTCTACTGCCACGTTAGAAGACGAGATTCCATCATGCGCGGTGACGCGAGTCTGTATTTTAGCGACAGGTTGCCGTACAACCATACGCTGAAGCTGCGCAACCTCAACATATACGAGGAGTCCTGCGTCGATGCCTACAGTGGTGCATCTGTAGCTGTTCGAGCTATGGAATCCCGAGGCGGCAATGCAGAGAAGTGTGCTCTTACCAACAGTCACGCCTTCTTTGAGTGGTCCATCCGGTTCCGCTACGTTATCCCTACTCCCATTTAGGGCGTTGCCGACTCATTTCGAGGTGAGCATGATAGTAGCGTGCTCAAGTAGAAGCCGTCGGGGAAGAGCTGGTCCGGATGGTTTGCGCCGAGGTTACCGTACTTGTTTGAGGTGAGTAATGAGGTGTAGAATTCCTGGACTCCTGCGCAGAAGCCACAGAGGATGATGAAGCTGGGGATAAGGTGCAAAATTCCATCCGGAAGGCTGCGCAGGAGAAGGTCAATATCAATATCAAGCTCTTACCGTACTCCATCTTGCTGAGATGGAGTACGCTACTGATTGTAGGTGCTTGCCGATGCCACCAAGAAGTCATTTACCTTCAGTAAGTGAACGCAAGGTAAGATGAGGTGAGTGAGTGTTATCGTTGCGCTCATTTTTCCCTTGTTATCCCAGAATGATAATCGTAACCGAATTGTATAAACGTATTACTGAGATTTACTTCCTGTTGTAACTCTCTCTAAGTGAAGATATTTTCGGTATTAGGAGGTAACACATATGTACTAAAGAAGATGTGCTAGTTACAAGGGGTCATGTGTATGACCATAAATATGGGTGCCTGAAGTCATAAGGTCCAAGGAACACTCAGCTCCATGCCTTTTCTGCATAGCTTGATGGGACTAACAAGACAATACAAACGATTTACCCATTATGTGAAGCTAAGTCACTTATCTAACAAGATGAACCCTTGAACACAACACACATGGCAAAAATGGACAGAGGAAAATAGAGGGTTGCAAGCACCTGCTTGATAAGTTTGAATTTAATTCGAATGTAGAAGATAAAGGATAATATGGGAATAATGAGAGACACGAGTTGGGCAAGGTATCTGGTGTTTACGGATGTTTTCTCTATAACGTCCCACACCCACATCCGGGACACCCAAAAATGCCTCATCAACACCGCTAGCCTCTAACTTCAACCACTTTTGTCTTTACCAATATCGATTCAATCGTTACGAAATTTTACTTACATCTTCTTTACACTAATATGAGTCAAAATACCGAATATTATATTTATCGAGCTCTTCAAGCAATAGCTACCGGTCAAAGCCTCCGAAAAGCAGCATATGAGCATGGTGTCCCAAGGTCTACTCTTTCACGATGGATTCAGGGAGCCCAGTCAAGAGATATAGCCTTCGCTGACTACCAGAGGCTCTCTCCAGCCCAGTAATCTCATCTGGCTGAATGGGTTCGATTCCAGACTGCCCTAGGCCTCCCACCAACCCATCAACAGCTCAAAGACTTCGCCGAGCGTATCCTACAGATCCACGGAGACACCCAACCCCTTGGAAAGAAGTGGGTCCAGGCTTTTATCAAGAGGAAACCTTCAGTCAAGGTCCAGAGAAGCAGAGCTATCGATTCCCAGCGTACTAATGGAGCCTCAGCTAATGTGATCAGGCAATGGTTCAAATACCTCGCTATCCCTGAGATCAAAGCTATTAAGGCCTCGAATCGATACAATATGGATGAGACAAGGTATTCTAGAAGGTAGAGGATCAAATTGTCTTGTTCTAGGATCATCTGAGACTCGTTCTATATGGAAGAAACAGCCTGGATCTCGAGCTTGGACATCTCTTATAGAGTGTATCTCTGCGACTGGTACTGCACTACCCCCACTTGTGATATACAAGGGGAAGTCTGTCCAGCAGCAGTGGTTTCCTCTAGACTTGACTCCATACGAAGCCTGGAGGTTTACAGCAATATAGAATGGGTGGACGTCTGACTCTACGGCTATTGAGTGGCTACAAAAGATCTTTATTCCTTTGACTCATCCAGAGGACCCTGAAGAGACTAGGTTACTTATCCTAGATGGGCATAGTAGCCACGAAACGACAGAGTTTATGTACCTCTGCTTCATAAACAAGATACACTTGCTTTTCTTACCGCCACACACATCCCACGTTCTCCAGCCTCTCGATCAGTCAGTCTTTGGACCCCTCAAGGCAGCCTATAAGAAAGATCTTGGTTACCTTAACCAATGGGATACTACTACTGTCGTGGGGAAGAGAAACTTTCTCCTCTGCTATAGAAAGGCACGTTTAGCAGCATTGACCGTCAAGAACATTATCAGTGGATGGAAATATACTGGTCTCTGGCCTTCGAGCATAGCTAGACCCCTTATGAGCCCCCTGCTCCTTGAGAATACGTCAGCACCAATCAAACAGCCTAGTCAGACTTGCAAAGGGCACTCTAGTAGTCAGGACTGGGCGTTAGAGGCATCAGCAGTAGCCTGGTCAACGCCTAAGAGGAGAGATGAGCTCCAAGATCAACTCAGCTTATTCAGCAAGCTTGATAATGATCCAAATACCCAGCGGCTACTCTTTCGGAAAGTTCAAAAGGGCTTTTATGAGAAGGACTACCAGTTAGCTGTCGCACAGCGAAAGATTGAGGCAATATAGGTAGAGCTTGAGGCTAGTAGGGCTAGGAAGCGGAGGAAGGTCAAGATGAGCCCTAATTCGAAGTTTACTAATATCAAGGCTATTCGGAAGGCTCAAATCGAGGCTGGTGAAATTGAGGATAGTACAGATGAGTCTAGAGAGTCTGAAAACCCTAGTGATGGTGAAAGCTGTATTCTAGTCGCATCAGAACAAGTGTAAAAAAAGGTTGAAGTCAATGGTTATAATATACAGCATCATTTTTAGGCGTCCCACATGTGGGGGTGTCCCGGATGTGGGTGTGGGACGTTTACAACTCCAAAAGGTCCGTACCAGACACAAGCTGCTGCCCAAGACCCAAAAGTCACGGAAACGGTCCACGCTTTGTCCAAGATCACAACGGGTTTACATTCTAATGCAAACAAACACAAGATACATCTACAATTCAATTTTGTAAAAACGTAGTTCCGTAGTGGATGTACAGCTACGGTACTCTCGAAGTCCTGATTTAAGTGGATCGTCTCGCTTATTAACTTACCCCTCTTCCCCTATCGATCCTCCACTACAGCAGCTACCTAAACTTTACACAACTCTCAGTGACCTCTCCCGACGTGTCAATTATTCAATCATCGCCACTTCCATATTACAGAATTTTCAACGGGGCATCTTTGGAGAACGGACACCATGGATCGCGATATTTCTTCGTTGATGATGGGCACCTTTCGTGGCACCGGTAGGGATGATTTCGGTAGAGAGAGAGACAAACGACGACCCCTCCTACTGGACCGCGTTATGGGAGATCAACCACGCGTATCGCGCTGCCGATTGCTCCAGCTGCCTGCCGAACTTCTGGGCGACATAGTCGATTTGCTGGCCGACAATAAGCCGGCCTTGGCCTCACTCGCCCTGGTAAATAGTGATTGCAGGCAATGGGCACGCTCCTGCCAGTTTGCCGAAGTACGTTTTGACTATGGACCTCAGACTCGGGAGATCATTCTGCAACTCGCAAGAGAGACCATCTCTAGGAACACGGCTGCGAAGAAGCCAACCATTGGGGTTTGCATCCGCAAATTTACCATGGCCTCGGATAGTGGTTGGGTCGCGACCTACAACCAGGATCTTTGGGATTCCATATGGGGTGAGACGCACGAATCGTACAGTCAAGAGACTAGAGATCAGCTTCGCGAAGAGGGCAACAAGCAATATACTTCATGGGTCTCTCTTGTTCTCGGAGCCATCTCCATGGGAATGCCCAATCTTGAAACGATCATTTGGCAGGATCGGTTCACCGTGGATAACACATTCTTTACAGCCCTGTCGCAATCACCTGCCCAAAACATCAAGCTCTGCGGGACACCTATAGACAAACCTTACCTGATTGAACCGCCGCTGACACCCCCTTCATGGCCACTGCGATCCTTGGTTCTCGACGCACGGCTAGCCATGCGAACGCCCACCCCCAAGGACTCGGAATCAGGGCATGCAGACGCCAGTGCCATCTCTGATGGAAGCGCGGCTCAACCAGCGCCTAAGACAATGGCGCGTTTCTTCGAAACTCTTCTTCGACGGTGCGCTCCTACTCTCGAGTTCCTGACTTGGGACTACATGGACTATGAAGCACCTGGCGATGCAATGTCGCTAGGCGAAGAACCCCTGTCGTTTCCTCGTCTTCGATCTCTCAAGTTTTGCGTCAACTATCTTACCCAGTCTGGCTTCTCGTCGTTCCTCGCCGCTCCGCTTCGGCATCTTGCCCTGCCTTCGGCCTGCGACTGGGATGCACTTGCAACATCTCTTGCCACTTCCGAGCCTTTGCTGGATCTCGAGACCTTGGTCATCCCTAATCTCAACATGTCCCAGGAGAATATCTCACAGGTTGTGAGATTCATGAAGAGACATAGTCACATCCAGAAGCTCTACACAAGTGAATATGACGAGGCGTGCGGCGAGGAAGCACGGCTCGATCAATACATCATCCCCGCTCTCTCAGATGGGTTTTCCAATCTCCGGTCTCTTTCATTGGCATGGGGCGGGGGTAGCGTACAGGAAGAGACGAAACCACACATTGCCACCATTCCGGACGTGTCTCTACAAGTTATTGGAACTATCAGGTCGCTTGAGCAACTCAGTCTCAGTGCCGGGATCCGCGTTGGCTGGCGCGCCCAATGGCTGGTTGACCATGACAATATACGCACACATTTGCGTGGATTGGGCAAACTCAAGTTGCTGGCGCTAAATCGGGATACGTACCCGATCCCGCTCGCCATACCCGATATTGAGCGCTACTATACACTCAACCTCGTTACCGAAAGCGAGCACGCTGATGCGTGGGCTAGACCGGAACTGGACGACCTCGCAGAGGACTTGGGACAACTCGGGATTGACGGTGGCATCGATGCCGATGATGACGGCGTTGACGAGGATGTCATCTGGGAGAGAGCCCATCGCAACCGTATGCTTGACCAGGCTGAGAAGTATGCCGCTGTGCTGCCGGCGTTGGAGTGGGTGTACTGCGGACAGCGGCCGATGGCGATCCAGATGGACTTGAGCAAGCCGGCTCTGAAGAAGGCGGTGCCGTTGACGAAGGAGAGGGACGAATCGTATACATTCCTCAAGCGCACATTTGCAATGGGAACGGACGAGGATTAGGCGGGATGTATATGCCATATAGGCTTTGTGTCGCGGATCTTCACTAGTACTTACTGTAAGAGTTGGCGTTGTTAGGACCTGGATGTTGGAGAGAGGACGAATATATGTGGCTAGGTAGAGGCTTGTCAAGGCGTCACCTGTAAGACTGTGGAACGGAGCTAATAAATTCGTTGCCTAGATTGATCCTTGTGAACGGGGATCAGGACCATCATATTTGATCGTGTCATCTTGGCTACCCCTCTACTCAACCATGAACAAGCAGTACCACCTGCCAGGCTGAATCTTGCCTTTTCCACCATCGCAGAATGCCTTACTACCAAGGAGCTCAATAAAACAAAATGACCGCAGCATCCTCCATAAAGCCGAAAACGGCAAGCTTCCCTTCGACGCCGTGGCATGTTTTGGATGTCAAGGGGCCATACGGTGAGGCCTGGGGTTGAGAAAGGCTTAGGTTAAGGATACTGTCTACCCCTGACCTGCTGATGGAGTAGGATTATGAGATTGGTATCGAGGTAGTGCTGGGGGAGGAGTGAAAGAAGCCTGTATACGAGGCGCATACAAGGAAGAGGCCGTTTTTGTTTTTGTTTTTGTTTTTTTGATGAACAGGGTTTTTTGGGAGAATCGGGTTGGCAGGGAAGATATGAGTGGGCTTTTTATGTCGCTGAGGGGCCGGTGCCCTCTGAGGGAGTGCTTAGAGATGGCGGAGGATCCGAGGGATTGGGTGAGGGGGCAACGGTTCTGCTTTTACTCGTGCTGTTTTCCTTCATCTGTTATGTGTATGCCAACTTTGCCTCGCCTATTTTTTGGGGACTCACCTAACAATAAACTTCACTATTCTTGCCCTCCTGTCGATCACGCAAAATGGTACATCCTAGTATCTCAGGCTACTTATCTATATTCAAATATCATTGAATCATATTTAGACTTCAGTGACTACTAATCTCTTCATTTTCATTACTCTACTAATCCAACCACTACTCAACCATTCTTCGCATCGGGGCCAACACGATCTTAGGCGGCGTTGAATTAGTAATGCCCCAAAGCGTATCCAAAAATGAAATTCAAGTAGAGGGTGAATGAAGGAGATTGCTAGAGACAAGTTGGTCGCTAGTCACCATGTTGGTACCGGCAGTGTAATGCAGGAGACCCCAATACGACAAGTTAATCGCTGCCCCTCAAGTTAGGGTGGTCGCAGCAGCCTAATCATACATTTCCGACCCTTGCATAGGCTGAGACCCGGCACCCCACTGAAGCCCACTGCCTATACAGGTCTATAAGCCACTTTGGCTTATTCGCACCTGACACCCGATGAGGTACAGAATATGCAGCGCGGTGGCGCGGGCGTCGTTACTTTTCATTATAGTATGGCTCACGAGCTCGGCGCCCTCACTGTATTCCGGCACGACGGCGTCGATCTGATGAAGGACCATACGTATATCAAGCTAGCCAGGTTGACTTGCTCTGCGACTTGGAACAAAAGGTAGATCAGCAACATCGGAAGGTCCTCGCTGTACTCGATGTAGGCGGTGCCTTCTTTTTACTAGCGGTACGCTCTGCCTGAGATATACTACCGTTAGCTGGCGTCCTCCTATTATACCTCTTAAATAGATAGTCAGCGTTTTAGATGATAGTATACTTAAAGTTGGCCAGCTAGGTGTCTCGATTATGAATACCGCGTTTACATACCTATCGCTGCTTACCATCCTTCTAGATATTATAGCTATAACAGAGCTCTGCCAGGCCAGAACAACTGACCTGGCCAACCTTTCCCAACACAACAACTCACACCCCATATGCAGTCGCATCACGAAGGTTCAAAACACTAGATATTTAACAGATATTTTCAAGCTAACAAGCTTTACAGGGGGGGTTCTATAGGGTTAGCAGGGACCCGCAGTACGGCCAAAATAGCTTTATAGGCCTTAGCAATATCAGCTAACTAGGTTGCCTAACCAGGGCTTCCATTAAGGTTAGTATTAGCAACTAAACCCCGGAGAATGGTGGGGGTGTTGGTATATATCCACGTCAACCTAGCCCACCAAGTTGGCATAGTGAGGTTGTTCCGACCCTTGATCTTGATTCCCCGGGAAAGAAGTCGGTGCACAAGCTTCGGTGCTCTCAACGCATCTCGTCGAGATTCCAGAAGTTATCAACTACTTTCCTGGTGCATGGATGAACAATGTCACGAATACCCCACAAAGTCTCCAAACGTAGCGATCCAGCCGCGTGTGACCAACGGCAACAAAGATCGAAATGAAGACCATGGAGCTGGACCGGAGGAGTACCATGCAGGTGCCTCTCCACACTATTTGCCATGTTAGATGATGAAACCAATGCAACAGTATTGAGGAAAAATATTGGACAGCTGACATGATCCCGATGTGGGTGGCGAATCGCAGGTTGAAGCATTACTTTGTAGACCTCAAGGTGATTTACAAGTTCTAAGTCGTGGTTTTTTGCTTCTGTCTGATTTTTACTATGCTGCGAGGTTGAGGTTATCAAGCCAACAGGAGAGTCTTGAGTCCGGACGTTTCTTGGAAATTTATCGAGCCTCACCGTGCATTACCCAAGCAATAGTGGAGGAAGAAAAGAGATTGTGCACAGATTTGCTTCTTGTGCAATTGTCCTTGGAAGCAAGACAAGGTAGAGTTAACTAAATAATTTCTATTGTGAACCGCAGCTGCAATCTCCGGTCATAACGCCAATGTCCCTTATTTTTCATATTCCACCGCTGTCCTTCCTTCGTTGTAATAATACATATATCATTCGACAAACACATTGATTCTAAAACCGTCCAACAAACTTATTAGCCATTAGGTAAACCTGCTTGATCCATCCTGGTTCGGCTTCCCTTGCCTGCCGGGCACGGTTCAACTCCCATCTGACCGCCTGTCTGAGAACCTCATCGTGGTTCGCGACTGGTGCAAATCCCAGTCTTTCTCTTGCCTTTTCGATGCTATACGTATGGTCCAACAGGCAGTACGTGACACTCAGAGTGGTCAACGCATTCCACGGCTTCACCATATTCAAGGTAAAGATCCATAGAAACCACTGTGCGAACCAGGACATCAAGACCAAGAACCACGCAGCAATGGTAAAGGGTTTGACATTTTCCCCCCTGACCGACTTCCATACTACCTCAACGTGATGCCAGAATGGGACGGGTTGTCCGTCCGACACGTTAAAGGCCTGGCCATCAATGTATCCAGCAGGTACTCTGGGATCAAGCAGAGCCTTTGCGGCCACAACGTGTGCTGCGGCCGTGTTGTCTGCAGAGGCAACTTCCATCTTATTGTCTCCGTTTCCAAACCGAAAAAGCGGTAGCCACCTAGTAGTGCATGTCGCGAGTATCTCGTGAAGTCCTTGCCTGTGCCTTTCACCGTACATGTGAGCAGGCAGGAGGCAGACTGTCTTCAGCTGTGGTCCGTTAGCTGCAAGTACGAGGCGTTGAGCCATGGCCTTGGTGCGGCTATACTCGCTCGTTTTGGCGTGATCCGTCCACAGGGGATGCGTCTCGTCCACGTTGTAGTGGGGAGGGTTGACGTAGACATCGCAAGTCGACGTGTAGACCAGTGCCTTGACATGCTCGCTCTTTTCGGCAACTTCCAACAAAACTCTCGTTCCTGTGACGTTGGTTTCGTAGTATTCCCCGGCTCTGGAAGAAGGAAGCGCTGCAACGGGCGAGGCGGCGTGGAAGATGACTCGGGGCTTTAATCTCCTCACAACTTCTTCGACAACATCATAGTCGGCGATGTTCCCTTTGATGTATGAAAAGGCGTTGTGTCGATTGTTGCTGACGTTGACATCAAGCACGTGGATGGTTCCATAACCCGCTTCACGTTGAAGATGAGTAACGAGGTGGTATCCGAGAAAACCACAGCCACCGACGATGAGCACAGGGCCCAGCTGAGAAGAGCTCGATTGGGGACGATAAGACATCTTGATGACCTAGTATTGAATTTTGAAGTGACTTGGACTTATAAAAGTTGACGATCAAGAAACCGTACGCAAGGGTGTCAGTATTGAAGAGAGATCAAGTTTAGGGGTTCGGCTGATCAGATTGGTATGGAAAGATGCAATATCCAAGCGAGTTGCAGCTGGAGGTGGATGGTGGATAGTGACATTAGGTCTGCGCGAGGTGCAGGCTCTTGAAGGATTTAAATGAGGCGTGAAGGTGGGGAAGCCGTACCTGCATACAGAAGTCGCTGCAGCTGGGGAAGTTCCAACCACTCACCAAGCAACAGAGTAAGTGAACAGGCGGGACGCACCTATGACATCAACTCGTGGCACCAGAATTCCACTCCCCTCCGATTGAGACTGTTCCCTACCACTTGACCCCCGATGCTGATACTGGTCTCACATAACGTGATTTATAAGCAAGTCGCGCACCTAAGCGTCGCGTACTTTTCCCTCAAACGCGCTCCCTTCACTTTCACAACCTATCTCTCTACGACTAACTATAGAGTCTAAGTCAAAAGACGCCAGGTTTAACTTAGCTATCTAAGCTACTGAAAAAGACCTAAAACCTAGTTGTCGTAAACCTACAACTACCTATAACGTACGAGAATTTACTGTCACGCCGCGCTGGGGTTGCAATGCTAGCTACTGTGCCACTATACTAGCTGTCTTTGTGAAGGTCAACCCTCGCAGACTCACTACAACCAGGTGACTTACAGCTGGAACACCTGCCATGGCAGTGTCAGATGGGAAGCCAATCATAACCCTTGTAGGAGCCCCGCCAAGCGTGGATGACTTAGTCGCGCTCCCTCAAACCTAAGCTGTCATCTTCTTTCCTTCGCTCCTTAGAGTAGAATCTTGGTCGATAGCACCTAATCGAGGTCTATACCAATGCGATGCAACCCAGGTCGTGACAAGATTTAGGAATAGTTCGATCTAGGTAAGTAGTGTGTTTATCACATTTCCTTATTTAAGAAAGGTCAAGGAGATGATGAATCATTCCTACTTGTTTTTATTTACAGACTTGGCTACATCGCGCAATCTACATCTCAGTGTCTTCTGCTATAACTTGATGAATCATCTAACATCGCACTTCTTACACCTCTCACCTAGAATCATTACTCCTACACCAGCTGTAGGCGCATTATCATTATGCCCTTGCGCCTGGACACGCTCATTCTCATATTCCGTAGGCGTAGACACAACGACCAGGCATTGATTGCCTTGCATCCAACAGGGAAGTTGAAGATTAAGGCCATGACGCAAGCCCCAGTGGAACAGAACCGCACCAGCCTGATCCACGATAAAGTCCCGCTTACTTAATACTATAACTCATTTCATCTTAAGTGAACCACACACCCAGTCCAAATCACCACCCTCCCTTCCCTCCCCACTGATAACTATCCGCCCTGGCCAAAAACGTATCTCGTCTTACCTCCCTCCCGTCCCCCTCCACCCCTCCTCTATCTCTTCCTATACTCCTCGTCGGAGGTCATCCTCCCCTCATCCACATCACCCCATCACCCCAGCATCTCATCAAACATGAACTCACCCGTATCAATACTATCATTCGATTCGCTTGCAGCATAGTAATCTGTCGTCTTCTTTTCACCATCTCCTCCCTCAAATATGGGCGTGGCATAACTGAAATCGAACAGCACTCCCCGGTGGTAATTCGGCCACTTCACATCTCGATCCAGAATTCCATAATGACTTCCACGTGCTCTTTGAATGACCATTATTTCCCCATCCAGTATATGTCGGTGTTCCGGAGTGAACTTTACGTAACCGCGGCATTTTGATCGCGAGGTGGTCCTCTGTCAAACACCAGCTACGTTATGCATAAACAAGGTACAACTTTTAATGCGTATTATTTCATACTGATAGAAAACAAACTTCCAGGTGAGCGCATCCACGCCTTCCCCAAGATATGAGATGATCTTGATGTTTGAGCTGACCGTTGGCATCAAAGGGGTCCTGGTACTTTAAGAAGTTCGGCCATGTTTGACAGATGGGAACTACAGGCAACTGGCTGGGTTCACATGAGTGACATTACTTTTATTGTTAAAAGCACGAAGAGTAGATGATTTCCGTTTACAGGTTATTCGGACTTAGGTACTGTCATAATCAGCATCATCTTCCTTGTTTTGACGTGCCATGATCCTCCCACACAGGACCAACCAGAGAGCGTGCAACCCCATTGTTATCTTGACTGAAGATTTCACTTGACACAGTCGCGAATCGTACATGAGCAGTTGAAGATCCGCACATAGTCCATTATTACACAACAAGCAATGTGCAAGCCTATGATATGCTCAAGAACCCGTCCTCTTCCCGATTACTGCACCCAACTCAAACACTGTAGCAGCATGTCCTGCTGGATGCTGATCTTTAGGCCTACAGTCTTGTATAGAGCACTGGTCATACACAGGAAGCGATATACCTGAGAAACCCGTGTGTGGTGCCCGCTTCCAACATGGTGGCACTCGGTTCAAATGCCAGACACACTTGTTCAACGTATTATGGGTAATGAAGGCGACGGGGCGGAGCAGTGCTCGGTAATTCTGCGGGAAAGCGGGGGTCGTACTCCTCGTTTGAATCAGAATCAGGCGGAGGGACGAAAGTTCGATGTCGCGCTGTGCCTTCAGGTTGACGAGCGGTAGAGTAGATTCGCTGGCGACCTGAGTCGTCCGGCCTCGGCATTGAGGAGTACGTAGCAGGACCTGGTTGATGGGCCCCTGAGTAGCTCATGTTTCGGTTCGCGCTCTCTGCTCTTGCCACTGTGTCATAAGCAGGTCGATACTCGGACCTAGAAACCGGCTCATAGACGGGCTGTCGTGAGTATGGATCGTACTCATAGCTTCTTCTCGGCGCTGTTTCGTGGTAGAACGGCCGCTCATCTTCGTACCTAGCATACACCGGCTCTGGGTCCCGTCTAATACGCCGTTTGATGTAATACTCGCCTTGTGAGTCTCGCATCTTGAGCAGCTCATAGTTCTCAGTGTATGGAACCGGAGCAGGGTCGAACTGTGGCTGCGGTTCACTTAGATACTCGTGAGTATAGCGAGCCGGAGCCGGAGCTGTTTGACGCCTTTCTTCGTCGGTATAGGTACGGCGAAAGCTAGGTGAAGGCGCCATTCCATACGGCTCATTAAAGGCTAGTGCAGCGGGTCGTGAGCTATACGAAGTTGTGGTATGGTGGGGTACGGGGTGTGCTTGTGCATTGTATGCAGAATCCGGAGAATATCGAGCTGGGTTCCGGTCCCGGTAGCGTTCTTCATGAGGTTGAGGCTCATATCGAACATACGCAGGCGATCTAGAGCGACCCCGATGGTATTCAGGCTGCTGATATGAACGATGAGAATCAAGGCTAGACCTGAGGCGCCTGTCTTGTACCTGTTGTGGATCGTGTGCTGGCTGCGGCTCATAAGACACGCTACCAGCGGGTCTCGGCTCATATGTCCTAGCATCAGCAGGCCTTGGTTCATGCGCCTCGTTGCTAGCTGTTCTGGGCACATACGCCATACTGCTGGCTTGTCTGGGTTCGTATGCCATGGTGCTAGGAGGTCTGGAATCGTATGGCATAGTGCTTGAAGTTCTTTGTCTATAAGAACCGTGGTCTGCAACGCCGGGTTGCTGGGCCAGGTGCGATTCCAGAACAGCAAACAAATCATCGTCACCTCGGTTTTCAATCGGCGGAGCGCCTGGAGCTGGCTCTTGATTCCCTCTCGAGGCTTGAAATACTTGAGGTTGGCGAGGAACAGAAACCTGCTTAGCATCATCAGGGGTCCTGCGCCGGGGACTATCATCTCGACCCTGAGCGCTTGGAGGCGCTACGGAAGCTGACACTAGTCGGGCCGCATCGCGACGTTCGTTTGCCCACATAGCGCGGATTGCCTCTTCCTGACGTTGCTGTTCATGTGCAGCCTCCTGGTCTTCTTCCTCTTGCTTGCTGTCCACCTTTGTGTTTGGTTTGACACTGCCCTTGCGAGGTTTATTGGAATGATTAGACCCTGCTTTTTTCTCTTTCAACCCCTTGCCTTTACGACTTTTGACGTTCCCAGCCTGTTTAAGATCAGGAGAGGTCCTACCAGAGCTGCCATGTTGCAGGGCGGGTTGAGGTGAGGTGTAAACAGCACTGGACGGTTGAAGATTGACCTTGCCATCCGGCGTATATGGATAGGTATTACGCAGAATAGCTTGGTCAGGATCGTATTCGAGGATCAAGTTCGAGCCCGAGGCCTGATGATATGTCGCGGGTGTTAGGTTTGGCAGAGGGCCTTGTGGAGGAACGTGTGAGTGGTCAGCGTAGTAGTCCGCGCTGCTACCCCAAGTTGGTTGGATAACCGACACTCCGGGGTTTTGGTAGCTGCCAGGCAAGGGGGGTGGAAGGAAGGCCTCAGTGATGAGCGCATATTTGTGATTGTCCATGCCAACCATGACACGAAGATTAGACAGACTGGACAAATCCGACACATAGACCATGCCGATAGTCCAATCAACAACTGGAGCGCCCATAGCCTCAAGTGGAGCAACGTGGCTCTGCTGAAAGTGGTTCACCAACTGTGGAAGGGAGTAGGACTTTCGCTCAGCCTCGGGTACAGTACCGTTGTCAATCCCAATTTGGCAAGCCTTGCACATTAGTCCGTTGACGTTACGCACGGGGCGCATCTCCTTGTTGTTAGAAAGGCCGTCGATGAACATAGCCAGAGGCGGGCTCTCTTGGAAGCGGGCTCTGTATCTTTTAACCATGTGGTAGAGGACAACATAGACCCGAATGTTGCCTGGAAGTTGTTTTAAACCGACCAAGGCCATCCAGACCTCTCGTGAATTGCGTGCCAAATCATCAAGCTGGGCACGAATTTTATCGGGATAGGTGCTCTGAAATGTTGGATACCCCACCTGCCCGTTGCTCTGGTACGCATTGTAATTCTGGCCAAATTGGCTGACTGGTGGAGGAACACTTCCGGGGCCAAGGGGATGAGAGTTATAAGCGGAGGTGAATGGTGTTGGCTGTGGAGGATAGGCCTGGCCGTACACGGCTTGTGGCGGATGGTATGGTCCTTGCGGACCATAGGCACCACCTCCGAATTGAGGCGGAGTATGCCCATACGGGTCAGGATACGCCGCCCTTCCATAGTTCTGCGGAGGAGCAAGGGCAGGTGCGGGTGGTTGGTGAGGGCTAGGTCCTGGAGGAAGAGCATTGACATGTAGTTGCGGAGTGCCAGTTGGCGCGATCGATTTGCCATTCTGAGGACGAGCCGGCGAATTCTTGGCCAGCGGATCCGGCTTGAATGGCGGTTTCTCGGGCCACTCGGAACGCCAATGAACAACAACAGTTCCGAGACTAAGGGAATTGGTGTGCTTGGCCGCATAGTGTTGGATTACACCCTCGAAACCATAAGCTTTCATGTTACCATCGCAGTCATGGCAGAGAAACAACTCTCTGCGAAACGATTCAGTGTGGGGCTTGATCTTGGTTTCAAACAGCCATTTCATGTTCTCGAGGGTCAGTTTCTGAGTGAAAGGGCCTTCAGGCGGATCTCGGAGCGGTTCTTGGCCGGCTGCTCGAGCCGCTGCAGCATTCTTGGCGACCTCGGCATAGAATCGGTTTCGTACATAGAGAAGCACATCCACGGCGAAGAGAGGGCAGTTGTCTTTAGTGACTTTGTTACCATCGTCCCAGCCGTCCCGGATGATCTCATCAGCATATTCTGAAATCTGAGCACGAAGAGGAGCTTGGATATCATCCCAGTCTTTATCTGTGAGCTCCTTAGACTCTCGATTGGGGCCCTCATGGTGGCGTCGTTGTTCGCTGCGTTCCTGGACAATCCGAGAATGAGCGGCGATTTCCTGCTCACGTTGCTCACGCTGTTCGGCATCAGCCCGTTGGGCAAGCAAGCGAGGTTTCAACAGGTCCCATGCGGCATCATCCAGGAGAGATGTTATCTGAAGGGCTGCCTGAAAAGAGGGAACAAGGGCAAGGACATTAGAAGGGAGCGGTGGTTCGAGTAGCATTGCGCGCCGTTCAATCTCTGCCCGACGTGCTGCTCTCATCTCATTGGCCTCCTCGCGAGTTCGCGCACGCGGTTGATGATGTTGCTGTCCGTTCTGAGCCAACACCTGTGGTCTAGAGGATGCCTCGCCATCTAAATCTCTAGTAAGCTCATGCCAAAACCAGCACATGCCCGTCCTCCCGACTCACTTTGAAAGGAAAGGGGGCCACTGGTTTTCGTAAAGGGTCTGGGTTTGGGAGGTAATGAAGGAGCTGAAATGTACGAACCCGACTGTTGGGTCCCGGTAGCACCTGGTACCGGGGTCATGCCGCCTGATGCAGTACTTGCTGTGATTCCGTTGGCAGTTATGATCCGAGCAGTCTGCATATTGGCTACTCCACCAGATGATTCCCACTTCTCCCAACGAGCCGAATCATTGCGGTGTTCCTTGCCGCGATCCTCAAGGCCCTTCAACCATTCTTCGGCAGTAGCTCTGCCCATGGATTTTACGTCTTCAAACTCATCTTTCAGTTTCTCAACATGCTTGGTCAGGAAGACCTTGGTACCCTGCACACCTTCTGGTACCATACCCTTCTGCAGAGAAGATGATGAAAAGGCGTGCAAGTCATCTGTAATCAACACGAAGGGAAGCGCAGGAAGTATTGCCGAGGGTATCGACGAAGAAAATAGAAGGTCAATATCCTAAAGATTATATATAAGAACTTGATTCCACTCAAAACAGCGTTCAACATACCTTGGTAATGTTAGACAGTAGACAGGGGCCGCAAAACACCACCGCAAAAGGCCAGATAATCCTGACTCCGTCAGTTCCCGGACCGGGCAGCAACTTGTTCGCGGAAGCAGCAGTGGTTTGTCCCTTCTTGCCGCACTGCTGGCATTCCTTCCCACATGCCAGCCGCCACATATCAAGTTCCGTTCTGCCTTTGAGCGGAGTGGGCATCTTAGACCAATAACGCCTCCTTGAAGCCTGCCAGATTGCATCGGGCTGCGTGACTTGGGCAACGTTCTTTGCTAGTGACCGAGGCGGATCACTCAGCAAAGAGGCTGAAGGGTCAAGATAACAGTTGAACAATTTGTTGATTTGCAACAACTTGCCAAGCGTACGTGGAGGACAGAAAGTGAAGACACGGTGCCATATCTCAGCAGGCAGGCGAGATTTGTCTGATGGAAGGGAGCTAGCATTGGCTGGCGGTTTGATTTCGTTTCCATCCATTTTCAACTTTTTGGTCGACTCTGGAGGGCTGAAGGTTGTGGCCTCTGAATGGCTGGGTTTCCTCTTCCTAGAGACCGGTATGCCAACATGATTGGCAAGATGCTGGGCGATCAGGACAGACCTCCTAGGCGTTGCGGAATTCATGGCTTCATTCTGCTGCATTTCATCTTCGTTTTCGGAGTCGGCAGACATGGAAATGTCGGAGTCAGAATCAGAATCAGAACTAGCATTCCCGTCATCGTCACCGTCGAGATCGTCCACGGCCATTTCCCCTTCTGTTGATACCTGGTCTGACTGATCGCGTCCAGCTCTTAGTGAGGAAAGTCCAGGGATGAGAGGGACACCACCACGGTCTGAAAGCTCCTCAGCGCTTGTAGATGCCTCGCTTTGCTCCATGACTGCTACGGTCGGGGGGCGAAGAGAAAGAGAACAGAGCAAGCTTGAATGGAGGAGTCAAGCTCGGTCCTGGCAGCTGAGTCCACCCCAGTGTGAACTGGAAATAATTGAATAGGTTGTCTTATGAGAGACAACAACCAAAAGAGTTTCAATGAACACTTGTCAAAGAAAGATGTTTCGTGATGTGGTCACGAGCGGATTGTTCCTCACCAAGGCTCGTCACGTCTTTCCCGAGGAAAGTGTGGCTCCTTGGATCAGCAAACAAAGTGAACGGTGAACAGATTTACCAGGTGACTCTTGCTTCCAAGAAAGACAAAGTGAAGACTCTATGCAGGATGCTCACCACGATTGGGCCTTGTCAAGGTAGGAGGGTGGTTGAGAAAGCTGTGGATGTCTGTGGCTTAATGGCAGCGATGCGTTGGAGAAAAGAGAGATGGTGATGGCATCGGGAGGAGACCTCTGCGATGACTCGAGGAAGCGACGAACAGTTTCGCACTATTGGATTAGGTAAACCTCTTCGTATTATAGAGTTTGGCGAAGTGGAAATATGAAGCTAAAAGGAGACAATCGAAGTTCTCAGCTTGGCCCCTTCGCGGTTTCTGTGAAACTCAAAAACGAAAAAGGCTGGCGATGGCAGCTAGCTGAGGCCGATATTCCATCTCGGGCCTGACTTTGGCTCGAGCTTCCACTTACTTCAGCCGCTACAACTACGAAACAAAGCTGCATCCACGGTCCACATTCCATGCCTCATTTCATACATGTTTTGAAAACAGTATATCAGAAACAATCAAGGCAGATTAAGTAGGGTACAAAAATCGTGCAGTAGTGTTCTATAGGTCTGAATAAATCCTGAAAGAAGCATTAATAGCGTAATTCTAGTAGCAGGCAGTAATATTCCACAATGTAAACCAAACTATATGATGCAGATGGAGCCAGTTACTGTGCGAGGATCTGGGCGACCACGACCCGCGTACCAAGGAAAGTTCTCGACCCCTCACCCCTCTCCTTTGCATGACATTGCAGCGGGTTGCTGCGCTGCATCTACCCCACCAACTGAACAATAACATTGCGACCAGATTTTGAACCACGAATTCTTTTTTTGCATATTTTTTACGACCCAGGCCCATCCAGTCGCAAGTCAAGCAGAAATCGCACCTTTCCCAGCCATGGCCGCCGCCTCCACCAAGGTATTCTCCCTCGAAGGGAAGGGCCTGAAACTCGACACGGCCAACGATCTCGAAGCGCACATCGCGCCCCTGCGGTCGATGGGCGACGTCGAAGAAGTCAGGATACTGGGCAACACCCTGGGCGTCGAAGCCTGCAAGCTTTTGGGCGAGGTGCTGGCCACTAAAAAGAGTCTACACACCGCGAACTTCGCCGACATCTTTACGGGCCGGCTGCTCAACGAGATCCCCGAGGCGCTCTCGTCGCTGCTGACGTCGATACTCAACCTGCCCAACCTGCGCACCATCAACCTCAACGACAACGCCTTCGGCCTCAACACGCAGGCGCCCCTCGTCGCCTTCCTCGCGGCCCACATCCCGCTCCAGCACCTATACCTCAACAATAACGGGCTGGGCCCTCACGCGGGCATCCTGATCGCCGACGCGCTGTCGGAGCTGTACGCCAAGAAGGAGGCGGCTCGCAAGTCTGGTCAGCAGTCCAACGTCCCTGACCTCGAAACCGTCATTTGCGGACGCAATCGCCTCGAGAACGGCAGCATGACGGCGTGGGCTCGATGCTTCAGCTTGCATAACAAGGTCAAGGTGGTCAAGATGGTGCAGAACGGCATCCGACAGGAGGGCATCGCGCACCTGCTGTCCGCGGGGTTGACCCACGCGAAGGGAATCCAGGTGCTCGATCTGCAAGACAACACGTTCACGCTCAAAGCTGCAAAGCCGCTGGCCAAGGTGGTGCCCGTTTGGGCCAATATACAAGAGCTGGGCATCGGCGACTCGCTGCTGGGCGCCAAGGGAGGTGTGTTGCTTGCCGGCGCTCTGGCCAATGGTAACAACCAGAAGCTCGAGATCCTGCGCCTGCAGTACAACGATATTACCGCCCCGGGCGTCAAAGCGCTCGCGGACGCTGCGAAGTCGCTTCCCGCGCTGAAGAAGATCGAGCTGAACGGGAACAAGTTCTCCGAAGACGACGAGGCCATCATTGCACTGCGCGAACTGCTCGAGGAGCGCAAGGAAAAGCTCGGTGGCGATGTTGTAGACGAGGACGCCTGGGGAGTTGATAGCCTGAGTGATCTGGAGGAGGAGGACTCCGACGATGAGGAGGAAGAAGAGGATGACGAGGCCGAATATGCGGAGGAGGACGTAGCGCCCCAGGAACGAGCCGAGAAGCTGATTAAGGAGGCGGAGGAGGCACAGGAGGAGCCGACAGTTCAGATCAAGGATCCTGAGGTTGACGCTCTGGCCAAGGCGTTGGAGAAGACGAATATCTAAACTTTTACTACGGTTAATGCGGAATGCGGGAGCAAGCCCCGGAGGAACCCTAAGGAGAAAGGGGAAAAGCAAGGAAGATTGACGAGAGCATGTTGACGATACCCACCTGACCACAACTTTAGAGAGACCCGACAAAAGATCATGTAGCAGACACACAAGAGAAGCCAACTCTAGACCCCTTAAATTAAGGCACACACATGGCCCTTAACAGAGTAACAGAGCTGGACACACGAAACCTCATACTATCACACAGCATAAAAATGGCGTGCAAGACTTGAAACGTGTAATCATTTGATCTTAAAGGAAAGATACTTTTCATATACCAGATAGTGATGATGATGAGTAGTATGGGCTCCGCTCGTATGTACATGTATGTCCGTCCACATCGCTGTCAAGCCTCGACTAATGTAGGGAGTAAGTAGCGACGACAGCGCATCCTCTTCCCCCATCCACCTCCGTCTACTTGTACATACTCAAACAAACCCCAAACATGAAAAAGGAGTTGGGCCCGTTGAGCGTCGTTCCCAGCCCAACACCAATCGATCCCACAACTTTCTAGTACAAAGATTTTCCGAGAGAGTAGCGACGTGACTAGGTAGGTATACTCTATTTATAACACCTCGCCGATGATCTTGGCCGCCTCGCGGTACGTAGAGAGCAGCTTCTCGCACTTCTCGCGTTCCTTCTTGACGCCGTCGTCTTCGTACAGCAGCTCCTCGAACAGGCCCTCTTTGTAGAGCTCGCTGACGAGCCGGTTCTGCACCACATCCTTGCTGTGGTTGACCAGGAGGTGCATGACGGCTTTGGGCACTTGGTCCGCAATCGATTCGCGCACAATGTTGAAGTAGGATGAGATGAGTGCGCGGATCAGCTCCGTCTCCATGGCCTCGCGGTCCGTCAGGGCTGGCTCGGTGCTCTGGCCCTAATCAAACGAATTAGTGAAATCCACAAATATGTCAACAGCAGAATTTCTTACAAATGAACCAAACCCGAATTCGGTCGTTCTCGGGCTTTCCTCTGGCGGTGAAATCAAGGAAGAGGACAAGGCGGGCCGATGAGCGATTTTGTCCTCGCGCGATCGGATGCTTCCGCTGAACGTTGGCTCAGCTGACTGGCTAACATGACGAGGCAATGCCGAAGGAGTTCCAGGGCCTCCCGGTTGCGAAGGGCCGTTCTGGCCGAAGAAGTATGTCAAGAATGAATCCTTCTGTCCACCCGCTTGTTGTTGGAATCTTGACGGCGAATCGGACCTTGCGCCATTCAAGCTGGCGGCAATGCTACCTGTGCCGTTCTCACGCATGACTGGCGACAGACTGCGCGCTCCCTTGGGAAGTTTTCGGTTTGTGAGGTCTCCCTTCTCAGTCGCAGCATCATCGTTCTCTTCGGCGGGGGTCTCGGTACCATTAGCAGCACCCAACTCTTTCATCTTGCGTTTCTCGCGCCTCTCGCGCTCCTCCTGGATCAACCGTTTCCTCTCCTTTTCTTGTTTGTTGTTGACCACGTGACTCATTGCTGCAGCCGCACCGAGGAAGTTGGGATGGTTCGTGTTGATGTAAGCTCGTTGAATAGAGATAAGCGACTCTACATAGTTAGATGCAGGGCCAAGCCGCTCCCGGAGGAGATCAGACACCACTTCAATGAGCTTTGCTTGCAGCCGCGGGAAACGTGTCAGCTCTGTGGAACCACAGGTATGACAAATCTTGATCAACTCCTCGTAGACCAATTCTACACAACGCTGACTCGGGATCTCGAGAAGCTTGATTTGTGGCTTTACGAGCAGATCGAATGCCATCTCGGGGACGAACAAGCTCGGACGGGGACCAGTGGAGTTGCGAATGGCAGTTCTGATGTCCAGGGCGGACAGATTGGAGGTGGGGTCGATGGATTCCAGTGCGCTGCCAAACACTGAGTTGAAGATGTAGTATATCCGAGCACCGCCAGAGAGCTCCTTGGTAGATATCTCGGTGGAAGTGCCGTCGATAGATGAAATGAACGAGGAAGCGAATCGTGTCATAAGCTGTAGGATCATGGAGCCGCGGTGCTCCTTGCCACTGAAGTGATTGTCTCCGTAGCTAGCGAGTTCCTGCTGGGTCTGGCCCATCAAAGTATTGAGACGGGCTTTGATATCCGGTAAACGCTCACGAATGTGGCTCATGAGCGTCTGGTTTAACGTCTTTGCCAGGAAATTGGTGCCGCATTGCGTTGCCATGTTTCGGTAAGCTGGGTGGTGTTTAAAGAAGTCCATTTCCGCCTTCAGGGCATCCTCCATGGGTTTATTCCCCTGAATGTCTTGTTGTGAGCGGTTCACAACGCCAATAAAGCCCAGCTTCAAAGGATAGACACGGCCTGAGAGAATATCTAAGGCATTCGTGCCATGATCCATCAAGTCGACCTTGGTCAGAACGCCGACCGTCCTTCGACCGAGGGGATCCACATGTCTCGCAAGCTTCAGAGCTTCTGAGTTGACAATGTCAACGTTGGCGGGCGATACGGCTAGAATAATACTGTTCGGCTTGGCGATGAACTCAGAGATTAGGGTACGAGTCTGCTTCTCAATATCGGCAGGTTGATCGCCAATAGGGACCTATGAAGGACAGAATCAGTGGCTGTTCTGTCACGGGGCGGACTGCCTGGGTGGCTTCCTTACCTTTGTCAAGCCCGGCAAATCAACCAAGGTCAGGTTGAGCACATGTGGAGAGTAGATTTTCAGGTTGATAGGTTGACGGTTAATGCCCTTGTTGCTACCAGCGACTCGGGCTGTCTCATTCTCGATCTCGCGCTTCACGTCGGCAAAATCTGTGAACCTCCGTCCCGGGACATGGTGGAACTCCGCCCACTCTGAGCGCCTAGCTTGGGTTGGGTTTCTGTAGGCTGCATTGAGATCTGGCTCAGACTCGTCCTCCTCGACATTGATCAGTTGTAGGATGAGTGGCCGTCGGGTGACGATGCCACTTCCTCGCGGTAGGAAATCTCGACCGACGATGTTCTCGAGCACTGAAGACTTGCCAGCGGACTGGGAACCGACAACGACCTAATATGACTTGAGATAAGCATATTTCCTCAGACAGAGTTGCTACTGAATGTTGGGCAGTGGGGCGTGTATGTGACGTACAATTTGTGGCAAGTCGAGAGAATCTGTGCCGATGGTGTTGAAGACCAGATCCTGCAGCTGGTTGACGATTCGCAAAAGATCGTCTCCAAGGGCGGCCATGGCAGCAATTGTTTAACACAGCTTAGACTGTGGCCCTCGTTCGCGTTGCGGGTTTTCGATGGGTTGTGTCGTCTCGAGCTTGGTGTGCTGAATTGTTTCTTCTCTGTGCTGTTGTTTTTGCCGGCCGACTGTCAAAACCGGGTTTAGGTGGCGTATCACAAGCTCCTTCCTTTAGCTACAACTTGAACGCCGCGTACTTCCAAAGAAAAGCAGCAAAAGGCGTAAATAGAAGTATGAGTCTTATCATAAAACGATTCAACAATCGCTGTGCGTTGTCGCCGGAAAAATAAAAACACTTTACCTACGTATACCAGTACCCCGTGGAGCCCAGTTCCCATATTCATGCAACAAGCTCCCCAGTATCTGATCCCGGCAACCCCGGTCGCATTAGCCTCATTTAACCACCCTCATGCAACAGGACCGCGTCGCGATGCTCCTAAGGTCCGTAAGCTTGACCTTCCCATGTTTACTATCGCACACCAAGCCCAGGAGAACGCAATAGCTACAGAAGAATGTGGGATGACAACTTCAAAATGTTGTCGGGCGGCTGTTCCACCTAAACTTCGGGCGGATCAGGCTGACCGTGAGACAGCTCACCTCTCTGACTTAGGAGCCAATCGATGTATGACATGTTTTCCACTGTGGAAAATGCTCTTTATTCCCTGTCGTGAACATCTAGCATTGTCGTAAAATACTCTAGCAGCGTTCGCCATCTCTGAACTTGTAGGTTTGGGAAACTCGCCTACTTAGGTATCTGAAGGTGCTGAGACCGTGAGGCAGTAGACCGCACCAAGATGACAACTCAACTAACAATGAAGCAATTGCAGTAACTGTAACGGCAGGAAGTTTCAAAATCATCGTGGCTTCAGAAGATTCAACCATGTACCATTGAGCTGGATTACCTTGTAACCACTTCCTGGGTATCACTACTGCACACGAATTGGTGTTACTAATCCCAGCAAAAGTATTGGTTCACCTCTTAACTACCCCGTATATGAGCCAGAACCTGTCTCAGTCTTCGCAGCGCCTTCATTTCCGACGGCACCATTCCTTGCTGTTGCTCTGAAAGCGACTGAACCTCTTCCCTCGCTTCTCTCACCAAGGCACCGAGATCTCCCCAGACTTCATCCGTGTAGCTCGATAGCACGTCCTGCCATTGTTCTACCCACATCTTCCTCACCGCGGCGACATCTGGCGTCCCAAGATGCTGCTGCAGCTCATTGTAATCCCAGTCAGAGCTGCCGTTCGACAAGTATTCCGGAAAGAAATTCAAAAGGCTTTCCCACACGGCTGGTTCTATCGCCTGCCTTACAAGTCCTGCGTCACCAAAAAGTGCTCGCCTTATTGAGCTTGCTTGCGCTGCGCTCAAAGGCAGCTCTGGCTCTTGTTGCATGACTTCATCGTACCCGGTGTCTAGAAGCTTGACTACTTCCATGCCATCTGTCCTCGAGAAATCTGTACTGGGTCCTGCGTATGACGCCTGTGAGGTGCGATTCACGGCGATCGCAGCAAGTTCCTGATGAGCTGCGCTTGAGTGCGTAGGTTCCAAATCGCTTCTCTCATCCAGAAATGCCGAAAACGATGCCTCCTCTTGCGTGATGTAGTCCTCCACATACGTAGACTTGAAGGTGTTGCCAGGTACATTCGGGGCTGCTTGAGGTACGTAGCTCGACGTCTCGCCGGCGGATAGTTGAAAACCATCACTTGAAGACTGCGTTTTCCTCGTAGGTAAAACCTGCCCGATGTGGTTTGCGTTAGATGGATTTGATATCAAGCTATTTGTGAGAGATGATGCCGAGTTTGCGATGCGAGACACCATGGTTCCGGTCGTCCGTTGGCTGTCATCCGCAGTTGCTCCATATTGACCTGTTCCTCCGGCGCTCAAGTCTGAAGATGATTCTTTCGCAGTTTCTTTACCCTTTCCTTTGCTCTGGCCATGTCCTTCCCCTTTTGACTGGGGTTTTTCTTCTCCCATGTCAACGGCTGCTCTGTAGGTGTTCTCTCGGGCACCTGATATTGGATGCGATATTTCTAAATTTAGAAGACGACCGATATAAGCCACTGATACGTACAAATACTACACAATGGCGTCAGTTTGTGATGGGATTGAGAGCTGACTTCAAGGATGGAGATGCAGTTGTCGGGTAAGTTCGGCTTTTTACGAGCTCAGGTTCTTCAAAAAGCGACTTTGAGGTTCTAAATAAGAACAGAAGATGGATGGCAACTAGAAAAACACTGTATAGCATCTGAATTTGTTGGCTTGTAGTATATCAAATGTTACAGAACCTCCAACTGTAGTAGTCTATGGAATTTCCTTAAAAACAGGGTTACCTTCAGAAGTGTTCCGAACCTTTGTTCACAAGTTCAACATGTGATAGTTGCAGTTGATGCCAGGTGACAAAGTTGTAGAACTATAGAGCAAATGAAATGTTAGATTTTCTCTCACATATTTGAAATGAGAACCCGACATATCTAGAAGTATATTATATGACACGACTAACGCCTGGTCTTACAAGTAGTCTTCTCCTGAGTGATCCTGTGATAACCTAGAAAGTGACAATGAGGCTCATGATTCCATATCACATGTGAATATGCCAGATTCAGCTCGAAAGTGAGGGATCGATTCGACAGCAACAAAAAGATCTAAGTCAAAGTCATTGCAAGGGTTCTGGGACCACTAGGCAACGGTGATGGTGCCCCAGTCACTTCTCGGGTAGCGTGGTTCAAACCCGATATAACCTATTTACACTTGCATATGCCAGAAAGCAGTGTATGCCGTGATATGTTTGATGCCATGTGAGTGTATTCATGCAGTCGGATGGATCTTAACAGAATAGCCCCAGGGAGCAGTATGGCTGTCAGCTCAAAGTAAGTATAAGCCAGGCATCAGTTTGTAACGTAAGTTATACCTAGTTACCGATATTCTGTTAGCTTTGCTATTATTCCACTTAGGACTTTGGGACACCAAGTTAAGTTTTGTTAAGATGGAGATCGTCTTTAGTTATCTTACTGTAGATACTACTTCTGTATCAGTTTGTGATGTAAGCTGCTTGCATTGAGAATGTTACGGTATGCCGATATTATAGGTAATCAATGGGTCGCGAGTCGTGATAAGTATCACGCTACACTGGCCAAGGCGTTCATGGCCATTATGTCATGAGCCATCCCACCTGCCACCATTGAACCCGGAAACATTGAGGCGCACCTAACTCCCCTCCTGCTTTGACTCTACCACCCTTGCCTTTAGACTGGTAAAATCGTAGGATCGGTCATATCAAGGCTTCTTTGCGAAATTTATAGCTGCCATGGTTGCTCAGGTGCTCAAGTGCATCGTTTAATGACCTGAAGTCCATCCCTTGCCTCACGTCTCTGGTAAATCGCGGGCCTCAAACTCTCCCACCTTTCAATTCTCCAGCCTTGGCCCGACGCCGCCACCAAAAACAGCCCAAAAGGTCTCTCTCCACAACACGACCTTGGACCATCATCATCAATACCAAACCACCCACTCTGTGACCATCGCCGACCTTGCCGCATAATAGCTGCTGCATACTTCCCACCACTCTGCACCGACTTGCGCCCGACCTGTTATTGACTCTCGCTTACTCTTCCCGTTCCTTTGAGCAACCCGACCGGTGACGAAAACGCCCGACCGCCCCAACGAGAAGCTTGTACTTCTTGACCATCTGCCCGCGCACCCACGCTTGACCTTATTACTCCGCATAGAGGGCATTGGAGCTGAACAGCTTCGCCCTCACGATCAAACTTTACCAACATGGTGGAAGGAGATTCGAGCTCTCCCACGTGGAAGTTCACACAGTAAGCTGCCTAGCGCCCATCGAGCTGTCCTCTTCTTTCATCACCGACTGCATCCCCGCGTCTCGATCCCATCTCCTCACAGAGGTGCGCTGGCTTCGGCGACCGAGTGCTTCTCGCACTTGTGCACTCGCAATATGCATACTGGAATGGCTGCTAACTGTGCCTTTCTCTAGATGTTTTGGCGACAAGGGCGACGTTGAGGACATCACAGAGGGTAAGTTACGGTTTTTGCGTTTCCAAGCGATGCACTCCAATCCAGCCTCTGCCCCCTTGACGATACGGCCTCAAGTACAATCCGCTGACTAATGCGCTGTAGCCGATATCATTTCGACCGTCGAGTTCGACCACACTGGCAACTATCTTGCCACAGGAGACAAGGGCGGCCGTGTCGTATTATTCGAGAGAAACGAGACGGTAGGTGGCTATTTGAATTGTGGCAGCAGGTATTAAGTCTGACTTTGCGCAGAAAAAAACCTGCGAGTATAAGTTCCATACCGAGTTCCAGTCACACGAACCCGAATTCGACTACCTGAAGTCTTTAGAGATTGAGGAGAAGATCAACAAGATCAAGTGGTGCCGTCGCCAGAACGCCTCTCATTACCTACTTTCCACGAACGACAAGACGATCAAACTATGGAAGGTGTTTGAGAAGTCGCTGAAAGTTGTGGCCGAGAACAACCTGTCTCATGATCTCACACCAGGCAATGCTGTCGGGGCAGGAGGAGGCGCCCCGAGGCCCAGTCCCTCGCACTCCCACTTCAAGAACGCTACCGATCTGAAGCTTCCGCGCCTGACACACCATGATACGGTCGTGGCCGCCGTTCCCCGACGAACATATGCGAATGCTCATGCATACCATATCAACAGCATTTCCGTCAACAGCGATGGCGAGACTTTTATCAGCAGTGATGATCTCCGTATCAACTTGTGGAATCTCAACATTCAAGACCAGAGCTTCAACATCGTAGACATCAAGCCCGCGAACATGGAGGAGTTGACTGAGGTCATCACCGCCGCAGAGTTCCACCCCATGAGCTGTAACTGGTTTATGTACGCAAGTTCCAAGGGCACGATCAAGTTGGCGGATATGAGAGAAAGTGCGCTCTGCGACAACCACTCCAAGTGTACGTGCCATGTGTTTTGTCTGATTATCCGGGCGTGGCTGACATGTACTTGTTTCTAGTGTTTGAACAAGAAGAGGATCCGTCCTCGCGATCTTTCTTCTCAGAGATCATCTCCTCTATCTCCGACGTTCGTTTTTCTCACGACGGCAGATACATCCTGTCTCGCGACTACCTGACTGTCAAGATCTGGGACGTAAACATGGAGCGCCAGCCGATCAAGACCATTCCCATCCATGAACACCTCCGACCGCGACTCTGTGATACGTACGAGAATGACAGCATTTTTGACAAGTTCGAGGTGGTCTTCTCGGGTGATGCCAAGAATGTCATGACAGGAAGCTACAACAATAACTTCATGATTTACCCGTCGGATCCCGAGAAGGAGGTGGAGGTGGTTTTGCAAGCGGACAAATCTGCATTCAAGGCGAAGAAGGTGGGGGTCGCAACACCTATTAATTCGTCAACCAGTCCTACCGCCACAAATGGCGGTAAGAAGGGCGGATCTCGTGCGGGTAGCCCAGCTGCGGGAGCTGGTCAGGGACAGCGTATGCGTAAGGAGACAGACGCCGACCAGATTGACTTTAACAAGAAGATTCTGCACATGAGCTGGCATCCGTTCGAGGACAGTATTGCGATTGCTGCCACCAACAACGTAAGATTCAACCCCAACCCCAACGAGGGCCTCATTGCAAATTAGTGTCTAACTTATTGCAGCTTTTTGTTTTCTCGGCACTATAGACAAGCGCAAGCCAAGTGCTGGACGAAGCCTTTAGCTGTCTGTCTGACGGCGGCTGTTCCGCTCTCCGAGGGTCGTTGGCTCAATCATCCGCAGCGGAAGGTTGTGTCGCTTGACAAGGAGAATGTTTTCTTCTCCTTGGGACTCAACTTGGCCTTGACTTGGGAAGTTGAGTAATCCACTATTGTCCTGGCAATTGTGGTGATGACGGTTGATCATGAGGCCAACACCGATGATCACTGGATGGTGCTCGTGAACGATACCAGGTTATGGTATAACACCTGAGATGCACAGTGCAGGCTGACATTGGCTCGGTCCGATGGCATCTGGGTGGCGGGATTGCAAGGACGCATTTGAGGCATGAGCAGTCGTTGGATGGCTCTTGTTGTACGTCGCGCATTTCTCCTGGCTGCCAGTGGGAAAGAAGACGATTCATACCATAGCATAGACAGTACTGGCAGGCAAACAACAGGCAGACTACAAGCATTTGGAATGACCCATGGTAGCATTTAGCATTGCGATGTTTTCCCTGTATCTTGTAAGAACTGTGAGAGGTTTGTTTCTAATGATATCTCAGCTTGTGCGTGCCCGGATTCGAACAAAGCAGTGATGCTGTCAACTTCTGTGTACTTGAAGAATACTTGTGTAATTTTCGACCACCACCCAAAAGACATATCCTCAAGCTTGTAGACTGGCTGTCGATTTACAACAAGGTAATTAATTATATGTGCTTGTGAGCGATACGTTTCAAGCTGTCTTAACTCTACCAGCCTGCTGGATGACTCCAGTCCCACCAATAGAAGTTGGATTAGGTGCCTACAGCGGGTATGAACTCACTTGTCCCACCATCTTGCCGTATTCAAAGTAGCAATGACAGATCTCTTTGGGAAAGCGGGGAACTCCCGGGATAAATCAAGTATCCCGAAAATCCAATGACGTTTAGGAGGTACGGGCCGGCTACCTTGTCAAGGTTCCAAGCCACAGGGGTATGGACAGGTAGGACAGATCAATTGTCTCGGCATTCGACTTTCGAATGCTGTTCTGAGCACTCTGGCTGTACGAAGTATTGAAACTCATTTAACAGAAGTCATAGAGCCGTGTCCAGCGTGGGTTAATATGGAATTACCCGTTCCAGACTACAGTAGAAGATGACAAACTGGCAGATATTATTCCACCAAGGCGTGCACCGTTTGTGTCTTCAACCACAGGCTTGGGATGAATTCAAGGACTCTTTTTGCAGCTTAAATCACACGTGGAAGCGCTGGAGTTTTAGCGTCATCGGCGGCCCTGCAAGTGTGCAGATCAGGATCAACGGACGAGCCCGAGCTTCTTGTCCGCTTCCTCATGTCGTAATGTACCTGACATAAGAACATCGTCTTTTTCAACTTTTTCCCTTATCCAGCAATTGGTGATCTGCTTTCTTCGGTTTTGCGGAAGAGAAAAAGAATAAGAAAAAAGTGGGCTATTGCTTTTGAAACAAGACGCAAACCCTGCGGCCTTATGCTAGAACTGACATAGTCTTCGTTCGACGCTGAATCGAATCAACCCACCTACCTCGCCTCCCTGTTCGTCGTCCGCTTCGCCGTCGCAACCCTGATGACTCCCAAATCAGCACCCCGGAGACGCCAAACTCTGCGAGACTCGCATGCCGCCGCTGCGGAAAAGAAAGACAATGCTGCCATGACTCCCAAGGTGATTAATGTCAACGAGAAGGCTCAGCTACATGGCATTTCCCCTGACCAGCGACCTGCCTATCTGAGGGCCATGGGCATCGCCGGCCGCATTTTCATCGAGACGATCCCGCAATGGCTGGCCGTGGGGGCGATGCTGGGTCTGATATTTGGTGGATGTTGTTCGAATGTGAGTATGTGGTGCTGGCAATGAGTGCAAAGGGAAAGACAGGCTGATGTCAGGGACAATGCAGGTCTTTGCGCTCGAGGCTATCATCAAGTAAGTCTCAACTCTTCAGCATACGAATTGCCGGGGTTTCATAGCTGATGTACAACGGCAGGGTGGAACCAGCTAGCGGGACGCTGTTGACCTTTGTACAATTCCTATTTGTGGCCATTACTGGATACATCTCCCAATTCGACTCGACTCGCCCGCCGTTCTTCCTCGCACCGAACCGGGTGCCGATCCGCCGCTGGCTCATAAACATTGTTCTCTTCTTCAGCATCAATGTTCTGAATAACCATGCTTTCAGCTACGATATCTCAGTTCCTGTACATATCATTCTGCGGTCTGGGGGCAGCATCACGACTATGATCGCCGGTAGTCTATGGGGGAAGCGATATGTGCGCATTCAAGTCATTGCCGTCCTCCTGCTGACGACGGGTGTCATCACGGCAGCTTGGTCTGATGCGCAATCCAAGGTAATGCGCAATGCCCGTTACACACTCCTGGAGCCGGATGAGCTAACACGGACGCAGGGAAGCGAGGGATCGCACGAGTCGGCGCCAAGCTTCAGCACTGGGCTCGTCATACTGTTCGTTGCGCAGGTGCTATCGGCCATTATGGGCTTGTACACGGAAGAGACCTACAAGACGTACGGCCCGCACTGGAAGGAGAACCTGTTCTACTCGCATCTGCTGTCGCTGCCGCTCTTCCTGCCCTTCACCATGTCGCTCATCAGGCAGTTCGTGCAACTCGCCCGCAGTCCGCCTCTCACTTTGCCTACCTTTGTGGAGCAGATGGATCTCCCCAACGTGGCCGATGCGGTCCGCGACAACATCAAGCAGATATATATTCCCAGCCAGGTCGTCTATTTGGCGCTCAATGTGCTCACGCAGTATGCTTGTATCCGCGGAGTCAATCTGCTGGCCGCAGTGTCTTCGGCGCTAACCGTTACCATTGTGCTCAATATACGGAAGCTCGTTAGTTTGTTGCTCAGCATTTGGCTATTCGGGAATAAGTTGGCTACGGGGACGTTGATCGGAGCCTTGATAGTGTTTGGTAGTGGTGGACTGTACAGTCTGGGTTCTTCCCCCAAGACGCGCTCGCCCCCTGTTAGGCATAGGGTGTCTGGTGAGACTAAGGTGGGCTAGCTCCAACGGGGCGGTTGATGAACCAGCCAATACACGTAAATACTCGTGGTGAATAGGTACTTATTAAGTACAATTGTCTATCAAGTCGTACAACTGTATGATATGATGTGATGTAATATGATGGTGTGGAACACAATATGTCCTATGTGCTGGTTATTGTACGATCAAACACGGTAACGCAGTTGCTAATGGTCACTGCACTGTTAAGTTGGTCTTGTCCACCGCATGGGGGGTCCTACAAGTACCATACCTTGTTATTTACTGCTTGGATATGCCTTCACGGCATTCAACTAGTCGGCCGATTTTGCAAAACTCAGTACGATCAAACACGATTTAGTTTGTGTATAGACGGTGTCTATTCAACGATTAGTACATGTTTGTTTTGATAGCTACAAAGTTCAACGACTCAACCGCACTATATAGTAGTAGTTGAACTCGACGCCGACCCCTCCAGTGCTTGGCATACAAATCGGCGGCCGCGACAGGGGTGATCTACTTTAAAGGTAGCCGCCAACCGCATCACATCTTAGCTCAACGGTAGTGCTGGTTTCGGTCGAATTCAAACCGGTCTGACATCACATTGTTCGGACCTCCAATTTTTGCACTTTGGCAAGCCGTTTGTCCTGACGACAGGATTTCTGCTGGCCAACGCAAGTCAATTATGAATATGGCTGGTAAGTCCGATTCTCGGATCACAGCAAGTTATGCGCATTGCTATCTGTCTTGACCTACCGGCTAATCGCTACAACCTCGATAGACCGATCCATGGAACCGCCGTCTGAATCGACCTCACCCAAGCTCGCGGCCGCCTCCAATGATATCGAACTAGACTCTGACGATGGAGGTTTTCATTCACAAGAACAAGGGAGCGATATGGATTCTGGACTTGAGGAACACGGGCATGAGAACGGAGACGCACCCCAGATACCGACTGGCGAACAGAGCTCAGAGGGCATGTTGCCGCGAGATGTGCCTCAGAGGAACCCCTACTATGACCCCGTAGACGAACGCCAGATGACACAGACTGATGCGAAACTTTTCTACCAACAAAGACAGCGCGAGTACAAGGACCTCCTACATCTCACTCCCCAGGGCAGCCCTTCCCTCTCCCCGTCGGCCGGCGACAACCTGAGCTCCACCTACCAGACTCAGATTCCGTCCTTGACTTCTCATCCGTATGCCAATCTTGGAACGAGCGCCAGCTCCATATCTCTCCACTCGGGGGCGTCCAAATTCCCCGATATCGGGACGTCGTCGACCAATGTTGGCTCTGGAGTTGCACCTCGAACTGCTACCAGACCATCTCTAGGTGGCCTAGAATCAGGTAGTCTACCGTCTAGCGAAGCGCCGCACGAGAAAAAAGAGGCATCTGGCCCAGTTCAGCCTGATATGGGCCTGCCAGACGGAGGTCCTGTTGATATTGGCAGCGGATTCGAGGACAACGACCCACATATCACCGCCGAGTTGAAAACCATCTTCAATAATATCCAAAAAATCTTGGATATTCGTCACAGGTATATCCGGCTGTCGTTGCAAAGGGATGGTGACAACCCCAAGGACGACCCCAGTTGGGACATCTACCCCCCTCCGCCCGAACCCGCATGGGTCGGACCTCATACAGCGTATTTTACACACGCACACAACACCGCTACTAACAGCTTGAGCAATAGCACCGTGTTGCCCCCTCGGCAAGACACACAGCGCACAACTGAAACTTCGAATATGTCCGGTTCCGAGCCAGATCATAAGAAAGTAATCAAGAAACGCAAGTCTGATCGGGATATTGGTGAAGATTTTGATATGAAACACGTTCTGCCACTGCCTGGTGCAACAGAGTTCACCTTCAGACTAGACGAGAATGGCGTCTACCAGGTGTACGAGAATACCCAAGCAGACAAGGCCAACACACCAGTCGTTAATGTGCCCACAATCAAGGACTTCTACATCGACCTTGAGGACATTTTGACCACTTCGTCGGACGGTCCTAGCAAAAGCTTTGCATTCCGACGACTGCAGTATCTTGAAGGCAAGTTTAACCTCTACGTGCTCCTAAATGAGTACCAGGAGACTGCCGAGAGCAAGAAGGTGCCTCACCGAGATTTCTACAATGTAAGAAAGGTCGATACCCACGTTCACCACTCTGCCTGCATGAACCAGAAGCATCTGTTGCGCTTTATTAAGAGCAAAATGAAGAAGTGCCCAGACGAAGAGGTACTTATCAGAGATGGGAAAGTCCTCACACTTGCCGAGGTCTTTGAAAGTATCAACTTGACTGCGTATGATCTGAGCATTGACACGCTCGATATGCACGCTCATACCGACTCTTTCCATCGGTTTGACAAGTTCAATCTCAAGTACAACCCCGTTGGGGAGTCGCGTCTAAGAACTATTTTCCTAAAGACGGACAACCATATTGAGGGTAGATACCTGGCCGAGATCACTAAGGAGGTCATTTACGACCTCGAATCGAGCAAATATCAGATGGTGGAGTGGCGCATCTCCATCTATGGCAGGTCGATAGATGAATGGGACAAGCTTGCCGCTTGGGTGGTTGACAACAAGCTGATGTCCCACAATGTTCGCTGGTTGATCCAAATCCCACGACTCTACGATGTGTACAAGGCCACTGGGTTGATGCAGAGCTTCGAAGAGGTCATCAAGAACGTCTTCTTACCCCTGTTCGAAGTCACCAAGAATCCAGAAAGCCATTCTAAACTGCATATTTTCTTGCAGCGCGTCATCGGTTTTGACAGCGTCGATGACGAGAGCAAGGTAGAACGCCGGTTGTTCAAGAAGTTCCCCGTTCCCAGCGAATGGACCTCGAAGCAGAACCCACCGTACAGCTACTGGATCTACTACGTCTTTGCCAATATGACATCTCTAAATTTCTGGCGCCGGCAGCGCGGCTTCAACACGTTCCTCCTGCGTCCACACTGCGGCGAGGCTGGCGACAGCGAGCATCTCGCCGTGGCGCTCCTATGCAGCCATAGTATCAGCCACGGATTGCTTCTGAGAAAGGTGCCACTTCTGCAGTACATCTTCTACCTTGAGCAGATCGGCATCGCCATGTCCCCACTCAGTAACAATGCGCTCTTCCTTGCCTACGAACGCAACCCATTCCACCAGTACTTCAAGCGTGGGCTAAACGTATCCCTGTCGACCGACGACCCCCTGCAATTCGCCTTCACCAAGGAGCCGCTGATTGAGGAATATGCAGTCGCAGCGCAGATCTACAAGCTCAGCCCGGTTGACATGTGCGAACTGGCCAAGAACTCGGTGAAGCAGAGTGGTTACGAACATTCGATTAAGCAGCAGTGGCTCGGCCCTAACTTCTCCCTCCCGGGCAAGGAGGGGAACATGATGATCAAGACCAATGTTCCCGATAGGAGGGAAGAGTTCCGGCACCACACGTGGGTGGAGGAGCACCGCATGTAAGTCCATCACAATGATGTCGAGCCGTCCGCAAGCCGAGCTGACTGTTACCCAGGATCTCTAGATACACATCGGCAGAAAGAGAGGAGGTCGCTCAATCCCCAGTAGCCTTAGAGCATCTTAGCTTGGCACACCCGGGCCCAGCATCGCCTACTTCATCCTCGAAGACGAACCTCGCAAGCAATGTGACCCTGTTCGACTCCAAATCCCACCACCACGCCCACTCGGCCCAAGAAGCACGTCTCCCGCCGTCGTCTCGCCGCCAACAACTGCCACCACAAGCCGAGCCCAGCCTCCTGTCCGCCGCCCCCCATACTAGCCCCAGCTCGAGTACGTCGATTCTGCATGCTCCGCTTTCGGGTTCGCCAGTCTTAGCAGCAGCGGCCGCGGGGCCGTGGCCCCCGTCCGATGGAACGCACCTCTCGGGTCATGAGCCAAGGTACTTCCCTGGCATGATGACGAGGGCATCTAGGAAGGATAACATCCGCAAGGGCTCGATGCACGAGTCAGACGACGCGGGGTCGGTTCGCAGCGCTCCTAAGAGGAGCGGGGCAAGGGAGGAATTTTCGTGAGACTGGTGTGGGGGGTTTGACAGCCGTAGTGCCAAACAGGACTTGAAGTTGGAATGAGTGGGTAATAGGGCATGAGAATGAGGGATGGTATGGTATGGGTGGACTCATAGAATACTCAAGGTAGAGCGGTTAGGTGGAACGGGGGTTTCTACAAGAGGACTTACATGGAAAGGAAACTACGAAAGTGAAACTTTGCGGATACATTATAGAAGAGTGGCATGCACTAGGAGAAGGGAAATTGACGTTGATAAGGCTCTCTGCTCCATGTTCAATCAATGATGGCTTAGAAGGAATTAATTTAGTACGTTTATGTGAATCATTATGAATCCACTGCCATATTGAATGCGCGGGAGTACTACAGTTGACATTTGGGATAGGAAATACTGCATGCATAAGGAGGAATCCAAAGACATGTTACAACACCCGGGCATGAGCAAAGGGGACTGATTCTGGGAGCACTTCCTACTCTTCAATAACCTCGGTAGTTGAATATTTCACTCTACGACCTGGAAATCCGTCATTACCTTGAGGAGAATCTTGGCAAGAGCACCCAGCTTGGACCCACTTAATACACTTACGTCCACGGGAAGTGTGATCTCCAATCTCCAGCCATCAAATCGTCAAGTCGACTTGTCTCCTAATCTCACTGTTCGCTCGATATTAACCCGCGGTTTTGGTTTCTTTGAAGCTGCATTTCAATCTGTCTTTCACTATTATGTACCATGTGTGCGTCTGGTGACTCGGCGACAGTGATTCGTGAATTGAATTTAAACCTCCCCCAAACCCCCCGATCTCGACCGGTACCTCGTACTCGTGGTGCTGCACCCGTCCTGTAGCCCAACATCTAATCAATTGATCGATTTGACATCGACGCGCCTAGCCGTACACAGCTACCCGGCATCGCCTTGCAAAACCACTTAGGACCCGTGCCGCCCTCATTTTTTAACCGGTACTTGCGCCAACGAGCCATGGGGTTCCTTGGCGTATACAGGGCCATATTCGATTATGCGCCTGCCTCCGAAGGAGAACTTGCCATCAACGAAGGCGACCTGCTCTACGTTCTTGAGAAGAGCCAGGATGACGACTGGTGGAAGGCAAAGAAGAAGGCAACTGCCGACGATGACGACGAGCCCACGGGGCTCATTCCCAACAACTACATAGAAGAGGCCGCCCCCGTCAACCAAGCTCGCGCCCTTTACGAATACACCCGCCAGACCGACGAAGAATTATCCTTCCCGGAAGATGCCAAGTTGCAAGTCTTCGACGTTTCAGACCCCGATTGGATCCTGGTGGGGCTGGACGGCGAGTATGGCTTCGTCCCGGCAAACTACATCGACATGGGCGACGCAGTGGACGAGGAGCCAGAGCCGGAACCGGAGCCAGAGCCACAGCCCCAAGCACCGCCCTTGCCACCAGCTCTACCCTCACGTCCTCCAGCTACCGTTGAGCCGGAAGAAGAGCCGCTTAGTCCGCCTCTACCAACCCGACAGCCATCCACTGCTTCCGAAACGAGCAGCCCAGCTGTGGCGACGCCCGCTTCCGCGTTGGCCAATGTTATGCAAGGCCGAACCTCGAGCCGGGCTCCCGCTCCTCCTCCCGTTGCCGTTCCGGCACCCCGACAGGAATACTTGTCTGAGGAAGATGACGAACCGAGTCCTGCGCTGCCTACACGTCCTCGAGCCCCGACGAGCTTCTCCGAGCATGAACAAACCGCACCAACTTCCCCAGCGCGAACGCAGAGCGCCCGTAGGAGCGACCAGCACCATGACTACACTTCCGGTTACGACACGGGCCAGATTGCGCCAGGTGGGTTCCACTTGTACAACATCAATGAGATGGTATCGGTCATGGGCAAGAAGAAAAAGATGCCCACGACGCTCGGTGTGAATCTTAAGACAGGGAAGATATTCATCGCGCCCGAGCGAACCAGCGACGGGCCGAGTACCGAGTGGACTGGTGATAAGATGACGCATTACTCTCGTGAAGGCAAGCACGTGTTCTTGGAGTTGGTGCGGCCAAGCAGGAGCATAGATTTTCACGCCGGAGCCCAAGATACTGCCGAAGAAATCGTGAGTGCTCTGGGCGAGCTTGCCGGTGCTGTAAGAGCCGAAGGTCTACGCGAGGTCATGATGGCCGCAACCGGCCGGAATAGTCAGAAGAAGGGCATTATTCTTTACGACTTCATGGCGCAAGGAGAAGATGAAGTCACAGTAGCAGTAGGGGACGAAGTATTGATTGTCGACGATGCCAAGAGTGAAGAGTGGTGGCAGGTTCGGCGACTCAAAACCGGCAAGGAAGGCGTCGTTCCCAGCAGTTACATCGAAGTCACAGAGGTCCTCAGTCCACCGGCGAATTCGAGTGGCGTAAATGCAGGCAGGTCGACCGTCGCACAGAATCGTCTCGAAGAGGAGCGCTTAACGAAAGAGGCTATCAAGAGGGACCAAAAAGTAGCTGAGGTAGGACCTGGTTTGCGTTTGCCTGTTAGAAGCAGCAGTTTGTCGGCCGGGACCAGTGATAATAATTCTCTGCAGCAGCGAAGCAAACGCGAAAACGGTCGTGCCGAAGGCAGCGGAAGCCGCTCCTCCTCGGACAAAGCGAGTAAGTTATCTAATTCCCACCACCGCCCCCTTCAAAAAAACACAACATCATCTTCAGTGGTTTGCAAGCTGACCAACCATGCCAGAACCCGATCGCTCCAAGGTCCGAACCTGGACGGATCGGTCCAAGTCTTTCACCGTGGAAGCGCAATTTCTCGGTATCAAAGATGGCAAGATCAACCTGCACAAAATGAACGGCGTCAAGATTGCCGTCCCTATAACGAAGATGTCCGCTAAAGATCTTGAGTACGTCGAACTCATGACCGGTATCTCCTTGGACGAGGACAAGCCCCTATCCGACGTCAAGCGTGCGAATACGACAAAGGTCAACGCAACGAGGGATGCCTCTAGTAAAGTCGGCGCATCCATTGAGCAGCCCAAGTCTGACTACGATTGGTTTCAGTTCTTCTTATCTTGCGACGTGGCAGTTGGTCTTTGCGAACGCTATGCCCAGTCCTTTGCCAAAGACTCGATGGACGAGAGCGTTTTACCAGATGTGGATGCTAGTGTGCTTCGAAACCTTGGCCTTCGCGAAGGGGATATCATAAAGGTAATGCGGTTTCTGGACAAGAAGTATGGACGTGACGGCAAGAAGAAAGGTGTTAGCTTTGCCGGCGATGAGGATGGCGAGGGCAGCGGCGGCGGGCTATTCTCGGGCCCAGGTGGTACACTACGGAACAATACTCGAAAAGGGCGTCCGGCACCAGCGGTCCAAACGAACGATACGATTGATGCAAAGGCATTCTCGAATAAGAATGACTCTAGTCAGGATCAGTCCGCTACGCCGTCGCCATCTGCAGGCCGTTCAGAAGCTGCGAAGCCTACTAGTGGGTTTGATGATGACGCATGGGATGTCAAGCCTTCTAAGCAGCCTAAGCCTCAAACAAACCCAGCTCCGACTCCAGAGCCCAAAGCTGCCACTCCACCTCCGTCTCAACCGCCGCCTACACAAGGCATGCTAGATCTGTCGTTACTCAGTCAACCTTTGGAGCCCATCAAAGCCCAACCTACGGTTAGCGCACCCCAGATCATCCAAGCTCCTCCACAGCCAGCACCTCAAATACAACCTCAGTCTACAGCAGCTCAACAGCCAGGGGCCACACCTGCGTTCTTTACGGGACTTGCTCAGCAACAAACTGGGCTTCAACAGCAGCCTACTGGAGCACAGCCACTGAACCTTGGACTGGGGGGCAACCGGCAAAGGCCAGTGGCGCCGCAGATGACCCAAGGCCAAGGCGGGCTGGTGCCTCCTCCACCTGCGCGTCCGTTGTCTGCGCCTCAGTCGGCACAACCGAGCGGGTTCGCTCCGCCTCCGTTGCAACCACAAATGACGGGTATTGCACCGCCCGGCCAAAGCTTGAACGACTTGAACCAGCAGAGAATGCAACAGCAATACATGGGCAGCTTCCAGCCGCAACCAACCGGTCAGGGCATGATGGGTTACAATCCCACGGGAATCCAGCCGCAACCAACCGGATTCGGGGGACCCAACCAGTTCCAAATGCCACCACAAGTTACGGGAGCTCCGCAGATGCAGAGTCCGTTCGCCGACCCCAGAGCCAGCCAGTTCTCGTCAATCCAGGTCCAACCTACCGGGTTTCACGGTGGCTTCAACGCGGGTCAACAATTTCCCCAGCCCACGGGCGTCAACTCTTTCTTACCGCCTGCCCTGGAACCGCAAAGGACGGGGATGCCCCCGATGCAGCAGTCTATGCAACCTCAGCCAACAGGCTTCGGCGGAGGATTCGGTATAGGCTTCAACCCCGGCATAAACAACCAGCAGGCCCCCCAACCTCCGCCCCCGGCTCCTCTCCAGCCGCAGCAGACTGGGCCGGCACCCCCGGTGCGTTTCGGCGTAGCGGACAAGATCGCGCCGCAGGCAACTGGCCGCCGGGCAAATCTTGCACATGCAAGTAAGTCTAAGCCCCCTCCCAAGGCAATGCGATCTCTAACCTGCTGTTATAGCTCCACAAAATCCCTTTGGTTTCTGATGATCCAATCGGTGGTGATAGTTAATTCTGTACTACGCTGATCTACGGTCTGGTTTGAGAGGAGAGAATGAACGTTTGGGCATCGCTACTGAGCTTCAGACAGGGTGCTGGGTCTGAAACGTGGGCATTGATTGATTGTACCATCCGGGCCGTCGTGAAGGTTTCGGCATGCTGGGGCCTGGGTGGATCGGAGGCAGTAGGTCGGTGGGAGATCAGCTGTGAGCTCGGATGACGATTGTCACCCAATTCCGTAACTGTCGCTCCCAAGCTTGCCCTTTAAAATGCATGCGTATTACTCTAAAGTACACAACACTACATAGTGAACTGTTCAGGCAGAGTCGTGGAAGACCAAAAAACGACCATGGGGAAGGTGAGGTTATTATTGGATACTTAGTGAAGCATAATACACACCATCTTATAAGCCTTCATTCAATTACGGTGCAGCCGTAAGTCCATCCAATACTGGGACGTCGGCACAGAGACATCCCTGGTGGTCCCCTTTGCGCATGCGGCTGATCATACATATTCGTTGATCATATAGGGCGGGATCTGCATAATGCATGAGAAATATCCCTGGGAGGCACAATGAGGTCATCAACGAATGGTGAGTACGTCGAATGTCATTTCTTTACCGTTGAAACCCCCGCAGACAAGAAACGGCAATTAGCATTGACGCATGAGCAACGAGTTTTCCGTCCTTTCAAGTTGGGGTTGACAGTGACGCGACAACTCTGATCTCACACGGAATTTCGCCAATTAGCCCAGGCAACCAGGGGAAGGATGAACGCGGCAGATTCCCAGGTTTGACAATGTATTTGCTCACCATAATTACTTGAGAATCTTGAAAGTCCCATTGCAAAAAAAAAGATGATCCGAAACAGTACCGACGGATGTTCAGATGGCTTTTCTCGTTTGGAGCGGTTTTGGATGTTCTTGAAACGACAGGAGTGAGGTGACTGATGTCACACGATTTTATCAGTAAGGCAGCGGAACAATACGTTATATCGGCCCATAGGCTGCAATTGCATGTACGTGCACGCCGGCAAGTACTCGACGTATACCAAGGAGTTACAACCCCCTGAGTAACCCCTTGGCCCCCTCTCGTCGCCATTTTCTGCTATCTTTCCCCGGATTCTCACTCTCTGCATTGGTGATCTTCACTATGATGTTCTACGGTGTTATTTCCCTGCTCCATTCTGTTCTGCAACGGGGATGCAAATGGATACCCTAATTAGCCACGGCAACATGGCTACTTAATGCAATACCAGCACCCACTGTTCCTGGCTCCCTGAACCCTGCAATCTTCATCCGCATAATACCAGCAGAAACGAGAGGGCTATGCTGGTTTTCTTTTTGCTTCATCTAGTCTTTGCGTGTTCCATAATCGACGAGGGCCAAGAACGAAGCAGATAGATAGACAGCGCTCAGCTTGTTGGGATGGATATGTGTGACCGTCCATGGGATCCTTGACGAGCCATATACTTAGGACGGTAGGTGGGCAGGTAGGTGGTTCGACGAATATCAAATGGATGCTCTTATTCTTGTATGAGGTGGGAGGATCGTCTGGAGAAGAGAGGGACAGGATACATGTATCAGTCCTCCTCCTCCTCTCTACCCATCCCGCCTATTTAAACGTCCATCTCTTCAGCCAGCTCTCTTCTTCAGCTATCTACTTTCTTCTATCAGCTGTCTGGTACCTTCACTCTCTTTACTCACCACTATAATAAAACCCCCTTCCCTTCTATACTCTCCCTATTGTAACCCAGTCAATACTACCAAAATGCACTTCACAGCCTTCCAACTCGCGCTGGCCGCCGCCCTCTTCTCAACGGCAACTATCGCGGCGCCGGCGCCCATGTCCTTCATCCCCACCAAAGTCAGCATCGTCGAGCCGGGCAAGGCGTTCCAGCCCCGAGCTCCGGTGCCTGCTCCCGAGGCTACGGGGTGAGTTCACCCGGTATCTTTGTTCTCTCATGAATACGTACAAGAGACAGGGCAGCTGACATGTTCAAACAGTGGAGCAGCAGGTGATCTCTCCTCCCTCCTAGGCGGCCAGACAGGCGGGACGTGAGTTCTCCTTTCATTTCCCTTTCTCCCTTCCCTCCCTCTTCCCTTCTTCCTCCCCAGAACCGCACGGACTTATAACATCACCACCGCAATCAAGAAATCCAAGCTAATTTCCATCCCAGAGCCAGCGACACAGGCGGCCTGGACCAACTCCTAGGCGGTCTCACCGGTGGGACCGCAGCAGGAGACGCAACACCCACAGGCGGTCTGGACCAGCTCCTCGGCAGCCTTACCGGTGGCGGTGCCGCGGCAGCGACACCTACTGGGAATGCTGCGGCGGGAGGCGCAGATGGGTTGAGCCAGTTGCTTGGTGGTTTGGGTGGAGCAAGACGGAATCGTCGACAAGTGCCTGCTGTGTCGGCGGTAACGGATGATGAGGAGGAAGATGAAGAGGCGTTTACGCCTGCTGTTCCTGGAGCTCCTGCTGCAACTACAGAGCGGGAGGATGACGACTAAATGATTGTTGGAAGACAGGGAAGTAGTCGAGATTTGCTGAGGAAAAAAGGCCATTCCCAGTTTATTATTTTGCAAATTAGGAGCGTTCGTTTGACATTGGCCTGCTGAATCATGACAGCGTTTCTCGGCCATGATGAATCTGAGTTGGAAGTTGATGATCAAGTCATCGATTCTCGTAGGGCCCTGGGTCTGGCAGGCCCTGGATAACAACACTTTATGTCTATCAATATCTAAACGTTCTTCTCCCAGGTAAATTTGAGAATCGCTGTGACCTGTGACTTTTCGATTCGTTGAAGCGGAGTTGCTTGTGTAATTCATCTTATTGGGGACACCGTGCTGCCATTCCACATGGCGGCCATCATATCGTATGTTTCCCGGTTGTATCTCATCGTACGTGATGGACCGGGGGGTAAATATGTGCCTTCTCATACACACCGCTCTACAACCAAGTTGATTACATGTGTGGCCCGGCCTCCAGCGTCAACACCAATTCTTACATGTAGTAAACATTCATTCAAATCCCCGGTGGAGGTTCATCATCCTGTCCCTCCCCGTCGAGTATCGTCCGCCTGCGAGGGCGACCCTTTGTTTCCGCCGGCCCATCTACACCGGTCGCCGTGGCTCCGTCCTGATCCGCCTTCTCCTTCTCTGATTCCTTCTGTCTCTTCGAATCAAATCTCTTGCGCACTGCATCAATCATTTTGATAAACCAGTAAAAGTTGAGCGAGTTCAAAGTCAGGTTGGCCGCGATATAAACGGCAGCCAACCACAAGGGGATGCTGGAAGACTCGGAGGCGAACTGCATGGTTGTTTCATATCGAACTGGAACAGAGATTTTCTGAACAACATCGGCAGAGGTCGGTATGAGGCTCGGGGTGTTGTTCAGAGCCGCCCATACATCACTCGCAACTCTGTAGGATGAGTAGGTGCCCCAGACAAGGCGGCACGAGAAGAAGGTGACGATGAGCATGATTCCGTTGTACAGCTGGCCTTTGGACCCCGTCATGCCGAGCTTGTCGAAAAACCAGTGGATGTTGAGGAAAGGCGAGGAGAGCTCCCACAGTATGAAGGTGGTGCTGTAATAATTGACAAATGGTCGCTAGCACCTTTGTTAGTCTCCGACAGCCTTCCCAGCTAAGTCGATGAATTGATTGCACTTACAAACCCAAGCGAGTACACACACAGAGCACTAATAGCATGTGCAAGCATGCCCAACCCAAAGATATTCATATGCGTAATCGTCATGAGAAAATCCCACAGAAAGTAGCCAGCCGCAAGAGCCTGAATCATACCCGCAGCGCCAGAATACCCATACACGCGCTCTTGCACATCCATATTCCACCGTTCTTCATCCGTAAACATGACCCAGAGCGCCAAGCAGTTGATCATGCTGCTCTGCACGAAGGACACGACGTGGACATTCCAGTTGAGCCGCTTGCTCCGGGACAGGCTCGTGTATCTGGTCGAGAAGACGGCGGTCGATAATATGGGCGCCGCCATCATGATGCTCTGGTAGAATGCGGCGATCAGCAGCACTTCGTGGATGTGCAAGGGCAGCGTCGGGAGATTGAGGTAGTCGGCCCATGGTTGGATCGCCTTGGAGAGGGCGGGAATCGGGGAGATGGGGAATGGGTCCCGCATCTTTGCGATTCGAGCTGAGGCCGTATCGCGCTCAGATGTGCGGTCGGATCGCAGTATGTCAAGATTCGTGCCGGTGACGTCTATGCGAGGGCTCCGAGATTTTGCGATCAGCCTCAAGAAGCTGAAGTCTCCTGGCACTCACGCTCACGGCTGGATGGTTACAGATTTGGACACCAGCCTCGGTCTATTGGAAGTCCTTCCAGTCTTTTTAATATCGTCAGAGTGCTATAATTGGCGCCTACTCAGGCGGATTGTTGTAAGTCAGATGGGTTGACAGCCTGATGAGTATCAAGTAGCGCGTGCTTGCACCCGCGTGACAAGGATGACTCCAGAGGAAGACCTGGGGTAGCGCTGGTCAAGAGAACCAACTGGCCACGCCACGGGCTGTAATAGTCCAAGCTTAAAGTGAACGAAAACAAAAAAAAAATGTCGTTCTCCTAATTCAGACTGGCAGCGGCCTAGGTATTTAAAGTTTCTATGCAGAGTCGCGAGTCCTGCGTCTTGCAGGTAGGCAGTTTCCTATTTCTGATATAGTCCTGACCTGGACGTCCACTTGTCGCTCAATTTTTTTGTTGGGACGCTTGCGACACGAACTGGACCCCTGGTGGGAGGGGATCCCAAGATCCCCAATCGCATGCGGGGCGGGGAGGGGTCCGCGGCTGCTTGGAGACCCGGTTTGCCGTCTTGCCGTTTCGGACAGCTGGTTCTTGATACCCACGCCGACTACGAAGCTGGACTGCTGGAGACGCTTCCAATGTGAGGTTCACGGCTGAAGGAAGCTCGAATGGCCATGTTCTGGCATCGCAGAGTACAGAGCCTCATATCTCAAGCACACAACTCAGGTAACACCATCGCAATCTTGCTTGTACAAAATTCAAACTTCAAAGGCACCCGAGGACTGCATTAGCGGCAAACGCCTGCATCGGACAAACACAGCACTGAGAGCAACATAATTGCTGTTCTGTCACAGCAAGGACAAGCGTGGACGTCGTGGGATGGATGCACACCTCCTGCAACGGTGATTAGTGGGAGCACCAAAGCTGGCTTAACACCTTATCCGTTTTCATTTTCCCGTTTCTCTTTGCGAAAATGGCTGACCTTCTCTATGAGCTGCTGGTGTCTTCCTCAGGCGATGACTGGCCTCGAACAGCGGACCCCGTGGCCCTGGAATACCTGTCCAACTTGGCATCATCACCCCTTTCCGCACTCGAGTCATCTGAACCACAAACTCTGGCTCAGAATTCGCACACCCTCCTCCTCTCATTGCAAGCCCTGTCCAAACGGTCACACAAATCCATCATAGACTCCGCTTTCAATCATGCAAACCTACGGACTGCATTACCTGCATTAGCTGCCTCAACAGCCGATCTCAAGAGCGCAATACCGAGGCTGGACAACGAAGCAGTGCGGTTCTCGACAACATATCACAAGTCAGGCGAAAATGAGATTCTCAACGCCCGGAAGAGAGCTCTACTGCTCTCGAGGAACGTAGAACGACTTGTCGACGTGCTGGACCTGCCCACCCTCCTCTCATCAGCCGTCACAAGTGGCTCCTCCACAGCGGCCGCGAACTACGCCTCGGCTCTCGACCTGAACGGACACATCAGACGGCTATCATCCTTGTATCCCGACTCGCATCTGGTCAATTCCGTGTCAACCCAGTCGGACGAGGCAATGCAAACCATGGCCACGAATCTGATCTCGAGTCTGCGCACGCCCAGTCTAAAACTCGCATCCGCGTTACGGACCATCAGCTGGCTCCGCCGCGTCATCCCGGACCTAGACCCCGCCGGCGCAGCCGGAAACGGCGGTGGTTTGGGAGCTCTGTTCCTCGTGTGCCGCCTGGCAACGCTCATGAACATGCTAGCTGCGCTGGAGCCGCTGAGGGAGCTGGCCGACCAGGAGAAGGTCAAACAGCAGCAGAACGCGGCGGGGAGTGCTTGGTCGGGGGGCCAGCAGACGGAGCGGTATCTCAAGAGGTATATCGAGATATTTCGGGAGCAGAGTTTTGCGATTGTGTCCATGTTCAGGAGCGTGTTCCCCCCGGCGTCCAACGCGCAGAGTAGCATGAGAGTTGCGGCGAAGGAGTCGGATCCCTTGCAGCCGGTCCCGTCGGCCCTGTCGATGTTTCCGTTGTATTTGGTGGAGATGCTCATGGAGACTTTGAGGGTGTATATGCCCAATGTGAAAGATCAGGCCTCGAGGGACAGCCTGCTGACTCAAGTGCTTTATTGTGCTGGTAGTCTGGGTAGACTCGGGGGAGACTTTGGGGTTCTGCTGGCGAGCTTGGATGTTGGGGAGGAGGCGGAGGATGAATGGGTGGAAGTAGTCAAGCGTCACAAGGCTATGGCTGGGCGGTTGGAGTCTATTGTGGGTGGTAAGAATAAAGGCTCACCGGTAGTTTCTACAAGGGCTTGATAGAAAAATGGATGAGTAACAGTTACCACAGACTAGGTCGTCACTGAACAGTAATTGTGGTTTGATTGCCAGCGATGAAGCGTTGCATGCCGTTATACGAATCTACTAGCAGGACTACATGGCTTATTGGATGTGTCCAAATTCAATCACTTTTCACTTTTACCCTTTCAGAAAAAGACCCCGAGCCAGCGACTAGGTATCCCGTACCTTTATTTAGCCGACTTCAATTAGAACCGATTTAAGAGTTGCACCTGGCTTAAGTAAGTGCGCCGCCAACAAAGTTGATTAGTCCTGCATTTGATGACATCACTTGGAGAGCTTTCCGCATCGTCCGAACAATCGGGACCACTTTATTACCCAAAAAAGTCAGCCTCATCATGAGAAGGAGTTGAACGAATTCTCCGCGAATAAGTCGGCAATTGCACCCGTGGCTTGCGACTGTTAATGGCGCCGTCGGACAAGAAGCTCGTCGGTCTGTGTACGGGCTACATGATATAACAGCCGTATGGACGACTGAAAGAGAACAAGGACCCCCTCATCCCCATTTTCTGGCACCCGTCCAGAACTACGAAATGTCGAATGGTTCCCGCTCCTCCAATGCATCTTCGTCAAGTACTTCATTCTTTTCTTAGTCCTCTCTTGAGCTTGTCTGTCTTTCCTAAAAGCAGTCATATAACATTACAAATCCCAAGACGATGATCTAACGAACTACACAAAACAGAAGCCTTCCATTTCGCCGCCGGCCTCGGCTCCGGCACGCTAAGCGCCATCCTCCTACAACCCATTGACCTACTCAAAACCCGCGTCCAACAATCCGATTCTCAATCCGTTCTGTCCACCATCCGCTCCATCGCCCAGCGATCCCCCAACGCCATTTCGGCCTTTTGGCGCGGCACCGTTCCTTCGACGCTGCGCACAGGCTTCGGATCAGCTATATACTTTAGTACGCTCAACACGATCAGGCAACATGTCGCTGCTCCTTTGTCTACCCTGACCGTCTCCGCCGGCGGTAAAGATGGGGGAGGCAGACGAAGGGGGTATTCATCGTCAAGCTCGTCGTTGCCGAAATTATCCAACACTGCCAACCTCGCCTCGGGCGCGGTGGCCCGCGCCTTCGCAGGCATGGTCCTGATGCCCCTAACCGTGATCAAAGTGCGCTACGAGTCGAACCTGTACGCGTACACCTCTCTCGCGGGGGCAGTAACGGACATTTACCGAACAGAGCGACTGCGCGGGTTCTTCGCCGGGTTCGGAGCGACGGCCGTCCGCGATGCGCCGTACGCTGGGCTATACGTTTTGTTTTATGAGCAATTCAAGAAACGGCTCAGTTCATTCTTCCACAAAGACGGGCAAGATACTGATGGGCACAACGGCAAGAATCATGATATGAGGGCCATGAAGACATCCCTCTCCGCATCTATTAATTTCAGTTCTGGCGCCCTAGCAAGTGCAACATGCTCATTCCTTACGAACCCGTTCGACGCCATTAAGACGCGGATCCAGCTGCAGCCGTTAAACTATACAAACACGCTGCAGGCGGGGCGGCGCATGGTAGTCGAGGAAGGGTTCCGGTCGCTGTACGACGGGCTGGCGCTGCGCATGGCCCGGAAGGCTATGAGTTCCGCGCTTGCTTGGATGTTGTACGAGGAGTTAATCCGGAGGGCTGAAACTACGTGGAATAATCATCGCAATGAAGAGGGCAAGGGGCATTTGTGACGACAACATATTAGATTATCTCCAGGACGAAAGCCAAGGCCAGGCCTGCCGGATCGAAGTAAAAGTGGAGGGGAAATTCTCAACTCGGAAAATCATCAAGCATTATAAAATCTCAAAATCCGTTACATACAAACGCCTTAGTATATATATTAAGATATATCATCATCCCGCCAACCAACCATGAAATCACTGTGCTGCCACTGCTGTCCACTTTTACGCTGGCTTCGCCCCGGCCAGATACATCAGCAAAGATGGCGACTTGCTCCTCCTGCGCTCCTTCTTGCGCACCCACTCGAAATTATCATCCCCGAGGTGGTGGTGCTTCTTTTTGTCCTCGATGGTCATAACGAGCTTGCCCGACCGCTGTTCGCGAAGGATTTTGGTGTGCCGCCAGAGCATGTCCTGCTCGCCCTCCGTCACCCACCGCTTGATAATGACGAATTCGGGGTCCTGGTGGGTATTACCGCGTCAGCAAATGTGCAAATGCAAATACAAACACAAAAAGGAAGAAAGGATCGGAGATGACTTACAACATCAAGTTGGTAATCAATATTGTAAACCCGCAGCGTCTCAATGGACAGATGTCTCCGTGCCATGCGTGTGTACGTTGGACGGTTATCCTCAACGATCAGGGGACCCTCTGGTTTCCTGTTCTCCTTCTCCTTTTCCTTTTCCTTTTCTTTTTCCTTCTCAATCTTCTTTCCGGCCAGGATGGCGGCGATCTCCTTCTCGCCCAAGCCCGACTTGAGCAGCTGCTCGTGCATCTTCTGCTTGTACTCGCGTTCCTTCTGCTCGCGCTCCGTCTTCTCGCGCAGCTCCCGCTCCGCCTGCTCCCTCTTGTACTTTTCGACGGCCGCCTTGGCCTCCTTGTCGCGACGCATTTTCTCGGCAGCCTCTTCTTCTTCTTTGCGCAGGCGCTCCAGCTCGAGCTAGTGGAAGGATGCAAGTTAGATGAAGGTTTTCCATATACAGCAAAATTTCAGGGGGTTAACAAACCTTCTGCTTGATACGCCGCTCCTGGTCCTCGCGTTCGCGCTTCCGTCGGATCTCATCTAGTTCCTTCTTGGCCTCACGCAGTTCGCGCTCCTCTTCGTACGTCTTGTTACGAATCTTGTCTTCTTTCTCAATCTGCTTCATGAGCTTCATTTCTGTGCAAATACGGATGTCAGCGATCAATACTCGGAACTCTGACTCAGGAGGGCCACATCGTCATGTCTTCGGGACTCTTCTCTGCGCATTCCACCGCACCTGGAACAACCGACAGGAAAGGGGAAAAGGGGTATTGAGGCTTCTTACCCTTCAGCTCATTCTGTGCGCGCTGAAACTCATACTCTTGCAGGGCCTTAGCGCGCTCCTTCTCCTTCAACTTTTCCAACTCCTTCTCCCGGTCAGAGCGATCACGGGCCTTGGAGCGCTCTTTTTCCCGCTCCCTTTCCAGTTCCCTTTCCAGTTCCTTCTCCCGCACATAACGGTCACGGTAGTCACGATGATCACGATGGTAGTCATGGCGGTCATGACGCTCATACTGGTATGAGGACGTGGAAGACCCTCCGCGCGAGTGCGACCGGTGGCTCTTCGCGACCTGTAGGCGGCCGTGGCGGTAGTCTGAGTCGGATTCCGAGTCTGAGTCCGAGTGGTTGTTGATGTGGTTGTTTATGATAATGGGAGGACCAGACTGGGTCGCCGGCGCCGTGCTGCGGGCACTGGACGAGCTTGAGTGACGGCGATGGCGGCGGTCCCGGGACCGAGACGACGACCGGGTCATGACTAAGGCACGATCATGCGTTTCAGGGACCAAAAAACGATCGGGAGCTTCATAGTAGCGAGGACGAGGCGCGACATAGCTCGCGATGGGCGCCCGTGCCGGTGGCGGCGCTGGCGAACGGCCCCGGTGACGAGTGACGTGAATGTCGAGGTCCGACTCATCGTCCGAAGGGTAGCCTCGATAGTGACTCATAGTGAGAGGCACGCGATATCAGATATGCCCCACAAACCTCACTCAATGAAGCTGAGCTCTTAGCGTATGATATTGGAGCGTGACGCTTTGAGACAGATCTCCTTCTCAGAGTAGAGTTCGCGAGAAAAAAGAATCAAAGTGTGGGAAGAGGAAGTAGAGGGGGCCGTCAGCATTTTTGACGGTATGAGTGAGAGTGGGGTGCTGACCATTTCTTCATCTTACTTGTCACGGCGGCCAACCTGCATGCGCATAGTCTGTCTTGCTGGACAAGACCGGCCAGCATTAAAGGTCCGGCGCCACTCACATGCCGCCTCCAAATCATTGAGTGCTTATATGAACAAATAGCACAGCAAGTTTAAAAGACCAGGTAGTTAATACCGTACGGGGGTCATTCCATATCTTCAGGTGCTAAGCCAGGAGTACCTCGTCGAGTTTGAGTATGCGCCGGTGTAGGCGGCTATGCTCAGCTTGGGGTACCTGGCTTCAGTAGACCGGCTTAGCGTTACGTATGATAGGGTGCTTGTCCGATCGAAACGGAAGGATTTGGGGGCTAAAAAGGGCTACATGGGTCATGGTTGCGTGGTTTGGTGTAGTGTAAGCCGTCCCCCAGTCCGCAGGAACGGCTGAAGGATGGTGGTAGCCGGCCATCCCAACCTACAAGCGTTGCATAATTAGGATGGAGGGGCAAAGGAGGGGTCAAGTTAGGCAGGGGGTCTGCAACCAAGTAGCAAAGCCCGACCGAGCACAACGTTCTGTCACCCGAAACTGTGGATGCGTGTTTGGCGGTCAGCCTGCTGCAGCTCTGAGAGGATGGGTTTTGCGGTCAAGGAGGGTATGTGTTTGCTGTACTGCGCACGTATGTAGAGCTGTGGTCCTTGAAAAGGTGCCCCATCAGCGACATGAGCTGGCTGTGCTTTAGCTTCAAATCGTGCGATGCCTTGGCGGTCGTCTCATAGGGCTGGGATGTTCTCAGTCCCCGTCCAACTGTTTCGGCGGACACACTGGGCATCCCTGTTTCCAGCTCCATAAGTCGGGAAATTGGAGAAATGATCTCTTGCAACAGCAATAAATTGTGCAACAGTTGGATTCGGTGCCCATGTCGAGGATTGAAAGACAGGTAGAGCAGTAGACATGATTTTAAGTAGCCGCAACCCTCTTTAAAATCTCAGCCTATCACACCGTCCTGACCCACTCATAAGCTGCTAAACTCAACTGAGCGTTTTGTGCAGCCATGCATCTGGCCGCTTGGTTATCTTCCCACCGATCAATTCAAGACTAGAAATGATTTTGCGTCATTGTAGACTCGCATATGAAATTTGTCTACACTTTTACAGTAAGGAGCAGTTGACGAAACGTCTAAGCTTCTCGGACAATAGTAGCTCGAACGACGTTCATCTCCCTGTTGAACCTCATCAACGCTTCACAATTGGGCATTAGTGCACGTGAGTGAAGCCCCAAAACACCAAAATTCTGGATCACATCGATTCTGCACAACAGTAGCAACCCGCAATGTGTAGCCTGCTTCTTTGACACCGCCTATAAAAATCTTGTTGTAATCTCATCGCCATAGCCGGATACAACATTGCCAAATAAGTCGGCGTTCCACATGTGCCTGCCCTCACAGAAGAATCCCAGAGCCATCTCAAGCAGCCGCAGCGCCAGCACCTCCCAATATCCGATCAATATGCTGCTTGCTATTCTTCTGCGTGATCTCTAATGACTGCAACTTCTTTCCTAGTCCCTCGACCTCTTTCTGCACATCTTTGATCTGGCCATCCAACTTCTCCTTGAGCACGGGCACGGGTAGTGCCACAAACCTGTTCCACGCGCACATGAATTAGCATCATCATCCTCAAAAAGAGGAAGGGAAAATGAGTAGTAAATCTGCCAACCAACATTTTCCCAACACCCTCATAAACACCTGTATCCGGTGGCAACGTTGACATCTCGGTGCGCGTCAACTGCGCCATGCGCAGCTCCCGCTGCTTGGACGCCTGCTGTGTCCGCACGAGCGAGATCTGCTGTTGGGCCACGAGGGCCTGTGTTTCGATTTCTCGCACCAGCTGTGATTTTTGTGGTTTCGCATCAGCCTCAATTTAATGTCCATGAGCAAGGATTGGTTCGAGTTTCTCAGCATGTGCATAGCCCCAACCAAGCAAGTGCGGGAAGGAACGGTCATGCGTAGATGATGATGATGGCGTGCAACACACACGCACCTTTTGCAGTGCCTCGTTGGATATAGACATCTTGACTCTCAATTAACGATGAGATTTAATGTGTGTGGCAACGAAGAAGAAGGGCGAAAGAGGGCTTCGAGTAATCGTGAGTTGTCAAGGCAGCGTTTGAGATGCCGTCGTTGGAGCTATCGGTCGAGGAAGGCACGGGCCAAGTCTCTGAGTTTGAAGACAAAAGGGGCCGCTACTAGGTAGGCTGGGTGAAAATGCGTGGCTTGAAAGCTGCATGAACAAGAAAACACAATTACACAATTGATTCATCAAAGCCAACAGGTTATTCTAGGCCATATCCCAGAGACTATTTTCTTGGTGTTTCAAAATCAGGTACTCGGCACACACCATGAGTGCTTCAGAATTCATCAATTTGGTGCCATCATGGCATACACATACATACAGTTCTACCCGACTTGCCCAAAGACCGTAAAGGCCTTGCGATTCTATCACAAATTCTAATCGCCAGTGAAGTTCCATCAAGACCCGCAGCCAGGTGAGTAGACCCGGTATAAGTTAGTTATTTCACCTGGATGCGCTATTTATCTGTTGCCCACTTGAACCCCGACCTAATGTTTGATCTTGCTGCCTGGTTCCCCCTCTGACCTCTATTAAGGCCATAGAGCACGTCGTTATAGCGACTTCTTTCCATTCGTAACCCTACCATTCGATCTCTTGTCATCCTTCAGACTAATATGGTCGACAGCAACGATGTCCGGCATGCTGAACATGTTCGGCCAATTTAATCGAAATTTGTCTTCGTCGCCATCTAGGCAGCGATGAATCCATATGCGCCAGGTGATGTAGTAGTATGCTAAAAGCAGGTCAGTTCACATGAAAATACACCAAATAAACCTCATACAAAACGACGCTGCAACCCGAGCTTAGAAAATTGTAGAAAGGCATAACTCACCACCTATGTACCGTTAGCAGGGAGTTCACTCACAAGGAAAAAGGATATGATCATGGGGGAACTCACCAATACCCGTCATTAAATGCCACCAAGCATGGCCCTCTAGCACAACCGCCCAGGGGAGCTGTATATGATGTCTCCATCCACGAATAGTATTACAAAACTCATTGTCTAGCGCCCAGATCAAGTAGCCTCCTAGAAAGATACTAAGGCCTAGTAATAGGCGGTGTCAGCTTACATCACCACAATTAGATGAACCCTTCGTTACCTGTCGCCACCATGTGCCACATCTGCTTCATAATGACATCGGTTGGTGGAACTGAAGAGGCGGCAGGTCTTTTCTCTTGGCGAGCCTTTAGAGCTGGTCGTACCCGTCGCTCCATTATCCACATATTGGAAAAAACGACGGTAACAGTCAACACGGTGTAAGCGTCCTGGTGAAACTTGGGGTCCTTCGTCTTATGATACCATGCCTGGGGAGCGTAAGCGTCGTCACAATGCCAGTGTTTCGGCGGGGTGAATCCTGGGACGTACTGTGATGAACCAAGCAAGGCCGATAAGTCCGATGCCGAGCAATGCAGAGAAACCAGTGGATCTGCGGTATGCAAAAGTCGCATAGCACATAAAACAGGTCGTATAGATCATGGAAAGCTCGTCAACCAGTTGCATAGGATCTGTTGGTGTCAGAAAAGCATGATGCATTTCCAGGAGCGGGCAAACATACACTTCAGGGAGGCATGGAAGAGCGTCGAGCCTATACCGACTACCATATACCCAATGAAGGCAACGACGAATATAGCAGGATGGGAGTTCTTGGTACACCCTCGGATACCTCTGGTGCCTAGCCAGACGAAGAGAAAATTGGTGAGTGTCTTCCACCAGATTAGCACATACCCGGCCCAAGTTCCTGGATCAGGTACCTACATTGCAGACTTCGGCACAGTAGTAGCTCATTACATAATCCTCCTCGCAGAAGTTCAGGGTAGAAGTCTTCTCACCCCAGAAGCCATCCTGCGCCGGGTGGTACGGAAAGCTGAGAGCCTCAAACATGACTGTGGCAGCCCGTCGAGCCGTTTTTCGGGTTCGATATGCGGTCGTTCTTCCATGCACGAACAAAGATGTTAGAAGCAGCGAAGGATAGAATAGTGTAACGAGAACCCGTGGTGTTTTGGTTTATGTGGTTTTGAATTGGTTGCGTCTGTCCGTTATTAGTGAATATGGAATTCTACTGAATTTAAAGCACTTCATATGAGAACAGGGAGGACGCAGATGGGTGAAGCTAGATCATCGCTTTGGCTGTGCTTGACTTGATGTGAACATGGGTTGTATGCTGAAAAGGAAGTAATTTTCAAGATGACATTTTGAAGCAGAACGAGTCGCTAGTTACAATGCTTACAAGCTCCTGCAGTCCCGTAATACCGGCCAGTTTTTCAAGATTCCTGTTTGGGAAGCAAGAAGTGACGACAGACGAACCCCACTGCGATTAAGTATCGAGAAATATTGCATTTTGATCGAGTATGCATTTATCCAAACCCCGCCCCCGAGCTGCAGCTGCTCAAGTGAGCTAGTTGCCTGGGCGCTGACGTGCTCGGCAAGCCTAATTTGCAGCAACAGCGGCCGAACTAATCATACTTTTTTGTATCGTGTCTGAAGCGTCGTCAAATGTTGCGCCTCGAGCCAATTTCCCAAGTATGCTCGTAGAATCCTTCCCGCGATATCCCAAAATAGCCGGCCACATTAGTGACCACAATACCTACTCTGCGTCAGTGTCAACTTGGTCAAGATTTGGTTACTTGTAGTCTCAAGTAACTACCTAAATACGTACGGCGTTCTCGGTTCCCTTGCGCTACGGAAGCTGGGTGTGTCTGACGTTGCTCTTGTCACAGGCTGGAGGCTTCTCAATCTCCTCACAGCAGCTGCCATTGGGAAAGTAATAATACTGAAGGACTGGTTTCATAGACACAGTCGCACTTCGAATTAGACAAACGACTACTGCGGCATCACGGTACCTTACATCGACACAAAACCCGCCCCTCTGTTGCAGTGCCACAGGGACGGCCGCCGAGCAAACCCAAACCCGAATCTTCCGCTGAGCTGTCCTCTATACCTACAATGCGCCGCCATTGCCGTCGAATCTACCAACAGACCGCTGCACAGGGTTCCTTTTAGTTTGAAGTGGGAATTGGGAGTTCTGTTCAACCTCAGTAATACCCAATTGCGATCACAATGTCAGCTCCGAAAGGCTCAAGATGGGGTTCCTTTCTATCACAGGCTGTCGCCGGAGTCGAGGCACGCCTTGACAACATTTTATCCGAAGAAGAGCAAGCGAAGCAGCAAGCGCCCTCAAGACCGTTGTCCGCAGCTTCGTCCAGACCAGCCTCGACCATCGGAAAGTCAACTAATGACAGACTGCAAGAGAGACTGGCGCGGGCCGTCGCGGCGAAGAACGCAGCTACATCGAACCAGCCAAGGACGAGTAACGAGCAGAGCCCTCGACCCAGTACAGATAATGCGAGTGTCGTCTCATCCGTTCAGTTGGCTTCCCAAAGCCCACGATCCAGCCTCGCTAAGGACGAGGCGCCAGCCCAGGAACTCGGCACAGCAACCGAGAAGGAGCCGTACCAACCGCCGTCAATGGCATTGCCAACAAATGGTGACTCAATCGCGGGTGACTCGCCTCGGGCCTCAACTCAAGAAGAGCCCGCAGAATCTGTAGAACTAGCGTCAGTCCCGGAAGCGCCGGTCCCTACGCCAACACCAAAGGAAGAGGTTGTACCTGTATCACTGGCGACCAGTGAAAAGATTGGGTTGTCCTTTGACTTATACGAGAAACGGATACAAGAACTAGAGAAGACGCTGGAGGATACCCAGCTGCAGCATCAGGAGGAGCTGCATAGCCAGGTGGAGCAAGTTGATGCACTTCAAGCCAAGCTACAATACCTAGCGCGCGAGGCGACCGAGGCCGCAAGGAAGAATGCTTCGGCTGCTTCTGCAGGCAGCCTTGAGAAGAAGGTCGCCGAGAAGGATCAACAAGTTGCTCAATTAATGGAGGAAGGCCAGAAGCTTGCCGGCAATGAGCAGAAACTACGTGCCGTTATCAAGAAGCTGCGGACTCAGATCGCCGCCGACGAGAAGGAGCTCAATGAGCAAAAGATTTGGCGTCAGAAGGCCGAGGCTGAAATCATCAACCTACGAGACATGTCTCGTATTGTGGATGAGTCCAGAAAGGCCAACGACGACTGCCACAAGCAAATCAGTCAACTGAAGAGGGAACTGGACCTGGCAAGTTCCGGTGCATCTTCCAAGGATTCAACCATCTCCGATTTGAAAATGCAATTGCAAGAGGAATCGGAACGGGCGAAGGCGTTGACGGCTAAAGTCAACGATCAGGTCAGGGAGGCTGGTCAGCAACGTGTCAAAGACTTGGAGGATCAAGTAGCAGCTCTCGAGCTAGAGAAGAACCTCGTCGCAGATAGGGCGAGACTCCAGGCTGCAGAGCTGCGCGAGAAGGCCGAAAGAGCAGCCGAACGTTCACGGGCGGTTGAGCTAGAGATGAAGGGTGAAGTACAGATATTAGAGAGCAAACTTGAGGCAGTCCGAGCCAGGGCAGAAGAAGCTTCTTCAGGTGCTGTTGGTGATGCCCAAGCCAAGCTGCTGCGGCAGATCGAAACCCTACAGACCCAATATTCTATAGCCAGTGAGAACTGGCAAGGGATGGAGGCATCGCTGGCTGCTCGGGCTGCAAGTCTAGAAAAAGAAAGGGATGAAGCATTGCGTCGAGAATCCGAAATGAGAAGAAAGGCCCGAGAAACTGTAAGTGCCGTAGACTTAGCTTCTGTGGCACGACATGACATGAGCTAATTGCTTACCAGGCTGCCCGTGCCAAACGTCAGGAAGAGGAACTGGAAGAGGCCAAGTCCAGCCTTCCCAATGTTCAGCGGGATCTCTCAGATCACCGGTCGCAACTCGAAAAGCTGCAGAAGAGAGCCGAGGAGGCTGAAGCTGCACTCGTTGAAGCAAAGGCAGACTTTGACAAACAGAGGCAAGCCTGGAAGGAAGAAAATGCAGACAAGACGAGCCAAGAACGCCGACCATGGTTGGAAGAAGTTGCCCTACGGAGTAACAGCAGGCCAGCTTCTCCGTTAATGTCAGCTCCGCAAAGAGGCTTCAGCAGCGATTATCTTGGGTTACAAGGCTTTCCCATGAAGCTGCGCAAGACCTCGGCACCGTCAAGCAACGGTGATCATAGTCCGATCGACCGACCCGCGTCTTTGATGAGGCGGCCTTCACAACAGCCCCCTCAATCCCGGCCATCCCTTTTCTCAAACTCTTCTGTTCTAACTGGAACAACAACCCCCTCCATGTTCGGGGCCGAAATGGTTGGCTCACCACGCCAACATCCCGTAGAGCGCGACGATTCCCTGTTCGACGGAGCCGAAACCTCAGCATCTCCCCACAACGTCCTCCAGGACATGGTGTCCGTGTCCACCATCGCCGCCGGCCCCTCGGTGCAACTTGTAGAGCGCATGAGCGCCGCCATCCGGCGCCTGGAAAGCGAGAAAGTAGCCGCTAAGGAAGAACTAGCACGGATATCCGGACAGCGGGATGAGGCGCGTGCGGAGATCGTAGCACTTATGAAGGAGGTGGAGGCGGGGAAGACGTCGGCCAAAAAGGTCGAGGATTTGGAGAAAGAGGTTGCTGTTATTAACGAGAGATACCAGACTACGCTTGAGATGCTGGGCGAGAAAAGCGAGTTGGTCGAGGAGTTGAGGGCCGACGTGGATGATGTTAAGGCTATGTATAGAGATCTGGTGGAACGGACGATCAAGTAGTAGGCGGGAGCTGCTTGATTGAGGATGCTCTAAAGAGGAATCCTGAAGCTACTGAAGCTACGTAAGCTACTTTTTGGCATGTGTACAGAGGCGCTTGCCACTGCCATGCCGGGTGTGGTGTGTGTGGTGTGGAACTAAACCTCACTCATTGGCCCTTTTGATGGCCATTCATTCATAAGTCGATCCCCTCGTTCTCTGCTTCTCGCGCGATGTACTTGCGCACCTATGAAATGTGAGCAATAGTATCCTTCAGTGTCACCACGCGTGTCATCTATCATGTGTCCACCTTTTCGTACAGTAGAAATCCTTCGTGTATCTAAGCAACGTACCTCTTTGTCCGGCGCCAAATCCAGAGCCAGAGACCCATCCGAATCACGCTTATCCGTCTCCGCTCCAGCCTTCAGGAGGGCAACCGCGGTATCTCCTATCATTACGTAAAGTCAGCACCCTTTACCGACCAAAACGCAAGAAAGAAATCGTCTCGGAACAGTCCAGCTATCTAACTTACCGTGTCCTTCGGCAACGGCATGGTGCAACGCCGTATACCCCGCGCTGTCGGTGGCGTTCAGGGGGCTCTTGTTCTTGAGCAACAGGTTGACCATAGGCGCTGACCCGATGGCGGCGGCGCGGTGGAGCGGGTATTGGCCCCTTTTGTCGCGGACGCGGGTTGATGCGGGTGGGGCATGGTCCAGTAGCATGCGGGCTACTTCGAGGTTGTTCTTGGAGGCTACGAAGTGGAGGGCGGACTATTCTTCATCTGAGCCTTGGATTAGTAGGGAGGGAGAAGGCAGGCTAGCCTACCTGGCCATTGTTGTCTATAGGTATGAGTTTCAGCGATGAATCTTGGCTGGTAGAGAAAGGGTTCGCCACATATACGTACTGGTTTGGTTCACGTCTGCTCCTTTCTTCAGGAGCAGGTCGACGAGCTTCTCGCAATTCTTGACGCTTACTGCGATCATGAGAGGTGTCCATCCGCTGTCGTCCTGTTTCATCATGAAATCAACGTGCTTATTGCATCGTCATGGTAGAGTTTCCCTGCCTACCTCGACATCTGGATCAAAACCCTTCTGATTCGCCAGCAGAAGGGCTATGTCTGTCTTGTTGGATGAGCAAGCCCAGTGGATGGGAAGGCGGCCATCCTCATCCTTGCAGCGGGCTAATTTTGGGTCTGCCTGCAGGGGCTTTTAGAGCCATGATGCAAAACATAGTCTGTCCTAGGATGAAGACTCACGTTCAACAGGGACTCGACTACAGTGACTAAAGATACGGAGACAACATTAGCGATGCGCTCGATTTCATCAGAATAGAAACGCACCTTTGCCCTCCCTTGCGGCGGCATGGATAGCGAACTTGGACTGGTCAACGTCCATTGTGTCTGCAGCTGATGTTGGGTCGATTAAGTGTTTGTAAGTTGCGGAAGGAGGGTGGGATTATTTGTAAGAAGCTGGGTGTTGCTGAGCTTCTACAGGCAACCACAGGCCGCGCCAACCATCAATCAGCGGCAAGATGACCAGGGGAATGACCAGTTCGGTAATTATCTGGAATGAAATGAGATACTGGCGTCGCAGTGGTTGAATGCTCTTGCCCTTGGATTCACGTCCCGACGTTTGTTGAAAGCTGTAAATTGGGGGGATGTAGGATGCGGTTACAAGAATCGAGTATTGCGAAATGAAACAACAAGCCAGCACCACTGTAAGCAACTCACAACTTGACTGCAGTTTCAGAAAAAGCACTAAATGAGGTGTTTAACCAATGTCCTCTAATTGACAGACTAACACCACTGCATTGTGAGTTACTACTACCATTACACTGCGAAACCCGCCGGTCATTGAACGCCATGTCAAATAATATGCAATACCGGGGGTAATGTTATACCGAGAAGGAAGCGAACCTCCAAAGAAATTGTAGGTCTCTCAAAGGCTACATTCAGGACAAGCATCCACTTCCAAGCTTGCGCTCAACGCCAAACTGTCGACTGACTGAAATACCCAGACTCGATCTCAACTTCAACCTCTGTTCCAACTCTAGAGTCGAAACTAAATCTGTTCCGCAATCTAGTGTCGCGCTTTCATCATGGAGGGCTCAATCCAGCCAGCCCTCAAGACCCTCATCTACGACAACGCGCGGACATCCAAGTCCCTTTTCGCCTCTGTTGACGGGGACATAGCACGGAAACGACAAAAACTCACCATAGATGCCGACCTCGAACGCGAGGCACTGTCCGTCCGTCTACACGCCGAGTATGCCGACCTCAAAGAGCTCCCGCCTGTGCTGGCGCAAAAACAAACGAGTGCCATGAATGCGCGAAAGAATCTTAAGAAGGGCAAAGCACCAGTAACCAATGGTGTCGTAGCCGCAGGATCAGAGGAGCAGAAGACACAGAAGCTGATCGAGGGCATCGCGGAGAAGGTAGCACCTAGTGGAACTGGCATTTCGACAGCCCTGGTACGGAGGGACAAGAGCACGCCGTTCGCTTCGACAGCGAGGGGAGACAGTACTACCGCGCAGACCCTGAGCGTAGCGCGTGCGCAGGCGACGCATCAGGTCAAACCGGACTGGCACCCACCGTGGAAGCTGATGAGGGTCATTTCGGGGCATCTGGGGTGGGTGCGGGCTCTAGCTGTCGAGCCAAACAACCAGTGGTTTGCCAGTGGAGCGGGAGACCGGACGATCAAGATCTGGGATCTAGCCACGGGCGGACTCAAACTGACTCTCACCGGGCACATATCATGCGTGCGAGGTCTCGCCATTTCCCCTCGCCATCCTTACCTCTTCTCCTGCGGCGAAGACAAAATGGTCAAGTGCTGGGACTTGGAAACCAACAAAGTGATCCGACACTACCATGGCCACCTCAGCGGCGTGTACACGCTATCGCTACATCCGACGCTCGACGTTCTTGTAACCGGCGGCCGCGATGGCGTCGCCCGCGTCTGGGACATGCGCACCAAGAGCAACATTCACGTGCTCTCGGGTCACAAGGGCACCGTCGCCGACGTGCGATGTCAGGCCGCTGACCCGCAGGTCATCACTGCCTCGCTCGATTCGACGGTGCGGCTGTGGGATCTGGCGGCGGGGAAGACCATGGGCGTGTTGACGCACCACAAAAAGGGCGTCAGGGCGCTGGCTTTGCACCCGAGCGAGTTTACTTTTGCGACGGGGAGCACGGGGAGTATAAAGCAGTGGAAGTGTCCCGAGGGCGCATTTATGCAGAACTTTGACGGGCATAACTCGATTATTAACTCGTTGGCTGCTAATGAGGATACGTTGTTTTCGGGAGGTGATAATGGGTCCATGAGTTTCTGGGATTGGAAGTCCGGGCATCGGTACCAGAGTCTGGACTCAATCGCGCAGCCGGGATCGCTGGATGCGGAGGCGGGTATCATGAGCTCGACGTTCGATCAGACGGGGATGCGGCTCATTGTCGGAGAGGCGGATAAGACCATCAAGATTTGGAAGCCGGATGATTCGGCGACGGAGGAGACGCATCCGTTGGAATGGAAGCCCAGCTTGGGGAGGCAGAAGTATTAGGGGGAAGTTTGGGTGCACCCGCGGCAGTGGGCGAAGGCGGCATATCTTGCAGAGAAAGAGGCCAGAAGAGGAAAGAATGGTGTCCAAATGCCAGGCTCAGTTTGTCTGCAACGGGAGCCACCACGTGTTTGTATTGTGTACATAAATAATCACCTAGAATGCTATACCCAAAGCCCTGATCTCAGGGTCATCCCGAAAAGCCAACTTGACCTCCTCATCGCCCACAGCTAGTCGTATCTTACTGGGCCGTTCGGGCCGCTGACCCTCCAAAATAATGATGCCCGCGCCCGTGAGGTCTACGGCCGCCGCACTCATCCCAGCCGCTCGCGGCATGCCCTTCATGTCGCGATGCCTCCTTGCCACGGTCGAGTCCGCGTCCGGACAAGGCCGTTTCGCGAGAAGCCTCATCCGCTTACTGCTCGAGTCCAGAACCATGGCCCGCCGCATCTCCTCTTGCACGTCGCCGACTGTGCTGTCTGGTAAGCCTGTGCGCTGGATTCTGACGAGGAGAGAGGCTAGGACTAGTTTGGATGCGAAGGGTAGGGCGCGTAGGTATTGCTGCAGCGGACTTGTCGTTGCCTCATTGATGGCTCGCTGTACTGTCGCAATGGTGACCCGCCCCTTGGAACTCTTCTTTTTGCCCTCGAGCTCTGCAGCTTTCTTCTTCTTACTTGGCGTTCCCGGGTCTGCTCCCTCCAGTTCAATCGCTTCCGCCTCAGCTAGCTCCACAGCCCGTCTACAGATGTCGAGCGCTCGTCTCGCATCCCCACTCACAGCAGCGACTTTGCGGCTCGCGAATTGTACAGCGTCAGGCTCGACGATATTCCCTGGCACGCCCTCAAGCCGCGACTGGATGATCTTCATCAACTGCTGGTGATCGTATCCAGGAAAGGTGACGCGCGTCAACCCCAACCGACTACTAATCTTGTTGCTAAGCGTTCTCTCAGGAAGGTCCATCGTGTTAGCAACCGCAAGTACAATAAGCCGCGAGTGCCGTAGTCCGGGCCAGTTGAAAAAATTATACATGACGCTCTGGTTCTTGGTGACGAGCTGGTCAAGCTCATCCATGAGCACGACGCAGGGCACGCGCCGCGGGCTCGGATTGTTGAACTCGCGCTCCAACAGATCGAGGGCCTGGCTTGGGCTCACGCGCTGTCCGCGCAGGGCTTCCCAGAGGAGCGAGTAGGATTGGTGCGGGTCTGTGATCTTCATGCCATTGATTTCGACGAAGATAAAGTCATCTAGCTCGTCGGACCGGACAGCGTCGTCTAGTCTGGACACGACCTCACGTACGGTGGCGGTTTTGCCGGTGCCTGGGGTACCGGAGATGTAGATACAGGCGCCGGATCCATCGGTGATGGCTGCCTCCAGATGGGAGTATACCAAAGAGAATTCTGATTCGCGGCAGGGAAGGCATGTTGGGACTGATGCGACGTGAAGCTGTGCCCTGGCTAGCTGGAATGGCGAATTCCGGTGGTGAGCTGGAGATAAAGTCCGAGTGGCCAAGGGAGTAAATTCCAAGGCCTTCTTCAGCACGACTTTGCGATTGGACGGAGTCACAATCTTTGTGGTCTTTTGTCTCTTCCTCGGCGTAACTGCTTCATGTTGTCCTCCTCTTCGCTGGACTTGACATTCGTCATCTACATCCACCTCATCATCGCCCTCGACGAAATCCGTCTCGAGGGCTGGCTCAACTTTGCGTTTCCTTCTCGTGGACTTGGTCTTTTTCTCAACAAACTCCAACAGTGCTAGTACGTCTTCTTCTCTCCCATTATACATGTCTTCCCACACGAACTCTTCAGTGTAACTCGTAGTTCTCAAATTGCAGCCCCGACGACATACGAAGGTCTTGTTGTGACCGGGAGAGTTTCGTGGGATCTTGCCGCCGGGGTACTTCTGTGCAAACTTTTCGGGAGACATGATGAAGGCCTTGCCATTGATGGAGGCTAGGGGGTTGACGTCGGTCGAAGGGGTGATGTATAGTTCGTTCTATGATAATCGTGTCAGTCTCGAGCCTAAGATGCAATCGTCTGTCGCATTTGGCCGCTTCTAAACAAAGACTCTACATACCCATTGGAAGTCCGACCTCTTCCTTTCCTTGTTCCTAATCTCCTTCTCTGTCGAAAACCACAGGAAGTTGGCCGCCTTGTCACCATCCTCGTCATCCTCAAAGAAGTCCATGATTAGGCCCACCCAAGCTTCATGAGACCCTTCAGCCTTGAGAAGCACGCAGTCGCCAATGTAGCATTCGAAGGTCCCCATGCGCGCACCCATTATGCTCAACTGCGACGCGTCGTCCCTTTTCCTCTTTCGCGCCGACTCGGTCCGGTCACATCGCGGCTGGTAGACCCATTCCCAGGGGTGGTCCTCAACGCCCAATTCATCGTCTGAATCATCTCTAGCGACACCGAGAGGTTGGGGGGTAGATTTTTGGCGTGTCATCGTCTGGTACTGAGATCAGTTTATCAATCGTGATTCAAGGAGGTCGAACTTCATGGAGAAGTCGCCTTCATGCAGAGTCGCGGTCGCGGCTGTAGATCCTTGTCTTGGCATTTGGCAGATCGCGACTTCACGTGATGAAATTTAATTAATTGCTCTCTCACAGAACCACATCAGCTTATGTTTCTCCATTTTCAATCAAGAAAGGAACCCAATGCCGACTTCAAATCTCCATTTTCTGCGACCTGTAGGTTGATAAGGTGATGTTGAGGTCTTCACAACCCATCTGCCTTTCTTTTCCAAGAGTACTTGCTGAAGTCGTGCTCAACTGTGCTTCTCTGCTAGCTTAGACTTGCAGTAACTTCCCGTTGGTTCTCCTATAAATTAGATGGTGCTCATGTCTGAGCCCTGTAATTTTTCATCCAAAGCTTCTACGGATATCTGCGCAGGCCTTACAATAGGAACGGTCGGTCAGGATGTAGCCAGCATCAAACATTTGACTTGGTCGGCATGGCCAAGCTCAACTGCAATATAATTGCTATGAAACCTTTCATCTAATTCACTTCACAAGAATAAGCAAGCAGTTGCAAAACCCACATTTGTCTGATCTGGTATGATGGAGGCTCTCTCCGTACTTGCAGTCTCCTTGTTGGTTGGTCGTACCTTCTTTGATTGGCGTGTTTTGCTTGCTAGGAAAGAACGTTATTGGCAGCCCAGATGACGAAACCTCTGGGACTTGGATATCAGCCTGTGAAGACCCGACTTCGGTATTTTCAACAAATTCATACTTCAAATACCACCTTGCCTTGTAATATCTCGGCCAGCCTCTAGACGACGTCTGCTACCAGAACCGAACGAGCAAACGGCGGTCCCATGATCAAGAAACAGGTGGACTTAACGATGGGGTATCCCCTCTCCATGTAGCTTAAGTATCGTATCTGCTGGTGTTCAATCACACTGTAGAATTCTCCAATAGTCTTTCAGTAGCAAACCAACATCATCTTGGTTAACTGTTCTTGAGCTGTTCTGACCCGTTCCGGACATTGGCACCTAGGTCGCTCCTTACGACATCTTCACCCTGGGTATTTGGTACCGACGCATGACTGATTGTCTTTGGTACTCATGCTTTGATAATTCTTCTGCAATTTTTCCATACTCACTGGAGCAGCACGGTTGGGTTGCATGAATTACTTCAGCTGCATATGAATAGTTATTCCGGAGTACCATTCAGCTTCAACTGATCACCCTACGTCATCTGCTGAGCAAGTCCCTTCCCTTCTGATCATTGGTGAGACTTCATCTGAAGATCACCAAATGAACAAGAAGTGCATTTCCAATTCTCTGAACTGGAAGCGCGCATCAGCTCAATTGGCGGAATCGTTGACTACCTTCCATCAAGGGCAACAACCCAGTCTTCCTTGACTATCTAGGTAATCTTTGGTCTTGAGACATCAAAATACTTAAAACCTCCATCACCCCGACTTCGATATCCCCATAGACACAGAGCCCCAAGGCGACGAAAACAGAGCAAGATGGATGACCTGGCTCACTTGTAAGTTCTATCTAACTGAGCGCCATCTTCTATTTCTTCCCGACTTATTCAAAATAGCTACGGTGCACCTGCTTCGGCGGCCGCTTCTTCAGCTACTATGAAGCCTACGACAGCCTCGACACCCAAAAACGCCAAAGCCATTGACGCTCTCCATTTTGATCAGATAGATCAGATGGGCGAGTCGGTCAAGAACCAAGTGGCCTCTAAGGCATCATCAAAGCAATCATCCACTGGTCAGTCATCCTCAGGCTTCAACATTGGTCCGCAGGCCGGGGGCCATACTGAACTCACGGTTACAGGACATTCAAGCTGGGCTTACCGAAGCCGCAGGTCCATAACCTGGCCTGCTGAGCCTATTACTCAGCAATGGAATGAATATAGAACGCAGGGCAGAAAACTTCAAGCCAAGCCAATAGACGTGAGCTGCTAGCCAGGCAAGCTTCTCCATTTCCATAATTCTAACATTCGTTCTTTTCTACAGGCGGTGTTCACCTTGTCTCATTACCCCGCCTTGACCGAGGGCGTTGTGACGGCCATACACAAAGAGCTGGCTAGACGACTTCCAAAGAAGGTCATGCTCAGAGTGGAGGGACAGGCTCCATATGAGTATCTCTACATCAGTGCAGACTCGGGGAGTGTTGTAATTGATGGGATTCGCATGGCCCGGTCTTTGGCCGATGAGTTGATCGCTGACAAGACGATCAAAACTTGCGAGATGTTTGCCGAACCCCCAGCCTTCCTCAATGAGTTTTGCAGGATTGTACTCGACATCAACGCGTCGGGTCCAGGTCACCCCCGATTGTTACAGCATGGCAACCAGGATCTCCCGGACCCCCAGCGACTTGCTGACCATCAAACCAAATTCCTCGATGACTTTTGCCTGAGGCTCTCTGCTGCCCTCAAGCGAGTTGGGCGCCTGGATTCTGGTACTGAACTCAGGGTTAAGTTTGGACGCTTTGTGCTTCAAACCTATCCCAAGGTTCCAGATGGCGGATACACATTCGATCGGTTCTCATCTGTGCTGCAAGATCCCCGGGCGACAGGCAAGCTACAGTCTCAGTAAGTCTTACCTGGGCAATATGCTGTGCTTGTACTAATGTTCTCGACAGGTTCAGTGGCATGGAGAAGGCCTTGCGAGTACTCGGGACATTCAAAAGAGAGGGTTCTGCGTTTGGGTCAACCGTATTCGCCGACCCAGATCCATCCCTGGTCAGGCCCGATTTCTTGTTAGAAGCATTTTCACGAGGGCATAAGTTCGAGGCTGCCCTGCAGAGCCCGGCCGCTGCAAGCCTTCCAGGTGAAACCATCACGTTCAAAATGCCTCTGATCGAAGCATTCAAAGTGGATGCTAGTGACAGAAAGCTGGACATCATTACGGTTACCCCGGGCAGGTATGTCAGCCTAGCATCGTCCTGACAGGTGACGAGCATTAATTGCTGGTTTTACAGGAATTTTGACTGGAAGATCGAGACTGTTGACAAGGCAGCCGTGACGGAGAAATCGTTCAACGCGATCGAGAAGTACCTGAAGTCAGCCACGGTCGCCAGTAAGAAGACAACCTGGAATCGACCAAAATACGTTGAAAGTTGCTGACCATAGACGCTGCAGTGTCCAAAGAGAACCAGGTCGTCGACATCAACAAGGACTATCCCCGCATTCGCCTGGAGCATCGCAATCCGATCGCCTATCAGTTTGACAAGGTTGCCATCAAAAGTGTATTCCGCTTCGAGTTCACGGGGACCTTGTACATCGTCGACTTTACGATCCGGCGGGAATGGAAAAGCATGCGCGCAATGACGGAGGGAGAAGTGGAACCGGCGGTCACCTTCTCCATCACTGTCTACGGTGGTCATTGGGATGATAGTATGCGGGCATCCAACCTTGGCCTAGGAGGCCGCGGATGGGGCGAGGAACTCCAAGTCTTGCTTCCCAGCGACGGCCAAGGACTGTCCCCGCCGGACGCAAAGGGCAGAGTTCGAGCTTTCGTTGGAGTGATCCACGCCATTCGGGATGCTCTGGAGTTGGCTCTGGATTCGCCTCACGAATCCGCCTAGCGATATCAATAGGCGAGCCAGACTTCGTTGGGCCAAGGATCTTTGTACCGAATTCGCCTCGCCGGTGGTGATCTTACTTCTGGATCACAAACACGGCCGAACTTCTAAGCCAGTTGCCCAACTCTACGATCGCGCTGACGTCCCTCTTGCTCTGATTCAGACGATGAATACTTTTTCATCCATCGAAACTTACAAGAGTCGCTTATTCTACTTATTCTCCACTCACCCTTTTTGACGATATGCAACCAGTCTGTTTATTCGGACACCAATACTAGCGCGAAGTGCATGATCGTTTTATACCGCTATCGACGCGGCTATTCAGCATCAACTCTTGTTGGCAACTAGACGCCTACTATGAGTATAACAAGCCAATGGCGTGTCACTGACTCTTGGCTCTACGACTTCGTCAGCAATTGCATTGGCAGCAACCTCACCTCATTTATACTTTGTGTTAGGGCTGCTATTCCACGCAGGCCAAGCAACAAATGAACGTGAAGCATCTGCTCGTCATCACGTCTGGTACCACGACTACAATTCGGCATTGACACGACGACCCCTTCACAGACCGTCTTTGTGGCAAGTTCTTCCAGTGTTCAGCATCCTACTTCCGATGGATTGGTACTAGGACTCAGCATTCCGTCTCTACCCACCGAGATACCTGCGTGGTAAGTACTCGCGATGCGAAGTAGGGCGCAGGTATAGTTGAGTTAACTTGTGTCCCGGTGTCTGATGCTCTTCGAGTATTCCATGGCTGTTCTCGGCCAGATTCCTTGTCAGAAAGGAGATTGTGAGTGGAAGCTATACCAATCAACGCTCGTCCAGACAACAGCCGGTCGACAGCTATCTGCTTTCATTGCACTACTTGAGGAAGATACCATTTGGCATCAACTCGATTGCGTGGAATAGCCCGGACGGCATTTTCAAGCACGACAGGACCAGCATGGCTATCAACCGTCGTTGATTTAGGCACAGCCGAGCACAATTCCACGACGAAAAGCTATGGTATGTTGGCTGGCATTCACCACAAAATAATTCCGTATCTATGACCAGGGAAAGTGGACGTTACTGCTTATAGGGGCTATGACTGAGGCGCCTGTTGCGGGGCAGTCGCCATCTTTTGTCTGAGAACTAGATAGGCGCAGTCGTTTGTTAGTAGTCCATTTTAGTTGAGGAGACAAATAATTGAGCCAACGCCTTTTGCAATTGTAAGAAGAAACCGAAAAAAGAGAACACACCTTCCTCAATCAAGCGAACGTTCTGTGTCTTCTGCTGTATTATCGCCTCCAGCTCCTTAATATTTCCTCCCAACTCCGTCGCCTTGCCGTCGTAGAACTTGGCCGCCGACTTCAGGTCTTTCTCGACGTAGAAACCCGTGCCGACGTCAACAATGACATGGGTTCCGCTCGAGAGCTTGCCCCGGACGTAGAGGGAGTTGGTTAGGGGGACGAGAATATCTTTGTTCTCTAATATCACAGCATACTGTCAGCCGTGACTGATCCTCCCCCGTTTCAATCGATCAAGCTGTCAAAATAAGGAAATAAAGGCAGGAAGAGACGTACCCTCAAGCGCAGGCGTCTTCCCTCCTTGCACACATCGCAAACACTCGCGGAACTTGGACTGGGCGGCGTGGAGTTGCGTAAAGGACGAGGTTAGGTGTTCGAGCTCCTCATCCAGTTGCTTCTTTACTTGGCTGAGCTGTTGGGAGCTTAGGCTGTCGAGGTTGACTGTGGAGGGAAAGGTTAGCTGGTTGGTTGCGCGGCGCCGAAGGTGGGGAGGGGGAGGGGGAGGCGAAGAGGAGAGTGGAGAGATGCACACCGGACTCGCCGCCGCCTTGGGATGCCATTTGTCAGATGGTCGAGGTTCGGGGTGGCAGTTTCAGGTCGTTGGATTCAAAAGGTGGTGGGACCAGAAAATGGTGTTCTAGCTATAGATCGTGGGGACATTGGAAGGGTCTATCAGACGCTTTTGGGAATTCCAGAAATGATGCTATTTTGACAAGCGTCAAGGGTCTCCCGCATTTTGCGGGGCAGTCGGGTCCAAGCTCCTTGCAGGGGACTTCAACGTCGCTGCCAGCGCCGGCACCAAATGTTCTGGAACCCTTCCATCCCGTTACTACATTTCGTGTCTTGGTACCAAGTCGATGATCAAAACCCGAGCTTACAGACGTAGTTGGTCGTATTTCATACAATGTAGCTCTGAGTCTGAGTTTCTTGCGGGTTTAATCCTGGTCGCTTGAATCATGGTATGGTATTTGCTCAGAGCACTGTTTGAAATACTAATTTTGTTTTCCAAGTCCATCATTTTAGGATTCTCTGCTTTTATCAAATTCCCGCTGTTCAGGACTCAAGGATTGTCTTGAAGTTCGACAAGGGATTCGTTGAGGTTATCCGGGCAGATTCGCCATCCAAAACTGCCGGACCATAAATGACACCACGTCAGTAGTACCCAATCACTCCATGAACAGCCCCTTTCCCCTACAATAGCCCAACTTCCGCCTCAAAAAGAATTTTAGAGCCAGATCTCCTGGTATCTGAGCCATAGCCTGTTCAAGGAAATGAACTGGTCCTCTCACGTCGCTCTCGTCCGTAGACAACGCAGCATTCTTCGACGGGGTGACTGTGTCTCGCAACTGCTCGAATTCATGCCACGTCCGGTAGATTGTGCATGCTTGATTTCAGGGATAGTATAGTGTGATCTCGTAAGTGGGGGTGTAGTTGTGTGTTTCGTGTAACGCACTTGGACTAACAAGTGGAGGGGGGTATGTTCGGTGCCGTTGTATGTACAGTGATATTTTCGTGAGTGAAGTTGTGGTTGATGGCACTTGGTGGTTTTCATTTTGCATGATGGACTTTGGGTTGTGGCTTCAGTCGACTTGATAGTCAGAAATAGCACTGAGTACCAGTAACTCGTAATGAAAGGGGCAGAAGTCAATGTTAGTCGAGGTTGATGTTAGTCTAGTGTATATAATAATGACTTCCTCTCTAGATGCTTCTTAGTGAGCGTAATCTGCATCACACATGGCGATGAAGTCTTGGAGTTTCTGACCCCCATGTTCACCGCAATGCGGTGACTCAAATTGTTGACGGTGAGTCACTGATCTTGAGCACACCTGAAACTACCAGTTCTTTGAGACACATCATGCATAGATTTGGTTGGAAATGTCTTGATTATTTGTGTGCACGGAATCTCTAAAGCCCCTGCAGTATATCTACTAATACGAAATTCGGTGTGTGTATTTCATGCATATACATGACAAGTTGATATCCATCATCTCATCGGAAATGACCACGTTAGCCAATAGCCCATTGTCTAAACATACGGAAAGACTTAGGGGCAGTGGATGCGGCAGGAAGCAACAATACGGATTCTGTGTACATGTCTGTCCAAAGACACTTGGTGAGCTAGCGAAAGTAGCCATGACCCTCCTCACCTTAGATCAGTAAAAATCACCAAAAAGTCAAAAGATCTGCATATATATTCTATAACTTTGTCCAATGTTGTTTCTTTTCTCTCCGATAGGTTAATTTTGGATAGTTCATATCCTGTTGATATTGATCCATGTAATTTCCTTGAGCTAGGTAACTATGACGACAATGACTTTTCAGAGAATCACTCAATAGGCACACACCAAGTAAATTCAGCTCCTATTTCCTGCCTCGTCCGGACCTGATAAGAAGGTATCACATCATCTACAGGCAAGCATTGCATATGAATCACAACAAGTACTCACATATTGACAATTCAATGCTTTAACGGTCGTTACCAGTCCCTCAATCGGAAACATATCGAGTTTGTATCCGGCAACGGCTGCAAATATCTGGAGTCGAGTCCCCTACCTTGGGTTTTACCCCTTGTCTTCTCTTTCAATTCGAGGAATCTAGGCCTATCTACTCGTAGAATTTGACGGCAGCCCGCAACTAGACAACCAAATAAACGACGCACTCAGGTAGGGTCATTAAGTTACACTAGATCTAATACACTGTGATGTTATGCTCTCCCATACTATTACATGCTTAGTGAGCCTTTTATTATGCCCCCTACCTGGCCCGCCTAATATCTACAGCATCAGCATCAATCTTTAAGCCTGGTAGCTTTTTCATCACTGAATTGGCCACAATCGACTGACTAGTTGGTAGCAGCAATTCTGAGAGCCAATACAACTAGCAAAGTAACCTACCTTGAAGTGAAGAAATCGACATTGGACAGACACAAGATGTTCTGCCCAATTCATTGTCACATGCCTGAAACGACCTGGTCGAAGGTTAGAGCGATAGATTTAGGTGAAGCACCAGGAATCCAATCATGGCCATTTCAAGTGAGACGGGTCAGAGTACAGAGTTGTGGCTAATAGCATGGTAGTTGCTTTTCGCTACGAACACGTTGGAGAAACAGCAGCTCTACAGCTCTCTCTGTAGCCTAGTCCGAAACATCGAACCCCTGCAAATCTGAAACGACATATCGGCCGATTCGAGACATTGACTGGGGTGCTACTTCCATAGTGAGCCACGCGGTATCGTTAGCGGCGATCCTAGATTGCTGCGCCTGTTAAGGAAATCAAAAGACTGGGAATACAACGAGTGTGATAGCAGTCTATTCGAGAAGCAGCCATCACACGACGATATTTTGTCAGCTTCAGAGCAGACAGAGTACTCAGCATCTCGAAGGATCTGCATTGATACGCAGTGAGAACCAACATTGCAGATGACATGAAATGGTGGGGCTTTAGCGCCCCTCTTTGCGTTTATCGATTCATGAGTCTCCAAATAAAAACGTACTCAGAGCGCAAGGCTGCAGTTGATATTTTCCTGTGCTAACAGTGCTAAAAGTTCGTCTTAGACTCCTGCGAGTTCCTTCCTGGTGATATATAATTACGATGATGAGTACATATGGGGCAAGCTGCGGGAGAATGCACCCCGACCTCCTGCATAACTTGCAGGACCTCCAAGCAGGACCTGCAGGAGGAAGTTGGACGCGTTTGCGCGTTGACACATTTGACAATTTGACACCCAAACCCAACCATGATCGATACTACCCTCCAAGGCCCTGTCAAATAATGTCCAGATCCTTGGCAGATCCGAGGGTACTTCTGGTATCTGAAGCGGAAGAAGTGATACGATGCCATTAGATTTGAACAGTTAAGATTGGCTTGAGTATGGTGCATTTTCATAATCAGTAATCTGGAGACAGGAGCCACATGTGACGTACTAGCCTGCTTGGTCCCTTGCAGTAGTAGTCTTGTCAAATGAAAGAAATTGTCTCCTTGGGGACAAGAAGGTGCATTGTGCGTGGGGCTGCGATGTAAACAGGAAAGCGTGATTGTGTCGCCTCCTTCCCCGTACAGCAAGACTTATAAGCCGTACAGGGGAGCTGCCTCAACCGCATTTACTCTTTCCCCAAGGACCACTTTGCATTTCTTCCTTCCACCATTTGCATTCCCACCTGGTGTCCTGTTCCACGCTGACATTGCCACTATCGACAATCATCTACAACAAGACGTTTTTGACGACTTGCAAGCATATTGTGTAGCCTCAAGCAGCGTACACGCGCCCCGCGCAAAGCTCTTCACAACACAACGCGCCTGAAAATCAAATAACCAACACAATGGCGCTGCAAACTTCGTACAAGCAGTTTCTCGCTGCGCCCAATTCATCGCTGCTCAATCCCGATGCCACCCTCCACTATATCACGACGACTACGAGCTTCAAGGGCGCAACAGAAATCATCAAACACTTCAGCACCTCGCGCAATCAGGTCAAGAAGAAGAGGGAGGAGTTCCTCGGTGTTATTGAAGGCCAGAATGCTGCTGCATTCGAGGTCGACACCGTTCTCGAGTTTGTCACCAGCGGGGGACCCTACCTGCCTGGACTCGATGACAACTTTCTGTCCGACCGCACCGTCTACTTGCTTGTTATGCACATTGTCACATTCGATGCCGACGGCAAAATCCTACAGATACGCGAGAATTGGGACCAAGCCGCTCTGCTCAAGCAGCTCGACATCATTGGCAAAACTGGTCGCAACTGGCCCATTCGCGACAGCAAAGAGCAGATCAAGATGATTGAGAACTGTCTCAAGTCCTCTGGCGAGGGTGACGTGCCCGCTTCTGCAGATCTTGCGGCGCGCTTGCGAGCAAACTCGAACAACATTCTACGCGACCCCCATGCGTCGTTGGCACTGTTCGCTCCGCGCGAGGAAACGGAACAGGCCGCCACCGCTGCTGCCGTCATCTCCCCTAGAGCTGGATCTCGACCTCCGCAACGAGCCTTCACTGATATCGTTAGCGACGAGCCCCCCGAGGATGCTGGCTCTTCTAACAGATCCGAATCGCCAAGCAAGGGTGTTACGTCCAAGGCAGGTGCCGGGAAGAACTACCAACCCAGCCGTCTATTCGAGGCTCAAGAAGAGGAGGCCGAGGACGAGGACGATACGCCCGAGAGGCAAATTGTTGAACGCGCCTATCGCCCTAACCCCACCAGGTACGACCACTTTGACTTTGCTGATGGCTCTGAAGAGCAAGATGACCCTATTCCTGGTCCATCAGCTGCTCCGCAGACAAAGCACGGCAGCCAGTGGTCCTTTGACGATTTCGTCACTCCCGCCAAAGCTAAACCAACCAGAGTGCTCCAGAAGAGCCACCAAGATGTTAGACATTGGGGCACGGAGAACGATGAGGTCCCAGAGACTCCCGTGCGCAAGCCCGTCGTTGGAAAGCCCCGCCGCGATGCCGAGCCGCACTTCGAGTTTGTCGACGACGGCACTCCGAAAGGCCCTCGCGTCGAGCGTCCCCAGGGCGCGAAGCACAACAAGGGTCTCGGCTTGTATAAGAATAATGTGTACAGTGAGGGAGAGGAAGATGACGACGAGACTGCTCCTAGTGCCGGTGACAGCCAAGCCCTGGGCAACATTACCAACCTGAAGGGTCGGGGCCAGGCCTTAAAATCTCAGTTTGCCAGGACCGATGAATCGCCAGCTCCGAAGCCCCAAGTCAAGCCTAGCGTTGATGAGGATCGCAAGAAAGCTGTCAAGACGATGGACACCAACCGGTCCAGCTATGATGAACCTCCAGCGTCCCAGAAAGAAAACCAGCCCACCAAATCGAAGCCAACTAAACCTGGTGACAATCGGGGTATCGCCATTGGCGGCGACGGCATGGGTGGCCCCAAGGGTACACAAAGGAACTGGCTGTTTGGCGAGGATGAGGAGCCCGTCACCAAGTCAGTCCCGGGACGCAAGCAAGGTGGTTCCAGCGCGGGTGGTTTCAGCTGGGACTTCTAGATGGACTAGCAGAAACCTTCCGGGATGCGTCGCAATAAGGTCGCCCTGCGACGATAACATGGCTTTCACGACTATACCCCCAACGTCCATATGCCATGCCACTGACGAGCTCATGAGTTTCCCTATGCGGATCTGCGACTAGGATATACTGAGGTATAGTGTGCTAGTATCTGCTGTTTCGATGAAAGAGTTGCTTGTTCGAACACCAAAGAGGACTGGGGATGGGACTCCAGGGGTGCGGCCGAGCTGAAGTGTATGCTGAAGTGTACTATGACACGTCTGAAGTTTGTCTCATCAAAATGAATTGTCCATAGATAGTGTTTGAATATTCCCCCAAGACTGGCAAGGCAGTCGAATCAAGTCGAGTCTTGGTTTAATCAAGGTTTCTTTGTTTGTAAGCAACACCGCACTATCCACGCAATTCTGCTTTGAAGTTGAGTGTGCCACTGGGTGACTTCGTCATCACTATTACCTGAGAATCACAGTTTGACTTTAAGATACTTCGTATCAGCCGTGTAATCCTGCTTCAGCCTATAATCTGGTGGCTATTATACAAAGCACTGAGACTCGCATCAAGCAAGCTTCGCTCTCACAAGAAACATTTCTTTCATCGTAACTGAATTGACTATCATCATTGCGTACTGCCTTGCCCCGACCCCCGGTAATAAATATCAAGAGGTATCTCTAGCTAGCTAGTAGCAAACAGCGCAGCACAACACAGTCATCTGTCACTGTATCCCCAACACCCATCCACCAACCCTTGGCAGGAGGAGCATGTGAAAGTATCACCAACGTGACGCCCTTCCCGCCTTGCGTTCTCCATGTCCTCCTCTCTTGGTATCACCCATCCAACCATTCCTCGAATTCAATTCGTCCATTTCCGTCGCCCATCCCTTGTATCCATCCCGCTCCCCACGAGCGAGCAAACACGAGCCCTATTTTATGAAACCAACCAACTAACTAATTGACTTATATGAAGACGCCCTGGACGCCCGGCTTGCTGTAAACCCAACGCAAAAACCAACCCACATAAAGCAGCGCCATTTCCCGCCTTGACCGCCCTCCCCCCTTCTCTTCCTTTGTAAGAGGCACTATCACGTATGTTACTCAACAAAGTAACTTATAAATCCTCTTCCACCGCGGCCACACCCTCCTCTCCTCCGCCTCCTGCGCCAACAAAATAGGCAGATTAAAATCGCGCCTCCCCGTATCAATATCCATATCTGCGATCCTAACCGCGCTCGTCTTGAAGTAAAACCGATGACACACATAAAACAAAATGACAATGGGCGCCGCCATGTACGCCAAAAAAAAGTTCTCCGCCAGCTCTAGGGAGGTTTTCTCGCTGTAGTCAACGGGCCACGCGCCGATCCAGAATTGGGCGACGAGGACGAGGATATTGAAAGTGAAGCCGAGCCAGGACCCCAAGACGCCACACTGTGAGCGGAAGGCGAGTTCATGCAGACTGTGCCCGTTGGCGGCCCAGGCTTTGCGGAAGCGGATGTGCGATAGGCAAATGGAGGCCCATGTGCAGATTGAAGATAAGCCCGAGATGGCGAGGAGCCAGTCGAGGACGGCGGACTGGGCTTCGATGTCGACCAAGTACGCGATGAGGCCCATGGACGAGGCGACGATGATGGCGACTAAGGGACGGCCGCGGCGGTCGATGTACGAGAGGATTTTGGGGGCTTGGTTCTGGTCCGCTAGAGCGGCGAGAGTGCGGGAGGAACCGAAGACGGAGGAATTGCCCACGGATAGCACGGCGATGAGGATGACAACGTTCATAACGGAGGGGAGGATCTCTATCCCTGCGTTCTCGATGGCGATTACGAAGGGGGAGGCCGCGGCTGTGGTGGTCTTATCGCTGTTGAGGAGGCGAGGGTCATCGTAGGGCACCAACAGGCCGATGAGGGTCAGGGCTACGATGTAGAAGAGGGTGATGCGCCAGAAGACCTGTTTGATGGCCGTGGGCAACGATTTGCGCGGGTTCATGGTCTCGGCGGCTGCCAGACCGACCAGCTCGGTGCCGGCAAAGGCAAAGGCGGCCGTGACGAAGACGCTGCAGAGACCCTTGAACCCATTGTGGAAGGCTCCTGGCTGTGACCAAAGTTTCCCACCGATATATCCACCACCGGGAGTACCCCCGATGTTGAGCACAATGCCCAGAAGACTGGAGATGATGGTGATAAGTAAAGCGTCCAGCGATACTAACACGGCAAATCAAAGTAGACTTACATGAAGCCGATGACGGCTACCACCTTGATGATGGCAAATATGAATTCTGCCTCACCATACCCCTTTACACCAAACAAGTTTATCCCAATAATGATGACGAGGAATATGGTCACGAAGATGGCCCTATCTAAATCTGGGTTCCAATACGAAATGGTGATGGAAGCAGCGATGATCTCTAGCGGGAGCACGACTAGCCACTGCAAGGCATAACTATGGTTTTGGTGAGCACGAGCTTGATCATAATATCAGACAAAGCTACTGAGTAGCTTTGTTCTCTTGTCTCAACTTACTTCCAACCCATAGCGAACCCCCACGAGGGGTCGAGAAAGCGCGTTGAATATGCCGAAAACGATCCGGCGACGGGAAACGCGACAGCAAGTTCACCGAGAGCCTGGACGGTGAAATACAGCATGGCTCCGATGAACAGATATGCGACGAGTAACGAGGCCGGACCTCCCACTTCTAAGGCCCTACCGGATGCAACAAACAAACCCGTCCCTATTTACAGTCGATTAGCCAACCAACCGACACGCACACCCATGGACACAAGAAGAATGAAGCCCTACCTATCGAACCCCCGATGGCAATCATCTGCAAATGCCTCCCCTTCAACTTCCTCGCAAGCCCGGAATGCGCCGTCTGCAGCGCTGCCTCCCTCAAATCATAATAATGCGAATGACTACTGCTCGTCCGTTGTCCCAAGCTCGGCCTACTCAGCGCGACAGCTTCCTCATCGATTGCGAAGATCTCGTCAAGCGGGTCCTTGGGCGCGACGCGGCGGAACCCGTTGATCCACCGCTCCAGCTTGTTCAGCTCCGCCTCTTCGTACATGGGCTCCCGCATCGTGTAGTTGCTCCCGTGCGCGATGCTGTCCTCTTTGATCGGGTAGATGGCGTTCATTTCTATGCCGGGGGACCGCGGCGTCATCGTCGCGCCGATGTGGGTTGGGTGGGGGAATGCGTGGGAGGTTTTGTCAGACGGGAGCAGGTGGTTTGGGGGGTTGAGATAGGATACTACAACTACTGCTGTGTGTGTGCGTGTGCGGGCTTGCTATGATGATGGTCGATAGCGATCGATTCTACGAGATGGCAACGGCAGCGGCATGCTTGGAGAGAGCTCCCCGGTGCGTGTGCCGTGGCCGTAGTGTTCTTATTCCTCAAGACAATCGAGACGACGGCGCTTGACTCTGGCCAAGTCGTGGTACTAGTGTTCGCAATGCGCAGTGGTCGAGACTAGTATTTCTTGTCCACTTTCGTCCGTGCAGCGAGAGGGCGTTGTCGTGTCGGTGTCGGCGTAGGTTTTCGAGGCGTCAAATCGCGTTAACCTTGTCCCTTGTACTGATTGATATACATAGTAGCCTCTTCTTCGTATGCACTGGTGCAATAATGCATCTCGGAAAAGACGATATTAAAACGAGGCCTGGCGGAATGGGGCTGGCAACAGCTAGGCTTATCGTGCTGCACCGGCCTGCCAGTTGCCGCATTGGCTGTTCGACCCGCAAAGATAGGTGATATCAGTATCCTTCCCCCAAGGTGACAAGGGGGTGGTGGGTGTGTGGTGTGGCACTGGCAGTGGTGCTCCGGTGGCCCTCTCCCATCCCGCACTTATGAGTGTGGGGGTCAGTTGGTCCCGGTGGAAGTGCGGATCGATCGAAGATGTCGAATTCAATCTTGTTCATCGCATATCAATCCCTTTGCTTGACTTGTATCGAGTGAACACGAGAATGCTCTCGTCATCCATGGAGATGCAATCCTGGAGCCTTAGAATTGTATGTCGCATATTCAGAGACGATGATGCTTGAAGCAATATCTCACATAGTGGTTGGCGTCTTCCATCCCCGCGGCACTCAGGTCGAGTCCAGTTGCGAAACGTCAGGATCGTCAGTCGAAACCAGCAGGAGCTTACATCATATCTCAGAACAAGATTCAATCGCCTCTATTCCCATCTCTACATGCTGGCTGAGATTGCAATTAATGATGCTCTCTTGAAGCTCGTAATCATCAACTGAGACTGTTGTCAGTTATCTCTTGGTCAAGGATACCCAGCCTTTGAACCTGCCACGCAACCTTAAAGTCGCCCACGCCTCCACGTTGATCCGAGCTCCCATGCACGAGATTACGCGGGGCTTCTTATGTCTAGTTGGACTGCAATACAATAATGCAATGCATCAAGAGAAAGAGAGAGACTCGGCTACTTGGTTGGTGGAGAGGAACCGCCTGATTTCCTTCTGGCGATATGTGTTTGCTGGCCTAGGCAGTTTCATACTTCAATGTGCATGCTTAATATCCGCCGATGTAGGATGACTTTTCCAGACCATCGGGACCTGTCAGCATTATACAAACTTCAACTCTATTTATTTTTACCGGTGCCAGTTCATCCGACATGCCGTAGTTCGCATGGCATATAGGATGAAGACGAGTGAACATGAAATGCTATGGAATGACGTCTTGCTCGAGGCATATATGATAAACATCAATGCTTGGAGAGTGGTGCGTACTGAGTCCAGTATTTACATCTGCTTCTCATGCGACGTTATAATGCTCACTCAAACCCTCAGTTACAGCTCATAAAACAAGCTCGAGACATTTTCATAATCATGAAATGCATTTATCATTTCCTACCAAATATTCAACAACACGAGTACCACAAAAAGGCATCCACAATGGCCTTTGAAACGCCCGTAAGATTCTCTGGACCGTTATCGGCCCGGTGCATCTAGATATGCATACAATCAATGCCATGCCATCATCATCTTGCCATGTTTTTTTTTCATCGCTCTCCTGAATCAGGAATAATCTTTCCAGAATTATCCCGAGGCTTGCGCTTCCATCCCGTCGAGAATAGTTGACCCATCTCGAAGCGAGGGAAGGGGTGAGCCTCCGTGTTGATGACGATCTTGTCCAGGGGCAGGAGGTCATTGGGGGAGAAGAGGAGGTAGAAATATTTCAATGTTTCCGCCTATTTACGCCTGTAGTTAGTAGGTTGTCCTTGGTATCGGGGGTAGGAGAAGTTGCATTCGGTAGGTACTCACCAGCCAGAAACTCTCCATGTTATCTCTCTTCTGAGATGGGATCACATTTGCATTCCCCAAACTCGTAAAGCCGCCTCCATCTTCAACCGCCGTATGATTCATAAACGATCGGAACATTTCCCAGCCCCAATCGCGGTACTTGGAGTCGCCCGTGATTCTCCACATGTAGAAAAGGCTCTCCACCGTCTCGGGACGCTGAAGGTTGTGCACGTCGTTGCTTTTCACGGAAAAGTCCTTGCGCCACCTTGCGTCAGGGCTGGGGTCGAACTCGTCCGGCGGGTTGTGAGAAGCAGATTCCTGCAACGGCGGTTTGCCGACCTTGAAGTAGGTAATCTCAGCCGCCAGCCCCGTCGCCATGTACTTGTACATGCCCCAGCAGGTTTGCATTAGCTCCCTCGCCAGCTGCATGTCGTCGCTGTTCTTCTTGGTCCATGTCGGCAGCTTGCGGGCCTCGGCCTCGGCCAAGCCGCCGGTGGCGCCTAGAGCGATGGTTCCGGGCATGAAGCAGACTAGATGGTCCATCTTGGGTGACAGGTCGCGATCGAGACCGTCAGGCCTCTCACCAATGATGGTGAAGCCCGAAGGCTCGGTGTATGTAATCAAGTTGTTGCGCACACCTTGCAGGGCCTCAGTCCACATGTCCAAGTAGACAGGCTCCTGCTTGGATGTCTGGAGGTACTGCTTGATCAAGTATTCGTAGTAGGAGTCGCCACGGCTGCCTAGGCGGATGTTCTGCCCTCGGAAGTTGCCGCCGTCGGCATAGACGTAGATAGGAACAAGCCCATCTTTTGCGCCATTATCGTCGATGACCTGCATTACCTTCTCCACCTTGTCCCAGTAGAACCTCTCCCCAGTCAACTTGGAGAGGTACTTGAATTCCAGCTGCAGTGTCGTAGCTTCAGCTGTCGAAGACGCGCCGCCATCATCATGCGACGGGAGACCGATCTCTTTGCCTAAGTTGACACTGGCATAAGGAACTCCGGATTCACTTTCAAAGGCTGGCATGAGGCGATCTGCGAGATCCTTTGCCTTCTCTAAGTAAAGGTCCTCGCCGGGAGCGCCCTCATCGTCATCAACCAAGGGAGCCAGCTGCGGGTATTCGTTCGCAAGGTAGTGGGCTGACAACAGGCCACCAAGCATGCGAATTGTTGTCTCGAATGTGTTCACGTCCTGATCCTGGTCCCACGTCAACGACTTGGAGATCCACTCTCGCGCATGTGTAACGCGCGACGTGAGGTTCATCAAAATCATGGTGTCCAAGGCGTCGACTATGATCCAGCCCATACCCTGCGGCGCCATCTGCGCGCCCTTTTTCGAAACCGGGTGGTATTGATCATAGCCTAGGGGAAAAAACATCACATTAACAACAGAGCAAGCCATTGGGGTAAACGAGACGTCTTACCCCATCCATATCGTTCGTAGGCGTCCCAACTCAGCTCGAAGGCTTCAACAACGCGCTCTCTTCTATGTAACCAGTCGGCGTGGCTCTCGGGCTCTGGCCCCTGGAGCCAGTTGCTCCATGACGCTGATCGCGATAAGCCGGACTCGTGGTGGCGGGAGAATACGCCGAAGTAGTACAAGAGCGCCACGAGTACGAGAATAAACCCGCCCGTGCTCTTCCGTCGCCACAAGGGGCGATGTCGCTGCGAGGGCGGGTACGCGTACGGCTTGTCTTTGTACATTGGGAGCGTTTGCGAGTTCTGTCCGCCTTCGAAGAAACCGCCGAGGGAGCTGCCGCCGCCGCCTTTATTGCGAGCTGTTAAGGACGATGTCGCTCCGCTACCGAAGAAACGGTCCTCGGCCATCCGTTGTGGGTTCGCAAACGATGGCACATTTTTTGGAATCGTGAAGGACATGTCCTCGACGGCCTGCTTGCCAACTTCAATGGCATTTACGCCGGCTTCGACGGCTTTCTCGGTTATGCCAGCCGCCGCTCGAGTGGCCGTCGTTCGTAGAATTGAGATTGCAGAGGAGTGTCGATGGAGGTTGAAAGGGTCGCGAACATTCATTAGGGGCCAGTAGGGGCCAAGTTGATTCGTCTTCAGGTCTCAACCTGCTTTCGACGGACCTCAACTCCTGTGAAGAAGCACAAGGCTACGCAGGCACGTTTCTAGTCAGTGGTACAGAGGCACAGAGTACAGCAACTACTCAAATGTCACTTGTTAGTTGTTTACAATAACGGGGTCTGCATCTCTTACTTGATACAAAAATTCAATAAACGAAGCGACAACGATCGTGGTAGCTGGCTGCGAGAGGAATGCTTTCACAGAGTTGCGAGCACCGGCATGAACATTGATTCAATCGTTGTTGTAATGAGCGTGCGACTGCAACCGCCAGCAATCGACCCAAGATAAAGGTCTATGACTAGCTTGCGTCTGACCAAGAGAAGCGACGCACGTCCACTCAAGCTATCAGTTCTTACCCAACCTGGTACCCGTGAAGAGTAATTCACATTTCAGCGTGGTCAATGTCTGATGCGCTAACGCGCCGCCAATTGACTTCTAATAAAGTTGGAAGAGGACACATTTTGGACGATCTTTCCGGGAAACCGGCATCTTAGGACCCGATCTGCCGAGTTCTTGTAGTCCCACTACCGAGAAGCTGCAGTGAAGCGGAAGCAAAGCAACGACTCGGGGTTCTTGTTCAGTCAGGAGTTACCCTGGTTGTAAGACGGGCAGATTTGGGGTGTACTTGACTAAACTCACTTGGATATCTACTCACTTAAGTAACCAAGCCTCTATTTGACACCAGATCATCCCATAAGTCAAGTTGAAACTCTTTGCATCAAAGCCTAAATCAGTCAGGGTCCCGCTACAACCCCAGATCGAAGCAAATTTCCAGACATTGGGTCGAGTATACGCGAATCTACAAATATACAACTAGCATCACATATAATTCTTGGCTGGGATACGAAAAGCAACCCAGACGTGGAACATCTGTTCTCGCTCGTGACGGGAAATTGCACCCCTGGAACCGGCCAACGAGTTTTGTGCCCGAGACTGTCTGGGGTAGTTGTCACAATCACTTATACAAGTCACAGGGCTGACTCGTAAATATAGGAGAACTGGAGTCTGAATAGTCGACGCAAAATCGCAATATGCATCAGCCAAGCCAACACCGGTCAAGTTACCACTGTTACCCGTACCTCACCAAGGAAGAGTTCGCAGAAGCTTGTCATCATCTGGACAACAGATACTGTCAGGCTACACTCGGTCCTCTCCGGAAAGAATGGAGGCTCAACGTCCACAATGCGCTTGATATATCCTTTGGGACTGATTCGGATTACGCCACATTTCTTCAGATCACTCGTCCCCTTGAAGACACTACCGATTTGGGGGACTTGGGATCTCAGCTGAGCAGCTTCTCGTTGGGTAATAGTCATAGACAGGCCGACCATCCCGATGCGGATGATGCTATGATGGAGGTAGAAGACTTTGATCCTGTAGGCTCATGCGTCCCCAAACCCTCCAATCACGAGACTCACTCATGCCAGGAAGAGGTTCTCAAAGACCCTTGTCGGCCAAATTTTGGTCACGTCAAATACGAAATCCATCTTCACCCAACATATCGTGCACCATGCTTATGGTTCAGCTTGCACGATCTGCCTGCTGGCGAGCTAGCGTTGAACATGGACACTGTCTTCCGGCGGCTGGTACCAGACCAGTTTAAAGAAGCCCTGCGAGGGGCAGGCCCTATAGGGGGCATTTCGGCAGATGTAAGTCTTTCCGTGGTGTAGCTGTGCGAACGAGTCAATATTGTACTCTATATTCCAGGAGTATATTAGGTCTACCTCATTGCTAACGTGACTTCGTAGCATCATCCTGTCACGGGTGTACCATCTTTCTTCGTTCATCCGTGCCTTTTGGGAGATGCCATGGCGAAATTCGACTGTCCCATGGAGGATTACCTGATGGTCTGGCTGGGTTTGGTGGGCGGTTGTGTTGGACTCTGGGTACCAAAAGAGATGGCCATGACTCGACATTCGTGATGCGTCGATTCTGACCAAGTTCACGTCTTAGCCGCCCAAGCTGCCAGCGAGGTATTGGTGTCGTTCATGCGCTCGACGCGGCGGTATTTTGACCGCACATCACTCGTCATCGCTGTCCTCCTCCATGGCAACATCCTCGTCACTGTCCTCTTCCTCCTCCTCTTCGGCACGTGTGCGCTTCTGACCCCGTGCAGCATCATCTGCAACATTCGAAGGCTTCGAAGGCAAGTCATGTGGTGCAGCGGGTGCGATTGCAGGGGCTGTTCCAGGCGCAGGAGCATTGAAAATGGACTGCTGAGCTTCTGTCATCTCGACGTTTGCGGCAGCCGTCCCTGGCATCTTATATGTTCCATCAAGTTTTGCAATCGTGTCCGACTTGGATTTTGCATACTGTATTCTCTACAGAAAAGACGTACTAGTTAGCGTTGCGAATGACAACAGACTCGGTGAGAACGTACCATTTCTCTCCCAAGAAACTTAAAGCCTTCTAGGGATCGCATTGCCTGTGTAGCCGCTTGCGTGTCGCGGAACACAATATGAGCTTGACCGCGCATTTTCATGGTCTTGAGTGCGATTATGTCGAGGACCGGGCCGTACGTGGAAAACAACATGTATAGAGCTGTTTTCAGATCGTCTTTCTGGATCTTGGCGGACGGGAGATTGGTAACATAGAGGCTGCAAATTGGTTAGCTACAAAACATGGCAGTATGGAAGCAAAGGGGTACTCACGTCTGGTTGGGGGGGATTGGAGGCAACTTGCCCCCAACTTGGGGAGCTGCTGCTGGTCGAGTTGATGCCATGGCGGATCAGGACTTCGCTAGTCCTTTGGTGTGTCTCGCAATTGTACGGACTCGGATGGGCAAGAGCGACTGGAGGTGACGACAGCAATTTAGTGCTCAAATATCTGTGCGTCTTGGCCTCGACGTGATGTTTGAGCTTCAATTTCTCCTAGCAACTTTGGACTCGGAGAAGTCAAAAGATCCAAGGTCTTGAATGTCCCAGCCACAAAATGTGGCTTACAACCCCTCCAAGTGGTAGCTTGCAACGCTGCCCCACCGCCCGCATTCAAGGCTCCACGACAACTCCCAGCCAGCGTCACGGTTCTCTTACATCACACAGACTCCAGCTCTAACATCAACGTGGTAGTAGAGAGCTCCTCCTACCACTTACTCACTGAAAATGGCGCCACCAGAAGTGCATCATCTGTTCCACCACCCCATTGCCGACCACTCCTTCTCGGCCGATCGCGAAACCCTTGCCGTTGCCAAAGATACTTCCCTTGAGCTGTACGGGAGAGTTGGCGGTGCCTTCAAGCTCAAGGATGAACTAAAGGGCCATGACAAGACTATCACCGGCGTGGACATTGCTCCCAACAGTGGCCGTATCGTAACCTGCTCGCAAGGTTTGGATTGCTACCATTTCCAGGACATATGATTCAGGCCTAGCTCTAACATAGGGCCTAGATCGCAATGCCCTCGTATGGGAACCGTCTCCCACTGGCTACAAGCCTACTCTTGTCTTGCTACGTATCGCCCGAGCAGCAACATTTGTACGATGGTCACCGTCCGAGACCAAGTTTGCGGTTGGTTCTGGCGACAGAGTCATAGCCATCTGCTACTTCGAAGAGGAAAACGACTGGTGGGTGTCGAAGCATCTCAAGAAGCCCATCAGGAGCACCATCACCACTGTGTCTTGGCATCCGAACTCTGTCCTTCTGGCTGCCGGATCTACCGATGCCCATGCTAGAGTGTTCTCGGCCTTCATCAAAGGCGTCGATGCCCGACCTGATCCAGGTGTTTGGGGAGAGCGTCTGCCGTTCAACACTGTGTGTGGCGAGTTCCTAAACAACTCAGCTGGTTGGGTGCATTCTGTTGCTTTCTCCCCAAGCGGTGACGCTCTCGCTTTTTCTGCACATGACAGCAGCATCACTGTTGTCTACCCTAGCGGCCCTGAACAACCACCCAAGGCCGTCATTAGCATCAGCACTCAACTGCTGCCTTTCATGAGCTTGATCTGGAATGGAGAGTCCGAGATCATTGCTGCGGGTTACGACTGCGAGGCGTTCCGCTTCAGAGGCAGCGAGTCTGGATGGCAGTTGGCTGGCACTCTGGAATCCAAGGGAAGACCTGGTTTGGGCGATGCTCGAGAAGAATCTGCCCTGAATATGTTCAAGCAGATGGACTTGAAGGGCAAGGCCAAAGACGACACGCAACTAAAGACTATCCACCAGAACACAATCTCGACGCTCCGGGTCTACGAATCCAGCGGTGACTCTGTGAGCAAGTTCAGCAGTAAGTCCACTCCCTTTTTCTGACGTTTGAAGTTGTCTCACATACTGACAACTGGTAAAGCAAGTGGTGTCGACGGAAGGGTTGTAATCTGGAACACTTAGACATTAGACAATGAGATTAAGACATGGTTGTTTCGCATCACTGTCCGGCTGTCCGCTTGTCCGCCCTGTGTTTCTTGCTGCTTCCTCCCTATGCAATTACTCTAGGCTGCATGAAGATAAGTCTTCTTCGTTGCTAGGCTTCCAGAATACTCTAGCTCACGAAAACCATGTCCCTTCTCCTTTACCGGCGTACTTAATAAGAGCCCAATCCTGTCATATGTCACTTACAGCGCTCCCCACCCACCAATACCAACATGACGCCTGTGGCATCGCCAAGCGCGTTCATCTATCAGAACTCGTGCCGTCCAGCTCCCAACCTGCTTGAACATCGTACTTCCAGCGCTCTAAATACCATGAATAGTCAACGAGCTCAAACTGACGATGGAGGTATGGACAGTCAGCATGCTGGCCACTCAGGTCATGCAGATCAGCCGGACACGCCCCTGAGCACCGGCCCCCCGGATCCAGAAACTCATCTTAACAGCCTTAGCCCACCCAGCTTCCCACGTCTAACACTGTGCATACGCGGCGCAATACAAGAAGTCTACAATCCATACTCATTGAATGATGCACCTGCCACTCCTCCTCATGCCGTTCACCATCTTCCGAAGCAGATGGACAGGCCAGACCAGGCTGCAGGCAGAAGGGTGTCCAATGCCCCATCCATGGCGGACAGCACCTGCAGCCAGACCATCAGCATCTACAGCAGTGGTTCTGGCCACACCCAACGCACCCTCGCTGTTGTCGACGCCGTCCACTGCATCTGCCTCGAAGCATCGAAGACATACATCACCTCGCACGAGACCAACAAGAAAGTACGAGAACCGAGAAATCCGCGCAAGCCCTCCACTCCCACTCCCCTTCATCCATATCCTCCTCTTCCAAGCAACCCCAACTACGACCACATCCCAGGCATTAGCAGCAACGGCACTCGACGCAGCCGTGCCCACGAACAACATCAACAAAACAACGGCAATGGCGACAAGAAACGACTTTCTTCAGCCGCTGATCTATTATTCATCACCCAACCCACCAACAGCCTCCTCAACAACATCAGCAGTATTTGTAGCATGCTATGGGCAGGTTCGCAGTGCAACCGGCTCAGCGTGCTGAACGTCGAGCGGCAGACAGTAGATGATATGGCTAGATTGCTGGAGTGGGGTGAGACGGTCGCGATGCCCCGGGATTGCAATCAGTGGTCCTTAGGTCAAGATGAGGAGGAAGAGATACTGTTGTGGAGGGTCGTGAGTGCGGGACGGAATTTAGTGCATTGGTTGGGTGTCCCGCAGGGGATTAGGGATATGCTTATTGTGGAGGGAGAGGTTCAGGGGAGGGTTTATGGGGGTGATGGGTATGGGGAGGGTGGTGGAAATGGTCATGGTCAGGGTGAGTTTTGAGATGGAAGAGGGGATGGGGTCGCTTGTCTTGTTGATGAGGATGATATGGTGTCTGGGGGGTTCAGCGACTGGGTTGTGCTTGCTTGGCCCTTGGGGCATAATGAGGGATGAGTGATGGTCTTTCTATCCATCTTGCTCGGTACTCACGTACTAATTACGTAAGTTGACAGTAGTACTCTACTTGAATGCATTCACCACTTGATGTGTATCTCTACGCTTGAAGGCAGATGTGAAACTTGCTCGTGGTAATTTGACACTTGACCACTCAGTCGACCAAGAGGCATGGGAATATCTTCAAGTTGTTTGTGTTTGTGCTACTGAAGGCTCTGAGGCAGGCGGCTGGCCCGTGTCAAGTCACTTAGCCGTGTCTTCAATTCTGCTGGAGATAGACTTTAACACTGAAACAGTCGCTATGCAGACATGATAAGATGAAGGCAATACTCCAGTAGTTCTGTCTGTTAACCAACTCTGGTTCTCATGAAGTGATGACACGACTGAAAGATTAATTGCAAATATGATGCAGTCTATAACGTTGATGGCTGAGGGCCTGCACTTTACTCGAAGTAACTCCTCTGTGTTATTTACTGCTTGAAGACTGTCATTCGTCAGATCAGAACCGAATGCGGGACGAATTGCAGTATTCGCTAACATCTCAACACTGATGCGCCTGGCAAGTGTGTTGGCAATGAGTAGATATCGCTTGATAGCTTTTGGATGAGAACAATTCATTGTCACGATGCAGCGCATATTGGACTGATCCACAGCCACTTTTCATATTGGTTATCAATAGCAACGTCCATGGATGCTGCAGTGGCCAGGCCGTCTCCAACTTCCAGTTGTTCTAAAACAAGAAAGCCGAAAACAATTGGTCTTCAGCAAGCAGGAGCTGGGTCCAGTGTGGGTCTTACGCTAGGCGGGGCCACACTTTGAAGTGCGATTACCCACTACGGATCGGGCGCAAAGCTAAGACTCCATTATGACACTTGTCGCGACGTTCCAGAGCCTACTGTTAGCTTGGTGTACACGCAAGCCCTTTGACGAATATTTCTCAACTTTGTGTTTAAAGCCACCACCCTGCGTTTTCGTACCATTCGATAGCTTTGCAAACCGCGCAACTCAATATTTCCGCACCCGATTTTCGCATCGGCAGTGCCATATTCATTTGTTTGACATAACGTTTCCACGTCAGTCAGCCTGGAGCTTGGAAGCTAAGCTCTATCGACTTTGATATGGTCATCAAGTTCCGCCTCACCACGAAGACATCATGAGGGCGGCCAGGGCAGCTCTGGCAGGGGTGACAGCCTCGCCATGGCGGAATCTGCTCCTGGTGACACTACTTCTTTGGCAGGTGCTGATGATATCGAAGACCGAGGCTAAAAACACGCCGGATGTCAAGGCCACCGACTTCGAACATTTCCCGACGAATCTCAACTACTTCCAGGACTCCGACGTAGTTCTGTTTCAAGATCTCAATGCCGGCGCCATCTGGAGGTCTCCAGATGCCGGGGCAACCTGGGCAAAGGTCGACGAAATCGACAAGGCCTTCGTCTTGATCATGCACCAATACGACTCGAATCGCGCATACGTCCTGACCAAGGGCGTCACACACTGGAGGACGCACGATCGGGGCAAGACATGGCATACATTCTTCACAGATGCCGAGCTGAGCATCTTCCGTGGCGACTGGCTGATATTCCATGCCACGGACCCGGACCGCATCTTGTTCAACGGGATGGACTGCCAGAGCATTTTCTGCGACGAAGTAGTTATGTACACCACCGATGGCTTCGAGTCAGACGCCAAGTTCCTTCGTGGCAACACCGCCGGCTGCTGGTGGGCTAAGTCGTCGGACTTGTTCAGTACCGGCTCTGAAGATCTCGATTCCCAACGAATCTTGTGCATAGTGAGGGGCAGCTTCTCGCTATTCAAGGAGGACAATCAGCTACTGATTTCGGACAACTATTTCAGCGCCACGGCAGAATCCGGTGGCGAAGTGCAGGAATTTGAGCCGGACCTCAATGGCTTCAGTAGCGTTCAAGGTGTTGTCAACATGGCTGTGGTCAAAAAGTACCTGCTCGTTGCCACCGCCTCGAAAAACACCGACGAGATGGCCCTGTACGTCACCGACGATACCCTCAAATGGCACCGAGCCGAGTTCCCGAGCGACCACCGCCTTGTCCAGGAAGCGTACACAGTTCTCGAGGGCACCAATTACAGTATCCAGGTTGATGTTATGACGGCACGACCGTCGAACCCGATGGGCGTTATGCTCACTAGCAACTCCAACGGCACATATTTCACCAGAAACATGGAGCACACCAACCGAAACATTATGGGGCATGTGGATTTTGAAAAAATATCAGGTATTCAGGGGATATTCCTAGTAAATCAAGTCGACAACTTTGAAGCCGTGGAGAAAGACCCTGCCGCTACCAAGAAGATCAAGACCAAGATCACGTTTGATGACGGAAGATCGTTCGAGGCTGTTCGTGCCGGCGATAAGGAGATCCACTTGCACTCCGTGACGGAGCTGAACAATGTTGGTCGCGTCTTTTCGAGTCCTGCTCCGGGTCTCGTCATGGGCAATGGCAACGTGGGCGATTATTTGGGCCCATTCAATGAGGCTAACCTCTACGTATCTGACGATGCGGGCAGGACTTGGATCAAAGGCCTTGATGGTCCGCACAAATACGAATTCGGTGACCAGGGCTCCATTCTCCTCGCTGTCCGTGACAGAAAGGACAAGGTAGGTGAGGTCAAATATTCACTTGATCACGGCAAAAATTGGGCAACTGTGGAACTCCCCGACGGGCTCAAGATTACGCCTTGGGTATTAACCACTACTCAAGACTCTACCAGCCTTAAATTCGTGCTCACTGGCGAATCCGGATCTTCGGAAAACCCTAAGTTCCATGTCATTTCTATCGACTTCGAAGGTCTCCATGAAGCTACTTGCACGGAAAGCGACATGGAAGAATGGAACGCACGTGTTGACGATGAAGGGAAGCCGAGCTGCATCATGGGCCACACGCAGATGTATCACCGGCGCAAGAAGGACGCCAAGTGCTTCATCAAGCAAGAGTTCAAGGACCCCGTCCCGGAAACATCTCGTTGCGAGTGTGCTGACGCCGACTTTGAGTGTGATTTTAACTTTGTCAGAAACGGTGATAAATGCGAGCTCAAGGGTTTGCCCATTGTGCCTGAAGGACAAAAATGCAAAAACCAAGACGACACATTCATGGGATCATCGGGTTGGCGTCTCATCCCCGGAAACCAATGCAAGCGCAAGGATGGCGAGCAAAAGGACAAAGAAAGAGAATGGAAATGCTCAGAGGTCATATCGCCACCAGCTGACCCTGCAAGTGGCAACATTGCCCATAATCAACACCCCATCAAGGGCAACTACGATTACTTCGAAAAGCACTACCTTGAGCGGGGTGAGTCAAGTACCGAAAAAGATGAGACCATCATCATGAGGCCTGTTAAGAGGACTGCTGGCGGCCTTGGAGGAATGCCTGGAGACATTCAAATCACCCACGATCACGGCGTCAACTGGGAATCACCCAAGGTGTTAAAAGACCAGAAAATCTGGGGTATTGTCACACATCCATACATCAAAGATATGGTTTTCTTTGTGCAGCCTGACGGGAAGGTCTTCTACTCGGTGGATCGCGGCCGGCATTTCGATTCATTCAAGGCTCCGGACCCCGTGGGTGACCTTCGCCGAAACCCGCTAGCCTTCCATCCTGACAGAAGAGACTGGCTAATCTGGCATGGAAAGAGATGTCCTGAGGGCAGCTCTGCAGACTCTACAGCCTGCTACGGAGTGGCCTCGTACTCATCTGACCGAGGCGACAATTGGCACACGCTGAAGCGTTATTCCGAGAAATGCGAGTTCACTGGCTCGTCTGCATACAAGGACAGAAAGCCGAACTCAATCTTGTGTCTCGCCAATACTCGAGAAGACAATGACGGAGACAACCCCCTGCAGCTGTCTTTCAGCGCAGATATACAGGTGGAGAAGCTGGAGGCAAAGCTCGATAACGTGAAGGACTTCGCCACAATGGCCGAGTTCATTGTGGTTGCGACCGAGAACAAGACTGCAAGCACCCTGAATGCTCTGACTAGCATCGATGGCGAAAAGTACGCTGCGGCACATTTCCCATACAACTTCGAGGTCCCCCACCAGCACGCATACACCGTGTTGGACAGCTCAACTCACGCCATCAATCTTTTTGTTTCTACTGAGACCAATGAGAACCGGCGATATGGAAGCATCATGAAGAGTAACTCGAACGGCACATCGTACGTTACGAGCCTTTCCAACGCCAACTGCGACAACAATTACTACGTAGACTTCGAGAAGATGCTAGGACTGCAAGGCGTCGTACTTGTCAACATTGTTGAGAATCGAGACAGCGATGATCCAAAACGATTGCAGACTAAGATCAGTCACAACGATGGAGCCGAGTGGGCTTTCCTCCCACCGCCAAAGGCAGACGTTGACGGTAAAGCCTTCAGCTGCCGCGGCGGCAACGGAGACGAAGGATGCGCTCTCCACCTCCATGGCTACACGGAACGCGACGATCACCGAAAGACATACTCGTCTGAGTCTGCTGTAGGCATTATGCTCGGGTGGGGCAACGTTGGCCCAATCCTGGGTGAGAGCAAAGAAGCCGATACTTTCATGACAACCGACGCCGGTATTAGCTGGAAAATGGTCAAGAAGGGACGCTGGGTATGGTCATTTGGTGACCAGGGATCCATCATCGTTTTGGCTCAACGTGAAACTCAGACTAAAACAATATCCTACACACTGGATGAGGGCAACTCGTGGAAAGACTATCAGTTTTCAGATACCGAGGTTTCGATCAATGACGTCACGACTCTGCGCTCGGGAGCCTCGCGTAACTTCTTGTTGTGGGGTCACAAAGGAGACGAGGTGTTCACTGTCAATGTGGACTTCTCTGGACTGACTGACCAGCATTGCAAGGTGGACGCAGACAATGAGGACAAGTCTGACTACAAACTGTGGACTCCGAAGCACCCTAAGCAGCCAAACGGTTGTCTCTTTGGCCACAATACTTACTACCTGCGCAAGAAGACGGACAGGACGTGCTTCAACAGCGAGAAGCTTAATCATGTCTACAAGAACGATAACTGTACTTGCACAAGGCAGGATTTCGAGTGGTGAGTGAAAATCGAAGCCTGTGAATGCCATAATATGGATGCTAACATGGCACAGTGCTTATAACTATGAGATGGATAACCATGGCCAGTGTGTGCTCGTCAAGGGATTGCAGCCTGTCTCTATGGAACAGTACTGCAAAGAGAACCCGAGTAAAATTGAATATTACCAACCTTCAGGCTTCCGCAAGATCCCACTCACAACCTGCCAGGGTGGCGAAGAACTCGACAAGATTGGCGAGCCCGTAGTATGCCCCGGTCACGAAGAAGAGTTCGAGAAAGCACATCGCGTGTCAGGCGTTGCCATATTCTTCGCTGTGGTGATTCCCATTGGACTTGCGGCTGCCGCTGGTTGGTGGGTGTGGCGAAACTGGCAAAACAACTTTGGGCAGATCCGACTCGGCGAACAACACACGATCGACAGCGAGACGCTTTGGGTCAAGTATCCTGTCATTGCGGTGTCCGCCATGGTCGCCGTGATAAGCGCATTGCCCCTTGTGGCTGCAGCCGTCTGGCGCAGCGCCAGTGACTTGGTCGAAAAGTTTACTGGCAGGAGCGCAGGCAGGTACAGCTGGCTGGGTGGAAGCGGTCCTCGCCGGTTCACCACGAGGGACAGCTTTGCAAGAGGAAGAGCGGACTACGACATTGTGGATGAGGATGAAGGCGAGCTCCTGGGCGATGACAGTGACGAGGAGGTATGAAAGGGGTGATGACGTAACATATCGGTTTCTATAGAAAATTCGTCCGTTGTTGCATATCTCGGTGGTCGATAGAGGTCGCTAGGCATGCAAAAGGGACTGATCGCGGGCGCGAATAGGATGAATTGTATCACGGAAGAAAGGCAGATCTGTCGGCGCATGTGTTAGCGGGAGAGGCGCGGGGGGTCTTTTTGCCTTGTATATTTGGTTTATATTTTTTCTTGCCGGTCAATCCACCATCAACCACAATCCTTAGCTTCTTCATCGAGTCTCTATGCTTATTACAGTGGTTGAATAAACATGACTAGAGTACACTGCGGATTGTTCGATCCCGAATTTGGTCCACCGAACGCGTGTGTGCCACCGACCGTATTCAATTTATATAATCTACGTGTATTGGCAAAATAAAACGCGTGTTGCAGAATGTCTATGATACGAACTACATGATGTTGCACTGCAGATAGCCCATGTGCGGTAACGATGCTGCCGTGTGACAGCCGGGACAAGTTTGGGAAAGTCGCATTTTCCCGGTCTAATGTGTTTTCTGCCGCGTCTTCTTCCATTTTTTTTGGTCACATCTCACATGTGTACGTACATTACGAATGAAGTACTAGAACTTGGTCCTGTAGAAGTTCTCGACTAGAAGGGTCTGAAAAGGTTGGGCTGCACATAGAGTGAAAGTGAACACAGTCAGATAATTAAAGGGGAAGATACTGGTTGTGCATGCTGATGGGTAAGGTGGTAACGAAGAAGATGCTTCTATACCGTGAGCGAAGGAATGGGAGAAGACGTCCATGAGTGAGCCCGACAACGGGGGTTCAGAGCGCTGCGCGACTATGTCCCGATCCGGCAATGCGGGCTGCAGGAACATGCATGGCATTAGGTACGTTACAGACGCGCATGTAGTAGCTCAGGAAGAGGTGCAGGTTCACCTGAAGGACGCAGGAGCTACAGTTGATTGATCATATCGCTCTGTACAAATGCGAGGCGCGGAACGCGACGTGGTTGATGAATGAGGTGAGGTCGGTTGAGAGCCGAGGGAGGATTCCCCTGAGAAGTGCAGCCATGGCTATAGCGAGAGGTACGACCTGCCAGGGGTATGTTATTGTGGGGTATAGTGAACACGGCTAGACCAACCCGATGAGAGAACATACATCTGCGAAAGAAAGAGAGAGCTCGAAGGTCACGGAGGACGGTGATGGATAAGCAGGGATAAGGTCGGGACCATTGCGTGTTACGATCAGGAATCATACCGGCACTGGTGCAGGGACGCACGACTGTGACAGATTCGCGCGGCATCCCATCTGGCGGCTGTGAATGCTTTTGGTTGGGTAGTCCTCGACGATGAGCATGTTTCGCTGCAAGAGATACCGTCTGCACAACACACATGTAAACAGAGAGTATTGGGCTCTGAAGAGAAAGACCGTCAGGGAACTGTGGTCACCTCACTATCCATGTCGCGAACACCAGATGTCGGCCGGATCAAGATGACACGGATTAGCCGAGAAACACCCAGTGCAGCGATGGCCCAGCCTGGAGTCAAGATATCCGCAAGGATAATCCATGACGGGCTGTCTGCATTGTTATTGCGGCTGAAGCGTAGCTTCCCCAACGGTGTCATGATCATTCACAAAAGTGGATAGTTCAACGAGTATGCGATACATACACCTACACCTTGCTTGAAACCTTCTCACGGACACGTCCTCGAGAAACTGAAACAAGACGGTATTATACATCAGCTGAAGTCTACCGCTAGATGCTGCCTTCCTCACCGTCCATCAAATCAGACGATTCGTCGTCAAAATAGGTCGGAGAGGCGGTCTGTCCGATAAAGACAGGACATGCTCACGTCAGTGCGTTCGACACTACTTTAGAGTGTGGAGACGAGTCTAGAGAGAGCCACTATGCTGGGAACATCCCCGCTTGCCACCAACGACCCAAGGATTCACTGACAGACTGACGCAAAGCCAAGACTAACACCACCTTGTCATCTGGTCGCCGTTCATCAGGGGTCCAGTCCAAAGCGTGGCACCGTGGCAAGCAGCACCCTGGTTCTTTCTTCGACACGACGTGGTGCAGCGATATATTGCCATCACATCGGCCAAGCGTGCAATTTTCTTGGAATTGCATGAGAAAACGAAAGTGCGCAAGTGCGGGAGAGGCCACAGCCATGATTGTGATGCGCTTGTAGACTGCGCGACCATGGAAGTGGTCCCCCTGGGAGAGGGAAATTGACATTGTCAGCACCGATCATCGCGCGAGCTGCAAGATCTGTGTTGAAGATTAGCCGGTCGTCCCGTTGTGTCATTTCGCAGGGCAACAGTGTGACGACTGCAAAAGGCATGTCTCTGTGACTGTGAGCAGTTACGAAGCAAAATTTTATGTCGTTGTCTCCCTCGGACTGTCTTATTCGTGAGCAAGCGAGTCTGGAGTGATATTATTGAATATCTCATCTTAGTTAAATTAGTACAGAAAATCCTGTGTGAGGGATGATTCATGAATCTCATCTGCGTACCGAGGATCCATGTTTGTCCCGACAACCAAGGCTGCCCCTTGAGTCCCTTTGACCCTCAATAGAGCCCTGAAGTTAGGGATCATGGCCAAATAACACCGTCAAGTCTATCCGTCTTTCTGATCGTCATCTCAACTCAAAGCTAAGCCGATCGATCAGTAGAATAATAGGCCCCTCAAGGTTCACCTCTCCGCTCCTCCCCCACAAACCCGGCCGCCACCGTCGCAGCCTGAGATACTTCACTATAAGCAATGATTTAGCTTTCATGTCGGCCGGTATCGCACGGCAGCATTATCATCGGCCTATCAAAGTCTCCCGTTTAGGGTTCCGAGAGTGACGATCTACAATAGTGTACCCCTAGGTTAAGTTGTCTACAGACTCCTCCCCCGCCCAGACGCAGTTGACAGCCAGCACTCCACGCCCAGCGCCCTGCATCCTGCGACAGAAGCAACCTAACAACGGGGAAAGGCGTCGAGCTTACCTCGTTGCAGTTAAAGTTGCGAAACTTGCCAACTAGATCCGTACTGGCTAGTGTGAACAAGCTTGAGCTAGATAGTCCATCATCGCATCAGAGGTGGGTGATAGTGATAGCATAGGTATTATGCAATTCGAGCGCAGTATAATCACATGAGTGTCTTGGACTACATGGCAGTAAAAAAAACGAAGAGGAAAAACCAACCGATAGGCGTTGCATTCCTCTCTACCACAAGATAACACACTTTTGATGCGGTCCGATTCGACGCAGTGCGCCGCCTCTAGTATAAACCAACATTTCTTTGTTAATCGAGTTACGATCCAGTCCCCTCGCACCAACTCCATGCTCCTATGCAATGATATGATGAGATACATAGAAAATGATACATGAAAACGCCGCTAAAATCCAAATGATATCTTCCAAGCCGTTCTTCAGACGTGAAATGGGACATGCTTAAAACAGGGAGCTATGAGACGAGAGAATTGAAGGTGGTATAATACAAGCAACAGACAATATAGACGGGTAAAAAGGTTTCTCATCATGCCACCGTACAGTGACGACATGGGATAAGTATGTTATTGTGTAGGCTGGGCCTCTCGCAAGTGGCTAATTTCGCCGTACTTTATTCCAGAACCGCTTCACCACACCGCCGTCCGTCGTGGAGTGATGCGCAGCTTCATCGTCAAGGCTGGCAAAGAATTTGTCGAGGTTCTCTTTGGGCTTGCTGTTATCGCCAACGAACATGGATTTCCTCGGCACATTGTCGGGTTGTGAAACCCGGCGTGAATGCCGTTGGGGCCCTCTCTGCCATCCATAAATATGGTCTTCGCATGCCCGCAGGTCAGGCCGTGTAAGCGTCATGCGCAGCGTCATTTCCCGTGAGGACGCTGGTGCCTGCGCATAGCTTTCCGCAGTGTTTGGCAAATGTGAGCTTACCAGTCCAAGGGAACGAGCGCTTCTCGTGAGCTTATCCGGCGTGAGAGGCGTCTTGGGGGACTCGGGATCGGGCTCGGACATATCGTCGCTGTAGATGGATGAACCATCGTCTGCCAAAAACGTCTTGAATCTTTCAGGGTCGTCCGGCTCTCGGCGCGATTGACGGCGCGATTGACGGCGCGTTGCTGGGTGCGGCGCTGACTTGGGAACCCCGGTGAGTGCGTCGTTGGAGGGAAATCCGAATTCAATGGCCTCGTCAAACTTTTGGGGTGAAGCCAGGTATACTCGGAGCTTCAACCGCGCCTCGGGATCCTGATAATGGGCCGCGCCGGGGTCGAATGAGGCCAACGCTTCCTGGGTGGCATGCTTCGGTGCTATAAGCGAAAGCGCTCGCGATTTTCGGCGAATATGTTGGGGAAATGAGACCGAGGTCGGGGTCGGCGAGGTGGGAGTCGATGAAGCATCTTGGGTTGCCGGGCGACTAGTGGAGATAGACGAACGTCCAAAGGGTAGCTTCGTAATGGAGAGATGGCGGCGAAATGACGGGCGATTATCTTTGGTGGGCAACGGCAAAGCTTCCCTCAAGTTGGCATGATAGTCATCGAGAAACAGGCTGAGGTCGAGGTCCTCGTCTTCATCGAGCCACCTAAAGGCATCGTGAAGGGAATCGCGTTTGTTCTTGATCTGAGGTTGCTGGAATTCAGGCGTAGGAGATTCCATACTGGGACGTGTGGATGACAAGCTCGGCGTATAAGCCGTACTCAATTGCCTGGTTGCACGTCCAATTGCTTCGTCTGCCGCATCCAAGATGACACTCGCTCTCAATTGCCTGGCCAGCGCGACTTGTTCGTCTCTGGTGAGGTGATGCTGCTTGAGGTTGGGGTGTGAAAGGTTCAAAGGAAGGAAGGTGTCGGAAGCAGCCTGATCCCGATACAAAGGTGGGTAGGTGGATTGGCGGACAAGCGTATCCGACCTGGTGCTGCCTTGACTGTCCCTGTGCGGTTCGGCGTTGAGGAAAACCTTGCCGTCGAGCCTATCGTCTTCGTTGTAGTTGTCGTCGTAGATGTGGTCAGAAGTTTTGGCGAAACGCAAGCGTTCCAAGGTGGAGAAATACTGCGAAGGAAGAGGGGGGTTAGCAGATGTACTACGGAATGCGGCAGGCAAAGTACTTGTACATAGACGGGTACAAGACAGGAACGGAAAGGACGGGGCGCCATGGTTGAACGGGTGAATTAAGCTGTTCGTGCTAGACGGACGAGACAGACCAAGTCCGTGGCGTGGGACCGCTACGGACCTGCATGCACTTGTGATGCCCAAAGCGTTCAACCGAATGCGCCTACATGACACTAGTAAACAAGATATGTATGCAGCTGTGAGGTCGGCCACCGCAACTTGCAGTATCACGTCGTTGCAAACCCCCATTGGCAGCCATGTGTAGGTGAAGAGGGTTCTGTACAATGACCCATCCAATGCCTGTCGGCTATAGTAATAGTGCGTCCCAGCACATGTCAAAATCGGGCAGACGATGTCGACTTGTGCCGCAATGCACATGGAAGCCACAGCCAGCTAGCATTGCAGGCCGAAGAAACAATGCTTGACGTTGCCCGGATCGGACGCCAATGGCACCGAAAAAAAAAACAAAAAAAACCGGTTCGTCGGGTACTAGTCGTGCCAACGGCGTGGTTTTCTTCTCGTCACTAGACGCAGCTATGAGACAGAACATTTCGTTTTCGTCACTCTCCCCACCAAAGAGGCAGTCGATCGGCATATGGCAACCGTTCTTGGGTATAGCAACATGCAGACTAGACATGTCACCGCACGTGCTGATGACACATGTTGGTAGGTATACCGACCGTATCGTGGAAACCAATAGAGCATGTAGAATAATCAAAACAAAGGAAGAAAACGTGACACTAACTTTGCGTCTTATGGCCAGTGGGAGTGCCTCGAACTCGTCGAGTTCCTGGCGGGAGAGCTGCGTGCACCTGTCGCGCGACAGTTTCTTTTGTCCTGAAGCCTTCCTCGCTAGTCTGATACTGTTGTCCGAAGTGCATGATAACGATGTGGATGTAATTGGGACCGAGGTTGCACCGCGCAGTTGCAAATGCGGCGGCCGGTCGTGGCTTTGGCGTTCAATCTCGACTTGAAGGAGGCTCTGGTGGTAATCGGCGGTGCTGCGGTTGACGTTCGCGATGGCGGAACGTGCCCGAGTTGATGGCCGAGACATGGTCGTTCGCAACTGGAAGCAAGGGAATGGGGGCGTATTTTCTGTTGTGGAACCTGTGGGTAATTGGTGCAAGCTTCATCCAAAACACTTGACGCTTTCTCCAGCTTGACAAACAGAGGCTTGTCAGATGCTTTCGACATCAACGTTAGCAGATCAAACAGGTAAAACATCGTCTTAAAAGAGGAAGAGAGAGAGAGATGGGCAGGCCAGCATCGACATGACATAGTCAATAATTTGCGGTGGTTCATGCGCACCTCCACGCCCAGGGCCCACGAATGGGGTCCAGGAATCTCCATGATGCCCTCCATCCATGGTCTCTGCCGCCCACCTCAGCCGAGTCGACAGGGTGTCAAAGAGTCGACGACCCTATCAGGAAGAGGGTGTTGTGGTCACTGAGTGGCCACGGCTCATCTCTAAACGCTCTTGAATATAGAAACCGACAGGGGGTGCTGTTCAGGAACAGCTTTTCACATGGGCCAATAATGGTCTGCAATTGTCCGCTGGATAACATTGGCAGAGCTCCACCCGTAGCTTCCAAAAACTGCCTTCTACACCTCTTCAGGCATGCAGATAGTTAGCGCATTTCAACCCCCATAATACTTCGTCTTCCACTCGTTTTCAGGAATGATATCCTTGTCGAAGGAATGCGGTACTTGATCTCTCACCCAATTTGTATGCGTCGATCAGTCGCTTAAATGGGGTGTGTAATCCGCTAACAATGCACATGCCTGTATAGGTGAAGGTTAGAGGTTGATAGATCCAACGCTAGTTGTCAATTCTTGGGGCCCCCTTGTAGCGCGTCTTGACAACATCGCATGAGGCAGCGATCGACATTTGTCGTCCTTTTTGGGTAGCTGCGGTGGAGGACGTGACGTTCAACAGTTTTCGTCGTTGCATCGCGCCAGAACGCGGGCGAACAAAAAGGCATCATCAGCTTAACGCTCTGGTGGGGACCTCCTGGCTTCGATGGACCTCACATCACAGGCCGATCCTGATTAGGCATTGGCGAACGGCTATTTCGCGACCCGGCTCCATAGGCGTCTTAGTTCATATCATCGTTCACTGTGCCATGAGCTTACGCCAGGCCGATAAGATGTTTTTCAGCCCCGAGCACTCTAGCTCCGGCGTCGTGGTCATTCCAGGATATGCTCCGAAGCCGTGCAACCGCGGTGATGGGTTCCTCCTTGTCGCACAGTTCTGGGCCGGGCCTGACCACGAGGACTCTGTGTTTCCGAACCGCTATCAGTATTGGGCTTGACGAACTCCAGTCTCGGCACGATACCCGACCTAATTTGTCTCGGCCATCTGCAAGATAGAAGTGGACGAACTCTCAAGCTCGGGCCCTTGATTGTGGAGCTTAACCTGTCCACTCCACGAATTATGAACTCATCCATGTCTTCAAAATTTGGAATGAACAGTCGAGTCAGGATAGTGTGAGTTGCAAACCTCAAAGCTCGAAGGTAACGGACCTGTGGGCGTCTCACTGCGTCGGACCATAGACCTCATTAAGTTCGGACAGCCACCACACGCAGCGCTGCCGTTTCAACCCTTTTCAGCTCCGATGAGGACACCAATCATTGCAGTTACCGAGGACCACTTTCACCATCGCTGCATTGAGTGCATCGTTATTGAGTCTCAAACCTACAGGATGCGGGTTTGCAGACGAACACTGCACCATAGATGGATAGATCTGACATGAACAAAATACGCAACTTCTAAGTTACCAAGCGGACGTTCTCCTATTAAGAAATCGCTCCTGACCATACTACACTTTTTAAGTAGTGCGTACCCATGGTTCATAGATGAAATCAATACCAACCAGGGAATCAACAAACTGCGAACTTTGGCATAATGTTCATCGAGTCATTCTATCCTCCGGATTCTATCCTCCACCCATCAAAAGCTAACAAACAAGAACAAGGTTATTAGACAACCAGTCTTTTCCCTACCACCAGCCGTAAAACCCCGACTCGTGCCCTCATTCATGCCATGATGCACGGGTCGTAATACTCATAGACCTTATCCTCCTTCTCCTTCCCCTTCACAGCAGGAGCCATATACCTCGAGACTCCCGTCTGTCGGTCATACGACAAAAACGTCGGCGCCAGCCTCTTCCCTCCGCCTTCAGGAAGGTCGACGATGAACTGAGGCATGTCGAACCCGGCAATGGAACCCCTGATCTGAGTCTCGAGGTCCAGCATCGTCTGCAAGGGGGTTCGGAGATGCTCCGTGTTCTTGACCACTGCAAGGGCAGACTCAGTTAGCAGCGTGGGGAGACGAAGGGGACGAAAGCGGCGGACGGTCAAAGGGGTACTGACTGTCACACTGATAAACATAATACGGAGCTACTCTCAAGGAATCGGCCAGCGTTCGAATGAGCGCGGACATGGTCTCAACACTATCGTTGACCCCTCGCAACAGGACCGTCTGGTTACGAATCGTGACGCCCGCCTCCACGAGCTTCGAACACGCAGCCTGAGTGATCCAACTAACCTCGTTCGGCGAGTTGAAGTGAGTATGAAGCGCCATCCTCTTGCCAGCCCCCAAAGCCTTGCGGTGGACCCAAATTAGCGCGTCTGCCCAGCGGTCCTCGGGATCGAGGACACGGTTGGGGCACACGGCGAGGCCCTTGGACGCGAAGCGGAATTTGCGGATATTTTTCATCTTGATCAGCCGCTCGCCGATGTAGGCCAGCTGGTCGGGCGCGAGATAGTAAGCGTCTCCTCCCGAAACGACGACGTCGTGCAGGCCGGGCTGGCTCTCTATGTACGCAAAGGCGTGTTCCCAGCGCTTCAGGATGGGTTTCATCTGCTGTTTGGTGAAGGTCGAGACTTCGGCCCCGACGGCGTAGGAGCGTGTGCAGAATGTACAATAAGTCGGGCAGACTGAGACGGGAAGAAACAACGCTTCTAGGTGAAGATGAACGTTAGCAACCGGCATGCACCAATATAGGGGTCAAGGGGAAGTCCTCACTGTCCGGGTAGCGATGGACGACGCCATCTACCGGAGAATCTTCGTTCTCGTGCAGCGAATCCAGTTTTAGTTTGGGATGATCTGGCACCATCAAGCTCTTCACCGGAAAGAATTGCCGGAAGATCGGATCTGAAAGAAACTCCCTGGTCAGCGTCATACTCTTGTCTCAGCACCACCCAATGGCAGGCTTTTTGTGAACCTAGCCAACCTGGCTACTGGAAAGGATGGAAAATGCCAGCATACATACCATGACGAGGGTCCTGCCAATTGATCCTACTGAAGATATATGGCCTTCTTGCATATTAGCCCGGTGCCAACCTACACTCTAATTCAACGGAACCAAGGGTACCGACATTAGACGTAGACTCATGGTGCTTGCAGCGATACCCTGAAAGACATCCTCAATCAACTCCTCCCGCCGTTGCAACTTATTGGGACTCGAATCACAGGGGACCGAGTCGGGCAGCACCACCCTCAGAATGCCCTGAAGATTCTCGCTTCGAGACCGCTTGTGGTGCTCGACGATGTTCTTCTTGCTCCAGGCGTAGGAGGTGAACTGATCGACAGACACATCCCGCCACATGGGGATTTGCCGCCAGAACTCGTCGTGGCCGCTGGCAACGGGACCCTGCTCAGGCTCTGGACATGCTGCCAAAGAAGCCGCCTGGCTTGCTCGAGGCGGAACGGTGAATATTGTGCGTCGTAGTGTTGAGGGGACGGTTCTGGTGGCACTCTGGCTCGCTAGCCAGCGAAGCGGTGCCTGCCGGCTCATGACCGACACGAACATGACGAGCAGATATACTAGAACACGATGATGTGGAAAGGATTTGATCTTTCAGAAGTCTGATGGACTGCCTGGCTTCTTCTCTTGATTCTTCCGGCGTGGTGTGTAAGCCGGCTTGGGTTCCGACCAAAGAAAGGGGGTCGAGAGGATAGAAGTTTTCGGCTTGGATATTTGTTGTCTGACCAAAGTGTGGTCCTGCGCCGTGTGAATGATAAAACAGAGCACCAACAATAGCAATGGATGGTGGTTTTCATACATTAATACCCAGAGGGAGTCGAAAAAATTGGTCCGGGTAGCGATTCCACAGCTGAATCTCGGTTTCAACTACTGCGATTTGTTCGCAGCTGGCAGCAAACTCCGGGCTCGAGCTATGCAAGAATATTCACCGCCGGTACCGATTAGTTGACTTATCACCGAAATCAAGAAGTCTCGTATTGTGTTCTTGAAAAAGAGGCAGATCGTGAGTTGCCATTCGTCCACAGGTTCTCAGCCTCCAGCCTGTTCGTTACACAGTTTGGCAGGTCGCATCAAGGGGCGGATGCGAGTATTTAGCGCACAACAGCAAGGAATTATTGCGGCTAGAGAGGTTTTCTAATATAGAAAGTTAGCAGACACACTTATGCATCATCGCAACTGCTGGCCTCGTCATGGTGCAACTCCGTGCCGGCTTGAGACACAGTCGAGGAGCATACCTGTGTAAGCACGCAGGGATGTTTCGAGTCCCAATCTACCAACTTCTGCCCTTTCAATAGGCCTTTTAACAAGTATCACACTTGCTTAACTTTTTGTCCAAGATATATGGAGTTTTGTAGGGCGTTGTTGGTCGGGTCAGCTAGGTGTGGTCCTTATAATTCGCTTTGATGCTTTTCCACCCGTCCCAACAGCAATATCAACCTAGATATCTTTCTGATTCAAACCCTTACTGCAAAATTATGAGAGGTCATTTTAAATGAATAAAATTTCTGACAAGAATTGCGGACGTTCCCGCTGATGATTTTGAAATGTTGGTTAGGCTGCCATCCCACTAAAAGGTCGCGGCCCGTTCAGTTGGTTGTGGCCCCCTTCAGTTTGTTAGTGTTGGTTGGTTGGTTGCACTTTTTATACTCGACTCAAGATAACGCCCCCATGGATCTGTAAATTGCTGTTAGGTCACAATGACATGATCCACATTCCGTTTCGTTTGTTTCGTTTCGAGAGAAGGACAAAACCGGGGTCGTTGTGCAAGGCGGACCGTCAGTATGGGTATCTTCCGTCACTTCCATGTTACAGATACAGATGCTGCATCTTCGGATGCGGGCTCAAGCAGAAATAGGAAAGGTTCTTAGAAAACTATCCTTGTTCATGTGGACTCGCATGAGGTGTTTTCCAACTGAGCCAACTGACCTGCCTCCATTGCGGGGATCGTCCAACTCATCACATATCCAACAGCTGCAGCTGTCGAATCTCATGGTCCCTATCAACCGTCGAGTCGAACATTGGATCAAGCATTTCGTTGCAAAAGACGTAGGGGCACCATCCGCCACGAACGCCCGACGATCACGCCTCGCTCGCCACTGAGTTAGACACATGTCCGTTTCCCAACTACGCACAGCAGCAATGACCGGTGCACTTTCCGTCGTCAGCATGCCAGGTTTGTAGTCATACGCTGGTATCTTATAAGTATACTAGCAGGCCTACCGGCTCCCGGTAGCTTTCTGGGAACCTATTTCGGGGACCTCGTCCACCCCTGACTTCCTCTGGGTGCTTCTTAGAGTCGAAATGGCAAATTTTTCGACTGGCGTGGGTCGGCTTATTTGTCCTAGCACCACCATGTATGTTTACATATTTTTAGATATTGCGTGGTGTAACTTTCTTGCCGTTTTGGCCTTGCATACTACGCGTTTGCCAAGGTTGCAACCGGGTATGTTGGGGCAAGAAGTTTTATCACAGCTTGTAGAAAGACTGACTCCAGATCACCTCTCAGCATTCGTGACGAAGTTGACGCCGTGGTGACGGGATGATACAGCGAAGTCTAGCCACATGGACATCTACACCTCAGGTTTAGTGTTGGGGGTATTTTGAATGTGGCAATAGTCAAGGTGTTGCTTGATGGACCATTCTTGCAAGAACTTTCTGCAGGCATTGAATGGTTCTGTCCTCGTATCTCTTGACCGCTGGGAAACTGCCGATCAGACGATCAGACCCGGTCTCCGCACATTGTGCTCGAGAGGTCTAGGGGCCTGCAATACTTCCAATCAATAAAATTCAATAATTTTCATTGTCGTGTCCTTAATAGCGGTGTTCTTCTAGTCGGGATGGGAAGGCGTTGGGGTGAGCAGCACTGAACTAGTCATAAGATTCAGTAAGTGTTTGCCACATATGGCGATCTTCGTATTTGTGACCGACCAGGGGTGTTTCTGACGAGAATAGTCTTGAATGTTTGAGGTGTCACTACTTCTCCAAGCTTATTTCCAGAAGCTGCAGTGGCCATTTCAGTGCCTGTTCTGAGGAGATTAGATATTGGTCAGGCGCTCATCGTATTTTGCTCATGCACTGTGATACGCTACCTTTAATAAGTTTTTTGAAGAGCATGACAAGGCAAATCTAGTATGTGATCAAAGGCTGGACTCTGCCTATACTTGGTGTGCCATGATCATGGGGGCTTTCGTCATACTCGATATGTCTTCCATGTAGCCGCTTTCCGGCAGTCAGTTACTGGAAGCTGTACATAGTTTGAGCGTTTGTGTTATTAGTAGACTGTAAATGTCCCTTACCATCTCAGTTTCGTTCACTAGTGCGCTCTGTACTGGACAGGACTTCAGCAAGTTACTTTGTTAGCCCATAGCATCGCGAGCTTTGAGTGTGGGACATCGTGCTACTTCTACCTTGACTGTAGCTATGCAATAGGAAAATTGAAAATGCCCAGCAACACCCAACGACCCTGGACAACTGTGGGGCAAAGGTAGTTGCGATATTGGCCATGGCCATGCTTTTGTTTCCCTTCTTGGCGTCCATAATTCCTTTGAAATAAGTACCGTAGAGAACGGCATAGTATGATATGACAGCCAAAGTTTCGCGGCTCATTTGCGATGCCAGAGACCTGGAAACGCCATTTCGAGGTCCTGTGGTCGCATATGTGGCCACATTGAGATACGGTCACAGAATGGTCCCCAGGACGCCTTGTTGGGCAGCCGAGGTATTAGAACTAACTATTTCAGAGATGGCAAATGCACAGCAGGAAATACCGGATGGCTTACTCAAACAATCATGCTCCAAATCCAAGTACAGTTGTTTTATGCAACTGATATGTTAGAAGCCGTGTGCTGCTTTGTGCTGGAATGACACACACCGGCCAGATGACGAGTGCTCTTATATTACTTTCGTTTAACCGAAAGTGGAAGTGGTACCAGACTGTCGGGTCGGGGGACGAAACATCCCCAGGCAACTTGTTTACGTATATGATGTCGGTCCGGACCACACGCATAATCTTTACAGGCTAGGTTAGTGACCTGTGACAGGTCATGGCCGGGGACAACCGTTGTGGTGCTTGCAACTTGGGTACTCCGTGTCTGGGCTCACCGCTAACCTTTGTGTCATTTCGATGGTACTTTTGGCTTTTCTCTGCCCTTGTGTCAAGGATAGAATCAAAAGTGCTGATGAAGAACGTCGGGGCGGGCCGGTTCATAGAAAGCTGTGGCTCTCGGGTCGATCGTATGGGATTTCGTAACATATCATTCTTGCAACAAATTACCCAAGTAAGAAAAGGCTTGACTGAGGACGTCTTTTGTGACAAATTTGTAGTTACTTGGTCATTTCTTCCCCGTTGAGTTTCGGGTGACCAGGGTCATCGATGCCTGAAGGACGGCAACACGGGTTGCTCTCTCCGCAACCTGGAATGCGCAAGCAGGAGGGCAAGCACCCCCAAGGTCGTCACTGACGTCAAAATCACTTGCATAAACCGCCTTCCCGAGCTGGACGATTATCATAGTGTTACTAATGAAGGGACCGGGAGACCTCAGACGTTTGTCCTCGCATAAAAACTATGGCCTTCCAAGTTCTGAACGTCACCACAACTGTTGGAGCCAAACTCCTTCCCTAACTTCAGTTGCCTTCCACGGGGAACCCGCCTAATCAGAAAACAACGATCCACCGGCTCCTTATCTTTCATGGCCCCCTTGGGATCGTCCAAGTAAAGAAGGTAAGGGACCAGCATGAGCAAGTAAGGTAGCATGATAGGAGTATCTTACCCAAACCTTGAAAAAAAGCCACTTCATGATGACTGTAAGGGCCAAAGGTCAAAGACACGAAGCATAGGCATGTCACAATATCATTCGTTCATACGCGCCAATTCGCTTGCACATTTTCTAAACCAGCCCTAGACGACCGAAATTCGACCAACTGCATGCGCTAGCTCCTCAAGCGACGTATGGAGTTTTCCTCCAGGACGGCCTTGAATGATATTTGATCGACGTGTGAATCAAGCTCTGTCTGATTGGAGTATAATTCTGGCATCGGGAAAATCTGACTGAGCAGATGTAGCGTAGACCCAAGGTGATAGGGCGACAATGGTCACTATGCATATTGGGGGCCGTGATGACTTTCAGATCGATTAATACGCGACACGTTGTTGTGAGGGACCACAAATTTGCTGCCAGACTGCGGCTATTCTGCGTCTGTTGCATCGAAATCACACGTCTTAAACCAACATTGCTTGCTTGGCCCTCAGGAGACTGTGCGACTGCTTCCATATCTCCAGCATTTCCGGGACTCGCCCATTCCCGGCATTCGTGCTCATGGTTCGCGGCAGGAGAATGTTCAGCTAATTTGCCCGGGGCTAATCCAAGCTATCCATCTCAATCGAATCTGCACCATCTCCACCAACCACAGGAACCTGCTCCATTACGAAGTCGTAAGGATCATAACGCTTTTGGCATGATGCCCCATCCCCTTGGTTGGGTATTGCAGTCTCGATGAGATAGAAAAATTCCGGCTACGAATTGAGCCACGCCGGAATATTCTACATCTTGGGCTGGCTACAACTCGAAATCCTATCCCAAACCACTCGCAGCATTCACGCCTACAACGCTACAGCGATGCCTATGACAAGCAAGACAAACGGAGACATGGCCATGTACCCATTACGATAAACAAGTAGGCTTTCCTCATCAAACAGGACGTCAAACTTGCGAAGGATGTAGTAATTCAGACAGTTCTGAATCATCTGCGTGTCGAAAGCGTGACCCACGCCATGATAGATGCAATCGGGCCTGGCTTCAGTCCGGACAGAGTCCATTCAGGTACCAGTGGAAGGTACACAGTTCCGCCACAGAGCCAGTTGGTAGAAACCCATGCTGAAAATGAACTCAGCTTCCTCAAGCACAGCGCCACCTGCGCCCTTCGATCCACCTACGTTGACGACAATGAAGAAGGCAACGGCCAACACGTTGAACACAGGCGTACCGAATCGGTGCCGTCGGCAGATCTGGATCTTCTCAGCTCGGGCGAAATACAGTTGTGGGGGCTGTTGGTTTTGAAAATTACAAACTGGCGCGTCGGCGGCAGTACCATCACCAACAGCCGCCGGTGAGTGGTTGACCGTTGTGCGACATGCACATTGCAAAATCTGTTTTATGACATTCGCGCTCGTCACAGCCGTTGCCGCCGCACTTTTACTTCATTTGTTGTGCCGCATCCTCGGCCTAATGTTGCTGTCGCCAAGCGGCGCAGTCGTTGGGCTGGCAGGGGATGGAGAATGGGCCACGAGTTGTAATTCGCGATTTGCCCAGAGAGACGACGCGTGAATGCAACCCTACGTTGCACGCTAGCCGAGTCACCGAACATCCCAATCGAGGTAAGACAGCCTGAGCTATTTTCATCGAGGGTTGAGCAGGGGAGCTTCACATTGCCAAGATATACAAACCACCCCTGTTGTGTTGGAAACGCACTCGAGAGGCCTCATATCACAATTCAGCCTAGACGGCATATGTGGTGCTTTATGCACAACTGTGCATACATCGCATGTATGCGAGGCATTTTTTCTTTTCGACTTGGTTGGAATGCATCGTTTCGCATTCGACAGTTACTGGTCTGTTTTGCCACCCTCGGAAGATGAAGCTCGAGCGAGCTCCCTGGAGGCGAAAAGGAAGTATAGAGTCACCTCCAGTATTCTTAGCATTATATTTGTCGTATGCTATGCAGTGATACAACGGGAGTTGCTTCTATAGGTCAGTCTGTGTGACAATATCTCTTCGTCTTCGAATGCCTATATGACCAAATTCAAGGCGGCGAGGAAAAAATCGAGAAGGAGACTATCTCGTACATTCCGAGTCCATTCACTCCCTCTCGGTCAGCTTGCGAGTAGACGGAGAGACCTACCCAATATCCCAAGTTTACGGTATACAACGCCTTCAACCTCTGCGCCATGCATCCAGTACACCTATTCCAACTCAAAGGGGTGATCACCGCCATGCTCAAGTGAACAGCTTCCTTCAGTCCGAATAGCAATCTTCATCTTCCGCATCATCGAAATTGTCATCGTAGTAATACTTCAAATCATCCGGATACCGTTCCTCCCCCTCAGGGCTGGTAACCATGACCGTAGGCAACCCCGGCTGTTTCTTCTGCGGCAGCGTGCGTTGCAACTGCCAGTACCCACTGCGTCCCGGCCGCGGCCAGTCAGGTGAATATCGCTCATCGACTGTCAAGTGCCCACCGGAGGGGGAGCGCCAGTGGTTGTGGTAGAGGGTCGAATCCTCGGGACAGAAGGTCGTGCCTTTGGGGTCGGTGACTGCGAAGGTTGGGAAGGACGATAAAGAGGATGAAGATGATGGTGAGAGAGATTGAAAGGAAGGTGGGGGTAGAGGCGATGAGAGCAGCGTCCAGGTGCGTTGGATGTCGGTGTTCAGGGTCAGGGAACCGCCGTATTTGCGACGGCGGCGGCCGGGGATGGCGAGGTACTTGTCTTGTGGGATGGAGCGTCCAGAACACTGGATTATGTTGCTGTCTTCCTCCTCGGCCAAGTCCTCAGTCTTGGTTGAGAGGACTGATTGAGTCCGGCGGTATGGGTGAAACATGAAATCCCAAGGCTCTTCGGTGTAGGTGCGGAGCTTAAAGGGGCTGGGCAGGGGGCAGCCTAGGATTTCTTCGTTGCTCAACTCCATGTTCTCGGTTGTGGTGTTGTGAGCAGCGGTCTCGGTAGTCTGCTGGGCAGCTTGTGCCGCAGCTCTCAGGTGTTCGCGAACGGCTTCGATGCGATTCATGACTGCCCGGTGCGTGAATTCGGTGTAGGTGTAGTTATAGTCGTAGTCGCTCATCTTTGTCCTTCGTATACTCGGGTAATTTGACAAGGTAATATGCAGCGACGATGGGTGTATTGACGTCGTTAGCTATGCGCGAAAATCAAGTTCCTAAACCGAAGGCAAGTAAGCAGAGTTCTTTCGAGCTGCTCGAGGATCTACGGAGAATAGGCACAGGTCAAACAGAATCCACGACTGGGCGGGCTGTTTTGTAGCCTTGGAATAGACGTAACGGAGATAGAACCCTTTTGCGAATTCAATTTCTTCTCTCGAACACTGGTAGACGTAAACCTTACGGCGGATGTTGCACGGTTGAGCCATACTTGTGGACTGGACTGCTCTGAGTACAGCATCCACAATTCTATTGCAAGCGGGAAAAGGTGCTATGCTGTAAGTATGGCTTTATATACGATAAAACGTTGAATGCGGACCTCATGAGGCAAGTGCTGAGGGCTATGATCACGGATGAATAAGTAGGTTACCATGCCGAACAAATGGGATACACGTTATACAGAGCATTATTGGGGTTCGGATGGAAAAATATGATTGGGAAACCATTACCGCTTATTCTGTTTAGCTGAGTATAGACTGCTGTGGACCTTTATTTATGTACATGTCCAAAAATAGTCCAGCAGACTCGGCATACGCTTGTTTGCCTGTCTGGTTCTGATGTAGGCAGATTGTGAGCTTAATCTCTATGGCTGGCAACAGCCTTTGCGTTGCCGACAAGCATTAATCGATGCGATGCTTCCTAGAACATCAAGTCATATTGTATCCTGTACGGATGACAGGTCGGTCATCTCGAATGGCTTTTGTGGGCCAACAAGTTTGAGTTGCATGCAAGCAAGACCTGATGTCCAACCATTTACCATTTACCTTGAGGTGAAAACAGGAGGGTTGTCCTCTGCCTGGATATGCACTTGCCCTGTAAGATGGACCGGTCCAATCTCTTTGAAGAGTGCATGTTTGCTTTGATGTCCCTCTCGCGACGCAGATGCTGCAAAGAGCTCCCGGTGCTTCCACTAGAGCAGCGAAGTGCGGAGAGCGCTAGCAGCATGCTATATGCTGCATCTTAAGAACCTATGACTCTTGCTCAAGAGCTCTGTAGTCCGTGTCAGCAGGAAACGTGGGAATAAATATCACAGCTCAAGATTGTTAGACTTACCCGAGATAGTCTTCCTTGATGCTGCCAATAGCCCACAGCTCTCCAACCTCAGCACGGATACCCATCAACTTGATGCGTGTGTGAGTGCCAACTTCGATACGGGTTTCATCACCGTCACTGAAGGCTGGAGGCGTGGCATTGGGATCCCACTTAATGTCGCTTGGAATCAACTACCCCGGGCGTCAGTCAAAGTCCGTTGAGGGCTCTTGAGCAATGCATACGTATGAAGATACGAAGATCCTGAGGGGTCCAGCTTCAGCGAAGAAGCCATGGACGTTCACCGATACAACAACAGCATCGATCTACATGATTTTTAGCAAAAATGACCGAGATTAAGCATCTAAGGTCCATCTCACCGTCTCTCCCTTGAAGGGCCGCCAGACCACGGCTCGGTATCGTACTGTGAACTCTGCGAGGCCGTTGCCAGGAAGAATGCGGCCCTCAGAGATGTCGAACGTATCCATGATGGAGATGATGTAGTAGCTACCAGTACACGTGCCCTCGACATCCTTCAGCAGCTTGCCCGTGACAAGCTCATGCATGTTCTTGCCGAAGTAGGAAGGGTGAAGCGTCACGCGGCGCTCCATATTGTAGAGGAAAAACATGGCGGAAATCGAGTCGCGATCGGCTCGGAGTTGCCTTGGGCTTGTTTTTGATGTTTGCGAAAGTACCTCCTGTCGACAATGGCAAGGAAACGTATCGGTTCAGTCAGCAAGAAGTCAAATCGTCAAGCGCGTTGAGTTCCAAGCCTTCGATTCCAAGCCCAGCCGAACCAAGGCGATGGTTGGCTACGAGTCGGAGGTGGCAGCCGTACGATCGCGTTACCGTTGGATGCAATTGGAGAGCGAGTCGGCGGTCGCTGTTGCGCTTTATTTGATGCGCTTGAGGATAAAGCTGGCTGGGGCGCCAGGGACGACTTTTGGGTATCGCGATATGGCAAAAAGGAAGACAAAAGAAGCCGAGGAACGACAGTTGCGCGTCGATACGGACAGTGGAACGTCTGCGCACTGTTGAAGCGTAAGATCAGCCAGAAAGATCCCGATCAGAGTTGACGCAATGATAAATTCTGCTGTTGAGGTAAGGTGAAGGCAAGGTGAAGGAAGGCTGAGATATCGGCCCACGACTCATCAGCAACAAGTGACGAGGCTCCATTTGATGCAATGCTGGTCAAAAAAAGCTGCCCGAGAGCCTCATGCTGTAGTCCGTGCCCAAGCTGGGGTGCTAGATTGTGGGGCACAGCTGCTTCGTACCTTTCTCATTTTGCTCGTCCTATGCTTCCATACATTGTCCCAACTTGCATCAGTTATTGTCCTGATAACGGAGAGGCTTTCCATGCATTCCTGTCGCATATGTTGTTGATTGTCGCACCTCGAAAGCAAAGAAGCATTGTCGTAGGGTCGTATATACGAAGCTACCTGGCAGGAAGAATCGTACCGCCCAAGCGGATAGATGAGAAGATCAATGGTGCAGTAAGTACTTCCTCCAAAGCAGGTCCAAAGCGCAAGACATAATGACACTCAAACGCAATCATCAGTGCCTCTGGCTTACGAGAATAAACCGGGGTTTCCAGTAATTATGGCTGTCTACACGGACTATCGGGCTATTCCATGTCTACCTGTATGTTCCACGGCTGTCCACCCCACCAAATTTGAGCGTGGGATGGATGGACGGATGAACGGTGCTAGCGTAGAACTTTCCATTTCCATCCTTGGCATCTCCCGAGGCTTCTGTTCAACCCAAATCACCAAATCTTTCAGGAGCACGTGTCTGTTGCAATCAGCCCACGTCCCACGACGCCCTTCCCAAGGTTCATCCATACCTTTCGAACTACTCGCTTTCGCTTGACGCACTTGACACCTGCCGAATGCATGGTGGACCATTAGCTCCCGCTGACCATTATTGTCACCCGCGGATCCTGCCGATTTCCACAGCCGATAAAGCTCGACATCAGATAACCACCAGTTCCCCTCGATCCTACTTCGTACAAAGTCGCGACGTCTCGGCTTTCTGTCTGTCAGGCACCATCAGATCGACCAAATCGCAAACATAACTACACGCATCTACTGCTCGACCAATAACAGAAACGGTATCATGGCGCTCAATCTGGAGAAGCAACTCACCTTCGTAAGTCGGCCAAGCCAGTATTGGTTCTTTGCCGGCAATGGTTGACATGTGGAACAAGTATGGTGCTTACCACCACAACTCCGTCAATATAGGCATACACATGATGTGTGTGCCAATCATCCTATTCTCAAGCTTCGCCATGGTACGTTCCCTGTAAAGACAAGCAAGCGACTCTAGACTCAAACCATGAAATCTGCAGGCCACAAACTCAGGCATTTTGATCCCGATACCCAAGACTCTCACAATCCCATACCTCGAGTCCAACCTCGCCACCATCGCCGCGTTGACATGGGGTGGGTTATACGTACTCCTTGAGCCAGTAGCAGGGACTCTGTTGGCCTTGCTATGCCTGGCCGCGGCCGCTGGCGCTAACGCAGCACATGCTGTGAACCCCGGCCTCACGACCAAAGTTGCCTTTGTCGTACACGTCGTTGCGTGGATATTTCAATTCATCGGCCACGGAAAATTCGAGGGTCGAGCTCCCGCCTTACTGGACAACCTGGTCCAAGCCATATTCCTTGCGCCGCTGTTCGTCTGGCTAGAGCTGCTCTTCAAGTTCGGTTACCGACGGGAGCTCCAGGACCGAGTCGACAAGGCTGTTCAGAAAGAGATTGCTAAGTTCAGGGCTCAAAAGGCCAATGGTTCTCAGAAGAATGGAAAGGCTCAATGAATATCCGCCGAGAAACCTGCCAGGAGCGCGAGGGAAGTTAAGGAGGATGGTGTTTGAGGAAGATGGATGGATATGCTCGCATACCTTACGGTTCAGTCGCCGCAGGCTCCCATTGGCGTAGCTGATTCCGTCCCGAAGGCGGGATGTCGTGGCATCGAAGAAAGTCATGGGCGCCACGAAGACGCAGATGAAGAAAATACCGTGTTTTGATTTGGTTACCAGTCGATACCCCTTCTTCTTTCAAGTCATCAAGTTTCGGATACACAGGAGATCACAGCAGAAACCTCGGAGGTCACAGTGCCAACGACTGCTCACCAACAAATGTCACTTCTGCAGTACGCGAGTCAACACTTACCGCTTGGGGTCATAATGAAGCGGTATTATTACATTACAATGTCATTTATTTGAACCAAAAAAGAAGCAAAACAAAAAAGATTGAATTCACCTATCGGCTTACTCCCCGTTCGGCAGTCTACCTCATCGCACTAACCTATTGAACAGTCTCAGTTGATCAAATAGAAAGACCCTGATAAAGATGGTCAACTGGTATGTTGAGCAATTGATCTCATTGTTCCGAATAGAAAGAAACAGCCGGACCTACTGGAAAACTCGCCCCCTTTTAGTTCCACATCGACTCTACCAGCTCAAACTTCCGGGCACCCTCGCAAGCAAACGACAGATCGGACACCTCAGTCAGGCTGGATGGCGCGTCTCCGAACGCCGAGAAACCAAGGCTGTCAAGGTACGATTTCTTGGAGTGGCTACTCCCCTTGCTATCACTGCTCCCGTTACTGCTGCTCGCCCTGCTAGACGTTGACACAGGCGCAGGCCACGTCTTCAGCTTCGGCATCAGTAACGGCTGCTGTGTCGGGGTCAGAGGCACGTGCGCGTTGTACACGTTGAGGTGTACCTGGTACAAGGGCGGTTGCGGGTTGGTTGTGATGCGGATTGTCGAAGAGCGACAACGGACGCGCCTTGTTTCGCGGCGGAGACGTTGCGGGGGAGTGGGTTGGCGGGGGTGGGGTCTCCGACGAAGACTGGTGCCAGGGGAGCTACGTGGCTACCGGTGCGGGTGGTCGTAACGGTTGCAGGCGAGGTAGGCTTGCGGAGGGGTAGAGAGGGGGTTGTCTTGATGACGACGCTGGGAGATGCGTGGCTGCTGCTGGTCTTCTTCTCGGCTGCTCGTTCGCGGAAGGGACTGCTATCGCGAGGAGCAGAAGGAGGGTAATTTTTGCTTCTGCTGCTGCTGCCCTTGGACTTTCCGTCGGCTGGCTTTTCAGACTTCCTTGAATTAACCGCGGCTGACTTGAGCGACCTCTCCGACCTCTTCTTCTTGGCCATCTTCGCCTCGCCATACTGGCCCGGTATCCAAAACAAACTCTTGCTCGAGACAACCTTATGATTATGGCTCATTGACCTTGATGGCAACTCCGACTTTCTCAACGCATTACGGGCAGCCTCTTTGGGCCACTGCTTCTCGCTGAAGCTCTTGTCCGCGAACCGTTGGTAGAAGATGCTGGCGCCGTGCCCCACGCGCTCTGTGGACAGGCCCTCGTATCGGATGGCACAGTGATCACACCAATTGGCGCAGAGCTCGCTCTGACGGCGGACGCTTCCGCAGTTCCGCTGCCCCTTGTACTTGCCGGAGAGGCGGTGGGCGAGGGACTTCTGCCGGCGATGGTGCATGGCGCAAGTCACGAGGTGCTTTTCTCGGTGGTCGCACCCGAAGAAAGTTGTAAGCTCCACGCACATTCTTGTGTCGCGTCCAGTGGTGAAAAGGGAAAGAAAATACGGAGAGAGTAGTTTTGTGGACTTCTATTGGTGGTTGCACGCTTGCTTGTAATGGAAGAGTCCATAGGCTACTTTCTGACGATGGGGTATGTATAGAAAGTTAGCTGTGTAACAGCTAATATAACCTAGAAATGTTTGTGTTGTATATATATATATATATTCAAGGAGACAAGGAAATAGCTGTGCGATTGTTGATAAGAAACAAGGGGACTGACTGAACTGATGCGAGACAGGGGTGGCCTTCTTAAGTACAAGCGTGCCCCTTTCTTTTCGTTCGAGACTAGTGTCGTCAAGGCCTTGTTCTCCGGAGATTTAATATCCTTCATTGTCAATTCCCTTTGTCAAACATGTCTATCATTTTAGACGTTGACCGAAATAGCATCTGTCAACCAAGGGATAAGAAGGAGAGGATATGAGGCCGCAGACAATGGCTTTACCATCGGCGAACCGCTCCCTTTTCAATGAACTCTTGTCCCGAGTAAACAATCTCATTATTGCGGGAAACTTCATCGCCCATAAGATTCTACCAGGGACGCCACGTTCTAGAGTTTTAACTACACAGAAATGACCAACAACAAAGTTAACACTCTGCTACACAATACCAATCATGTACCCAACTTTGTTGTCGCTATTTTCGACACCAACCAAGTCAACCATGGGTAGTTTCAAGACTTTCTTCAGCAAGTTCTTCCGGAGGCGGAAGGAAAGTAAGAGCAAAGATGACGCTAGAATGCCATACCTCCTACTCGGTCACCCAGACAAAGGCTCTAGACTTACGCTACCCTGAAGTTAGATATTGGAACTACCATTGAGACCACCGGCTTCGTAGCTATAGATCTTAGTACCACCCAGCACCCACACCAACTTACGTAGGTAGCACCAAAGACCTTGACCTCTCTCTAGATTATATAGTCTCCGAGCTCTACTTCAAGACCCACAAGAAGGAGGATATTGGGACAAGGATTAGTCCTGTTGGGGGTTGCAAGGACAAGCCCAAGGACCAACCTTCAACACATGAAGGCAAAACATAACGACATCGCGGGTCTATTTGACCAGCAGTCTAGCAGAAATTTCGAGGATCATGCGGCTCACAAGCCATATGTGACGGCTGAGCAGCTGGCCTAGATTTCCACTCTATCCACTTGAAGGTGGCGGATATTCGAGCTACCTACAGAACGCTTCATCTCACCATGGCCTCACCCTAGTGAGCTCAACAACGAAAAAGCGCCGCAACTCATTCGAGTGCCCAGCACTACCGTCAATTTCTGCCCTGTCTTAACGTGAAATACGAAGACAGCGGGGTCTTTTGACTGTACTACCATGCTCGGCGCTTTTCGTCCGATTCAGAGGTGATCGAGGATTTCCGTTATCGTGCTGGAGATCGAAAACGGAAAAAGCACCCAGGGAGAAATCCCCATTCCCTGCCCCAGAACCAGAACCAGCTCCACCTCCAGCAAGAGAGACAGGAAAAGGGTGAGAAGTGGAAGTAGAGAGATACATTTCACTTCGTCGCCACCATTCCTACTGCCAAGACGAAAACGGGTTCGTCCTGCCCGAACTCAAGCTGAAGAAGATGCATAATACTGGGCCGGATGATCCTATGTGCATCCACACCGACCCTGTTCCCTCCAGCAGTCGCTGTAGTGCTGTTCAGACCAATAACTCTACTCCCAGTGGAATTACCTCCTAGACAAAGAGATATTATGGGCTTCCGGTGACTTGTTACGGCAAAACGACAGTGACGTCGATGAAGACGCATATTCACGAATCTGAGTCTCAGCTACTGGTCGAGGTATCCGCGGTTGGACATTGGAGGGATGGATTGTCTGAACTGTCGTCGCCGTCCTTGAAAACTGGCTTGGTCTATTGCACATATCTTCGTGCAACCAGAAGAGGGTACGAAGATGTTGAATCTGCCTTTCTTATATTTGATTATATCTGATGGATCGCGGGCGTATACAGTTCATTCACCAAATGAGAGGTAAGCTGGGATAGGAAGGAAAGAGGAGCGGCAATGGTATCAAAGTCACTCGATTCGAGAGCTGGCTTGCTCTCATTCCCTTGTTTCGACCTACCTAGGTAAGCCACCCCTCAAGAAAAGACAAAAAAACAAACCAAAAACGGTGAAAACATAACTAAGAAATGTTGTTAACACATATCTATTGTGACATGCTCGTTGATTTAGCTTCTATTGCAGCTTGGTGTATCGATGTTTAAACCAACCAGGCGAATAAATGTATAAGGGATGATGAAGCACTGTCTGGTTGTCAGCATATTTTTGCAGTCTTACTTTCAGTCTCAAATACTATTTACTCAGGGGCTTGTGCTCGAATTGTGGAAGCTCTATTGTATTCTTAAATATTCTTAGTTAAAGGAGAGTCCGTATTCAATATTGCCAATGATTAAAAGAGTGAATGCTCGTTCGGTATGCCCAGTGTAATACGCAGTGAAAGTTCCCGAACTTGATCCCATGCCGATGCTCCAAACCAATAATGATCAAACACCATCCCATGCTTTCATTTTGAAGGAAAGAATATGTCCAATGCCAGATTCCCAAAACCGCGATTCATGAGTGTCCAGTCACGCCAGAATCCCAGCCAACGCTTTTCCGTTTCAGTTCTTAAGAGCAGCTAGCGTAAAGCTGAGGCTGTGGCGGCCCAACATCAACGGTCTGGTAGCCACTAGTGTAGGTCTGGCTGCCTTCGACGCCGAGAAAGTGGCACTCCACGCCCTCGGGTGCATACGAGACGATGTGTGAGATGCTCAGTTGGTTGCCAATGCTGACGCGATTGCCGTCCGTAGCAATGTCGAGGTCAAATTTGGCATCAGCGGCGCCTTGGAACTCGATATGCACCGTGTCATAGGTGCGCCCTTGGACTTGGGGTGCCGAGGGGGCGGCCAGGCCCGTGGCGGCGAAGAGGAGGGTGGTGGTGAGGGTGATGAAATGCATATTTAGGTGTTGAATTTGGAGTTGTGGGAGAGAGAAGAGGTTGTGTAAATCTAAGATGTGGGAGTCTGGTATGCTGGTTAATGTTGCTGATGTGTGTTGAATGATTTGAACGGTCGACAGAAACCCGACGATTCGATATCTTTATATACGCGCAGATATTTGGCCTGAAGGTGTTTACATGTTGATGTAGTGAAATATTCTTACCGCCATGTTCGCATTCATGACGACGCCTCACCAGCTGAGCCGAAGAGCTGGAAAGGGCGTTGAGGCTGCCATGAAGCTGACCAGGAAAGTAAGACTGCTTCTTTGTACCATAACCTGCATTATTGCCATCTTCGTATGCTTAGATTATCCTATTGGGCTCCAAACACGATGCGGAGTAGATATGTCAGAGTCAGATAGCCTTTTCTGGTGAGGCGGAGGCTAACATGGTCCCTAGGGACTAGCCACTGTCATTCTATTGGCTCACTTCTTGCCCGTTCATTTCTAATTTTGATCCTGTCCGTAAACATGATTCGCCAAAGACCGATCCATCGCTCAGGGTGAAGGATGTGAGCATGTCTTCCTGGCTACTCGATACTCGATCTTGACATCTCCTAATTGGCTAACAACTCGGGCCGTTATCTAGGACTGGTTGAAGAGTCTGCTAAGCCCGAAAACGCGCAGGTAAGCACTATGATTTGGTGTAGGTGATCAGATGATAATAGCTGCCACGATTTGGAACATTACCTATAATAGTAGCGGCCAATATGCTCAATGATGGCAGTGCCTCTGTAGTGCCGATGTAGGATTGAAATTTTGAGCCCGTGACGATGACCATCCTTGTGGTATAGCTTGCCATAGAACCACTATCACTCGGTGACGCCTAACATGCTGGGTTCTAAGGCAAAGCCCCGTACCCTACCCGCTTGAGATCACTCCTCCGATGTCGGGTTGGCAGAGGCTGGTATGTTCGACTGGCTGTTGAGATCTTTTTACATGCATTGAGGCTTAGTCGAAGCGAAACCACAAGTGGTATTTCCCCCCCAAGATAGTACATGTACGAAGGCATTGATGTTGATGAGAACTGCATGATCGGTTACTTCAGCGGTGTGTCTCGGGGGCCTCTTGGGAGCACTGAGCAACTCCCCCAACCCACGCTCACGGGCCATACTTAGGGCTGAGGCAAGACATGACGTGGGGTAGCTGCCTGAATGGAACATTGTTATCCATATTAATCCTTCGTTTGGACCATAGTGGAATTGGAAATCCTATCCTAGTCAGCAACGTTTCTTGCAGGTGTTCTGGGCTTGAATCCTCGGTCTGCAGCTGGCGCCTGTTGTCATCACTAGTCGCGAATCAGCAATATCTTCCTTCTCTACTTGCATCCAACACCGTGAGACTCCGTGAGTCATGGAAAACGAAAAGAAAAGATGGATTATGCTAGGTACGGTGGGGCAGGTTTGTGGAATGGAATTTTCCGCTCATGTACACTAGAGAACAACCCTGAGGTCATGGACCAGCTAGCAGCCAAACTAGGCCTGTCATCTGAAATTGGGTTTTACGACGTTTGGTCCATAGACGAGCCAGAACTGCTCTCTCACATCCCTCGACCAGCATTGGCCCTTTTGGTAATCATTCCACTCACTCCTCCATGGGACAAGGACCGCAAAGCCGAGGATGCTGAAAAGCCCGACTACGGCGGGTGTGGCCCTCAGGAGCCTGTCGTCTGGTTCAAGCAGATTATAGGCAACGCCTGCGGTTCAATCGGGCTGCTGCACTGCGTCATAAATGGGCCTGCAGTCGAGTACATCCAGCCGGGCTCAGATTTGGAAAAGCTACGTCGCGATGCGATTCCGCTGAAGATGGCTGAACGTGCTGAGATGCTCTACAACAGCATGCCTTTCGAGACGGCCCATAAATCTGTCGAGCAGATTGGGGATACCCCAGGAGTACCTACTACAGGTCATGCTGGTCAACATTTTGTGGCATACGTCAAGTCCGATGGCCGGCTTTGGGAGTTGGAGGGTTCACGGAAGGGGCCGTTGGATCGAGGAATCTTGGCCGAAGACGAAGATATTTTGAGTCCAAAAGCTGTAGAGCTGGGGCTGAAGCGGATTATCAAATTGGAGCAAGAAAATGGGGGGAGAGACCTTCGTTTCAGTTGTATTGCTTTGGCTCGTAAGGTATAAGTCGTTCCGGAAACTACGCTTGGCTGGGCGTTTGTTCTGACATTTGGGATGCACTATTGCTATCTTGGACGAAACAGATGCTTTACCTGCCAGGAGATGCCACGATGGCGATGCGAATATATTAAGAGGTATCAGTCTACCTGGAATACTGAGCCAACAAGGCAGAAGTTCACCACCCGGCGTCTTGAGAGATCCGTCTTCGCAATTCTAGAGTGAACGAGACCGACAAACTTCTAGTATAGCTGTTTGAAAGTTTGGTGTGTGCACTTGCAGCCGGGGATGATGTATTTAAGTTGGGGTTTTCGATCTAGATTATGTCCCGTGGCTTTCGGTTTCGATGTGAGTTCATAAGCTTGACTTCAATACAGCCCACATTAAAGTCCCGATAAATTCAAGTTCCATGATCAATTACAAGTGAGTAATCAGCTCTCGTATCTTGAAGGCATACCTTGTGATCAATTGCATGGCCTCAGCAGCATTGGGAAATTGTCAACTTGATCAGTCTGGCGACTGGTAGGTGTTGGTGGGGGACGGTCCAGGTTGCACCTGCGAGGGATCAATGCGGCCACAGGCGTTGCGGGGAGTCTCGTTCTAGCTCCATAGCGACATTATGTATTGAGAAGATAAGATCGCCGGTCGCTTGTTACAGTCATCATACATTCCCCTAGTGCCCAGATGACTGACAGATTTTCATGGTGAATGATATGCCCAAGGCGCCTTGCACATGTGGTAAGTGAACTGACGACGAATTTGGCGAGATCCGAATTTCTTTTTCTTTTCCATCAAGATTATTGTTCTCAGCACTACACCCCTGACCTGCGATCTCGCGATCTCTCAATCTCTTCATGGTGGCAAACGTAACTCCGATGTCATGACCGCGTGCTTCCCGATGCGATTGACATAATGGGCACCGTCTCCCTCCAACGGGCTAAGATGGCAACAACGGCCAATTTCATGCGGTAGCATGTCATGGGCCCTTGGCTTTTTGTTCGGTGGACGAGCCCAGCCGTCTGCTGGCGCAAGGCCTGGCGTCATTTTGACATTTGACTTTCAACCCCCGCAAAGCACCGCCGTAGCGGCGCTCGGAGATAATGACGATCTCTGGAGATTATCGGTACCGCACGCCGCGCTGCACCCACATTATCGGCTATTCAGGGAGCGAGCTTACTCACCGAAAGACAACGGACGAAGTGATGACTTCCAATGGCACCCGGGTGTCGGTGTGTCGAGTGTTACCAGCCTGTCTGTCCTGTCGGCACTTCACCGGCCCCGGGCTACGGCATACCATCAATCCACAAGCAGCCGCCAACGCTGCCGTCCTAGTCTCGCTTTCGGTTGGCAGGATTCAGAACGACCTGTCAAATATGGATCGATTTTCTTCTCTGGCTAATGACGTGGTATGACGTTGAGCATTGATGCCTCTGAACTCGGAGCTTTCTGACCTTCTTTTTTATGGCCTGTCGTCATCATGGTATAAGGATGTCGACTCTAGAGCGCGGCAAGATCCTATTGTTGGGAACTCGAGATCTATCCTGGAGGTCACCCTCCCGTTTTTGCACCGGTGGCCAATACGTCGACTCTTCGGAGGGCCTCCGTATGGCTGGAAGACTTTTCTCTTTTTATGCCTGTTGGGGTAAAGTACGCAAGACTTGTTCTGCCCCATCGAGTCTACCACGGTGTCATTTATCACAGTGCTATCCGGAGTCAGTCACAGCGGCCTCACTGAACGGGGCGAGGCTCTGGGTCTCAAGTGCGCTACTGCTCCAGCAGGTTCCAGTGTGCTCGGTGTTGGTTGAGTTTATCAACCATGGGCCTTTGGAAGGTGCTGAGAGACCCTGTTTTTGGCACGCTCCGGGGAGCCGGCCAGATCGCCGTCTAAAAACCTCCGGGTCCTCCACAGAAATCCACAGAAGAGGTCATCAAACGTTGTTATTCCGCCTGCCGCGGCCCACGCCCCTCCCAAAATACACCATATCTTAATTTTACGACCTCGTGCCCGTTTCGAGACTGCCTTTCGGCCATGAGCTCACGTCAGGGAACCGTAAGGTGAAGTGCGGCACATACCTCTTTGCCAGTGCACCAGGCTATCCGGCCTTTTGGATTGCAGCTGCGTTCCCGAGAAGCGTGAGCATACAGGGAGTGGCACCGACTCTTATCGAGTTGCTCCCGAGGCGTGGCCCCCGATCAACGACCCGTTGCGCGTATTGAATCTTTTCCTCTTCTACACTACAACCCCACCCTTCTGGTTTAGGAGCCCGTCTCGTGCACATCCAGGACCTATACTCTGGGTTATTGTTATGTTATTGATGATATCGGTTTTACTCAGCAGCCCCCATCACGAGGCTACACTAGTCGAAGATTCACAGTCCAATCGGTCCCCTCTTGACAGTTGAGGATGAATCCCGAGCCCTCCTCGAACAACTCGAGTTCAACTGGTCCAGCGACGCCAACGAACAATAGAAAGGAACGAGGAGCTATCGCGGCCCAAGCCTGTGAAAATTGCCGTGCGGTCAGTCCAACGGGTTTTCCTTTTCGAGCTTTGTCTTCGGAGGTTTCTCTTTTGTCTGGGATTGGCTGAAGCAGTAGCTTCCGAGACAGGGCGGCTACCAAGGGTCATCGCTAGTTCTGCCTTTCGATGCCTGGGGAGGCAAAGTCGTTGCTGACGTCCACTCGCCAATAACAGAGGAAACAGCGTTGCTCAGAGGAACGTCCAAAATGTGCAAGTTGTACACGGATGAAGGTCAGAGCGAACATCTGCTCCCCTGATGGCGCGGAGATTGACTTTACAACAGCTCGAGTGTCGATACCGAGAACCACAACCGACCAAGTAGAAACCCAGTCCCGCAGCCAGTGGTATCCCAAAATAGTTTGTATCGTAGAGACTAACAGCACGCAGGAAAGACAAGACTCAGCTCGAAATGTTGGAGATTCTGAAGAGCATAGAAAGTTTTCAAGTCTTGGACCGACTAAAGAACATCGAAGGTGGTGTAAAGGCTTTGGTAGACAACCTCAACAGGAGCGTCCCCCCCCCTTCGGCCCCTTCGGCATACGGCCCGAGCTACTCCAATCCAGTAGCCGGCGCTTCCTCCATTACGCTCGATTCCAACCGCTCCGGGTCCTGGCAACCGTTGCCTGCATCGTTGGGTACCTCATCAGTACGCGATGACCAGTACATGTACATATCGGCGGCTTATAAGATGCTGTCGTGGCCATGCATACAACAACTAATGGAAAATTCTCCACGTGAGCTGTCAAATCTGAACCTTGGATCTCTGGACAAGGATGGATCCGTCATTATGCTGGGGCTACCAAGCCAAGGCATGTCTCTGCCGGTTGACAATCGCGATGCCATGAGCCAAGGGATGCAGAGAAGCACTCGTGCGTACAGCATGCATGCGTCTGGCCTACCTAGTGGTGCACTTCAGACTGGTGCCCTGCTGACCTGGGAGGCAATGCAACGCCACAGCAAGTCTTATTTTGACACATTCAACTTGATATATCCCTTGCTCGACCGCCCCCACTTCTACTCGCAAGTCCTACCAGCCGTTGTCAACAACGAGCTGGACGAGAGCATCAACTCGACACTCGCATGTCTTGTGTTTGCCCTGGGCGAAGTCGGCGAAGTTGGAGTTTCGGGAGAACCAATCGCGATGTATAAAGGCAGGCCGAGCGGAATCAAAGGGGGTTCGTCGCAAAGGCCGCCGGGACTGGCTCTGTTCAACGAAGCCAGGAGACGTAGTACGCAGCTCCACAGTGGTTTGTTTACTTTCTGGTCTGTTGTCTCTGGGGCAAAGTTGTCTCGTCGAGGAATCTCCCGGGCACTTTGCCACTGGACATGACATGCCCAGTCCTGTAACTGTAACCTGTTGCACTGGAAGCGGTAACTGACGGTATTCATAGTGGGCTTTAGCATGGCCGAATGCAGCCTTGAAAATGTTCAGATATATGCACTCGCCGGGTAAGTTGCCACTTTAACTATCCTCATTAGAACTGACTAACGGCTCCCCGTGGTTGTAGGCTGTATTATCAGTCGTGCTACCATCACCTTGAATACTGGCGCATGACGATATCGGCCTCTCTCGCGTGCCAAGCACTCATAATGGCGTAAGTCAAGACGCATCCAACGAGCTGTGTGTAGTTGACTAACTTTAGTCCAGTAAGCCCGAGGAACTGGCATCACCCCAAGTCGATCTGATACGAAGGGTGTTCTGGCACTGTTCGATCACGGAAACGTATAACATCTATTCCAGGTCATCCAGGTCAACCAGGTCCTTGGCAATTGCTGATGATACGTAGATGCTTGTACCTGGAACTGAACCTACCGACCACGGGTTTGGATAAATTTGAGGATCGAGTTGGGCTGCCCGTCTTCAGCTCTGGGACTTTCTCCGAGGAAGATTACATGTGCAACCAAGCTTCACACTACAAGGAGCACTTTGCATCGCAGACTGTGCTTCGAAGGCTGTCGGTCGAATTCCATGCCACATTAAATAATGGTATGTTCCAAGTTGTTTATTCTTTCTAAATCTTGCGTCCAATTGTGGACATCAACAAATTCGGGTACCACTTATGCACGTGACTCTTGTTTCTCCCAAAGCCAGTCCGCTAAAATCTTCAAGCTCTCGGTCTTGTCAATTTACAATTCCCCGGTGTCGCACCCGAACCAACAAGTGCCACGATCGCGGCCACCACAGTAAAGCAGTTGGCCATGCAGCTCGACCAGTGGCGTGGCATGCTCCCCACGGGCATGCCATGGCCAGAAGATCGGCCAAGCCCCCTGCCCGTGAGCCCGGATCCCTACAGTCAGCCTCTCCAGTCCATCCAGTCCATGTACCCCCCTCCACCGCCGCCGCCGCACCCCCACCAAAAGGTAACACCCCTCCTGCCCTCGGACTTCGCCTTCACCGCCGACCTCGACTCCGAGCCGGCCGCATACCCCTTCACGGCTGACATCCAGGCCGCCAATCTCCGCTCCCGGTACTACTACGTCAAGTACCTGATCCACCGCCCCTTCATCTTCAAGGCGCTCCACCACCCGACGCAAATGACGCAGGATGACGCCGACGGCGTCGCCACATGCTTGCGCACCATCCTGCTCTGGCCCATCGCCATGGCCCCCGTGCGCAGCCAGAAGCGCCTCATTCCGTGTCTGTTCTTCTGGACGCAGAACTTTCTGGGCATCCTGATTATACTGCACCTGTCCCAACAGGTCCCTATCCTCATCAAGATTAGGACGGAGATGCTGGGTGAGGCATTCGATGTCGATGCCAGGGTCACCACGCAGCTGTATCTGGATTGGATAAGAGATTTGAAGGATTCAGACCCGACGGCGAGGTGGTGCTGGACTGTGTTAAAAGGGTTTTATGGGCCATTGGATGATTTATGAGAAGGGGAGGGCGGTAGTAGGGATGGGACTGGTAGGGGCGTATACTGACAGTGTCATTTGTGCGTGTATATGGGTTTATATTTGTGTCAGGAGTTGAGGGTGTTGTATGCCAAAAGTATGTGGGTTGCATATATCAGGGCTGCGGGCATCTGCTCAGGTTTGACTGAAACCGAGTGGGCAGTAGGAAAAAGAAAAAGACAGGAAGTCGTTGAAGGCACGCATTACGATCAGTGGAGGTTGGTCGTGAGAACGGGTAGTTATTTATGCCGAAGAGGGTGTGCTCGGATTGCATATGTGCATTCAACGGGGTGTTTGTTTGGGTTTCACTTCAGCCCTCAGGGACGGGAAGGACGGGATTTGAGGAATGCATCATATCACTTCTTTACTTCGAGAAAGAACTTCCTGAATTCGTCGAGGGATGTCTACTTCACGAGATGCAAGCCCTAATGAAAGAAATCTTGCAGACTCTTTATGAGGCAGACAGACGGTGTGGCGGTGGGACGGAATAGGGATATGCCCAGCAGGAGGAAGCTGTCGAATATCACGTGTGTCCAATCGAGTAGTCAGAAGTGCGTAAGATTGTATATGAATGAGGTGTGTTGTTCTCTGTGCTCTCGAACTCCCGTTGCTCTGTCTTTTATAGATTCTTTAGAACATATCGGAGGTACATTGTTCAGGTATCTGACCCCTAAGTGGACAGTAACTTTGGTGTTACTTTTGGGAAAGGGGTTCCTTTCGCCTTCTGAACTTTAAGTGACAATAGTCTTCTCTAGTACCATATTATTTCTGAACCTAGGAACCAGGTGCCCTATCTGACAGAAGCGTGTCGAGAAGGAAGGTCGTAATGGGACGGAAAGCTACATAACCAGATGCTGCTCTGTGAGTGCACGTGTGTTTTGCATCGAGTGTTTACGCAATGGAAACTCCTGAATGAAAGTAAAAGTGTCTCTTCTTCCTCTTGATTTTCTGTGGGTTCGGAGTGCAAAGGAGCTTGCTGAACTTCGCGTTGGATCGGGTACTTAGTAAGACGCAAATTTTCTACCACGATTTGTCAGACTGGTAGAGTATGTTTCCGGTCGCTGCATCCCAAGTATGAACTCGATGGACTCGTTGCTAGCGGCGGGATCAGTACCTACCTGTCGGACTCAGGGTTCCCCCACGCCACGGCGTTTCTGACGGCGGATCGAACCGTTGAGATGACTCGGCGCCGGGTCTCGGCCTCGGTCTCAGCCTCGCCCACGTTGTGTATCGGGGCAAAAGGAACGCAAAGTCTCATAGATCGAAGCCCCGAAATACTTTTAGTCTCATCACCGAGGTGCCAGCGGAGATGGTTTTATGCATAAATTGACCTGCACTCGAGGTTCATTTGGTATCCAGCTCCAAGGCATACGTAGTGCCAAACCATCACTGATCACTGTAATGTTTACCTCTCAGTCTCATCATCTCTTTACCAACGGAACGATCAAGACAGAGATGGTCAGGGACTAACTCCGATCTACCGACTAATAAGCGTGACGGATGTTGGCACGGCTGCTAAACTCTTTTCGGAATACAATGGGCTACGCACCAGTACCTTTGCACATACTAGCAGACCCATCGCCAGCCAGTATGGTGTCGGCGCGCATATGCAGAGGCAATCTAAGGTCAGCGAGGTATCACTTACATGGACGTATTTCCACATTACCAGAAAGTGTTTAGCGACTATGTCAGTATCCCCCAATCACCGGTGCCAACATCCACTACGCTGATAAGAAATGCAATTCCCCGACTTCCGGGCTTTGCGCAGTATATCACCAGCCGCAGCGTATCGGCTCGACTCTCCATCTCGGGCAATTCCCCCACCTCGCGCAATTGCAGCACCTTTTGGTAAGAAAAAGATGCTGTTCCTGGCCTAGTCTGATCCCATGCGGAGCCGAAGTTCGGGCAAATGTCCGACTGCTAACTCGTTGTTGCTCCGTATGAACCAAGCTGCTCCAGCGCTAATAAAACAAGCTTGTAGTCCATCTTATAGCCGGGGGGCCCAGCAGAATGTTACCTCGACCCCGCCCAAGCCCGAAGTTGCTTTGCCGTGGTTCGTTCATACGATTATCAGGATGCTTACCACGTGCATTACCTTAAAACTATCACCCGCATGGTGCCGGATTTTAGTTCCCCTTGAGGGCCTCCCGCATGCACACCTAGTATACTACCACCCACATAGCTGTGTAAGCTGTCAAGCTAAGTCCAGGTCGGAAAATGCTCCTTGGGTTGCTGGCTTCGGGGAGAGCCTCATTGGTCGGACTTCCCTGCAAGATTGCAACGAGGGCGCTCCGTTCCGCTATCGCCCATCGCTTGACGGGCCTGGGTTCACGATGGAGGACTCGATGGATGCCGAACGGAACGGACGGGTAGCTATCAAGATGGGGGGAGTGGCGATTCGATTATCAATGGCTTTCTCGAACATCATCTCCTCGGAAAACCTGCTCTTTAATTGCGCTCTCCTCTGTCGAGGTGTCTCTCTTACATCTTCTGCTCCAACCAGTCTGTCTGTTCAGAGGTCCGAGAAGCCAGACTTTTAAGCCAACCAAACATCTTCGACCAGCGGCAACTCCCCCACCGGCCAGCCCATCATGGCGTCCAAACTAGCGACCCTTCTATCCCTAGTCTCCCTCCTAGCACCCAGCACCGCCGCCGCCGAGACCGTGCTAGGCGTCTACATCTTCCACCGGCACGGCGACCGTACGCCCAAATCCCTCGGCAACGTGAACCTGACTGCGCTAGGCGCAGACCAAGTCTACCAATCCGGATCCTACTATCGCTCCCGCTACGTCTCCTCCTCCTCCAGCTCCCCCATCCTGGGCCTGCAGCCCGACATCGCCGACACAGAACAAGTCGCCATCAGCGCCGCGGCCGACGCCGTGTTGCAAAACTCAGCTTTCTCCTTCCTTCAGGGTGTGTACCCGCCTGCCGGGACAGCAGGCGCACAGGAGCTCGCCAACGGGTCGACGGTCCAGGGACCGTTGGGGGGGTATCAGTACGTACCTGTGAATTTGGTGGTGAGCGCGACGACAAGCGCCGATGCCGAGAGCAGCGAGTGGTTGCAGGGCGGGAGCGGGTGCGGGAAGGCGGTCGTGAGCTCGAACAATTATTTCGTGTCGAGTGAGTATAAGACGACATACAATGAGACGGCAGATTTCTACCAGGCGTTGTTGCCGGTGATTAATGGGACGTTCGGGGAGAGCAAGGCGAATTTTAAGAACGCCTATACGAGTAAGTCTACCCTTCTTGCTTTCCTCCGACCCCCTCCCATCCGCGAGGATAAAATTGTCAGGCAAGGGGAGTTAATGAATCCGACTAACACGGGGGAAACAGTCTTTGACCTTGTAAACGTAGCCACCATCCACAACAAAACCATACCCTCCTCCTCCCTGCTCACAAACAGCACCCTTGACGATCTGAAATGGTACGCCAACACGCACGAATGGAACCTTGCTTACAACGCCTCGGACCCCATCCGCGCCGTCGCCGGCATGACCCTCGCGGGGCAAATCCTCGCGGCACTGAACGCGACCCTTACCGGCGAAAGCGCCACGCCCTTCAACGTCCAATTCGGTGCCTACGCTAGCTTCCTGTCCTTCTTCGGCCTGGCGCAAATGCCCGCCATCAGTGAGGACTTCACCGGCGTCGTCGACTACGCGTCCTCCATGGTTTTCGAGCTCGTGACCAACTCCAGTGTCTCTTCAGGGGGAAGCTACCCGAGCAATGATGACGTGTCCGTCCGTTTCCTCTTCGTCAACGGCTCGGCGGGCCTCGTAGAGCCGCAGGCCTACCCGTTGTTCGGACGCCAGGAGACCGAACTCCCCTGGTCGACCTTCGTCACCGAGATGAACAAGTTCGCCGTCGCCGATACCAAGTCGTGGTGCGCGGCGTGCGGCAATTCGACGGGCGTCTGTGCTTCTTCTGCTTCTAGCTCAGGGGGGGATGCGTCGACGAGCTCTACAGGTGGCAGTGACCGCGGGAACGGCATCTCTTTGCCGGTTGCTGGTGTCATCGGCGCCCTCGTCACATTGGTTGTCATTCTCGGCATCGAGGGGCTGGTCTACGCCATTGCTGGGCTGAAGCTCGTCAAGAAGTCGACGCTGGCGGGCGCGACGGCAACGAGTGGTGGTGCAGGGGTTGCCGGATCCAAGGCTTAGTTGGGGGTTATGATTGAAAGAAGGGCGGAAAGAAGATTAACTGTCCGCATTAATCGGAGACATGCTTCCAATGATGAAACCTATTCATTCGGTTCTGGAGTGATGAGATAGAGCGTAACGATATCTCTGGAGCTAGCTACTCAAGTAGGTCACGACTGTTATGAGACAAAATCATTCATTCTTTGAAATTGTTCATTTGTACAGCTGTTCTCCCATAGCCGTAAGGATCGTGGTCATGTGTACACCATTACACAAACTGAACCCGACTTGATAAGTGGTTCCGCTAAGCATTTTGAAACTGGGTGCGCTGTCCAACCTGTACCTACTATTACTTCTTCCGATGAAATACCTTGTTCAACCAATCAGAGGACCTGTCAACCGTCATGGCAATGATATCATGACGATAGAAAAAACTCCGGTTGCGCTTCCCGTAAATATCTAGACTTCATGTCAGCAAGAAACCTGCGCAACTGGGCTGGGAGGAACAGGGAGGACCTACACATAGGAATACTCAGCAAACAAACCACAACCTGCACGGAAGCCAACACATGAAACGTCTCCTCAATACCACCATACACCAGCCACTCATAAGCCTTGAATGTCAGCCCAAAACTGAACATATTCTTGAAAATAATCAAACACGTGAACCCCTCGACCGCCAGGTCGCGGTACGCATCAACAATGTACAGCGAGCTAGCCACAGCCCCGATAACCATGCCACAGACCTCGAACCCGAAAAACATAATGGGCACAACCCAATGATTTGCGCCCGTCAGCGTCCCCTGACTCGTGACCGCGAAGCCATACAGGCCCATGCAGCCAAACACGAGCTGCGGGATGACCAACAAAATGCGGAACTCTGGCTCGTAGACGCCGCCGTTGCGGCGCGTGAGGTACTTCGCACTCCAGTCGGCGAGGCCGCCCGCGATGGCAAAGCCGAGGAGGGCGCCGACAAAGGGTCCCAAGTAGGCGTACCCTGTGGAGACTTCGTTCCAGAATAGGGGCGGGCCTAGGAAGATGGCGGCGAGGACGACACCGATGAAGACAGTCCAGCCAATCATGGTGCCTTGGATAAGGCAAGCCCACAGGAAGGCGGGTTGGACGAATAGGGGGAGGGGCCGGAAGAGCAGCCGGAAGAAACTATCATCGGTTTTGCGCCCGTCGAAGAGCGCGAGGGATTGGACGAAGGTCTTTTTCTTATAGTCGACGTGGGTGCCGTTCGTTGTTATCGATGACGGGTTGGTGTTCGAGGTGGCATCCTGTTTCTTCAGATCGTCGGAACTTCCGTTGTGTCCTGACGTTGTAGCGGCGGTGCCCATGTCGGTGTTCAGAGCGGCATCGCGACGGAACGCCGTTTCGGGGCAGAACAGGACCAGGGCCACAAGGCAGACGGCCAGGAAGATGGAGACGAGGTAGAAGGTCCACCACCATCCGATGGTGTGCGTGATCTTGCCAACCAGGACGGGCGTGAAAAAGGCGCCCCCGAACACAGCCAAGTTGGTAAAGGCCATGCGCTTGCCTCGTTCCTTGACCCGATCATCAGCACTGCCGCTAGACACCCCGATACTGGGCTAGACTTACATGGACGAAATACAGATCCCCCACCGCGGCATTCACCAAACTTTCAAACGGGGCCGTCCCGACCCCTTGTATAATCCGCGACCACAGGAAACTTGTGTAATTCTTCCCCACGGCGCCTCCCCACGCGCTCGACCCGATCGTTATGAGCGTCCCCAATATAAAAAGATGCCTTTTACCCCATATCCTCCCGCTCGGCACGAAAAAGAATCCCGCGAACCCCACGCCCAGCAAAAAATACCCCGTCAGCAGCGCAATGCGCGTGAAGTCGAGCCCAAACCATAGCGATAAAGTCAGCGTGTTGGCAGCGAGGATGGGACCCAGTGCTGTCGCGAAGATGGCCGTGAGCGAGAGGATGAGCGTGATCACATCACGGCGCCAGAGCGGCCAGTTGAGGGGATCGTTGGGATCGTCGGAGGGTTGCGGGTGCTATGAACAAGCAAGACAAGAACCGTCAGCTGTGAGGCCCATGCTACCAGGTTCGATGAAGTCGCCTTACCAGTACTATCGGCGCCGATCCGCTCGTGTCGCACTTCAAGCCCCGCGCCGCATCTAACGTGTCGGCGGTCTGCGGTCGGTCCGGGTCGTCGAAGTAACGCGTCGTACCTGCGGGCTTTTGTATTAGCTAGGCTGCTCGGTGTCGTATCACGCGTCCAAAGGTACTGCTTTAGAAGAGCCAAAAGCGCATACCTGGTACATGGTCCAGGACCTTATCTTCAAGAATACCCAACCCCATGATAGTCGTCGGTCCTCTTGTAGGTCCAATTCTTCACATGGCTAGAATCGCAGAACGAATCCCAACCTGGTCACCTCATGGACCTTATGCGAAGATTATGGGTGGCGCCGTTCCGATTTACAGTTTGCACGGCGGCTGAATGCGACTTAGTGGCCCTCATCGCCCCAATTGGGTTACGTTGGGGGCCAGGACTTGATTTCCGGCCACGCCGGTGGTGCGATACGCTGTGGTCAATCGAGTCCGTATGATATCAGGCTTGATGACTCAATTACTTGTTGTCATGTCATGTCTGTATCCTCTTCTTTTGATTGTGGTTCCCTGCTAATATTGATTCATCTCGCAATCTTGTCATTTCACAAGCTCCGTTGTTGATATGAAGAATGTATTAAGGTTTTTTAGAGTTTGGAATCATCTTATCTCAAATGAAGGATATACACAGGAGCTTGCATTTTTACCAACCGACCAACCCACCAAGCTGCTTTTTCTTGTGCCTGATATCAGTCTGATGCGACACTGCTGAGCTCTGGCTCTATATTCTGGAATCAACGTTCTTCACAGCCCGTGTGATTTCACGTATATTATCTTGCTTGCGCTTGTTGTTACAGGTGCGAGACACCCCATGGGGAAGTCGCATGTCGACCCGCTTCCGCATGAGCTCTCCGCTTTTCAAGCATAACAACTATATTCCTCTTCCTACGCATGACACTATGGGCGAGACTGAAGCTTGTACGCTGTATTGGAGAGCCATTATCGCAAAAAGTTATTGATTTGCCAGGTTTATACTGAGCAACGGCCTATGAATCAGCTACCATCGACCCATACCAAGCAGAAGAAAGGGTCCCTGATAACACAAAAGAAACTTCTCAGCAACAGTCCGGTGGTTCCTGAGATTCCCGTGGCGTCAATTCAATCCCCGCATGCCACGGAGAGCCATTGTTAATTGGATCTGTCGTCTCCGAGAAATCCGAACTGCTTTTAGATCAACCCCTGACAGACAGGCGGATGGGAATGGTGGGGTCCAATAATACTACCCTCCTCAGCTCATGGGATTTAAGTGCAATGGTCTGATAGCCAGCAGCTTGTCTCATTTAAGCTTCCGCACTTCCCGCCGCCTCTCGAGCCAGCGAACCAATTGTCATCTCAAATGCTGTTGTGCTGCTGTCAATTGAATCGGGTACTCGAGTGATTCAAAGTGTAGAGTCAGTCAGCCAGTCAGATAGTCATCACCCGTCAATCATGATGAAGCCCCTCTTCACAATCGTCGCCCTCGCCGGTCTGGCATCTGTCCAGGCCCAGGATGAACTCCCCACGTGCGCAGTAGGTTTTCTTTCTTCTCGCAGCTCTATACCCATTCCGTCTACTTACCGCATGTGCGACGTTCATCGCTAACGCCCATCGTCTTGTTCAGCAAAGCTGCGTAACCCAACTCACCACGGGCTCCCAAATCGGTGGCTGCCCCAGCCTAGACATCAAGTGCATCTGCTCAGCCGACGCCTTCCTGGCCAATATCGCCTGCTGTCTAGCGGGCGTCTGCAGCACCGCCGACCAGGAAGCCTCGGTCCAGTACGCTAAGAACCTGTGCACCACCGCGGGAGTCACCGTCCCGGATGCGGTTGTGTGCGCTTCGGCTTCTGGGACGGCTTCTGGGACTGCTTCGGGGACGGCTGCTTCGACGGGAACGGTGCCATCAGGGACGGCTGCTTCCACGACCGCCTCAGGGTCGGCGGCCACTGCTACGGCTACGGGAGCGGCTCCTACGACGGGTTCGGGGATGGTTGGGGTGGTTGGAGGGCTGCTTGCTGCTTTGGCCTTGTTGTGAGCGTGAGCTTGGAAAGCTATAAGCTAGCAGAGAGCCAATGTCGCCCTGATGTTAAAAGAATATATGTCGATTCCAAGTGAGCGTAGGATGGGCTCATTGAAAGTGGGAATCGTCACAGGTTTGGAAGACTCCGCTTCCCGCTGTATCGGTGGAATATAGGACAACCAGATTGCCTTTCACGAGAATAGTTCGACGTGTGACTGTACGTTACAGCAGAATGAGGATTATATGTGGCGTACGTCATGAGAATTAATGATAATTCCAGAGCAGTCACCATATGGTTTCACTTATCTACTGACACTCACTCCGTCGCTCCCAAAGTTGATGAGTAAGGTGCAACACGTGTCGTTGAACTGAACAATGGGCGACGATCACCGACTGACACCTATAACCTTCTTCTCATCCACCAGAAACCTTGAGGTCGATTGGTCCCACTCCAAGGTTAACGCGCATGCTGGTGGAATGTCTTACAATTTCGACGACAACCTTCTTTACGCTGGGATTCAAAGTGTCAGTGAGTTTTTAACCTTTGAAATGTCCAAGTGTAAGTAAAAAAGTCCGCGTATAAGGGACTGAGAGCTGACCCGCACGAAAATCCAGTCCGTGGGCTAACCTGACGCTTGCGGTTGAACCTTCCGAGCACATACACACATACATCCACTTCATCGCCCAAGGAACAAGGCTGGACGAAAATGGCAATTGTCACGATTCTCTGGAACATGCGGAAGAGCTTCTACTTCTTCTGCTAGAGTTCGATAGGGCCATGGCGTTATCTGAATCGTCACCACGGCATTTACAGGCGGGGACTATACGACGGGATGCGCCTAGCTGCGAGCCTCCACAGAAGGGCCTCGGAAATACAGCTCTGCTGGTTCCATCGCGTCGGGATGCAGGTGACTGCTCCCGATTTCCTCATGCTCTCTTTTCCCGCCCCTGTTGTTGTTTGCTGTGATGAGGTGACAAGCAGGGAAACCCGGATCACATCAGCATCGACGTAAAGGTTAACTAATTGAACATGGAAGACCGTCCTTGCTTGGCTCGTCAAAGATAGATTAGTCGTCGGCGAGGTTGACCAGGACCGACCGGACCTCCTTCGACCTTGTCCGATTTTTGGTTTCGTTTCTGGACCCTACGCCTTCGAGAACAGAAAAACATGGGAGGGCATGGGAGGGCTGATCAGCCTGGTCTAGACAATTTAGTGTTCATTGTGCATGATGCAGGGACAGATGTCTGTGCTCACGTAAACGCATTTGCCCATTACCGTTCTGTGATAGGACGTGGCGCCGTGTTTCTCCATCACATCACAGAGCCTCGTGTGCTAGCCAATAGGGAAGTCGGGAAAAGGTAATCACGCTGGTAAGACGATAAAGGTATCGCCTTGGTGGTCTTCTCTCGTTGTCCGAAAAGAAGATGGGACGAGCGCTCTGACATTGGTACGAAACGGATTGGATGTTTGGAACAAGACTCGCTAGGGGTGGATTATTGGAGCATCTGGACTCGAGCCCTTTGAGCTTTGACTTCGGTCTGCTTGGGTCAGTCACACAGGCTGTGTGACGTGACAGGGAACATCATGGAAGAAGGGAACGAAGCTTCCTCTGGTCATGTCCGAGAAAACGGTACATGAGGCGTCTTTCCCCGTGGGTCAACCATCAATTTCAAGCAAATCTAAAGACATAGAGACACTAGTCGCGCCATCGAACGACTATGAGTCGAGAAAGCTCCGCAGCCCACTATTGGTGGAAAGGGTTATCCTGGACTATAGGCATCTTGGCGTCGGTGACGAGACGGTGGGCGGCTGTCAAAGCTGTTAGTTCTAAAGCCCAAATGCCCAAATGACCCCAACTGGGTGCCCAATACACAGCAAGACGTCTGAGCCTCGAGGTCCAAACTCAAAAAGCCCATAGCCAGGCATCGTCGTGATTATGTCTGAAAGCTGCCCTAGCCGCTTCTGGCCGAGCAACACCCGCGTTGTCAGACCCGACCGCCAGCCGTCGAATTGTGTTGGCGCTCGGCTTTGGCACTGCCTCTCACATCATTCCGATTCGTATCGCTCTCGCTAGCTTCAAGACTTTGTCCACTTGTCACACCCTCTGGCGTGTAGGGACTGTATGGTCACGCCGACTGTATCTCATGCTATTCCGAGTTCTGATCGACCTGATGTTGTTTCTATCCCTAAATCCCACACAATATAGTGGGCTTGGGTTACTGCCGCGGCATAATGGGAACCCGACCGGTATCATCGGGAGTCTGGATGGGTATAACCGCCAAGATGCACATGTCAACCCACGATCCGACTTTGACATCAGACACCCGGGCACTTCACCGTAGGAGAGACTACCATTCGGAATAAACTCGCCAGTGGTAGTGAGGCGGACGAAGGAAAGGAGAGCGGAGCCGCAACGCATGAGGTCCACCCCGAACTCGACGGCGGCGCGGTTGTTGCACCGCTGCGGAGGGTACTTGATCAACGACACGACATTTCTAAGGCTCACTCATGCGGGATATCCATTCGCATGGTGTTTTGCAGGACTAGAGAAAGTCCGGCCCTGGCTGGCTTGCATCAACCTGGAGTGGATCTCTCGGTAGGGCCCAAATCCGACCTGTCACTTTGTGCCCAGCGAGCTTATGAGCTTGTGTTATTAATCAATCCATGCGCGATCAATCCATAGGCGATTTCCCGCATCGTATCAGAGCAGAGGATCCCCGAAGGAATGGGGATTGCATGGTTGAGAAAACTTCGTACAGACAAACTGGCCAGTTGTAGGTTGGTTAGGGCTGTCGTCTGAATCGTATACAATCCAGGTTGGTTAGGATCGAAGTCACATTGCACCACCGCAGGACTCAGAATGATATCTCTGCAACCCCAGAGTTGCAGGTGCAGTTGCAGTTTTAAGCCGCCGTCAGGCGTCCAGACAGGGGGGTTTACAGGGGGTTGATTGGGCTGCCAGATCGGCCATCTGAGAGTCCTGAACTGGACCCCAAATGAAGCCCACCGGTTTATAAGCTGTATTGTGGTATAGCGTGTAGTATACGACGGTGAACGGTATATCGGCAGTACACCTACTCGCCGCTTCGCCGTGTTGCATGTGCTTGTTTGCTGGGATGGGGGGCTTCTGATACCTGGTCTTGGTGTTGGTCTAGGATGTTGTTCGAAACCCGAGTTCCGGACCAGCACTTGCGTGAGTAGTGTACTATCACCCAGCTCGTATTTCTTGAGATTGGCATTCAGAGTGTTGTGTCTTCCGGCCCCGTGCGATCTCGCGATGGGACTATGGTATGCAATCAAGCTGGTCGGCCATCCGGGTGTGACTGGATCCATTAAACAAGATGTATCCCAGTTTCCGACCGACCAGCCCGCATCATCCTAGGACACTATACTGGGTCTTTTATACCTTTCCATCATCAGCAATATCTAAAGTCTTCCATAGAAAATTAGGCAACTGCTTAGCTATGAGTCCTTTATTAAAAAAGAACTCTCGCTGGTGAGCTGAGGCTGATACACGCCTGCGGAAAGAAGAAGGAGCTCTTGATAGGCAAGCCAGAGGGCCAAAAGGATTCGGGTCCGCCGCTTCAACGCCAACGAGGTGGGCTTTGTGATGTCTGCAGGCGCAGAGCTCCGCTCCGGGCGGGAAAGAGAGGCGGCAGCGTGGGGGTCACCGCGTCCACTTACGAAAGTAAACACTATTGTGGTCTCGCCGCTTTCGCCGCTTTCGACATTGAGAACCAAGTTTAGCACCAGCTTGGTTGCGCGGTGGAGCGCGGGAATCTGAAACCGGTCCTGAACAAGTGACAGGCTCCAAGAGGTGTGGAAATCCTGGGGTGGGCTCACGCCATCTGAGTCCGGCTGAGGTGGGCGCAGTCGAAAATGGTAATGATAATGGTCGGAAGATATAGGTGGTCTGAGTCTTGGTGTGCATCTCTGCTGTCTGTCTGCACCTCTGCACTGACAGCAAAACACTTGGCCCTTGGTTGCAACTTCATTGCAGTTACGCTAGAGGTCACGGCCACTTCGTCCTGGGATATGGCTAGAGTTTCGGCTCTCGCTGCGGCGATGCAGCGGAAAGCTGTTACCAGGAACTCATGGTCCCAGGGTGAACAGTACACCCATTTCTGTGCACCTTGATGAGCTGCATTGCAATTAAGTTCCGGGATGATCAAACTTGGTCGCGGTGCAATATCGAGGTTGGGTATAGCGGACTGGACGTGAAACTTTGCAGCGACCTCAACGGCAAGCAATTGTCCTCGGACTATTCTGTGACTTTTCTAGTGGCTGGAGTCGGCTTGCAACTTTGTGCTTGAAGGCTAATGATGACGGGTGCTGTTGCTTGGACCCTCGAAACGAAGCAATTTACAACTTTGCGTGCGTAGCAGAAGGGTTTCCTCCTGAATCTGACAGTTTTCGAAATCCCTGCTCGCTGCAGAGCAAACACTGCGACCGCCGTACAGCTCTATCCATCCAATCCCACCTCACCCCTCATTACCAAATGTTGGTACGAAGGCAACCATTAGCAGACACTATCGATACTTTCTCGTTACCGCACGCGTTCTGTGTTTTGTTGTGTGAAGTGTTCTCAAGACCCCGCAGTATAATCCCTTGTTCATCTGTCAAAAGTGGAAGGGGCTCTCGGCGACCCCACCTGGCGGGCTCTCCCCGTCCCGCTGCCTAATCATCAAAAGCATTCTGTTTGTTTCTGATGCGAGTTGACATAGAAAAATCTGGGAATCGTCTCCTCATGCCCCCCGGCAACTGCCAATTGGTTGATATTGTTGCCTTAGAGGAGCGGCCGAGCGTTGCCGAGCGTTGCCGATAGTCGTCAGGATACTTTATCGCCTGTCATTGTCCCTGTCACTGCGCCAATGACCGCCAAGACGACAATCCCAATTAGAAATATGAATTCCAACACTTCAAAGCAGACGCCGGGCAAGTGCTCAAGTTCAACAACGTCAATCAGATTCTGATATATAGTTGACATGCTATCGGTCGTCCGGTCGTCTGCCTCCCGAAGCCATTTCCCAATAGCTCTCTGGCCAGCTGTACTAGCACCTCACTGGCGCTCCAAAGTAGATTTGGGAGGCGTGTGTCACTGCTTTGTTAGTTGAACGTCCGAGAGTCAGAAAGGTCCACGGACACGGACACCAAGAGGACTTGTATGAATGCCTTCTCTTTGGCAAACACGTCTCCCTTGACGATTGTCAACAGGTGCGGGACTGCTTTTCTCAAGCCGCCCATCATGAACTTATGCGAGACCGACGAGTGTGGAGACCTTTTTTTTCCTTCTCCTTCTACCGGATCAACGTCGCAGGTGTATCTATTTTCAAGTACACTTTTCCTTTTCTCAGGTCGAACCGACCTCGCGGCAAACAGCCTCCTAAACACGAGCCAAGCCCGAACAGGGACCGCATCGACAATGGATTTACCTAGCAGCACCCGCCTTGACAATGCACCCAGAACGGGGTCCATGGCCAAGGTATTTCCCCTTCTTCATCAATTAACCGCGAACCTCGAGGGACTAGGTTACCCTTTTCAGAATGTTGCTGTACCCTTTTTGCTTTTCCGTATGTTCTTTTTCCTACGCAACTACGAACATATATCTAAGTTGCGTTATTGTTTGCTTGTCTACGACTCTACCCCTGACAACTCAATAACCAGTCTTTACACGTATTCGTAAGGTACTCGCGACAAACCATACCCCTCGCATCAAGTCTCATCTCTCCGATGCGCTTGGCCCCTCTCGCAAACAACCTCTCATCCTCCTACCTATCCCATCTCCATCCATCCATCCAGCCATCCATTTGTCCAGCGGGAATTCTCCATCTGGTCAAAGCCCACCCCGGCTTTGATCGTCTGATGGAGCCAAAATATTTTTTTGGCCCGTTGTCACACTCAGGCTAGGCCGACCAGGCTCGTGGCTCCGTGGCTCACACTGACCGTCATAACGGACGTTGTTTTGATACAAGCGCTTCCGTCATTACTAGCTCTCAGACATTTGGGGCTCTACCCAAGCTAGGCCCCCCTCCCCCCCACGTCCCGATTATATACAAGTGTACCCATGGCAAGACAGTGTCCCCATGTCATTTTTTTCCTTTGGCCAAAATCACAATCCATGTACGGTCGGCGGTGCAAAGGAAGATTGTGCATGTGTTGTTGCTGTATGGTGGTGGGAGTTGTTGGGTTCATTAGAAATGGCTAAATTGCGACTTACACCCACACACCACCACACCACAAGCACACACGTACCGCCTGCTGACCATTGACTCTCCTTTCTTATTCTTGTATGTATACATTACGTCTTTTATTATATTTTTCTTGCGATTGCTTCTAGGGTAATATTTTCCTACCCTCGTCGTACGTTCTCCCATGTATATAACCAAAGGGCACATCCTCGATCCCAGCCCATTCCGCAAGTCTAGTCACAACTACATCTCGCAACCATCCGTGGAGCGCCCTGGCCCTTCGAAACACATACTCCACCTTCTTCATATTCTGAACCCATCCTCGCAGGTAACCATTCTCACACTTTTTTGTCTTACGCAATTCACTAACATCAGCTTCAGCAAAACCTTGCCCCATCACTAACATAATCATCATCACCGTCTCCAAACCACCTCACCTCAAATTACCTCACACCTCGTTCAAGATGTGTGACTTTACCAAGAACTACTACATCTACACATCGTGTCAAGATCCTGGGGCACATTTCTTCCGCACATCAGTAGACGGCAGCCGCAAAACAGCATGCCCGAAAGGTCCGCACGAACGCTATATCGTTCAGCCCGGCCACTGCCCGCTCTGTGGATGACGCACGCCCTCATTGTCATCCTCATCACCATGAAACTTCGAACCAGCATGTGTCCCCTTCCTGGAAGTCTCACCTAGGCCGGCATGTCGCACCGAGAGCCGCAACGGCCCTCACACCACTCTCCCTCTCTCTCTCTTCGGAATTCGCCTACTACAGGAAATTTTGCTCGGATATGTCAGGTGGCAGGATTTCCCCAAAACCTCCTCGGCGGACTATAGATGGGATACTACTGGCGCATTACATTGGATTGACAGGCGATATACCTCATTAGGCAGTCCCGGGGCTGCACCGGGACGTGGTGTGCAGTGTCACCACACCAACCCCGGCACTTGGAGACACATGGGCGGCAGGCTTGGCTCACTGCATGAGCCAGAATCCCAGGATATGAGGTACCAAGCAGAATCGAGCCGAATGGCAAAAGGGAAGAGCCAGATCTTCGGACGCATAAGGGAAGTGTTGATCCGGTACTCTCGACGGACGTGCAAATGAAGGGCTTGTTCGTTCAATGGGCGGAAAGGACGGAAAAGAATGATATCATGTTTTGGCCGAAAGACATGCAGCGAGGCGTAGGGGCAGCGGGGCAAAGGGGGTTCTCAACAAATGAAAACAAAGTCCTCGCCATCTAATCTTTTGGTTTTCTATTTTCGTTCTTTTTCCAACGTTTCATTATCTGCTACTACTCATCAAGCATAGGAAAGGAATTACCGGAGTCAAATGGGGAAACGGAATACACATGTTTATGCGGTTGAACACAGCATATCTCTAGCTTGGGCAGGCTAGGCTGCCGTTTCAGCTGCTGGAGGGCGTTGTTTTGGGAAAGAAATGGCTCCATTTATCATAGGATCAAGGCAGTGCGTTTTCACCAAGCGCGTGCATTTGATATATAACATGCCTGAAATTATCACATATATACCTCCAAATATACGCACATACCTGCTGAAGTCAATGTACTTGTATTGTCCAGTGTGCGGCACAGTCATCCAAGTTGGTGCTCATCGTTGCGTTTTTGACTTGCCTCAGGTAATGAGTGATCAACGACGCTGGTTCTTCCCACTGCCTCTTTCACCGTATACAGTACAGCCAGCCCCTATAGTGAGACAGTGGAGCGAGCTATTGACTATAGTAAGCCGATTATAATGGTCTGAATTATGACATCCATTTATCAATAGTGGGGTGTGGTACGCCGGAGAGGCACGAGGCCAGATTGGAGAAGTCCCATGCAGGATCAACCTCCGGTGTGTGTGTTTTGACAGGACGGATAAGCCCGTAGGTCTCAGGCTAGCTATACGAAAGCAAATATCAAGGCGCCATGGCTTCAGCCTTCTCGCGGTGACTTGTCAAGACGAGATACCCTCGAGTGTTAGTGAAGGTGGAATGGCGTGACAATATCGCGACTATCGATGCAGGTGCATCGGTTCGAAATGCTATCGCTGCACTGCTGTGACAAAGTAGCAGTACCAAAGTTCAGCTGTCTACGGCGCCACCTTCTCGTCATGCTACGGCCGATCATATGAAAAACAATCTTTTCAGATTGGCTGCAGACGGCATTTCAATGTGTGGAGAAGTTGTTCAGCCTGCCTTGCCCACGATGCATAACGGAGGGTATACCAAGCAACCGTGCAGGCCGCAGTGCAAGTGCTACGAATTCGGCAAACTGCATTCGCTGGTAGACCAGTCCCAGCTCTCGAATAGGAGCCGAAGGAAACCAAAGAAACAAGGCATGCCATTCTATGTCGTTTGAAGATCTATTCCGTCGAAATAGGTTGATCATTGCTGGCATGTTGGTCATGAATTCTGATGATTCCCAACATGACAAAACACTGGAGGCGATGGCATGACTTGCATGGTGGCGTCAGTATCGTCCTTATCAATACTCGCCCACGCCTACCAACTCAACATTCGGATGATCAGGCGATCCAAAGGGTAAGTCGGTCAGCCGCGCGACAAGCCCAGCCTCCGCGCCATATCTCTTGACCATGCCTGTCAACAGAGAGTAGGAATATGCCAGCACTACTAATGGGCGTCAGCAGGCGAAACTGTGGGGAAGCCAGTACTATTGACAGTGCTGGACCGATCTGGACATGAACTCCTGGCTACGATCGAGCTGGGTAGTGTGTTCCGGGATGTACGTCTGCCTGAAACGGCCGTAGCGGTGCTGACATGTCTGCAGTACGCCATCACCACCGCCACCACCAACCGAAGGGCGTCTTCCGCAGCCGAACCAGGAGTAACCACAATAGCCTCCGTCAACTTTGCCAATTCTGCTCATAACCTGCTCTGTCGACCATACGAGCAGCCGAGCGCTTCGGCAGCAATGCCGACTCATGCCAGCGCATCGTGGATAACAAGATGGCCTGTCCATCGTATCGCTGGAATCCCCGATTTGACGCATGTTGATCAGAGGATTCTGTTCCATCATGCAGAACAATGCTGTGCTCGGTAGCCGTCGATGTGCCAATTATCCCAGGCAGAGGAAACAATGACCGGTGTCCGATACAAGCTGCGCCGTAAGCAGATCTCGAGATAGAAAGCACTAGCCTTCGCAATGCGGGAAGATCAGGGTGCTGGCCTGACACTGTTGGAACTCACACATGATGTGATTTGTCGGCAGGGACGAGGTTCTGAAGGTACATCGGCTTCAATCCCCTGTTGGGCATGTTTTCGCGGTTTGGCGACTTAAACATCAACGTGTCAGAACGCACATCAATCAATACTTATCCGAGGCGGCCCTTAGAATTTGTACATAAATAGGCTTCTTGGATGCATTTATGAGTCCAACGGATTCCAAAAACGATGAGTTTGAATCTTCAAGTTTTGCAGGTTCAAATTGTCGAGAAAGCACGACCAAACGTCGACAGGGCTACAATGAGAACTCTAGAGGCATGGCCCCTGTCGCGGAAAATATCAGCTCCGACTCCGAGATCAGAGCAGCTTAACCGAGACGCTCCCCACTAACATAGCCTCAAAATTCAGCTCTGTGTGTCGTGTTGGATACAAGACTTGCCGTATCACAACGACGTTGATTGAGTTCAATGGTTTCCGGGGAATCAGCCTCATTCTGCAGCCGACCCTGATCAGCCCACCATACTTGTTGAAGTGCCGCACGTTGCTGACTAGCATCCTAGATTTTTACCACTATTATGTCATATGGAAATGCACTGGAGTTCGTCCGTTCCAACATTGAGACCTTCCACACGTCTATCGCTACTTAAACAGTAAATCGCCATGTAGGGGATCTTCTTTCCAAGATTTGGCCAGTGAAGAAGCCCAGAAGGACTGTATTTTTCATCAACTGCAATTTACGACCCAAGATACCTAACGGATCATCCAAAATTCCATCCGAACTTCGATTGATCGTCCCTGTTCATTCACAATCCCCCATTATACTGACTACTGATCCCTGGAATCGGGATTTTCAGTCCTGGCCGAGGAGCGATTGCCCGCCCAAGTCTGTTGGCCCTTTGCTACTGCGGTACACTTCGCGGATATCAAGCTAGGCATGACTAGCTCTGCAATACAATACACCCACAATGCCGCCGAGCGAAAGAATGGGGAGGCGAGGCTGCAGCTCCGTGATCGGGAGAGAGCTCGAAGTTTTGTTCTACACCCGCGTGTTTAGAGCAGCACAAAATGATTATCGATCCTCTGAGGTCGGATACGAGTTATGCTTCTACCTCAACGTCAATGTCCTGATGCCTGCCCTCTTTTTGTTTCCACTCTGGGTGAGATCGAGATGCCGAAACTGCAGAACACCGTGAGAATGGCTCTTATAGTTCGCGCCAACATGGAACTACCCGCGGAGGCAGGTGCCACTCAGCAGTATAAGTGCCGCCCAAGACTACCAGAGTCAAGCTTAGCCCTTGGCCAGGAGGACATATGAGCCCCTCCTCCTGTACCTTGGCCCCGTGGCGAATGCAGTCTGGGATCGATATAATTCATTGCTTTCTCGTCATGTATTTCCAAATTCCCAGGCAGATGAGCAGCAGAGCTACACATGTGGCAAGACTGCTCATCTCAACCTACTTATTTCTGGTCGAATATCATAACCGAAGGCATCGGACTAGCAAAAAATGCCTGATATAAGCCCTTAGGTTTCCAACACGGCATCCTCCCCAGCTTGTGACTTGATTTGCGGTATCATGGATACACACCGAGAGAGTTTCATCTCTTCCCGAGTCGCGATTGAGGTGCCCAGGACGGAGGCCCAAAATTTCACCCTTAATGTTGTAATGGTAGTGGTCTCTCTCCTGTCGATGTTGGGCTCGGTATGGATCATTCTCAGCTTTGCGGTAAGCTCGACTTCAGCCGTAAAATCCCCGGCATGTTGCTAAGTTCTCGTCAAAGTGCTTCAAGAGTCTACGAAGCTTCCGCCACGAACTGATCCTGTAAGTGTCGATCCATCACCATAATATGCAAACGACTTGGTCATGTAGCTGACTATCGCAGAGGGCTTGCAGTGAGTACTGGCCTCATGGCCCTCAACATCCTTTCATCCGCCTGTATGAAGCTTGCTGGAAATTCCATCGGCCAACCGAGTCGGGCCAAGTACTGCAGTTTCAACGGATTCGTAACCCAGGCCTTCGTTACGCAAAGTAAGTCATGGCGAACTTTCCGTGGTCGAAGTTAAGGCTAACGATGCCGCAGCTGACGAATAGGTATTCGTGATCGCTATTTGCTCGTACTTTATTCTCGTCGACTGCAGACGTGCGGTCGCCTGGGTCCATAAACACTCCTGGTTCATGTTTTTGATTCCCTGGATTCTCAGCTGTACCCAGGCGATCATCGAACTGGTCGTCGTGGGGTACGGTGATATCGGCGTTTGTAAGTCTTGCTTTCTATCCTACAGTTTGGTCTCCTATAAAGCCTAAAGCTCACACGTTTTCTTGTTAGGGTGCTGGTTCACCTCGGACAAAACGCGACTTTTCGTCAACTACATCCCTCGATGGCTGATAATCATGGCCATGCTCGCTATGTACACCCACCTATATTTTTTCTTTCGTAAAGCCCACAACAGCTGCGTGGATTGGGATGTCCATTCGAGAGGCGCCGCTGGTAACCTCGACCCGCGGGTTTCTGGAAACGAGGCTCAAAGCAAACAGAAGCTCAAGAAAGTGAGGGCGGCGCTCTTATTTCCGCTTGTATGTTTTCCTGTGAATGGATTAACGGACTGACGTGCCCCTTGCAGCTTGCTCGACTCATGCTCATATATCCCTTCGCCTACATCCTCATCTGGATCCTGCCGACGGGGATCCGCATCTACCAAGCCACCAAAGAGATTCCCGCGCCGTTCGCGCTGCAGACGTTGGATAAGTCGTGTATCGTGATCCAGGGGTTCATCGATGCCGTTATATATGGCGTTACCGAGACGTCGCTCAGCAGTTGGAAAAACCTGATCTTCCCAGACAAGTTCCCCTTCGTCCTCGAGATCACGTGCCCGACGGCGGCCGTGAATGAGCTGCCCCGGATGCCAAGAGCAAGGCTGAACAGCGACAGCGACAAGGGGTTGGGGAGTTCCATGCGTGAGAGCACAATCTCTTCCTTTGGCGGAGTCGAGCCGAGGGATCTGGAGCAGGGAGAGATTATATCCCATACAGCAATTTAATACGGAAGACGGTGCATGTGCAGGTTGAGGTGGAAGTGACCAAGGAGCAAAGCAGTGGTGTTTCGGGTCCTTGAGATACCCAACGTAGTTATTGAAACTTGCTAACTAAGGATTAGCTGAGAAAAGTGGACAAAAGGCATTCAATCCCCAGTAAATGCCATAATAAGCACGAACCAACAAATGATATGAAAGTCACGAAAGTTAGACCGAATGATTACCTCCGCGTAGTCATTTCGGTGACAGGCAGTCATAAGTCAAGCCGACCGCAGCATGACCGCACCAAACATTTCCCTCTCCTGCCTTTGATAAGAATCCGTGGAGGAATGCGCCACAAGTAAGGCACGTATAAAATCATAGCACTGTGGATGTATCAAGGTGTTTCAATTCAGAAAGATTCAATTCATCGTCGCTCTAATTCAAAAGGTAGGTACCGGTCCGGCCGTGCCCTTTTTCACCTGAGGGAAACTTATTACTACGTAGCAATTCAAGCTTCGCGTCCACACTATCATACACTTACCGCGTGTGTTGTGACTGATCTATCTAATATGTACCCCAACCACTTGCACTGCATCACAAGAATGTACATAGAACTAGACGAGGCTGTGTAAACATGAATTGATCTTTAACTACTCAACACAAATCTAGCCCCCCGTAAGGACATTAAAACACCATCCCGATGCCTTCAACGCAATAACCCATGAAGACACAGTCTCTCCCACTCCCTACTCGCCTCAGCGCCCTGGTTACCTTCCCTAAAACACGGCGCCCAAGCACTTACACCCAATCCTAATACCCTCCCTTACATCCTTACAACCGTGACCCTCCCATCCCCATCCTCGCCCACAACCCACCTCTCATCCCCACATATAACTCCTTTGCCCATCAACTCGGCCCACATCCCATCCGCGAACCTCACCTCACCTGACTCCTCACCCTCACCATCAAGCCCTGCTTCCTGTACGCTAATCCTCGGCACGATGAACACAGACAGCGTCTCCATCATGAAACACTGCCTAGCCACGATGCGGATGCCTGCCTTCGCATCAACGACCTCGCTGACGGTCAGGTAGGGGAACTCTTCGTGGCGCCAGCAGGGAGCTTGGGAGGGGTGGTTGGTGTAAGTGACGCTGTTCTGATCACCTTCCCTGCCTGACGGAGAAGAGGATGGATCAGATAACGAGGAAGAAGATGAGGTGGCAGCAGAACCGGAAGGATGATCAGAAGCCTCCTCATCCCTCCTCAACTTCGCAACCGACCCACTCCTCGGACAAAACGACATATGCACATCTCCATCCGCACAACACTCCTCCACCCACCTAGGTCCCATTCCCACAACCGGAATCCCCGTACACTTGACTCTATGATGCCTCGGCGGCGCCATCGAAGCCTGCATCCCCGCCAACCAGCGGTGGTCCTCTTCATGCACATATACATTGCCCTCGTCAACCCTCAACTCCTTAATCCTCGGCGTATGCCTCTGTCTCAGCCCCAAAAAATCCAGATCCCTCCAACTCAGCCTCCTTACCACGACGGGGCCGAGATCTCGATCGGGCGGTTTGCGCGCACCCGTTGGGTCTAAGGAGGGGCGATACGCGGACGGGAAGGATATATCCCATACCGTCAGCTGCTCGAGGGGTTCTTCTTCGCCCCAGGGGGAGCGGTTGGGTTGCCAGAGGTAGAGTGCGTAGTGGGTGCTGTTATGGGCGGAAAAGAAGCGGTCGTGCCGGGAGATTGGTAAGCCCAAGAAGTGAATCTTCCATTCGGAGCGGAAGGTGATGGTCCATGCCGTGGAATCGGTCGCGGAGACGGAGCGCACGAGGTTGAGTTTAGGTGTAGAGGGGGAGGGTGAGCGAGAGGAGACTTGGTAGTCTGGTGATTCGGATACTGCTGCTGCTCTCGAAGAAGACGATGAAGTCGAACACCGCCTCACATCGAAAACCGTAGCAAAGTGTCTATGCACCGTCTCCTGATCATTCAACTGATGATACGCCTCCCGTTCACACCACTCCACCACCAAACTCCCACACGCGAGCCGTACCCTCCTCACTGTCCTATCCGCCCCGTCAAACGGCACCGCAAACCGATTCTGCGTCTCCAAATCATACGCCACGTAGCGCCCGGGAGCAGCAGCATCGGGGTACATCAGCAACCCGTCGTCGTAACACCACACCGCGTCGCGATACTGGAACGGGGCCGTATTTTCGTTGAACCTTAGTACCCGATCCCATGGCTCGACGCCCCGGCGCAGGTGCGCGTGCGTCTTCTCGTCGATTACATTAATTTTCTCGATTTCCCTTGGCCGAGCAGATCGCAAGTAATGATACCGCCGAGCGACTTTGGCGAAGACTGAGGTCCAATCCGGCGGCCCCCGTTGTTTGTTGCCCGCAGCAGCGGGGTTCGATGAGGGGGGTGCCGAGACGGCGGTGGCGGCATTCCGGATTTCTCGACACCGCGGGAAGTGCCGCTTCATTAACGTCCATGATGCGTTCTCCGTGGTGAAGGCCGAATTCCAGTTTTTGCTTACGCGCCGGCAAATGATGGAGTCTTGGGGAGATAGGTAGGAGATGATGAGGAGGAAGAGGTCATTGGGGAGTTCGGGGAGGTCCTTTATTGCCCCGTGGGCCCCTGCTGCACCCATGTGGTATTTTTGCGTTTGGTTTCCATAATGGAATCCAGCGGCTTTGTCGTTCATGACCCGCTCTGTGTTGTTTCAGCAGAAATGAGTTCGGTGAGGTTTGGCTGTTTAAGTTGACGTTCACAAAAGAGAGAGGGAGGCTTGACTCGCAGAATCGTTGGCTGCTTCCCTTTTCAGTCACATCGACCCGTGCCTCCTAGTCAACTTACACATCAAACGACATCGGGAATCTTTGAATTTCCCTCGCACAACGTCAGGATCTCTACTTCCACCACCTTTGGGGGTATACGTGAAATTAACATATTGCGCGACTTGCCGCGGGATGCGCAAAATCATAGCTTCGAAAATTGAGCCAAGTCCCCGGTTGGTCACGACTCGAAATGCCAATCGCCTATTATCGTGCAAGTTCGAGTCAAGCAATCGCGACTGTGACCAATCTCATGTCTGGACGTGACAGGTGACCACGGTGTACATAGTAGGTGGTTTACCTCGTATATTCAATCCATGAACCCCCAAGTAACTGGTGCGTCTACGCAGAAGTCCAAGTCCAACCAAGCCCAGTAGTTAGCACGCAATAATTACGACATTTGACAAGCCGCGCGCTCTGGGGCCGGTTCAGTTATCATAGCTCCAATGTGTAATAGTATCTTTGGCAGTCAAGCACGCATGTTGTTTGCCAGTTCGTCAACCCAGTTGGCTTGTCGCCCTTGCATGTTCAAATCATTCGCATACCGGATATGCCATTCGTAAAACTCCCAGTGGGTTATGCCATATGGCATCTCAATAAAGCCATTCTCCCATCCTCACACTCCCTAACTCTGCGTAGGCATCGCGACGTCCGCCTTCTTCGAAATCGCATCCGCACTGGCCCACATCGCCGTAACCGTCTTGAGCTGGGTGTAAAAATTAACCCCCGGCCGACCATAAAACGTATTCGCCCCACCCCCCGCAATACTCTTCTTATTCCCCGTGAACGAAAACATGGGCAAGGGTACGGGAATAGGAACATTAATCCCGACCTGTCCGGCCTCGATGTTCCTTCGGAACGCCTCAGCCGTGGGACCCGAGCGGGTGAAAATGGCCGTCCCGTTGCCGTACTCGTTCTTGTTGATGAGCTCGATGGCCTCATCCAGGGTGTCGACGTTGAGGCATACCAGCACAGGGCCGAAGATCTCCTCCGTGTAGCACTTCATTTGGGGTGTCACGTTGGTGATGATGGTGGGGCCGACCCAGTTGCCGTTAGGGTACTTCTCGGGCTTGAAGCCGCGGCCGTCGAGGAGGATGGTGGCGCCCTCCTTTTCGGCGCTGGCGATCAGACTCTCAATCCGCTCCTTACTTTGGGGCGAGATGACGGGGCCTAGGTCAGCGCCCTGCTCGAAGCCGCCGTTGACTTGAAGGTTTTGGGCGCTGGCGGCCAGTTCGGGAAGCCATTCTTTGGTTTCGCCCACCATGACCACCGTGCTGAGGGCCATACATCGCTGGCCTGCAGCACCGAAGGCGGCGCCGACAACCGAGTTGATGAAGTGATTCTTGTTGCAATCCGGCAGGACGGCGGCGTGATTCTTGGCTCCCAGGTTGGCTTGCACCCGTTTGCCGTTGGCAGAGCCCCTGGAGAAGATATACTCGCCCGCCTTGTTGCCACCCACGAAGCTGACGGCTTTGATCTCGGGCGCGTCGAGAATGAAATCAACCGTCTTGTGAGCACCGTGAACAACATTGACAACGCCGTCTGGGAACCCTGCCTTCTTGGCCAGCTCAGCCAGAATCATAGCCGCACCGGGGTCTCTCTCGGACGGCTTCAGGATCAGCGTGTTACCTGTCACAGTCGCAATCGGGATACACCACAACGGGATCATAGCCGGGAAGTCTGCCGCACACCCCACATTAGCATCCTGTTCCAATAACTTCTAAAAGCCAACCACAACGCATCACAGAAGAGAGCAGAAAACACACTGAAAGGACAAATGGCAGCCACAACCCCCAACGGCTCCCGATACGTCCGGGTCTCCATATCTCTCGCCACCTCCAGCAGCTCCCCCTTCATAAACTCTGGCGCCGCGCACGCCGCCTCAGCAACCTGCAACCCCCTCAACACATCCCCCTTCGCATCCGCAAAAGTCTTTCCTTGTTCCAAGGTAATGCTGGCCGCCAACCTATCCCAATTCTCCCGAACCAGCCCCACGAATTTAAACATGACCTGCTGCCTCGCCAGGACGCTCGTATTCCTCCATTTCGGAAAGGCCTTTTGCGCGCTGGCGACGGCGGCTTTGAGCTCGGCATCCGTCGATTGTGGCACCCGCGTCACGAGATTGTTGGTCGCGGGGTCGTGGAGATCAATCCAGGATTCTGCTTGCGAGGGCCGGAATTCATTGTCGATGAACCAGGGTGTGTCCTCGGGTCGGGTGATCTTGTCGTGTGTTTGGGGAAACGAGGTCGCGGTCGAGGCAAGAGCGCTGTAGGGGCGGAGGTGCTGCGCCGTTTGGGCGACTCGCCTTGCTGCTGTCGTTCTCGTGGAGGCCATAATTCTAGAGGAGGAGGCCGATAGTCGCGACGCAGTGGTGCGGCCGGCGCTCGAGAAGACAGCACGGGCTGCTAAGAGACGATGCATGTTGAGCAGTTGGAAGAAAAAGAAAAAAACACAATCTCGAGAATGGCTTTATTATTCCAGTTGGAATGGCAAATTCCCCTCAGTCAAAGCACGTCTCACAACCAGCCACCAGCGGAGCAGAGCAGACACCAAGCTTATTAGATGGAAGCGAGCACTGGGCGAAATGCCGGTGGCAACCGGTTTAGCCTCTATGTGACGATAAGATTGGGAAAGCTACCGCGTACACTGCCCCACCTGATACGCCCTTTGCAAGTTGGTAAGTGTTGCCGGTCCAAACCGCAGAATCAACCGATCACCGGAAGGAGAACGATAGGCGTATGTGAAATTCAAACATCCACATAACCAAACTTCTTCAGATAACCTAAAGATATGACGTGAGGTGGGACTGTGTTGAACAATAACACTGATTACTCCTGTAAACGCTTTCAAGTTTGGCACTTGTCGTTCAATATGGCCGCCCTTCGGCGGATGTCACCGGGCCGGCCTACACTATCCCGGCTACGAGCTATGCTTCTATGCTACCCGTCGTCGTAATGCTGCCACAGCACCCAGACAGCCCGGCGCAAGTCCGTTCAACAGATGAAAAGGACATGCAGTTGATCTCAACTCCGTGACCCCAAAAGCCAAAAAAGAACACAATTAGTTGTTTTCAAAGCTATACTTGAGCCACCCGCCTAGGGCCTTGAGACTCTCCCATCGCACATTCTCATCCGAGTCCTGCATGAGCTCCATAATTCGGGCCTTGAGTCCGAGCTTTTCCAATTGATATCGCTTTTCCGGAACTTCTTTCACCAGAAAGCCGACGTCGTTGCAAGCAATTGCAAGCACCGCCTTGTCGTTCTCCCACGGCTTCTTCATGATCTCGGCCAGTTTCCGGGCAATCTCTCCGGTCTCGAATTCGAGAATCTTGCGCGAGTTTTCCGTCCAGAATGTCTGGTTTCTGTGAGGCGGAGACCATCTGAGGTGCCCCGACCGTACCTCTGCAACATACTCGTCCAGCGTAGTCTTGGTCTTGGTGTACTCCTCCAGCATCTCCTTCAAATTGTCCAGATCTTCCAACAGATCCGGATCGCTCAGGTGGCGGCCGCTAACATTCTGCAGCAGTGCTGGGAGTCTAGCCAAGACTGCTGTAGGTAGGAGGGAACTGGGGTTGGTGCTGAGAAGATTTTTCAGCGTAGATAGCAATAGACGAGTAGTCTTTTCCTTGGGGGACAGCCGAAGTAACTGCGTGTACAAGAGAATCACATCGTACTCGCTGTCGCTTACATTAGCCCACGTCCAATGCATTATGGGAAAGGGATTCATACTCATCCATCTCGTCGCCGATGTCTTCGGCTTCGAAACTCAGTTGCCACATCACCAGCAAGACGTGGTAGAGAAGCTGCAGGCCAACGCCGCCGCCCAAAGACGCCTCGGTGCCACCACTTCTGGCGGTACCGTTGCCGCTCCACAGGCTCGCCGAGGACTCCGCGCCAACGCCTGCGGCCTTCTTCAAAATGTCAATAAGCGGTGCGACCGTTTCGCTTCTTTGCTTCCAGAAGAGCTGCCGAGAGGATCGGCCGTAGAGAAGCGACGAGTATTCCATGACGGCAATGTCCTGCAGTCCGGCATCGGTCGAGTTCTTGGCCAAGCCACACAGGTAGCTGATGATCAAAGGAAAGGCCTGTTCGGTTGATGGGGACTCGTCCTTCGAGTTTGCCATGAGGGTGGTAAGAACGTGGGACGTCAGAAGAGGGATAGGATCTTCAGCGTTATTCGAGTGCGCGAGGAGCGGTAAGAAATGCTTGTAGGGATCGGGATTCTTGAAGAGGGCTTTCGCCAGAGTTGGGATGCCTTGGGTACAGAGTTAGCTATGTTGTACCAATAATTGAGAGACAAGTGCACCCCGGAGAAGGAGCCATCCATGCCTGTCGTTAAGCTGCAGCATAGTAGGGAAGGAACATACACTCTAGCACGTCGCCCAGCAGCACCAGGACGTACTGCACGACATCTGAGCGCTTGCTCGCGGATTCGATCACACCAGGGGTTTCATTCTCCCCAACAAAGAGTATCCGGTATCCGTCCAGATCGCCTTCTACGACTTGTTTCCTCTGTTCCTTCTTCACTTTGTCGATGGCCCTGATCTTGGCCAATTGCCCCTCCGTAATGGTGCCTGCTCTAGCTGCGCCATCCCACGGAATCGGTCGCTGGCGGATGTTGTTCTGGAGGGACCCCAGGTACGGGGGAGGATCGAGGGACATGGTGTCTGGGATGGAGGCGACTGAAATGGCAAGGCTGGAGAGAGAGAGTCAGTGCAGGTGATGATGGTATGCCTTGTGTTGGTGAGCTCAGATTGAGCTCGATGATGGAGCTTGGTCTTATGAGGTAGTTCCAGCTGAGATTGGTCCTGGTATCTCCAAAGCTTGGTCCCGTGCACAGGAGCTTTAGAGCGGCATTGTGTGGGGCCGACCTCTCCACATTGGTGACCTTAAGCAAAGTCAACCGTAATTTGTGAGAACTTCAGCAATGTTACAACCAGTTTCACGGAAATGCAAATTGCTACTACGCTCACTCTTTGTGTGCTGGGACAAAGTTCGCTTTTAGGACCCATGATACGGAGTAAGAAGAGATGGCACCGTGAATGCATTATTGTCCGCGGACGCAGTCGCCAAGAAACAATGGCGCTTTTAATCCGAGGTCAATACTCGGTTTCTTCACGAGGCAAGTATTCATCACTGGCTTATGTGCTGTTGTCTTCAGTGCATTGTGTGGAGTTCATGCCAACTCAGAATTTGCAATGTTGTACGTGTTGCCGAGCTTAATCAACTCGGACTCAGAGCTTCTTTTTAGCATGTAATTATCAAATTCCCATCCTCATCGGCTGTGGAATGTTTGGTTGAGATTAGCAGCCCCTTGAATTCGATATACTCTGAAAATAGTGATATTATCTGGGATAACTTCACCTTAGTCGACTTACTCTTTACCCGCGATCTAGCGATCGGAGACAAACCTGACGAGGCTCTCGGTTTACTCTACTACCAACGTAACCTTCGCACACTTCGTCGAGATCTTAGCAGCTGCTCGAGTAATAATGCTTGGTAGAGTCTCGGGGTTTCACGAATCAGTAAGCTGAGCTCTGAAGACTTACCAAGCTGGTAGATTAGGGAATAATCCCTAGTGCCCTGAATCACACAGCCCAGGATTTCGTGGTTGCGACCAATACGAGTGTCGAAATCTATTTACAGGAGTTTTATCATTCTCGAGCGAAAGGACAGATTGGCATCGTCTTCGTCATCTAATGCCGGCTCGTTCCTGAATTGGCTGGCCACTCGGAGCTGCGCTGAGCAGCTTGGGCAGCCGCGACCTGCTTCCCTGGGTCCACTGTCCACGGTCCCCCGAGTGGTTACGATAAGATTATCGGACCCTGCGCCGAACGACTCAGGCACGTCAGGTCGTCCCGTCAACCCTGCACAAGCTCGGCAAGCTAGCAATTAGCACCAGATCAGGCAGGTGTGCCAACTCACCACTATTCTCCGTAGCTGTGCAGTTTGCCCATCACCAGATCCCTCCCCCATACGAAGAGCGACCACGCGGATAGAACTTGAGAAAGAGCCAAGTTGAGCAAATAGGATAAAAGACAAGTCTACGCCCGAAATGAGAAAGGATTCTCAAGGTGAAGAAATTTAGCAAGCTAACTGGTCTCTAGCTTAGATCCCTGCCAAGTTATACTTGGAGCTCCAGCGTGCCAACCCCCTCTGTTTTGTTCAAATCGAGGTTTCGTGACATCGGTGACCCCAACCCCGCGATATTTTGCAGTTCAGGCTGCCAGCGCAAGAGGTTGGGAACAACCAAGGACCACACAACGTGCATTAGACTGAAAACGCGTGCATGCAATAAGACGCAACTTGCAGCAGCCAAATTCCCACGTCGTTTTCCTCTGCTTTTTTTGTATTCCACTCTGCGTTCTTGTCAATCCCTGACCTCGACGACCTTAACCTTCTCAGCGGTGTAAGTCAAGCTTTCGGGCTTCGTCACTGCGGCCTAAATAATATCTTGAGTCGATCGCATCGGGATTGGGCCTTGATATCACTGGTTATTTGGGGCAAATCAGTCTATCATCACAATCGGACGGCTTGACCCAAATCACACTCCCAAGTTGCCAATTCCTCTACCGAAACTGAGGTGGAGGTGAGTGAGCGAACACCTGTCTAAGCTGCTTCCAAGGACTACGCACACAGTCAGTCACAATGCGACTCCAACAAGCAGCAACAAGTTTGCTGCTGAGCACTCTCACTACCCTTGTCGTCGCAAACCCATATCCCCGCGATAACATCCGAGATTTCGGCTTCGGCTATCTCATGAACCGCGACTGCGAATCATACTGCGGCCTCGACAATCAATACTGCTGCTCCGCCGGCGAACAATGTATTACGACTACGGGGCGAGCTACCTGCACAGCCGGGGACGGTGGCTACGCATATTCCACAACAACGTGGACTGAGACGCGAACTTATACCAGCACCTACAGCACATACTACCCAGCCGCGACGAGCGCAGCGTCGGGCGGCACAGGAGGTGCGGATTGCGTTCCGCCCGAGGGAACTGGTCAAATTGCGTGTGGACCAATTTGCTGCGCGAACTGGCAATATTGTGCGAAAGAGGGCCAATGCCTGCCCAATGCAGGAGCCAGTACATGGTGGTCTACAGGGACGACGGTGGGGGTAGTCACAACAGCCTTCTCGGCGCCATACAGAGTCACGAGCGGGACCACAGTCTTCTCAACGGCTACGGGCACCGCCGAGAGCGCCACGGCCACAGCAACCGGGACGGAAACCGCAGTGCCCGTCACCACCACCACAAGCAACCAATTGAGCGGCGGCGCCATCGCTGGTATCGTGGTGGGCACTATCCTCGGAGTCGCCCTGCTGCTCGCGCTCTGCGCATGTTGCATCATCCGCGGCCTGTGGAACACCTTCCTGGCCATCTTCGGCTTCGGCAAGAAGAGGGACAAGACGGAGCGCATCGAAGTCATCGAGGAGGAGCGCCGGTACTCCCGACACGGCAGCGCTTCTGGCCGAGCCGCACACCGCACATGGTTTGGCGGCAGCGGCCGTCCCGCCACAGTCGCGTCGAGAAAAGAGAAGAAAAGTAGCAGCGGTGCGGGCTGGCTGGCCGGTGCTGGCGCAGCTACGATGTTGCTTCTGGGTCTGCGGAGGGGGGACAAGAAGAAGGAGAGTGGCAGCCATAAGCCCGCGAGGAGTGATTGGAGTAGTTCGTATTATACCGAGTCCTACACAGGTACTAGCCCTAGTGAGTATCATCCAGAAACACCGCAAACAGACATTGGACGGAAATAGTGACTTACAAATCCATCAGGTAGTATGAGTTCGAGAACAAGGGACACACGCCGCTCTAGGCAGTCCAGGGCAACAAGGCAATCGGCTTCGAGGGTATCGAGGCACACCAGACGATCCTAATGCCAGCTGGCCCGGATCCATCATTTCCTTCCCCAATACATACTTTTATTCACGAGGCTGCATACACACCACCCTTTTTTGACACCTACAATACTGTTTATAGCCCACCATCAACATCATAACCACTACACATAGCACAACCCCCGGCGTTTTGGAAGGACGGACGTCCCACATTTGATTTATCAAAAGACTCAAAGATTCTTGCGAGAGACGGAGAAAGCAAGAGATGACATGAAATGTAATATGCGATGCATACGAAGCAAGCGGGTTGGGTTAGATTGCGTAACCCCCACAAACGGAAGATACAAGTGATGGACGAGCATGGCAGAGCACGAAGAATGGAAATGAGAATGAGCAATTAGGTTTTCGTTTTACTCACTGTTTCTTTTTTCAGCGTGGAATTTGACAAGGAGATTTGGTAATGACAGCAGCGAGACTTTGCGCTGCTGGCTGTAATTGTGTTCAATTGGCATATTAAACCCTTCTATCTAAAGGAGACGGGCCTTCTTACTCTTCATTACTGTGGATATGACAAAGTTGGTGGATACTTAAAGGTAGTTGGAGTTGCGACTTTAGTATATAAAGCGAATCAATGATTCACAATGGTTAGTACTTGCTGGATGATATTCTGGAATTGGAGTACTTGTTCGATTTCGTATTTCGACACGGTTTGTGACATGAAGGAAGATTTAGAAATGCTTGGGCAGCAGCAGGGCAGACGAGTCGTATCTCGAAAACCTTCACATCTCGATCGATGTACGCTTGACAGTCCTTTCAGAAACAGATGTGTTGAATGACGAGAAGGTACTTACGTGACTCATACCTTCGCAAGGAACCTTAGGTCTCTTCATTCAGCTTAGCAACCGCAATCCGCTCGTACCATTGGGCCCGGAGATATTCGGTGATGGCAAAACGATATGTCATTATGGGTTATCGTCGTAGTCCACCGCAATGGTGCAATGGTTCATAAAATCGAGAACTGGCTCTTGTCCTTATTTGCTTCCAGCTGATCTCCACATTCGCCCCAGGCATCGGCACATGTTGCTCATCCAGAGTGGAATCGAGTTCCGCCACTGCTTGGTTCCAGATGCCCAACTCGCGTCCTTGGCTTGGCCTGTAGTCCATTTGCCATCACCCGTGGAAGCTTGATTGTGGCGCATTAAGGAGTAAGACATCACAGAGCAAAACTTTGATGTTGCTTCAGAATTTTGGTCTTGATTTTCGCAGCTTTCCGCTGCGTGAGATGCAATGATGAACCCCGGTCACTCCTTATTGAGACCCATAAAGCAGCAAAGAAACCATGACAACTGTTCCGTTCCGGCCCTGGCCCTGGCCCTTATGCCGCCTCCTCAACGACGTTGCCCTTCTCCGACACGTACATACCGTCCAAGAACTATATCGGAAATGTCAGCAAATTGCAGTTCGTCTTGTGTGCTCAGTGATAATCCCCTCTTACCTTTCGGATATCCTTGTTGCGGACCTTGCAGGTTTGCTGGATGTCAGCGGCGCTCTGAGAAACATCCTCCAACGAGTTGCCGAACAGAACCAGCTCGTCCTTCTGGGCCGCGGAGACCTCAACCTCGACGCCGGGGCGCATGGCGACTCTGCGGACGAGCTTCTCGCCGATAAAGTTGCGGATCTCAACCTCGACATTGCCGGTCTCGGCGTTCTTCTCCACGTTGATGTTGATGGGGAAATGGGCGTAGACGTATCGCATCTTGTACTTGTATCCCTTGGTGACACCAATGATCAAGTTCTGGATGAGAGAGCGGACGGTTCGGAGGGCGGCAACGTTCTTTCGCGATCCGTTGTGAATCTCAATGCCAATAATGTTCTTCTTGGGATGCGAGAAGCTGACGGCCATGTGGCTCAGGTCCTTGGACAGCTTGCCTATTCCACTATTAGACTCCTCGATTTCTCCAGACCGCGCCGTCTGCATGTGCATTTGGGATGTTCGTACCTCTGGGTCCCTCGACGGTGACATGGCGGGCCTTTATGCTCACCGAGACTATGCGGTAAACAAAATGTCAGTAATTTTTTCGATTTCGCATGACGTCGATCCTCCTGCCCGTTTCCCATCGCACAAGGCTCATCACGCCCCTCCAGCATCCCGGCAACCCTTCCAACCAATTTGCGCTGAGGAAAAATTGACCGACGTACCCTTCTCGGGAACCTCGAGGCTCTCTTCGGTGTGAATGTAGCGCATCTTGACGGTGGTTCCTCAGGCGTGGGGGCAAATCGGGTATCGACCTGGCCGGGTTTGGATGTCAGTTACAGGATCTTAAACTGCTCAATTTTTGAGACGTCCGTCCTTCCCCGAACAGCAGATTATTTCGTGCACAAGGTGTATTGATTGTCGGGCAATGTAGTGGGTGGTCCGTACCTGAAGAAATTGGCGATGCGGGTTGTTCAAATGCAACTTTGGCCGTATGGACCTCGAAATATTTCGCTACGATTCGGAAATTCTTGTGTCGTTTGGTGGCAGGCGCACCCTGCAAACCCACTCGCTAAATTTTCGGGTGGCTCGTGCTTTCCAGCTCTGGGATTTAGGGCTTTGATAAGAAATTCCGATCCGGGCTGTGGCTTCAATGTATTTGATAAGCTTCAGCCACAATTGGCTCTGGTAGGGTCGAAACCTGGACAATGGAGTCTTCAAATCCAGCAATCTCGCATTGTCGGACCAAGTTCTCTTATGAAATGAGTTCTTGAACGAAGTACGAGGTAATACATGAGGAAATGCAAAGGTAGTTTTCTCTGTTTGATGCCCTGTTTTGTTATGGGACAGACATGGGGCTATCACTTGTTATGTAAATCAAGCAGCTTTTCTACCGAGTACATTGTAGCTAACTGACTTTGTGATAAAGCCGCAGAGTCTATTTACATATACCATCAAGTCACTGCAAGAAGAAATTGTACTTTGTTAGTTGCAAGTTGGTAGTCAAATCACTCTCCGTTGAAGCCGTGTTAGCCAGTAGTCTCACGTCATTGGCTCCACACCGAATTCCTAAAAAAGACAGCGAAGCTCAAGCTGCTAGGCTACCAGGAAACGGCCGCAGTCCCACTGGCTGTCCCGCTATCAATGAACCCGCCCTGGTCTACAGCTCAGTTCAACATCACGGAGCTTGAACCAACGCTCAGCTCCTCCACGCCCAAACCTACCTACCAGAGCTGCCAATCCGCTATATTTTGGGTCGTCCAAGATGTCATACTTCTTTGCGACACCCGTTGACATCGATGTCGTGCTTGAAGATGCCGACGAACGGAACATGGTCGACGTCAAGCTTGACAAGAATCGACGCGAGAAGGCGCCGTTGTACATGGATGGCGAGTCGGTCAAGGGCGCAGTCACGGTTCGTCCTAAGGATGGGAAGAGGTTAGAGCATACTGGCATCAAGGTGCAGTTCATCGGCACGATAGGTACGCTCTTAAGCCCAACTAGTCAAGAGCTTTAGGATCGCAGCGCATCCGCCCTGTAAACAACCAGGAAACTAACCACGGCATCTCCTTTCAGAAATGTTCTTCGACCGCGGCAACCACTACGAGTTCCTCTCACTGAACCAAGAACTCGCGGCGCCGGGCGAGCTGCAACACCCTCAAACCTTCGACTTCAACTTCAAGAACGTCGAGAAACAATACGAATCCTACAACGGGATCAATGTCAAGCTGCGGTACTTCATCAGAGTCACAGTCTCCCGTCGCATGGCGGACGTGATCCGCGAAAAGGATATCTGGGTGTACAGCTACCGGATCCCGCCCGAGATGAACAGCAGCATCAAGATGGACGTGGGCATCGAGGACTGCCTGCACATCGAGTTTGAGTATAGCAAGAGCAAGTACCACCTTAAGGATGTCATCGTCGGCCGCATTTACTTTCTGCTTGTCCGCCTCAAGATTAAGCACATGGAGCTGAGTATTATTCGGCGCGAGACGACGGGCGCGGCGCCCAATCAGTATAATGAGAGTGAGACGTTGGTGCGCTTCGAGGTAAGTCTGTAGCCTGGATCTGATAAGCTATTGCTTCTGTTGCAATGCGAGAATCCAGCCATGGGTGGACACAAAAGCTAACAACATCTTGATAGATCATGGATGGCTCCCCCTCCCGCGGCGAGACCATCCCTATTCGCCTATTCCTAGGCGGCTTCGACCTGACCCCGACCTTTCGCGACGTCAACAAGAAGTTCTCCACACGCTACTACCTCAGTCTAGTTCTGATCGACGAGGACGCGCGGCGGTACTTCAAGCAGTCCGAGATTATCCTGTTCCGTCAGGCCCCAGACGCCATCCAGAACAGCCAAACCGTGGTCTCGGTGCCGGAATCGACGCGAACCATGCCCGCTGTCGAGGCATGATGTCACAAAGTTGGTCGGTTTTGATTTCTTGGATCCCTGCTAAAGAGTCATCAATGATCATCACGGTAAAAGTCAGGTCAGGCCAGGCGGCGTTTGCACATAGTTTTTATACTCAGATGAGTTTGTTTGAGCATGGGTTGGCACGGCGTTTTATGGTCTTAGAGCGCAGGAGATCTAAGTAGTCTTGTCAGGGCAGCAGGGCAGTATATCATCCAATAATATTCTCACATTTTTGGCCCTGTCCCTTTTGACCCTTTGGTCTATGCACCCACGGCCTCGTCCAGCCTTGGGAATTGACGCCCTGGATCACCGTAGCCCATTCCCGATTGCCAGGCTGGGCTAGCTTAGGCTTGCCTTTCCTTTCAGAGCTCGTAACAACCATCGATGCGGTAATCTGACCTATCATAAAGCCGGTCTCGCCGAAATTGTAGATGTCGGCATCGGCGATCCCATATTTCGCAATTGTATTGCGCACAAGGTCAAACCAGCCTTGAATAAACTCTGGATCTTCGCATAAGGCCCGAGAATAGTCGTATTTACGGCTGAATACCGTCTTGAGCTGTGGTTGTCGCTTAACGAAGTTAGAGGCCCAGTTCTTGCCGATGCGTAACGCGTCGCGGTCGCGTAGCAGTCGGTTTGCCATATCTTTAACAGCACTTAGCCGGGGAGGAAATGCTTGCGAATCTAGCTCAATTATCCTTTGAATAATCGTATTTTCTTCTAGTTTTGTTAAATTCCGACCGTTGGCTTCGATATTGCGACGTGATTGACGTTTTTGAAGGCGCGCCTGGAGAGTAGTATTCGAGACTTTGTAGATTGTTGCAGCACGTCGGATACTAAGTGTTGAGTCATTTCTGATAGCCTGAGTTGCAAGGAGTAATTGAGATTCTTTTTGAGCAGAATCCATCGAGAATTAGTTGCGTGGTAAAGTTAGGAAGTTTAGTTCTATTTTTTGCTATGGGCGTGACCCGTTCGGTTGGGTGACCCGTTTGCTTGTGGACTACGTTATATATATATTTTCTGAGGGATTCAACCCTCAGATGATGACTCTGTACAGATCCTGTATTGGTTACGATGCTCGATGCGCAGTGTGATGTGTGTATTGACTGCTCGGAGTGCTCTAAGAAGTTACATCTAAGGTAGGTAGGCAGGTGCCGACCTTTTTATCTACACAAGCGATTTCACTGCCTTAGGCACCACCTCAGGCACCACCTCAGGCACACATATGGCGCTCAATCCCACACGCCCTCTCGCCACTATGGGTTCTAGGGCCTAATTCTCGCAAATACGACCTTTCCATCGTCCAATCGCAGTGTGTTTCTGCCGTGAACCACCGCCCTCGTCACATACCTGGTGTCCCTTTTTCCAATCGCTCCATCCCCAACAGTTCAACGAATCGATCGAACTTGGCTTTGTCCAGAGGCTTGGTGAGTCCGTCGGCTGGATTCTGGTCGCTCGGCACCCAACGCAGCTTGACGTTGCCGGCTTCCACCTCCTGACGGCCGTAATGGTAACCAACTCTTATGTGCCGTTTCTGTCTGTTCATGGCGGGGTCCTCTGACCACTTTACCGCACCAGAGTTGTCCTCGAGGATCACGATAGGGCCTTCGGGCATGTGTCCCAGTTCTGTAAGGAAGTTTCGGATCCAGGCGGCGTCGCCGGCGGCTTCGCTGAACGCGATGTATTCGCTTTCTGTGGAGCTCTTCGCGACAACACTTTGTAACTTGGAGTGCCACAGTACTGGACAGCCGGCTATCATGAAGACGTAGCCAGTGACAGATTTGCCTCCGTCCGCATCGGATGCGAAGCTGGCGTCTACTGCTCCATAGAGTCCCAGTGCATTGTATTGAGTGGCTCTATGCTCTTTCTTGTACTTCAGTGCTAGTCGATTCTTCGCGACGTACCGTGGTACCCTCATTAGTCCGATCAAGTGTGTCGAAGATGGATTTGACATGTACCTGGCCCAGGTCGAGGTTGAGTGCGCCGTGTCGGGTCTCGAGAGGCATGAGGAGTAGTTGAATCGGCCAACTACGGTAGCGAAGTGATGTATCTCATCAGTACTGGCTTTTCCAGTATTCTTCGTCAAGTTAGCGGCCATGCCGGCTTCGAACGGCGTTCCGACTCCTCCGAGCTCGTTGAATCCTAATGCTTCTAGTGCCTTGTCGATGTATTGGTCTTGGTCAAGTCTAACATCGCCGGTTTCACCAGTTCGTAAGATGCGCATGCCTAGGAACCAATCGGCGGGGCCCAAATCGTTGAGTGGTACTTCCTTCGACACGTCCGCTGCCAAAGCCTTTAAACGTTCCAGATCTGGTCCGGATAGCAAGAAATCGTCTACGTGCGATGCAATGATGTCCCTTGTCTTCCCGTTGATGTATACTGCATCGTCCGACAACAACGGCTCGAATCCACGCTTCTTTAGGATTCTCTTGGCCTCACGTTGCCACGTTGCCCCGGCTTGTTTCAAGCCATAGAGCGGCAGCATTAACTCGATAATGCTCTCTGGGGAGTAGCCGTACTTTGCTACTTCTTCGGGGTATGCTTCGAAGTATTCCTTGAGCATTGGGAATTGCTTCATGAAGATCTTCTCATCAAGCTTGCCGTTAAGGTACGCGGCTACGAAATCGATCTGTAAGATGTGCCAGCCTAGCACTGCCGAGAGGGCCATCAGGATCCTCCATGATGCTGCTCTGGCTGTTGACGCTGCTGTCTCGTTGTAGTCAATGCCGTACCGCTGGGTAAAGCCTCTGGCGCAAATCCTCGACTTCAGCTTGTCCAATTCACCTGGAGAGAGAAACTTCTCTCGCAGTACCCACTTGGCGTCAATAAGATGGCCGTGCATGGCTTCAGACTTATCGCAGAAGCGGAATGTGCCTCTTTCCAGGCCTTGCCTGATCTCGGCGAAAATAGACTGCATCCACTCGCTGCCCTTAGGACCGTTGAGTGCCTCCCGTAATGTCGGCTCTGTAGGGTGTTGTGCCTGTAGCAGGCGGTAGGTTTCCGACTCTCCCAACATCGTGGCTAAATTGAGTAGCGGCTCGAACAGAATTCCGTCTCGTTCTTGTCGCAGCAATTCGAATAGCATAGACTTGATGTACTTGTGGTCTGATTCACGATGTGAGTCGCCAGTGCCTCCATAGAAGTCGTCAAAATCCTCGTCTTTCTGCTCAACGTCACTGGCAGACGCGCCCTCTTGGATGTAGGCTTTTGAGCGTGCCAGTTGGTTCATCAGTTCATCATCATCGGGGGGGGGCCTCTACTACGTATGCTTGCAGATTCGGTTTGGCCTTGCGGGGGCGCCCTCTGCGCGGTTTGACTGCGTTTGCTTCGTCGTCTGTGACATCTTCGTCAACCTTGTTGAGATCTTTGGACTTGACCTTCGTCTGGGTCGTCTTTCGGTGACGGAGTCGCTTCTGGATGTGTTGGGGAAGCGATCGAAAAATGTCTCGTGTATCGGGTGCCTCGTCTCGTGCGGTGTTGCCGAGGTCTTCGTGAAATATCGCATGCGGTGTATCTAAGTATCTACCTCCATCGATTAGCCAGAACCGGTAGTTGTGTTCTCCGACATAGTCAAGAAAAATGGCCTTGACCGCTCTGGGTTCGAGCTTCTCTGCTGTAGTTCTCAGCTTGACGTCTACGTGTACCAGTGCCAGCGATCCTGGGATTCGTAGATTGGCCATATCTGGTACCCATGCGCCCTCTGGCGCCAGTTCTTGGTGAAAACATTCGTGTGGCGTCACACCTTCCAAGGTTGATGTGCCGGTGCGATTCGTAATGTATGTTGTGCAACTAAGCACATCGTTCCAGAAACAACTAGGGATTCTTCCCTGAATGCTGATGGCCCTGGCAGCGTTTTGGATTACTCCAATCGAACGCTCTGCTGTCCCATTTTGATACTGATTGTATGGGGTTGATATCAGCAGATCGATGCCTTCTTCGTCGCATAAGGTGTTGAGTGTTGCCAAATCGAAGTCCTGGGATCCATCGATTTTGATTACCTTGCATCGGCGGGGAGGATTCTGTGTCATCAAATCCGCCTGTACCCTAGTTACGTAGCGTTTGAGTCCGCCAGCCACTTCGCTCTTGTGCTTGTATGCGTCGAATGTGCGGTGACGGCTCTTGCCATCCGTCTTGAGATCGAAGTATCTCATGCCTTCGACTGATTCGGGCTTTAGTTCTCCCAGATCGCAGTGAATGACTTCTCCGACGTACTGCGGTTGGTACTGGGGGTCATGAGAGGGAATCTTCGTGCTCTTGGCTTGATCGCATGCCACGCAAGGGAGTGACTCGATGAGTGAGACATCGATGTCTATCCCAGTTGAATGCTCTACGGTCCATGCCAGTCTCTGTGGACTCGGATGGGCCAGGCGACGATGCCAAAGGGTTAACTGCCCTGCCAGGTCGTCCGTCATCTCCATGATCCCTGGACTGACCATCGTGTCGTGAATGACTCGCTTCATATTGTCAATCTCTTCCGTCGAGAAACCGAACAATCCTAGGGCGCCCTCTAACCCTGGATCCCTTAAGTAGTCTGTGTGTTTCTTTCGCTTTCTCTTGGGTTCGCTCCTGCCGAATTGCCATAAGAACCAGCCTCTTTTCTCGGCATCTATTGTCGTAATTACTGTGCCGGTGCGGCTGACGATGTTATTGCCTTGAATTGTACCTCCGTTCAGGTAGAATAGCTCTCCTGAGAATACCTTGACGGGGAACTGGGGTATAAAAAGTACGTACTTGGCGACCAAGTAGTTGCGTTGACCTTCTGGGCCGCTCAAGATCCACTTGACTGAGTCAGCCCTCTGGGCATGTACGACGCCTCCGCCTGTGACGATAGGGTACGAATTCTTCTTCAAGTCGACCACCGTGCCCTGTTCAAAGTCATTTTCATCATTCGTGGCGTGAATATTTGCTCCGGTGTCGAATATCAACAGCTCAGAATCGGTTGGTCTGGCCTCTGACGTGTAGGTTTGTGCAATAAGGACTTGGGCTCGGTTCCGAGCGATGGCCTGTTCGTACTCGTCAATGAGGTCTTGGTAATCGCACCCTGCCTTGCTCCGTAGAATTGGTCGCCAAGTGCTTCCTGGAGTCCAGGTGGTGCCGCGGTCTTCTGCTCTTGCCCTTTTGCGGCATTCGCGTTGGCATTCGCGTTGGCACCTTCCTTGGGAGGAGATCTGCAGTCTCGCTTAAATGGCCTTTCTTGCCGCAGTTGTGACACTTGTCATCCTTGTTGGCCTATCGACCCTTTTTGCTATTGCTGTTCTTGTTATTCTTTCCTCTGCCAGACGCCTGAGCGTTGTTGGAGCTGTTTCCTCTATTGCTCCTTCCGTTGTTCTGGTTACCGTTGTTCTTTCGTTCTAGTTTGTGGTGGAACGCGTTGGCGAATTCTTCCATGAGTTCTGCCGGTGTCATGTCGTTGCGACGAAGGAACTGGTCTTGCTGTCGAGTCCAGCCTGAAGCCTTGTCTTCAGCAGCTGTAAGGAACATGGTGATCTGTTGCTCACCCTTAATCTCGAGTCCTGCATCTGCGGAACTTTGTATTAAATGTAACAGGGCAATTGCCGTCGTATCTTAGTGCGTTGAGATCCTTCCAAAGTGCCCTCAGCCTTTGTTTGGCAGATTGATCGAAATTGGCCTCAAGCGATTCCAACATCTTGGTCCCTCCGTGAGGTTGTCGATGAGTCCTTTTGCTAAGCCGTCCGACGTCATCAAGATCGCCTTAGCCAGTCTCGTCTTGTCGTAGGCTGTCAGCTTCTTCTTTGGTTTCCACCCAACGGAATGCAGCGATAAGGCAATGACTTTGCGCCATGGTTTGTATGAGTCGGGGCCTCGAACCCACTGCGACTTGTCTGGTTTGCAGTCCCAGTACTTCCACTCAAGGTTGAACTTGCCGTGTTTCTTCTTATGCTTGCGACGCCGGTTCCTATCACCAGATAGATCCGACTCGCTGTCCGATTCGGAGTCTGAATTGTCGGAATCATCTGAGCCACTGCTCGATGAACTGGAGGGATCGTTACTAGGGTCGTAACGGCTGCGGGTGGACTTCTTCTTCTTGTCCTTGTCCTTTTCCTCGTACTCGTCCTCATCCTTGTACTTGTTCTTGTCCTTGATAAGGGACGCGTTGTCTTCGCTGTCTGAGTCGATTTCAAATGCGAAACCCTGAGGCGGCATCCGATGCGGCATCCGCGGCGGTGGTGGCGGCGTCTCCGGCCGGCCCCTTGCGCTGGAAAATTCGGCATCATGGTACAATTTGTGTGAATTTGACTTAGACTTGCCTCTGAAGCTTGGGTCTCTTTGCTCACTGATGAGCATGTCAATCTTATCTTCCAGCCGCTTTATTTCGGCTTGGTGGAGTGCCTTCATGTTGGCTTCCTTTTGTTCCATGATCTGGTCAAGATCAGTTTTGGTGAATACCTTGGGGTCCTGCGCGTCAGAGCCCGTGGATGGCGCTGTTGACCGCGGGGAAGGTGCCGCTGCCATGTTGCGCGGCCGAAGGCTGTACCTTCGTATGGTGCTAAGTAATCCAGGCTCCTCGAAGGCGCCTGGGGGGTTCATGTGAGCCTCGGAGCTGCTTCAGTTGCTGTGGTGTCCTATTGGTGTATGGCCGCTCTGTCAATCCCGTTGCCCGATCAACCGCTTCTCACGCCAGCGACACTGTCGTCTGTTAAGTTACGCCTCACATACTGCCAGACCGTGACCTGCGCGTGAAGAGCGCATGTGATTCTGCAATGGGTGATGTGGAGTGGTCTACCTGACTGTCCTGATGTCGGATCAGTCGCCTCTCACGCCAGCGACACTGCCGTCTGCTGAGCTACGCCTTGCGTGCTGCCAGACCGTGTCCTGCTCGTGAAGGCCTCGTGATGCTGTGGGAATCCTGGTGCCAAATCAATCGCCTCTTACGCCAGCGACACTGCCGTCTGTTGAGCTACGCCTTGCGTGCTGTTAGACCGTGACCTGCGCGTGAAGAGCGCGTTGATGTTGCGAAGTAGGATCCAACAGAGTAATCAAGTGATCGTTCAGTAACGATGAGATGCTACCATGAGGGATTCAATCCTCAGATGATGACTCTGTACAGATCCTGTATTGGTTACGATGCTCGATGCGCAGTGTGATGTGTGTATTGACTGCTCGGAGTGCTCTAAGAAGTTACATCTAAGGTAGGTAGGCAGGTGCCGACCTTTTTACCTACACAAGCGATTTCACTGCCTTAGGCACCACCTCAGGCACACATATGGCGCTCAATCCCACATTTTCTGAAAGTTAGTCGCTAAATATTGCAAATATCCGGGAAGTCCGCTTACTCTCGCTAGAGTCCTTACTTCTCCTTAGTCTCTACGTTAGGTTTTGTTTTATAGTACACTTGGTTTTAGCCGTGCTTGGATATCGATTGCTCTCTTTATATAACGTATTTCACCCCCATTCCGACACCCTATAAAACAAAACACCACGAATAACACTGCAATTTCAAACAACCACCACAAATTCAATTCTGAACAACTATACAATCGCTTTCGACAGTAGATACATTAGATATTTCTGAACCCGAATCATCAAACAAGAGCTTCATTAGATACTTCCCTCATCCGCCGTACGTCCTCAATCCTTGCGAATTTCGCGTTTGGACTTATTTGCACCTTCTTTTTTTTTCCGTGGCTTCATAAGCTCCAATCGCTGTTTTAAGCCCTTAATTTGTAATTCTGCGCTTACTAATAGATAATCCTTCTCATCAAAACCCTTTTTTCATCTTTCTAAATAGCTGGCGTTGTGTAGTCATGTTAGTTTGTTGGAGTCGATTGAACTCCCTAAACTGGCGCTCTATATCTACGCTCTTCTTTGGCGTTGACCATACAACATTGCCCTCTGAAGGCGTCTGGAGCGTTTTCCGGACTTGCTGGGTTGTAATAGAATATCTGGACCTTGGTGACGTGTGCGGTTGCTATTTTCAAGCAGAAGAGGGCTAGTAAGGGGCCTAGCGACATTTAGGGGCCATAGACCACTTGTACGCCAACCAGACTTGATATTTTGAGCCGTTAGGGCCCTCTGGCGTGCTCTGGCGTAACAGCGCATAAAATTCCGCTTGCCAATAGGTGCTGAATCAGTTAATAGGGTTAAAAACCCGACCTCCTTGCGATATGCCGTTTTCATAGCTGAGAACACCCCAACATCGAGGGGCTGAAGGACATGAGATGTGTGGGGGTAAAAATAATAAGTATATGTTGTTTTGATAGCAAAGAGACATAAAAGTATCAGTTGTGTGACTACCGTGACCATCCAAAATAAGTAAACGAGTGTCTGAAGGGTCCTGAGGAAGCGTAAGGGGTATAAAAACGTCTTCAAGCCATTTGATAGCTATCGTATCGTCTGTCCAGCCCTTGGGGGATGCCTTGAAGCGCCAGTCCTTGAAGTCCTGAAGATTTTTATCAGGGAACCACTGCTCTTGGACGTCCTTGCCCTTGAAAATAACCAGGGGGGTAAGGTATTGCCGAGGGCATCCACACATTCCAAAATTGACGTCCACGCCCTCGAACCAGGCTGTTTCTGGTGTATTGCGCGTAAGGTAGCGCTCCCGACAACTAGCCCAGAGCCCCCTTGACCCTCCATAAGGCCATGCTCATCCATATTATACCTGCATTGCGGCTTAATCGCTTGAATTGCAGGAATACGTAATTTTGAAGCAAACCAGGCTTGGATTACCTCGGTAGACGCGCCATTGATACGCTGAGAGTCGATACGGCGTTGCTTTTTAGTCTTTAGTGCTGGGTGACGCTTTAGAAAGGCTTCCAGCCAATTCTTGCCGAGTGGTTGGTGGTCACCTTTGAGGGCTAGGACGCGCTGCGCGA